TGGCCATAGATTGTAAACTCTAGTCATCATCTCATTTCATTGTTGAGCATCTAATAAAGGAACCAATGCAAACAAAGGGAGCACTCCTTCGGGTTTGATGACCTCTTTCCAATGCCCATTACTTTCTTCTACCCCAAACCATTAAGACAAGACAAACAAGAGACATTACAGAAAATAAACAAAAACAACATTTATGCAAGGGAAAGTGGCATCCGAGAGCAGCAATGAAAGGTGGAAAGGTGGACGATGTGAGCGATTAGGAGTTATCTCTCTCTCTTTCTTCTCTTTTCTCTTGATTCGACTCTTACTGCGCTCTTACACACCTTTGTTTATTTTCTGGTTTTCTACCTCGCCTCGGTCCCCTCCGCGCCTTCCGCGCAATTCCAAAAACCATCTCGACCCTCCTTTCCTCTCTTTATTACTTCTCATTTCTCGAACCTCGCCTTGAGAGCCGGAAAAAGATATCTCTCTATTATTTTTACAAGCCCATGGAGCTGCTTTGCCTCCCTCCCTTCCTTTCTTCCTTCCCCCCACAAACCTTAATCGTCCAATCACTTTTCATTCGCCCTCCTTCCTTCCCTTCTCCCCGCTCTCCCTCCCTCATCGTCTCTCCTCAGAACCCTGATCGAATAGAGTTCGGTTATCGCTATCCTTGTCCCGACCCTGCAACAGTCAGCCGACGCTTCTCCCGTCCCCTTGGTCCCTCTTAGTCACTTTATCATCATCATTCTGACTCTCCCTCTCCTTTTTTGCTCATTCGTTCCTTCCTTCATCGCTCACCTCATCCACTCACGTTTCAATTTTCTTTAATTCTTTGATCGCTCTCTTTTTCTCCTGTCCTGACCCTCGGGTTTAGATTGTTTTCCGAAGCGTGTGTTTAGGATAATTAAAACCTTTCTTCGATCTCATCAAATCCCTTTCGAGAGAAACGCCTGTTTGCTCGGGTTCTCGTTCACGACAACTATAGTATGCTTAAGTGGGTGTTTTAGTCCAGCGAGTGAGACGGATCGGAGACTGGTATGATCGTCGTCGTTAGGTTCGGTCTGAATCCTGCATGGACTGATAGGAGTCTTCTTTTTTGTCAGTACACAGCGAACGGTACCAATGTCCGTTCGGACGTAGAAGGCGATGAACTGTACCCGTAACTCCAAACTATTGGCTTGCCGGGTCACGACGGTGGCCCTCTTTTTATTAATTCCTCACCATTGGATATGACAAACTGTACGGAAGTACCTTAGCTGCCTGAACGAAGAATTTGGGGAGTGAATGCGAGTTGATGACATGTCGGTTTGTTCTGCTCTGTCAGTCTGGAACATGGCCCATCGCGTACCTCTCAACTGACGACGTGCACAAAAAAAAGGGGGGATCAAAAGTGAGAACAATAAGGCCCAATGTATGTAAGCGTGTATTCATAAGAGTGCAGAGAAGGGCGAGGTTTCTCTGCCGTACCACTTCAAAGTAAAAGTAAAAGAAAAAGAATCTTTTGTAGTTATGGCTGTCTGTGGCTTAATACAACAGCTGGAGTGATAGGATTGGCCAGAGATTAGATATCACCCTCCGTGTGCAACCGTCAGAAATGAAAATTTAAAGCTACGTTTTCACACCACATGCAACGTTCTTGGGAAGTACTTTTTTCATATCCACCTAACCCGGAAAAAAATAGACCTCTCTTTCTTCCTCTCATCTCTGGCCTCTTCCCCCACAGTTTACCGAATGTACATTAAGAAAAAAAAGGTTTTTTCCGAGAAGAAAGTCGAAGAAAGGACCCTGGGATGAGTATGTGTCGAGTCAGAGGGAGACTGTGAGGGTGCTTGTAGGGGGAGATGACTTTAAATTTTTTTTTGCACAGGGACAACCCATTAAGCATCGGAGTGAAAAAAATAGCAAATGCTTCAGGTCAAAAAGAAAAGGAAGGGTTGCTGGTGGTGCCTCCAATGATGAACCTTCCCTTTCTCCCGTTTCTATATTTTACCCAAGCATAGACTAACCTACTAACGTCCTTCTCTTTCTCTCTTAATGGCGCAATACTTACGCCTACTGGTTCTCTTATAGTCTTTCCAACGCCCGTTCTTTTGGAGACTGCTGCATTCCAACTGTAAAGAAAGAGTCATCGTCATAGCTCTAGCTCGCTTCCTCAGGTCAACTGGTGTCCAAGGACCCGTTGGAGGTCATGAATAGTAATCATCGCGACTAGAGAGAGTCCCGCGGAAGGAAGAAGGAGGAGATCACACGTGCACATGGATGAACTCCACAACTCTCTCATGGTCCGACCATCAATGACAATAAATAACAACAAATTGCTGCTGGGTTCCGTTTATTATTGCAGTCGTAGCTCACTTGTTGTGAGAAGCCGCCTATGTTGTCGTTGTTGGTATTTGCAACCCCGAAAGGTAGCCTCTCTCCCTCTCTCTTTCCCTCCGTCGATCACTTTCTTGTTATTGCTGTAGTTTGCTTTCAGCTAAGGACGATACGGATCCGGGTAAAAGACAACCCCTGGGGACTGATGAATTGCCAAGCGGGGACTGACCGGATGTTTTTGTTGCATATTCATTTGTGTTGTAGAATAATGAAAGAAGGGTGCATTGGGAACAAATATTGTTTGAAAAAAGGGTACATGTATTGGAAAATAGTATATATATTCTTGCATCGTCATCATCATCGTCGTCACAGAACAGAGCCGGGCTATTGGGAAACAAGAAAGGGTGCGTCAAGGTGAACCAGGGAACCAAAGTACAAAGTAGGGAATAAAAAGAAGAATGGCGGATCAACGTTAAACCAGAACTATTTTTTGTTCTTGACCATTTCTTTTTCTAGTACCGTAAATGACATAGGAATAGTTATTTGTGTCCGACATTGGTGAGAAATTCCTCTTTCGTCCTGTCCCTTCTTTGCTTCCTTCTTATAGGCACAATGGAGAAATAACTGGTGTTGTTAGTTGTTTGTTTGTTTTCAAGAAACGCTTTCGTGATTGGCGTTGGTTGGTTCGGTTGTTGTTTTCTGGTGGTGGTTCTTAACCTGGATGAACTTGGAACATATGAAGAAGGGATCAAGAGAAAAGAAAATATAAATTCTCAGCAATGTCGGGGATTAAGAGTCAGCTCGCTTTGGGTTTTGTTCCTCATGTTCCCTCCTTGTCCCTGTCCCCCTTTTCTGGTGTTCATTGAACCCGGAACTTGGTCCAATTCATGTCTGTGGTGGACCCGCTTACGCAAAAGAAAGGGGTGATATGAAGGAAGCAACTGCCTGGTGTGAGGAGGACCTATTTTCGATCGCCGTAAGGGGGAGTGAGTGCCTTAATTCATCCTGTCCGAGTGAACATAAACCGTTGAACAAAGTGCCATCGTTGTCCATCCATCTATCTAGTTGTGCACAGGCTGTAAGAGATATAGTGTTCTAGGAGGGCGGGTTGTTCCCTAGTTAAGCTGTCTATGAGACTTGTGAGGAGGTCTATGTGAGCCCTTTTAGGGCGTGCGGGTTGTCATGAAAGGGAATGAATGAAAAGAGAATGAAATGAAATGCGCCTAGAACGAGGGTACGATAGGTGTGTTTGAGATCGAGCATATTCTCCTCCATCAGTATTCATTTGGCCCTCTTGCAATTCAATTGAGATGTATCTCTTTCCTGTCTCTCTCTCTTTCTCTCTCTCTCTTTTTCTCTCTCTCCCTGTCTCTTTCTTTCTTATTCTGCTGTCTCTCTCTGCATGTGTATTAAATCCTGTCCAGTGGCGTGGGAGGCCAGCAAAAAGAAAAGAAAATAAAATAAAATAAAATAAAGGGATGGGATAATTCAACACAGACACACAAGCAAGTCTGACAGCGCAGGTTTCGTAGTTGCAACTCTACTGCCCAATCCAACTCAACTCCATCTCAACCCTTACGGAACCTGGAACCGTGCTTAAGGCGTTGCACCAAGAATGCGCTTCTTTCCCCTGGTACTCATACGCCTCTCGCTCTCTTAGGAGAACCCAGTTTTGGGGGGATGTCCTGGGTAAGGAAACGAGACGAACTGGCTCCGTGTGAATTGGGTGGAGTAACCCTGGTTTCCCTTACTCGGACAGTTCGAGGATATAACGGACAAAACAATTGCTTAACACATCTAACTTGCCGGCACTCACTGTTTTTTGGAGTGGAAAATAGGCAAGGAAAAAATAAGGGAAAAATGCTGGCGCTGGTTGAGGTTGTTTTTCTGTTGTGTTGGGGGGAAAGCAAAAGAGAGAGGAAAGGAGACCAAAAGTAAACAAACATGCACGTTGTGACAGAGGAGTGAGAGATAACTTTTTTATCAATGGACTTCCAGACAACTGACCAACCTTACTAAAAACCAAAAACGAAAAAAAACAAACAAACACAAACACAAACAAAGAACCCCACTCTCTCCAGGCACACAGAGCCAAGAGATAACTTTCGTTGAGAGAGGAGAGAGGAAAATGAGGAGCAAAAAAAACAAGCCCAAGGGAAGGCGAAAAAGAGCGCAAAAGGAGAGCGATTGAATTCTTTGTTTGTCGACTCTCTCTCTGTGTGTGTCTATGTGTGTGTTTGCTGATAAAACAAACGAGAACAAGTGAAGGGTGGGAATGGGAGGGTGGTGAGTGGACGATGGAGAAAGAGACAAGCAAGATGAAGGGGAGAGGAGAACAGTGCAGACACAATGGGCACTCCATCCGAGCCATATCCATGTCCAAGAACAATTGAATAATGATCTTTTCAATTATGAATTGAATATATGAAGAGGTATTCATTCTCTCGAATTCAATTGCCTCTTCTTCTTTGTCTTGACCTCCGTCTTGCCTTTCGCCTTTACCTTTATAAACCGGCCCCCTTTCGCTCCATCCCCCGGTTCCTTTTCTCTCATTCTTCTCCTTCTCTCACCTTTCACTCTCCCTCCTAATTTACCTACAACTACTTCCAACTCTTCATTCTCCTTTGCTCTTTGTTCTCTTGCATCATCTCTTTCTGTATTTCTCAATTTTCCAACTGTAAAACACACAACTCCAACTTACAATGGCTGACTTCTACGCTTCTATCCTCGAGATGCCCTTCCTCTCAGACGACTACTGCTTCCCCTTCGACATCTCCTCCACCGCCACTGGCACCCCCACATCCTCCACCTCCACATCCTCCGCATCCTCATATTCACTCTACAGCACAACCTCCCCACAAGATATCCTCATGTCCGACACCCTCGACTTTGAAACTCTTACTTCTCAACAGCAGAAGATCACTCCTCCAACAACGACAGTCGCCCCCCTCCCTACTCCTGACTTGTCCCTCGATTCCGACTTCGATTGCACCACTCCCACCAACACCAACAGCAACAACCCCTGGATGCGTCAACAACAACAGTTCCCTCCTCAGATGGTCTTCAACCAATTCCAGGAGTACCAATTGGAGCAGCAAGATTCGGATATTTTCACCCCCTGGGGTCCCTCGCCTGCTTCTTACTTGACCGCAGCCACTCAGGCCTTGGCTGGTCGGTCCTTCAGCCCCATGGCCCCCGGTATTGTCGTCCCCCCATCAGCACAAATGGCCATGATGATGGCTCAGCAACAACAACAACAACAGCAGCAGCAGCAGATGTTCCACCAGCAACAGTGGCAGCAACAGCAGCAGCACCAGTACCAGATGAACAAGGCCATGGACGAAGGCATGATCTCGCCTCCTGAGACACCCTCTGGCACGCCTTCGCCCGTCTGTCTCAAGCCCATGTCTTCCCCCTCTCAGTCGCCATCGCGACAGATGTCGCCATTGTCACCCACCACTCCATTGTCGCTCTCCTTCCCCGAACTCCCCATCGTGAGCAGCAGCACTCCCAACACTCCCACCGCGATTGCACCCATGCCTACTTCCCCATCGAGCGCACCGTTGTCTACCATCGCCCCCTTGGCTATTGTCGCTGACGCATCGACCTCTGCCTCGCTCAAGTCCCAAACAGCCGGTCCCAAATCCACTCCCACCAACAAGGTGATCAAGGCCCCCCGCAAGCCCTCCAAGGCAGCGATCAAGGCCGCCGCCGGTCAGAACGTCCGGTGCCATAACTGTGGCGCGACTGTAACCCCCCTCTGGCGCCGGTCGGCCAACAACGAGCCCCTCTGCAACGCCTGCGGTCTCTACCACAAGTTGCATGCCATGCACCGTCCCAAGCACCTCCAACAGTCCTTGGGCTCTGCCCAGGGCGCCGGCCACAAGTCCAAGTATGGTCCTCGCCCCTCGATGATGATGGCTGCCCTCCTTGCTCAACAGCAGCGTGAGCAAGCTGGTGGTGAAGGTGGCGATGCTCCCGGTAACGGTGGTGGCGCGAACGCCCCTGGTTGGGCTTCGATGACCCCACTCCCTCAACCCATGTGCAGCAACTGCAAGACCACCTTGACCCCTCTCTGGCGCAAGGACGACGCGGGCGACATCCTGTGCAACGCCTGCGGTCTCTACTACAAGCTGCATCACATCCACCGGCCCATCTCCCTCAAGCGTAATGTCATCCGCCGTCGGTCACGCTACGAGGGCGGTAAGGCTGCTGCCACTGCTGCTGCTGCCGCTGCCGCTGCCGCCGCCGCCGCAGCAGCAGCTAATGCCAACGCGTCGTCTCAGGGTCATGCGCAGGCGCATTCTACCCAGAGACGCGTGCAGGTTCACCCTCACCCTCACCATGTCCAGATCCAACAACAGCACCACCATCAGCAGCAGCAGCAGCAGCAGCAGGGCTTCATCCATGGCTTGCCTCAAGGCCCAATGCACCAGCAGCCCTCCATCTCGTCGTGCGCAATGTCTTCCTCCTCTGCCGCCGTGACCGTCGCTGCTCCTCAGCCCATCCACTTGCAGTACCCCATCCACATGAACTTCCCCCAAGCACAGTTCTAAAAAACAACTACAAAAGTAGCGCATTACCCATTCCCTTGTTCGTTCTTGCATTCCCCCCCCCCCCCCCCCCCTTGTACAACTCTTGCATTCAAAATAAAAAGAAAAAACCAAGCGCAGCTTGAACACCAACCCTACCTCTTATTCTTCACCCAATGTTGAGCAACAAACAAAAAAAACCTGTCCCCCATTTCAAATGTCGTGTTGTGCATTGCTTCTTATTCGTTGTCGGTCTTTTTTTCTCTATTTTTTACTTCTCCGTCGTCGTCGTGCTCAGTTTTTATTTCTCTCTCTATCACTCTCGGCATGTTTGTCGTTGATTTCTTTAAGCATTTATCCGCGTCAAATGTCAAGGACAAGGATGAAATGGTAGACGTTCTTTTTTATTGGACCTTCGCAGTGCAGGAAACAAAAAAAAAACGTGGACAGTACGGGGAAAGGAAAGAAGGAGTGCGTTGTGGATGCTCATGCATATGCATATGCGAACAAAGGACAAGTGCAAAGGGGGCAATTGGAGAAGGGGGGGATAAGAAAGCGAGAGAGGGGTAAACAAAAGAATAAATCCTTTCTATCGTTTACCGGCTTTCTTGTTGGGTTTGCTCGACTTCTTCTTCCCTGATCCTGCAGCATCCTCTGTAGTACCACCACCAGAGGAAGGGATGTACCCACATTCGTCCAACAACAGACGCGCAGCATTGTTGATATGCTTGAATCTATCTGCGCTCAACGGGATACCGCCGTACCATCTATTTTTTGACGAACAGAAAGAAAGAAAGAAATAAGCAGAGAGAGAGAGAGAGATTGTGTGAGACGTGCAGCAAGGAAGAGATAAGGAAATAAAGAGAAGGTGCAAGGGCAACGTGGAGGAAGAGAGGACGGGACGTTAAGTGGTTTTATTTATATTTTGGGCTGCGTTTTTTCGATGTTGTTTTGTTTGTTGTCGATGTTTCTTTGTGTTCCATTGGTCCTTCATTGACAGTTTGTTCTTGTCGCCTTTTGCTTTCCCGTCGTTTGGTTTCCTGCAAAAAAAAATGAATGCCAGCTCTCCCCAGATTTTTCCTTTTTTTTTTCCCCCTTCAAGAAACAAGAGCCATAAACACGTCAGCTTTGTTCAACTGTACCTTGAAACGACGACGACCACATTTTTGACGTCTAGGATAGACATGAGGTGCAAGAGTCGACTTCCAGCTGCCGTCTCTCCATCATCATCATTATCTAGAAAGGTAGAAAATAAAGACGCGAGAAAAAAAGCATTAATAACAACCATATTACCACATTTTTTATACTCCACAAACGCGACTCAGTTTCTCCAATATCAAATCTGTCTTCCTGAATTCTTTTATAACCCCCCCCCCCCCCCCCCCCGCCTTATTTACGTACCTTGAGCAATGGTCCCGTTCTCGTTCTCGACACGGAAGGCCATGATATTATGTGTCGCCTTAATAACCTTCTTGTTCTCCTGCTTCAGCTGCTGGATCATCCAGGGGACTTCACCCGGTTGTCGGATCGGGGCCAGATGGGCGACAAAGACACTTTTCCGGTCAATAATCGGAGCTCCTGAACGGATCTGGAAGATGCCCGGTTGACCGCTGAGTTTGGGGCTAATTGGATCGGCATTATGGTTGTTGGAGGAAGGTTGGCGGTTGTGGTGATGATGATGGTGGTTGTTATGACCAGCAGCAAAGGAGGCAGTAGCAGCATCGTCAGCCAAGTAATAGTCGGATGCACCTCGTTGTCCTTCTGAAGCATGCGATGATGGGTCATCCTCCATATCATCCTCACCATCCTCTTTATCCTCTTCAGATACTTCATTCTCGTTGAGAAGATCCCCATTATCACCGTGATCACCATCCTGAACATCGCGGGTTTCGAGGTCCTCAAGATAAGTCCTCAACCACTCAATCCATGAAAAGACAACGACCTCGCCCGGAACAAAACAGTCCTCGAGCCCCTGGTCAATCTCCCGGAGCATGGCGTCGGTAAGACGCAAGGTCCCGTAATAGATACTCACAATCTCATGGACGGGTGGTGTGGTGTTGGTCTCGGGGTATCCTGCGGGGAAGTAGATCCGGAATTCGAGTTCCTTGGTGCTGGATTTCCTGTGGTTCCCTCCTCCTTCTCCTCCTATGCTAGCAATGGTTGTCCGGGAGAGGTCTTCGGTGAGGGAGGCTGTGGTAGGGTCGTAGTCAAAGTCGGGTTCTTCGAGCGAGACTTTTAGTGTGTAGACTGGCGTGTCCGGTACTGTTGACTTGTTGTTCTTCTTGGAGTTGCTTCCGGTGGGAATGGCGTAGAATGAAGCAGGCCCGTAGATGGAGACGATGGCGAGTGCTTCGTCCTGCAATGGTGACAAGTCGTCCATGACTACAGAGCGCAAAAAAAAAAAAAAAAAGGTTGAGAGTCGTGTGCGGCTGCACCGTCTTCCTCGGCGCACCTTCCTTTCTCTACAAAAAAAAAGTGACTGTCTTGTTGAATTGATTTGTTTATCTTCCCCAATTTCGCGTACGAGGAGATAGATTCACATCTTCCACACCCACATCAACGACGATCATCCTCACAGGAAATAGTAAGCAAGGGTTCACGAGCAATGGCATACCAACAAGGACCGCCACAATGGGCCCAAAATCACGCAGCCAACAATACCCATCCAAACCCACCTGTCCTCTCCTTCCGCACCTTCCACGCAACTCACTTCTCCTGGCCACAACGCCAAGCCTTCTTCAGAAGTGAGGCTCCTTCTCCGTCTTCTCCCACTCCCACTCCCCCGAACTATCACCCATCTTGGCCATACAACCACCCACCTCCTGTCCCCCCTCCCATCGAAGCCGACACCCTCGCCAACTCTTTGGAATCTACTTGGGAACAATATCAAGGCGTCGCTCATCCGCATCAGCAACATGCGTATACCGTCAGCGGCGACAAAACAACCACCGTCACCACCACCGCTGCTGTTGATGCCAAAGATGAACACCCAGGGCCAGGATCAGGACTGGATATTTTTGGCCTCACACATGAAGCCATCGAGATCTTTGAATTCTCGCGCAAGTTCCGTGAAGAGAAGCGAGCTGCTCTAGCAGAAGAACGCGCTCGGATGGTGCGGAGGAGGACAAAACGCCGTCGATTGACCAGACGAGGGTTTGCGCCGGATGAGGGCAACAGCGGCTCTGACGAGCCTGAAGGTCTACTCTCGGACGCTGCCGATAACAGTAACAACAAGGCTGACGACTCGGACGATAGCAACGGCGGCAGTGGTAGTGAGGACGAGGATCGTGAAGGGGAGGATGAAGACGAGGACGCGTTTGTGGTGCAGACTGAGCCCCCGGCGACAGATATTGCGTTCTTGACACAGCCGAGTCGGCAGCGTGATAGGACCCGCCAAAAACTCTATGGCTTCAAGAAATCCAACAACAAGGACAAAGATGTCTTGTCGCCCACGGACGAGACGTGGTCGATTCGGATGCTGGAGGCAACGTTGAACCAGGCGTTTATCGACAGTCTTGGGCCTGAAACCTCAGCAGGAGCACCCACAAAGAGCACATCGGCAACAGGAGGCCAAAACCACCAGCGGCGGTCACGCGATTCTGGGAAAGGAACAAGGACCCGGCAACAGAGTCAAGTCGTCTACTGGCCTGGCATGCCTCTGCGGTGTTAAAGGGGCTCTTTTATCCCCAACTCGTCTTGTACCTTGCAGGTAGCTTGGTAAGATTCAGTTTCCTTCCCTTTTCCCCCTATCTCCCTATCACAAATTCATAAACGATGGACTGGATGTCACAATGATGAATACCTTTCATCCTTGTTCTCGATCAAGAATGGGGGTCTCTTTGCCCTTCGCGGGGTGAGGAGGCTTTCAGTTGACAAGAAGACAAGCATTGATATGGCCTAAATATCACCTTCTGAGTGAGCATCCCTTCCCCTTCTCTCTCTCTCTCTCTCCCCTCCTCTATCTCATCTCTGCACAACAGTGTCGATAATGAATGACCCTTTCTAATCATCAGCAACAGCTTATATTTTGGTACCTTTTATGATAGGATTCCAAGACGCGGGATGTTAAGATTGTTTTTGCCACAAATACCAGGTTCGAGAAAGACATGCAGGTTTTTTCCTTATTCTTTTATTGTTATTGACAAATGGTATGCAAAAAAAAGGGGGGAAGATAGGAGAGATAAGTTGCGACATTGAGGTAACACGATGGTGTTTAGTTCTTCTTCTTGTTCTTCTTCTTCTTGGACTTGGGTGTGGAGCGGCCAGAAGAGGGCTGCAAAGAAGGAACAGAGTCGTGTCCTGAGGCATTGGTGCTTGCGGCCTCATCAATGATTGCGCTAACAGCTGCAGGTGTTGCATGAGCGGTTGTTGCCGCATGCTCGACGACGACTTGGGTCAACTCTGTAGGATCAACAACTGAAGGCTCGGCAGAGGGGGAGAGTAGGGCTTCCTGGACACCAGCGGCTGTTGTTGTAATAGCGGTGTCGGTATTCTTGGGTGCTGGAATTTGGTGTTCTATGATGACCGTTCCGTTCCCAGTATCGTTGCCCTTGGCCTTGTCCTTGCGGCCCTTGCCCTTGTTGTTTTTGTTGTTCGAGTCTGATTCGTCCGAGATGGTACCGTCCACTGTTGAGCCTTCGCTGGACTCTTCACGGATCTGTTGCTTCCACATCTCGTAGTACACGCCTATGTTTTTGATAGAAAGGATACCTTAGTAAGTATATTCTCATTGCAAGACGAATAAAAAAAAAGATGTAAACAGGAAAACGAAAACAAAGAGGTTCTTTACCTTCGCCGCCGTTGGCGATGGCTTGCTCAACAAGCTGGTCATGAGTTCCCTGCTCGACAATAACGCCATCCTTGATACAAAGAATCAAATCAGCATTAACAATGGTACTCAACCGATGCGCCACCACAAGCGTGGTCCTGTTCTCCGTCATCCTCGCCAACGCCGCCTGGATCTGTCCCTCCGTCGTACTATCCAACGCAGAGGTCGCCTCATCCAACAGCACAATCGGGGGGTTCTTGAGAATCGTCCTCGCAATCGCCACCCGTTGCTTCTCACCTCCCGAGAGCCTCAACCCGCGCTCTCCGACCTTTGTCGCATACCCATCTGGGAAATCCTGGATCTTGTCATGGATCTGCGCGGCCTTTGCCGCATATTCGACTTCTTGCTTTGTTGCGCTGTTCCGACCATAGTTGATGTTGTAATAGATCGAGTCGTTGAAGAGGACAGAGTCCTGGGGGACGACTCCGATTTGTTCCCGAAGACTGACCTGAGTCGTTTGCGAGATGTCCTGTCCGTCAACCAGGATCCGTCCCGAGGAGACATCATAGAATCGGAAGAGGAGTCGTAAGATCGTTGATTTTCCGGATCCAGTGGGGCCGACGAGGGCGACGGTTTTGCCGTGGGGGACTCTAAAGTTGATGTTGGAGAGACCCTTTTGGCGGCTGTCGTATTGGAAGGAGACGTTTTCAAAGACAACTTCTCCAGCGGTGACGTGGAGGGGTTGGGCGTTGGGGATGTCCTTGACAGACTGGTTTTGGTCGAGGAGTTTAATCATCTTCTCCATGTCGACAAAGTTTTGTTGCAGCATCCTGTAGTACGATCCGAACCAGTTCAACTATTATTGGTTGGAGGTCGGTCGAAAAACAAATAATTTGGATTAGTATATAAAGCGACAGTCGAGTTCATGACAAAAGTTACACAAAAAATGGGGGGAATACAGAAGACTTACGGGCTGGTAGAGCTGGTTAAGAAACATGATATAGGCGACAAAGTACTCAACCTTTAGGGTCCCCTGCGAGATCTCATAGGCACACAACAGACATCCAGCCAACATGCCCATGGTGATCACAAATGACTGCAACAGGTTCAGCATCTGATAGGTCAACTGCGACTTGTAGTCGGCAATCATGTACTTGTAGATCGCATACCGGTACCGCGAGACTTCAAACTCCTCGGCAGAGTAATATTTGACCGTCTCAAAGTTCAACAATGAATCGACGGCCTTTGCGCGGGCCTCGTTATCAAAAGAGATCATGGCTCGTCGGAACTGGGTCCTCCACTCCGTTACAACAACAGTGACAATAAGGTAGGAGACGATGGTGATAAAGACAATCACGGCATACTTCCAGCTCCACTTATAGCACAACAGCCCTACAGCGAGCAAGACGTCCAAGATGACAGGAACAAGTTGGAAAAGGACGGTGCTGAGGAGGGTCACGATCGAACTGGTGCCACGGTCCAGGATCCGGAGCAATTCTCCTGTCTTGCGGTTGAGGTGGAACTCGAGGGAGAGGTTATGGACGTGTTCGAAAAAGTGGATTGTGAGGGAACTGTTGCTGTATTGCTCGATGGGGACCCAGCACCATGCACGCGCCGCGTTGATGAGACCAGAACTGCCCTGTAGGTAGCGGACGAAAATGTACAGCAGAATCGCTCCCGCATTGAACTTAGCTACAATTATTACAAAGACGAGGAAGACATGTCAGCAAAAAACACGATTCAAAGACAAATACATCATAGAAAGCATACACAAACAATGAGAAAAACAGTTCGCTGAATACATACCACCTTGCTCGGTCAAGTTGCCAACGACCCAAACAGTCAAAATAGGAACCAGCAAATTAACAACACGACCCAGGATCAAAAAGACAAACGTCATATAGAACATAAACTTGAGCCAGGGATCGTCCTTGGGATACACAAACGGCAACAGACGCTTGATCTTGGGCCAGAAATCTTTGAATGCACTCGCTCGTTCCTCTTTCTCGGTCTTCAGCTTCTTTTCGACTTCTTCCTCAGAGGTCGAACCCATTCCTCCTCCGCGACCGGCGTTCTTTGAGGCATCAGGGTCCTTTCCAAAAGCGGCTGAGAAGGTTCCGTAGGTGCCGGTGGGCGTCTTGGTGGCCCAGGTTGGCTGTGACGATGATGATGCAGATGGAGCGATATCTTCCGTGGCGCCGGCATCGAATGCTCTCAAGGCATCCAAGTCATCTTCACGAGACTCTCGCTTGCGGTGGATTTGTGAGAGCAGGGCCAAAAGGACGACAAATCCGTACCGGATCCCAAATATGCTGATTAGTGCAATGTTGTACTTGCTCGCCTCCGGTGTAATAACTAGCAATTTGAAAAATGAAGGTTAAAACTGAAAACTTGGACAAACAAATAATTAGGCACACGTTTCAACAAAGTATATGCGCATCGTTTCTTACCTTCAGGGAAGCTCTCCAGGTGGTACCAGCCAATAAACGATTCACCAGCAAGGGCAAGCAACCAGAACCCATAATTGGCCCAACTCCACTGACCGCCCTTGCCAACCTCGACCAGCATCAAGAACATATTCGCGGTGAAGGCAACCAATGACAAAACGTTGTAAAGAACCAACAGAGTGCCCGACCAGACTCCATCAATGATGGAGCGCAAACAGATCACGGTCAGACCGGCGATGTAGGTCAACAAGACGACATGGTTGAGGATATAGATGATTCGACCCAACGTGGTGACTCGCTGGTTGTGGTTGTGCTGGCGACGGCCGTTGAGGGTCTCTGCTTCTGTTGTATCGTCGGTCTCGACGTTGGAGTCTGAGAGTAGGGGGCGGTAGTAGGACCGGACACGGAGCACAAAGAAGTACCTATTTTCGAAACGGGTTTTCATCATTTATTAGTTCAGGAAAGAAAAACAAGTAGGCACGACGATAACGCGCGAACGGTTCGATCGTTTTAATTCGCTTACCGATATAATCCGGTGATGATTGTGAAAGAGAGGAGGCCGAGGGGGATGAGCAACTCTGCCTCGTGGTGGTCGTGGACCTTTGGCGGCTGTGTCACAGCGTCCATGATGGTTGTTCCTTGAAGCGCGGGTGGACGCGTGAAGCTGTGGTGATAGGAAAGTTAAGGGGGGGAAGGTGGAAGGTGAAGGAGGAAGGTCAAAAACCGTTAACGAAAAAAGAAAAAGAAGAGGTTTATTTTCTTTGAATGAAGAATGAATTGAAACGATGGAGACGGGTGAATAAGGGAAAGGATGAGGAATAGTGAGAAAGAAGGGAAAAGGATGGAGAGGGAGAAACGGCGGAGTAAAGAAGAAGAAAAGAAAAAGAAAAAAAGAATGCGAAAAACAACAGCAGGTGGACCTCCCTTTATGTATTTTTTTCTTCGGCAACACGCACGCATATGCACAAGAGAAAGACTCATTGCTCGGTCTTCGGAAAAATTCTGTTACGCGGTCTGACTATTCTGATTGGCTGCTGATTCAGCCGGATCCAGAGGTATCAGACAAATAAGAATATCCGCTTATGGAAATGTTCCCTTCTCTCCACCAGGTGTCAAAGCCTGCAATGCCAAGACTGATGTCCCTTTGACCTTTCTTTCTCGCAAGGGCCATGGAAAAACACTGTGCTTTTTTGTTGTTTGTCTTTTCGTACTCAGCTCCAATGGTCGTTGATGTAAACAACAGACAACAAATCAAAAAAGCCAGACGCCATGTCCAATTGTTTGTGTTCATTTGCTCTGCACCTTGTCCTTTCTTCCACGTCTGATACAGCGCTTCAACTATGAACCATGGTGCAGACCTTGAGCTAGAACAAAAAGAAGCCGTTGTGAGGACACACAACGGGCCGACTGCGGAGAAGAAAAAAAAACTAAATCATCTTTCCATGCGCAGCCACACCTTTCCACCTTGCTCTGTTTGGACCTACTAGCGATCTCGTGGGCTTTTACGCGTGTACAAAGGACAAATCGGGTGTGGTAGCGTGCCTGGAATACGATCGACATATCGTTAAGTGTCAATCTTCTTTGAGTTAAAGTGAGATATCATTTTGCGTGGAAAACCATGTATCATTAACCCGTGCTTTCCTATTTCAATGGCACCATCCCCCTTCCCTTTTCGCTCCCTTTACTTCTCTCCCATCCTCACACTGCTGCTGCTGCTGTCCTTTCTTTCAAATCAAAAATTACAGACGAATGAATGGAGATATTCCAATTCAAAATGCCCAAGAGATATGTTCGATCGATAGAGCAATGGAAGAGGCGATCCTCTTTCAACTGATAGAGCAAATGGAGGAGAGGAAAGGTAGGAGGGGTTGGAACAAGTATATCCACAAGTCCTTACGTTTTTTGTATTAAGATATCAATGTGTATTAGGGAGTAACTATGGTAGTACGATAATGATGATGGCAAATGGTAACAGTACATGCGCGCGTTTGGCGTGGCGAGGCGCTTAGAGTATTGCCTCATTTAGGCAACAAAGCGAAGAATCTTCTTCCAGACGGGTAACTTTTCCTCGTCCTGATCCTTCACCTCGACATGGTGAGAGGTGCCCTGGATAATGGTAGGGCGACCAGTGTCAAGATCGACTTCAAGAAGGGGGACAATCTTGGTCTTGTGATAGATCTTCCAAATGATGATCGAGAGGGAAAAGACGGGAGCGCCGACAAAGACGGCAACGACACCCTCGGCGCTAAAGGGATCGGCGGTGACGGCTTGGTATCCTTGCATGATGAGGATCATCAAGGCCAGCAGAATCGAGAGGTAACAGCTGTAAGGGAAGAAGGGGGCGAGGTAGGGGAGGTCCTTGATCGAGCGGCCCTGAGCCTTGAAGGCGGCGCGGAAGCGGAGATGAATGATCGAGATTGACAACCAGGTCAACAGAGCTGACATTCCAGTGAGGTTGACCAGCCAAGTGAAGACAACACCGGATCCGACAACATCGGCGATAAAGGCGATCGAGGCGGCCAAGGTCACAACGGCCAAGGCGTACAGGGGAACACCGCGACTGTTGACACGTCCAAAGATTGCGGGCATCTTGCCCTCACGTCCCATGGCCATCAAAGTACGGGTGGAGGCATAAAAGGCCGACTGTCCGGCCGACAAGACGGCGGTCAACAAGACGCCGTTAATAGCGTGATCGGCTCCAGGAAGATTGGCCATCTTGAAGATGATAGTAAAGGGGGCTATGGGAGCGGCCTCGCTGACACTGGCAAAAGTAGAGTTCAACAAGTTTTCATCCGTGTAGGGGAGGACCAATCCGATGACCATAATCGTGAGGATGTAGAAGAGCAAGATACGCCAGAAGGTATGACGGATAGCCCTGGGTACAGCCTTTCCTGGGTTGGCAGACTCTCCAGCGGTGATACCGACCAGCTCTGTGCCTCCGAAACTGAAGAATGCCCAGACGCAAGTAGAAAAGATATTGACGGTCTTGTCGCGGGCAGTCTCTCCAGCAATGGGTGCTCCTTCGATATGCCAGTTCTTGCCACCAATGAATCCATCGCCCACAGCGCCGACATCGACCAGGATTCCAACGATGATGAAGACAATACAGGTGAGGACCTTGATCATAGAGAACCAGTACTCGAGCTCTCCAAAGGCCTTGACACCCAGGAGCGTGATACCGACAAGGATGACAATAAAGACTAGCGCCGGAATCCACATCTGGAGGTTGGGCCACCAGTACTGAAGAATCATCCCTGCTGCTGTGACCTCGATGGTGACGGTAATGATCCATTGGAAAGCGTAGCCAATACCGAGACCGAAACCCAAAGCTGGGTCAACAAAACGAGCGCCGAATGTCGTGAATGCTCCTGGTAAGGGCAGGTATGCTGCCATCTCGCCGAGACTCGTGACGATAAAGAAGACCATCGTTCCTGAAAAGAGAGGGAAAAAATAAGGTTGGGTGTTAGAACTTTCGCACATGCATAATAAACAAAAGCGAGAGGTAGAACAAGATAGAAGTGGCTGACATACCGACAATGGTGTAGGAGATCAGGGCGCCGAGAGGACCGGCACCAGCGACAGAGCCTCCTGAGGACAAAAAGATACCGGTTCCGATGGTACCTCCGATGGCAATCATCTGCAAATGTCTAGACTTGAGGTCACGCTTGACTTCACCAAACTGCTCGTTCTCTGTTAGACCGCCCGACTGGTGGTGGTGGGGGTTGACCACCGAGTCTTCCTCATACTCGTGCTTCTCGCCGTAATCAGCCATGCTGAATGTGCGTATACGTGTGTGTCTGTCGGGAAGAGAGGGAGGGAGTGGGAAGAGAAGGTGGGAGAGTTGAGGGTGAGGGTAGAGGAAGAAGAGAAAAAGAAAGAAGGAGGAGTGCGGTGTTAAGGTAGTAACGGTTGCCCAGACGTCGAGGAGGAGGGAAGGAGGGAAGGAGGGAAGGAGGACGAGGGGTGAAGGGAAAAAAGGAAGGAAAAAAAAGACAAAAAAAAGGATGGGCATTGGTCGCTCCTTTTTATGCATCTGGATGGATGTGCGTGCCAAAGAAAAGAAAGAGGAAAAAGTACGTGATCACGATGCCCTATAAAAAGTTGGACCATTGGATTAGCACATAAAAAGAGTACTTCGATCGAGTACATGGAGAACAAAGAGATCGAGCCCCTTCATATTCTTTCGTCTTTTCTTTTGCGCTTATGCAGAGGTAAATGGTCCGAGGAAAAACGATTGCTGCTATTTTTCCCTTCTGCCTCTCTTCCTTGCCTCCAAGCGAGTGACGAGATTCTCATGCCACTTCGACCCCGCCTCCCTTGCCAACCCTTGTCCATACATCATTCTGAAAGGAGAATGTTTCCTTGTGCTCTCATAAGGTGGAATAGGCTGCTACTCCTCCATGGATCCAATTATTTTTCCACAAATGCTCCAACTTCACCCATCCAACAAAAAAGAAAAAAAAAAAGAGGTTCAGCTCCACTTACTCATCAAACAATACAAGCTGTAAGATACCTTCACACCCCGATGTGTGTCGATAGCTTGCTGGCTGAGGTGCAAAAAAAAGGTTCATAAAAAAGACGCCATTTGAACCAACGTTGTAGCCTTCCTTCCATTCCTCACCACCTCTAATATCCTCCATGTTTCTTCCAGGATTTCTTCCGACCCTTTTTTGTATATGGTTTATTTGCAACCACCTGTATGTTCAAATTCCCGTCTTCCCTCGTGTTTTTTTTTGTGTTTATCCTTACTTTCTCTTCCACAACGTTATTTCTGCGTTTGTTTGTTCCTTTTGTTTGTAGGGCTGGGCGAAAGTACGAACCACAACAAAGAAACTCGAAAATTGCCCGTGAAGTCATTACTCTTATTTCTCTCGTACTGGAGTCGATCGGGGAGAAAACAGGGGGACCTCACAATTGGTTCTTTTTTGTCCTTTTCCCTTTTCCTCGATGACTGACCTAACTATGTAGAGACCATCCATCATAGTTTTGCCATCTCTCTTATCTGAACTAGAAGAAGTAACCTTCACCCATTCCTTTGAGGTAAGGTTTATTACGGCCGTTGATACAAGAATTGACGCCATAAAGGGCTCTAATGCAATCCATTCGGTCATAAAATGAACGACCTTTTTGTCTGCATATCCTCCACCAATTCCCTATCTCACTCTCTCAAGAACCCCCCTCCCCACCCAAAAAAAAAGCAATCGCGCTGCTTGAAATTCCTCTTGGAGAGACCCTCCCTGCCTCACTCCGCCAAGGAACTTTCGATGAAGAGCAGCTGAGTAGCTCTTCTTCCTTCCTTGGACTTGTGATGTAGGTCCAAGAATCTTCCGTGTACATCTAAAGAAGGACAAAGTACCGATCATTTCCTGCAACTTGGTATACGAGGCGAAGGGGCAAAAATGACGACTAGGAGGAGGGAGGGGGGGGTCAAGCATTTTATATTTTCTCTGTTTTTACGCCCAAAGCACGTCTTGGAGTGGCTTCCCTTTGCACGGTCATTTTTGTTTGGCGGTGCTGAAGAGCGAAAAACGTGTATAAAAAAACAGCCCGGGCAAAAAACAAAGAAAAACGTCTGATGAATGCGTTTGTACCTCCAAGGAAGAAAAATAAAAATGCAAGATCGAGGGACCATACTGTGGCGTTGTGTTTTTGTCGTTTGCGACAGATGGCACATGGAGCAATACGTCTGCCAAGGGCCTCTGAGAAGGAGCTGCCTCGGTGCATTTTTCTGGTGGCGGAATACTGCCGTACTAATGCTTTCGTACAGGGTATACCACCCATATGTCGCCCCGTGACTGGACCTTACGGCTTCTCGAAGCGAAGGAGGGGGGCACGGAGCATTATCGCTTGGGACGGCGTCATCAAAGAAATCAGGAATGGGCTGAGCAGCGACAACCGAGGAGCTTAGGTCCGGCGCATGGGACTGGGTGCCAATGAGAAGAGTTGTCGTTGTACGGTATTCAGTCGAGGCGAACGCCGCGGCGTCTTCTGAGGCGTTTGTTGGGATGACTGATTGCCTGAACGTTTCTGCCCTCCGCTGACTTGAGATGTGAACGGGAATCGTTCTCTCACTCACGATTTTGTTCGAATTAAGAACATGTGGGTTAAGGGGTACTTAGCTAGTTATGAAAACGAAGGATGGTGCAACTTGCTTTTTCTGATTTATTTTACTGACTTTTGACTTTTGTTCTTCATACTGAACTGGAAGTCTACGGCAATACTCAGGTATACCATCGCCTTCCAGACGTGGGTGCGCCTCTGCGCACATCCACCAACAACCAGTCAGGATTCCGTTCAGATCCTTTCCTTTCTCCACGTTCTGCACCGCCAAGAGATGCACATAACCATCCAGAGCACACCCTGTCCACGGGTCCGCAAGACCTCCGCTATTGCAGCCCAACACCCGACCACAAGCCGACAGATCGTCTGACGGTGTAACAGTTCAGAACGGATCGATTTGCGGATCAAATTCCCATCGGCAGCAACAACATACGGGGTTTACTTCACTGTCAGCACTCCTCTTCTCGCCATCACCTCGATCAACACTACAATATGCGGACTCCTTGGAATTCTCCCAGTCGTTCCTCAGAGAACCCAGTCCTTTATGCTCTCGGTGCCATTTGGCTAATATAGATCCCCACTTTTATTACCCTTTGGTCCCCTTTTTCGTATTACTATCTGTAGAATTCAGAACATCCGCTTACTTTGCACTACCTTCGCGCTTCTCCTTCGCTCTATTTGGAACCACGAGATTTTTCTGGTTCTATTTTGGTAAGCGCCCTGAAGCCTTGTTTCAGTGCGCAAGTGCCTTGTTTCATTGTTAATAGCAATAGTTCCCCTTATTCATTAATGGATCTTCCACCCTCTGTTCTGTAGACTTATTCGCTCACTCGTCGTTTCCTTACCTTACGTCTCGGGCCTTTCCCTTGCGTACCTTTCTGGGTCCCAAGTCCTCCTGATCCTCACCAGGTACGGACTTAGATCCTTCTTTTCAACGGTTATATGCCTATAGTTTATAGTATCATAGTGGTTAGTTCTTGTTCGTTAACAGAAGTATTCTTCGTTATAGACCCACATCACGACACTGGGGACTCGAGACCGATCGGCCAAATGCAGGGACTCTACGCATTGGGGTTTTTGCTGGGTTCAGGTCCAGCAGGGCGTTTACTGTGGCACTCTCGGCTGCAGGAACCTCACTTCTTTTGTCACTGGCATGACATTGTAGGTGTTGACGCCGCGTCAAGTAGCTAATAGTCTGTAAGACAATCATAACCACGTTAGGAATTTTCCGTCTAGCTTTTATTTCGGGAACAAAGCGACCAAACTTGCAAAGACATCACATACCTGAGATACATAGACATCATCATCGTCCCCCTCCCCCTCCTCCTCCTCCTCCTCTCCATCAAATGCAGGCGGAGCATCCGTCCACAACCCTCCACCTTTGAGAAGCAGTTCCTGGGTGTTGAATTCCGCATCGAAGTTGTCATCGAGATCATTGTCATGAGGATCGTAATTGCCAGGAATTGTCATAATCCTAGACAGCAGAATGATGAAAAGGAAGGGAGTCTAAGGGGTTGATTCTTCGAGGATGGATGAGAGGGTGAGAGAGTAAAAACGATGATGAGAAAGAAAGTGATGTGGCAATGGGGAAAAAACAGTGGTGTGGTGTTTTATTACTTTCTTTGGAACAGTGTGTGCCGTTTGTCCTTCGGGTTTGTGCGGTATGTCCATTCGGTTTGTGCGGTTTCTCCTAGGGGTTCTTTTTCGGTTTGCGCGGTTTCTTTGAACAGCGAGAGCCCATTCTGCAAAACGCACAAGCGGATTTTAAACCGGCGCGCCAAGGTATTCAACAAAATCGCGCCCTTTGTGGACCAGCCCAGAGCCCTGTGCGATACCCTTTCTTTGAGGCCACGTCATGATTAGGCCAAACTACAGAAAAACCAGGGATTCGGATTCTAATTGCCGGAATTACGATTCAAGATTATTTGCAGGAAATCCTTTTAAAGTCTTGGTCAGCAACGATACAAACTACGGGATTCGGATTCCAATTGCCGGAATTACGATTCAAGATTATTTGCAGGAAATCCTTTTATAGAAAGTCTTGGTCAGCAACGAGTAAAATATCAGCCTCTTTGGGACTAAAAGGGTCCCCATCCAGGCGGAGAGAGTGTTATATCTGTGGTCTGACCCCAAATCAGGAACCTTGGTGTTCACGGTAGGAAGGCTGACGTAACGCAGCGTGGATGGTACTCAAGAGGTTAATTGCTACGGGTCAAACAATCAAGTCTTTTACACATTCGCAAACAGCTGATTTTCTTTCTTGCCACGCTGACCATGACCATTGTAGCTTAGATTGTCCCAGAGACTCAACGGCCTTCATCTCGGAATCCGTTACGTCGCCGAAATGAAGGGCTTCAGCCGTTCTGTGAAAAATTCAGTTTAGTGCTATTCATGGGCCGATAGACTGTCATTACATTTGTACTGTCAACCTACATCGCCGATCATTGTTCTCTGACTTTTATTCGAAGTTCCACTATAAATATTGAGCTGGATGAGCGAGGAGGGTCTCATTCATTATTCTTTCTTCTTTCATAACTCGGATTCCCTACCTCTGTTCACCATTTTTACATCCTGCTCCAAAATGACAACATCCGCACCTTCGCTTCCCGCAACTGCCAAGTCCTTACAATGGACCACGGTTGGTAAACCAGCCGATGTCCTCTCTCTCAACGAAGCGACACCTCTTCCTACGGTCACTGGTTCCAATGTCCTTGTCAAGGTCCATGCCGCTGCCGTAAATCCGGTTGATTGGAAACTCATGAAAGGAGGCGTTCCTCGCTTTCTTATGCCTTCCATCAAAGTGCCTGGGGTGGATATTGCTGGTACAGTTGTCGCCGTAGGTCCTAAGGCTGGCAAGAGAGTCCAGATTGGCGACCAAGTCATGGTCTTGTTGAGCCTTTTCCAATCGGGTGGTTTGGCAGAGTACACGCTTGTGGATGAATCTCTCGTGGCCAAGAAGCCAGAACGGTGGTCATTTGAACAAGCTGCCTCGATTCCCTTGGCGACAATGACCGCTTGGCAGGCATTGGTGGATTATGGACAGCTCAAGAAAGGAGACAAAGTCCTCATCAATGGCGCCAGTGGCGGTACAGGTAAGGAAGAGATCGGGTTGGCCATAAATCCAAGCATGATATTTCCCTTGTTGGATGACCACATGGCTAATGTCCCTTCTTGTCATCACCTCTCGTTCTGATAGGAACGGTTGCTGTGCAGCTAGCCAAGGCTCTAGGAGCATATGTCGTCGGTGTTTGTTCAGGCAGCAACGCTCAGATGGTCAAGGACCTTGGAGCGGATGAAATTGTTGACTACAGGACAACCGATGTCACAGAAAAGTTTACAAACCAAGACTTTGACATCGTCTTCGATGCAGCTACTACTGGAGACCAGGTATGTGTGATACTGACGGGATCCTATTGAATGCATCTGATCAAAGAGGGTGTAAGAATCCAACATTCTGACATGTCCAATGATTCTCTTGTAAATAGTTCTGGGCAAAGAGGCATACACTTATCAAGCCAAGTGGTAACCTGGTCCTGATTGTTCCAAAAGACAATGTTACAAACACGCCCTTCCATATGCTCTACGCGGGTGCCTGCGTCGCAAGCAAGAAGGCCACCACCTTTTTGCAAAGGGGCCCAGGATACCATCTTATCCTGACGGAACGAGATGGTGTAGAGCTGGAAGAAGCCGCCAAGGTCCTTGAATGCGCAAAAGCTGATCCAACCATCGACTCGGTTTACGAGTTTACACTTCCATCTGTACTCGCAGCTTTTGAGAAGAGTATATCTGGACGGGCGAAAGGAAAGATTATCGTCAAGATCCATTGAGGACGTTCTAATGACCCGTCACTTGATCCCGTAATAAGTAGCCGAGAGAACAGAATAGAAAATGAACACATCCTTATCAGTGTCGAATGTGATTACAACTCTTATTCAGCAAGTAAATTCCTTCTTGGGCACTCCAAGAATGTTCGGTTTGATGCTCGCAATGTGCTGCCACTTCTTGATGTCGTAAAATCGGGTTTCCACTCACATTTTTCGAGGATGTGTTCAGGTACATTCCCTGTGTTTTAATATCCAAGTAGCATCGAAACAAGGAAGTTAGCAGGGTCGGGCGGTTGTCACTCATAGTGTTGAGGAGCATCAAATGAAAGAGAGGGAAGGCTAAAAAAGTAGGGGTTGTAAAGAGAGTGAGAGTTTGAGAACGCGAGGGGCGAAAAGAAAACAAAAAGTGAATGGGAAAAAGGTCCGGGGTTAAAAGGAAAAGTAAGAAAGGATGAAAAGGCGTGAGAACAGTGGCAAAGGCGATTAAGGTGTGAAGATGGTGGCAAAAAGAAAGAGGCAGTGAGAAATAAACGGAAGGCAAAGCCGAAAAGAGAGTGTGGGAGCGATGGCAAACAATGGAGGTGAGGGAAAAAAGTAGAGATGTGGGAAGAGAGAGCGTGGGAGCGGTGGCAAAGGCAATGGAGGCGAGAAAAAGAAGAGAGTGGGGAGGGTGGCACAGCAAAGAGATGTGGGAAGAGTGCGCGCGGGAGAGACAGAAAGGGAGAGGCGCGGAGGGTGGTGGGTAAAGGGAGTTGGTAAGGGCAAAAAGGAGAGGTGATGAAGGAAGCAGCTAGAATCAAAGACAGTGGGAGCAAAAAATACACTACCCGTAGGCCTTAACTAACATGGCGCAATAAGAAAATAGAAAAAAGAAAGGCGAAGTTGTTCTTTCGAACAATCTCTACAACATATGGCTTAATCTCAGCAGATCGACGCAACAGAGCTTCTCTACTGCTTACAATACCACATTGCTTAAAAGTCGTCTGCAATGGATTTATCTCTTCCAGTGCTTGGAACAGTTTTGTACAGAAATATAACCTTAGCTGACCATACGAAGAATCCCGTCCATGCTGGTAACCTGGATAATGAGCCCTCTCAGAAGAGAAAGTAAACACGTCATCTCTTTACACTTTCCACGCTTAAACGCTTTTGGACTATTGAACGCTTTTCTTTGTGCTAGTCTCCCGTGAGCAAAAGACCAACAACAACCACGTTGAACGACCGTTTGGCGTCATATGCGGTATTTATTGCGGTATCAAGAGCGCATGTTGAGCACATCTCTGATCCAGTTATTGAACTCACACATCAGATGTGCCTGGTGCTGTCTAACCATCCAGTCCAGGATCAACGCGGGGAACTCTACTAAGAGCTTCAATCTCAGACCGTCCGACTCCTTTCTGATCTGGTGCCTCACACCGCCTATGAGAGTTCCACTCTTTGTACGGGCAACACCAAACAGCTGCACGTCGTAGGTTGGATCCATCTGAGAGCGTAGGCCCGTGGAATCACCATAACAGATGTAGAACTGGGTGGGGAATGGCGAGCCACCAGTTGTCTCAATCACCTCCTGGGTGGCCCCTCCTGTTTTTACAATCAAATAGTGGTCGGGACACGCCATGAGCCTCATCTTGCTATACTCCACGCCGTCGTTCAGCATGATGTGGTTCAGCTTGTCCAAAAACGCGCTGGGTTCGAGATCTACACCGCTTATGGCGACTTCCACAACACTGTACTTCCTTCTGCCAAACGACAGAAAGCTGGCAATCTTCATCACGAGCTGAGAGAGACCAAGAGAGAAGCCCAGCATCTTGCGAACATTGTCTTCGCCCACCTCGATCTTCAGCTCGGCCAAGCTGCGTTTCTTCTCATCCATGGTTTGCGCGCCAAGTGGCTGCTGCATGCCCAGTTGGCGGTAAACAAAGTTGGTCACATGGGCCAGTCGCTTCGCCTCCCATAGTCTGATTGTCTCATACGGGACTAGTTTCCCATTGACATACGTGTTGATCTGCGCCATCCCTAAGGACACAAGTTGTTGAAATAAGTTAGCATAAGTGTCGCTACTCTATCATAATCAGGAAAGTCCAGTAGTATAGTCACTTAACGAAACACAGTATTGACGAGCACTTACGAGTTGATAATCCAGCCAGTAAAGGATAATGAGAGTGAGGGAGAGACTTGTGGGCAAGGGAGACAGGTTGGGCCATAGGATTGTGTTAGTTTGAAGAGGAAAAGGTAGAAGTTGAGATTGCACTGGGGTGCATTTATACTATTTTGTGAAAGGTTTCGGGGAACACATAGGCATAAGATGACTCGTGTCAGAGCGGTAGCTTTTATGAACAACACTTAGCTAAAGTTGTGATCATCACTTCTAAAACCGACAGCATACTCGGATCAGCCGTGATGTTTCAGCTCCCGATACACTAACTCGAGCCGGATCTGGTTAAGCCTGGGCCATTAAAGACCCGGACCGAGTAAGTGGCTAAATTGACAGCCGATGTGACTGCGATCAAAGTAGGTGCTGCAAAATTGAGGCAAGTGACGGGCAGCAGTTAAGGGTATGGGCGCAAGACTCGTTCAGGCGCAGAGACTCGTTCGGGTTCGTGGCTCGTTCGGATTATCACTTGTTTTAAGCTTACGGTTCTTTTTTTTTATATCCAAAGACTTGTTCGGGGTCGAGAATCTCTCAGTCTGTGCCGCACACATCCACACACACACAAAAAGAGAGAAGATTCGGGTTAACGTTGGTAATTTTATTTTAATGCGTTGCCTACAGCTAAGTCATCCCCGCACGTTTTATTGTACACGCCTTTCGCGCGCACCACTCCATTTTTTTTCTTTTGGGCACACACACCCACCCACCTACATCCCCCACTGAGCTACACAAGTCTTTTCCTCACAGATGGAGACCCCTCAAGTTAATCAGAGATAGAAAGAAAAGAGAGTGATGTTGTTCTTTGGAACAAATCTATAGAACAATGGGCTTAATCTCAGCAGATCGTAGCAACAAGGCTACTCTACTGTTTACTATACCCCGTTCAGTTATAGTCGTCTGCAATGGACATATCTTGTGCTATATTTGAAATTAACATTAGCAGGGACCTCACAAAGCTTTTCCGCTCTGCAAGATCATCCTATGTTCGTAAGACTCAAGACCGTGGGTCTATTCGTATTCAACTAAAAATGGCACAAGGCGGTAATCGTCGCGTTCTAGCACGGGTTCTGACTTAGAGGCGTTCAGCCATAACCCAACGGATGATAGATTCGGGCCATTGCCTACCCAGGCAGGCCCAAATACCAATTATCCGAATGAACGGTTCCTCTCGTACTAAGTTCAATTACTATTGCAACAACATTTCATCAGTAGGGTAAACCTAACCTGTCTCACGACGGTCTAAACCCAGCTCACATTCCCTATTAGTGGGTGAACAATCCAACGCTTACTGAATTCTGCTTCAGTATGAAAGAAAGAGCCGGCATCGAAGGATCAAAAAGCAACGTCGCTATGAACGCTTGGCTGCCACAAGCCAGTTAATATCCCTATGTTAATTTTGCTGTCACCTTCTGAAATTTCCGCAGTCGATAACACCCCTAAAAAAATCTAGCTATAAATTTAGACAGGCCCCTGCTTTGCCATCTCCGCAGCACCTTTTGAGTCGACAAAATGATATTAACCACTCACCGTGCACATTCGGTTTCATGCACTGCCAGTTGGCAGGATGGCGCAGCTCTTTCTTTCACTTCTCTTTCATGGCTCTCCCAGGGAAGGGCAAAGGCCCGCCAAGAAGCGACCGCTTGTTATTGCGAAAAAGACACACCAAGGAGCAGCAGAAATATAAAGAGGGCCTCACTCCCCAGAATTTCTCTCCTGTTCCCTCATCACACAATCTTTACTCTCACAAGTCTCACAAGTGACACCTTCCTCTCCCTGTCTTCCATTCTCTCGCTCGCCCCCAATATGTTCCTCTTTAACAAGTCCTCCTCGGCAAATGTTCCCCCTCCTGCCGGCAGCCAACCTCTTCGGGGTCTCAATCGCGCCAACGACCACACGTTTCAGGCACTCAAGGCAACCTACCTCGCCGAGTTTGACTTCCAGGGTGTCCAAGTGACGGCGACACCTCTCTTCTCCAGCGTCCTTCGCGGTCTCCAAACGCAACTCCCTGTACTCTTCGAGATCAAGGTCGGCCAGAGGTCCAATGTGGACACTGACTTGAGTCAGACTCCCTTCAACATTTGCTTGGTCCTCGACAACTCCGGTTCCATGAATGGAGGCCGCCTCGAAGGATGTAAGAAGGCTATTAATGCCATCATCCAACAACTCACTCCCAACGACACCCTCAGCCTCGTGACCTACAGTTCGACCGCCAAGACCGTCTTTGTCGATTGTAATCATACCCACAAGAAACATATGCTCGACTCCGTCGCCAATATCAGGACTGAGGGAGCGACTAACCTTCATGATGGTCTGAAGGTCGGAGTCGATTCCTTAAAACAGAGCATCCAGAAAGAATTGTCGGTGCAGCAACAACAGCAACAAGGGCAGGAAAAGTCCAAGAAGCCACAAGAGAAGGCCCATCGCGTGTTCCTGTTTTCGGACGGGTTGGTAAATGTGGGCATCACCTCACCGGAAGCGATTATGTCCCATGTCAAAAACTGGCTTATCGGTACCGATATTTCGATCTCAACCTTCGGGATCGGAGATGGCTACGACGAAAAGCTCATGTCGGCCATCGCTGAACAAGCCAACGGTGATCCCTTCTTCATTGAAACCGAGACCGATATCGAGGACCTAGTCTCCAAGGGCCTACGTGGAGTTTCCAATATGGTTGCCGCCGCTGCCACCTTGAAGATTCGCGGTTTGGGTGACGCAGTCGTCAAGGATATCCCCGGATATGATCTGACCGAAACACCCGGTCAAATCACGGTCCGGAACTTGAGGGTCAACGGGCTCATCCAGTTCGTAGTCAACCTTGACGTGCGAGTCCCCGGGCTTGAAGATTTTTCCGAGAACGATATGGAGGATGTGGAGGATTTACGAAAGATTCTTGGATATGCTCTCACTTTGGAAGGCGAGCTAAACTTTGTGGATCCAGCCGAGTGCAAGGGAATGAGCGGCACGGTGTCTGTCAACTACACAACCGACAGTTCCTTGGTTTCGGACGACAAGAAGAACAATGACGTCGTCGCCTACCTGACTATTCAAGAGGCATCGAAGATTGACGAGCAAGTTATGGATCATCTGGCCAACAACAGGACCACCGAAGCATTGCAGGCCAAAAAGAAGGTTATCTCCATGTATAGCGCCATTGCCCCGATTGACCGCCGGGGATTCGCCCAGGTGATGCAGCAGCAGTCCGAGCGCTTGGTTCAAAATCTGGAATCCGGTGGTAACACCAGGTTTGCACAGATGTCCGCTCAGCAGCAGCAGCAGCAAGGCACGCATAGTGACAAGGGCTGGAGTATCTACGAGTAACAAAAAAATGTAAAGGTACCCTGGGGGACCAACAACTCGTATGTTTATCTTTGATATTGTAAATAAACCGAATCTCGTGCTTCTCTTGTCATTATTCAACTCCACCTCTGTTGATGTGCAACAGTTGGACCCCCTGGAAAATAATAACCAGGGGTTGTTATTGACAAGATAATAGGGAAGATGGAATAACGAAACAAAGAGAGGGATCTGTTTAATTCAGCAACGAAGAGTCCTTATGAACTCTTCGTCCCCTATATACACGTGATTATAGCTCAGAACCTTCCTTCGGGGAGGAGGCTGAAAGCCGGGTCTAATGCTAGAGCTAGAAGTAGTGTGTCTTATGCTAGTAAGGAAGTAGGCTATTACTAACAGACAAAACGACGTGGAGATGGGGTGCTAAGATCTAATCGAAAAGAGCTGTCGTTTTATGTTGAGGAAAAATAAGAAAACCTCAAATGATAAGAAGGGGTGTAAGGAAAATAATAATAAAGCCTTTGAAGGGTAAGGCCCTGGAGAGCGAGTTGTGGAGAAAAAATAACCACTGGTGGATGTATGTAAATGTTTGAGGATAAAAAATAAAAAACTTCGAATGATATCTTAAGAACGTGAGGAAAAATGAAGAAAAAACCTCAATGTAAAATAGATTGTAAGAGGAAAGCGAGAAAACCTCTTGCTGATGTAATGTTATGGCGAGGAAAAAGGTTGTGACGCCAATAAAAAACCTCAAACAAAACGTCAATACGTTTTCTTGTTCATACAAAACGGTAGTTCGTCTTATATTTTCCATCGGTGGAAGTGTTCAGTCATCATTCCTTCCCGATGCGAGGACGAGTTGTACGTCTCAACTCATTATTTTCAGGTTGACTGGGCCGTGTGAGCTTGTTGCGATTAAGGTTGGATTGACCTTTTTTGTGTGTGAACTTGTTCTTCTTTTTAATCGAGCGATTATAGCTACCTGTCTCGCTCATTTGCTCGTCGGAAGTAAGCGTTGGCTCATCCGTTTGCGATGAATGACGAGAGTGCGGACGAGGATCCTCGTTGCAGGGTGGGTGATCGGCCCAGTAGTCCGTAACGCATTTCCTCTCAACAAAGTATTCTTCTGGTTCCCAGGTGTTGTCGTTGTCAAAATAATTTTTCCACTTGACGAAATACTCCCATGTCCCTTCCGTTGTGCGACGAGCATCGAGAATCTTCTCGACTTCGTACGTGAGAAAAGAGTCTGGGTCTTCATATACAAGTTTGAGTTGCGAGGGGGCATATTTGCGACCAAGAGTAGAGCCAGTGCCATCTTTGAGGATGTATGCACCGCCCTTGTTTTTACGAACAACAGTAAACGGTCCTTCATATCTAGGAGAGAGGGAGTCTCCTTTGATAGGATCAACCGCCATAACTGTGGAGCCATCAGGAAACTCGCTGTGCAGAATTGTTCTATTGAACCTCTCAATCATTTTCCGCTGATTAGATTTTGCCTTATCTTCAATTGCGGGGAACACGATCGTAGTCATAAAATCGAGTCACTTTAGCAAGTCTTCTTGGGAAATGACCTTATTTTGTGGGTCGGTGTAATTGTAGTGTCCGTTTTCCTTGCGTACAAAGAAAAGAGAGTAAGGTGTAGAACCATGCAAACTCGCAATATTTGCATTAAGGGCAAATTATGCCATGGGAACATGACGATCCCATTCGTGTGGTCTGCCATTGGTCTCCTTTCGAAGAATTTCTTTGGCCGCTTTAACCCGGTTCTCAGCTAGTCCATTGCCTCGTGGATGATATGGTGTGACGAGACGATGATGAATACCCAATTGTTCTGTCATTATTTTTGTAACCTGGTTGGAGAATCCTTTGCCATTATCTGACTGCAGAATTCTGGGGAATCCAATCAGAGTAGAGGTGTCAAAGAGAGTAGTTGCAACAGTAACTGCAGTCTTGTCAGGTATAGCTCTCAAACTAACGAAGCGGGTGCAAGCGTCTGTCAGGACGAGAGAAAATCTATTATTCTTTGAGGACGGATGGAAGTCACCAGCGAGGTCTACAGTCATATGCTCGCCTGGTAAGTGTGCATGAGTAGCCTTGAGGGGATGGTACCCTTTATTTATAGTGTCCATTCTTCTTTCTTTGTTCCCGATTCCTGTCCCTCCTTTTGCCATGTGTGAGCCCCCACTCGTCAAAATAACATTACATGTACAGAGATTTTTATTACTCGTTCGATGTGTCACGAAGAAAGGATGTATGTTTTGTCCATCCCACTCCTTCCATCGTTGTTCAACAGCCGGTGTGCTGGTTCTGAGGGCTGCACATGCAGCCTTTGGTATTTTTATTACTTGTTCATGAAAGAGGTAACTAAACTATGGTGAGAAGGAGAGGAAGGGAGAGAAAACGGAAGAGGGCACAAAGGGAGAGAAGGGGAAAAAAAGAGGAGCCACACCTACAGATCATAAGTCGTCATCCGATTGAGGAAGGGGCATACATGTAGCCTCAATAAAATCAGTCTCATACTCCCTAAGCAACGCCGCATCCACCGTAACCTCAGCCGGAGCTAACGCAGGCATCTTCACAAACACCAAATCTTCTCTTCCCACCAACTTTCTCGCAAGCCACAAGAAGGGCTTCTCGTAATTGTAATTGGACTTTGCCGAGATTTCATAGTACTGGAGATCCTTCTTGCGGTGGAAATCAATTGCTTTGGGCTTGACTTTGCGTTCTTTGATATCGACTTTGTTGCCACAGAGAACGATTGGGATGGAGCTACAGATGCGAGTGAGGTCTCGGTACCAGTTTGCGACGTTTTTGTAGGAGATTCGGGAAGTTACGTCGAACATTATGATGGCACATTGGCCGTTGATGCTATAAGTAATGAACAAAATAATAAAATATCATTTGTGTCACAAACAAACGGAAAAAAGAGGGAAAGAGGGAATGAAGGAGGATGTTGTTGAGTTGCCGAAATGAATGCGATATTGTACCTCCAAATATTGCTGTTTGCCAAGGACTCGAGAAAAGGGTGATGCTGAACAAATGTCAAAAAGATAACGGTGTACTTACTAATAGCTATCTCGGAGACCACAATATCTCACTTGACCCACTATAACAATAATATGAGCTCTTCAATGTTAGGATTCTCACTATCCAAAATAACCTTTCTCTCTCTCTCTCTCTCTTTGATAGCAATTATTCCAAGGACCATGCTCCACACCATGATGTTTACCTGTGTCCCAAGTTTCAAATAGGATGGTGCCGTAGTTGGTGTAAAACTCCAATGGGTGGACCTCAACACCAATAGTTGCTACGAGTCAAACAAAATATAAATATTAGTATAAGTAGTCGAATAAATGAACGCCTTTGACTGGGGACGAGTTGGTTTATCATACTCACCAAGGTACTTCTTTTCGAAATCGCCTGTGAGATGGCGCTTGATGAAGGTTGTTTTCCCTGTGCCGCCGTCGCCGACTAACAAAAAAAAAAAAGGACGACACAATAATAATGGATGAATGGTGAGGACCAGGATGGCAGGTTGGACAGAGTTAAACAAACCAATGAAAATGAGACGTACTGACGACGAGCTTGAAGGTGGGAATGCTATGTGTTGTCATTGTTTTGTTCAATAAGAGGGTAAGAAAAAAGAAAAGACAGAGAACCTTCATCTGTGATAGGGTTACAATCATTCTTTTTATTGGCGAAATGTGGGAGGCGCATCCTTTTCTTTTCGTGCTTTGTAATCTGGAGGCTGAGCAGTGTGGCTTAGCCAGTGAGGCGAAGCAGATAGATCTTGCAGAACAACCGTGATATGGAAGTCTCTATTTTGGGGCATCTACAAGTTTCGGGGCCTACCAAAACATACAACGAAAAGTATAGAAACAAGCGTGTGAGCACAGGAATCGTTTTCATATCGGTACATGCAGAAGAACTACAGAGCACTACTGCTGTGGCTAGAATGTTTTTTACCGGAACGTCTGACGCTCCATAGATAGACGCAATTCTAGGGATTAAGGCCATGTAGAGCATCATCTCGTTCCACGAGCAAGCCTTCGCCGGGTCCAAGCAAGCACTCCAGAGCTGAGCCTTGTAGTGGACTACATCCCACATCAACGAGACTAGACAGCTCTGACCAGCTGGATCAGCGGTGGCGTAGTCGAAGCTCGTCTCATAAACTTTGACACCGTACATCACTTTTTCTAGTGTGGCGTACTGTTTGGGACTAAGGGATGCGCAGTTCTGGACAGTGGGGATGGCCGTTTTGATGCAGCTGTAGCAGCCTGGCGATTGGGCGATAACAAAGGATGATGTGAAGCATAACCAGGTTAGGAAGCCAAGAATGGCATTCACGACGACCATGTGACTAAAGGTCGAACGCATTGGTGATAGCGCTGTGATGTCGATGGTATCGATATAGGGTGAATCTGAAAATATGTGTATGTTGAGAGAGTACAATGACCACAGCGGTGGAGTGAAGAGTGGAGGGTGGATGAGGAGAAGGAAGTGGAGGAGGAGGAATAATTGACCCAATAACGATTTCCGTCCGCACCTCCGTTCGGCCAAGATCAAGAGGAAAAAAATATTCAGTCTGAATTGAAATGTAGAGTGAATGGGTAGATCGATTTATTCGAGGGTAACAAAGTAGCGCATGTATTAAGAAAGAACCTTGCCGAGACGGATACCGATCATGATGCGCTCAGCCATGTTCCGGTCCTTCCTGCCCACAAGACTAGTTGCCCGCCCACCACGGCCTCCTCGGGCTGTACGGCCAACGCGATGAAGGTAGTCAACAATCGTCACTGGAAAATCATACAGCACCACATGTTGAACAGCTGTCGTGTCAACACCTCGCGATGCAATGTCCGTCGAAATCAGAATCTTGCCACCGACTGTGGCAGTAGACTTTTGACCGGCGGGGGTTGGGGGTATGTAATCGTCATCGGTGAACTGGCGCAGAATCTCGTCTCGGTTGGTAGCATCGCCATGAAGCACGCCCAGGACACCATGAACCTTGTTCGTCTTCAAGTGTTCGTGCAAGATCTCGCACGAATGCTTGGTGTTGCAAAAAATCAGCGTGTTCTCTTTCCGCCGCCTGCCGCCCGGTACCGCCGCTTGAATCTGTTGCTGCTTGGCCAAAATATCCAAAATGGCCTTGGGTCGGTTCCCAAAGTATGGCTTCAAGTCCAAGAAGGTTTGGTGCAAGCCAGGGAGCGACTTGTGCAATGACGGCGTCGTGATCTTGAGCAACCCTGGCAAAATCTCGTCGAGGGTGTCAGAAACCTTCTTGGGCAAGGTGGCAGACACGACAGTGATCTTGGCTGGACCTTCTGTTTTGGAGACGACAGCCTTGGCCTTCTGAACAATCTTGGTCACCTCGGTCCCGAATCCGCGATCAAACATCGAGTCCGCCTCGTCAATGACAAGATACCTCAGCGACGCCAAAGAGAGTCGATTTTCCTCCAGCATATTGGCGCTTCCTCTGAACTTCCTTTCATCCTCATCTCGCTGACTAGCCTCTCTCCCACTTGACCGAGCATGATCCCTTGGCAAGTAGTCCAACAGACTGGTAGGCGTAGCAACAACAATGTCCACAGGTCCCGACGCCAATCTCTGGAAAACACTCTTAGGCGACATGGCATGCGACAGAGTAAGGGTCCTCGACTTGACTGTGTGTGAGAGGTCTTTGAGGATCCCCGACACCTGAGCCACCAGCTCACGCGAGGGAAGAAGAATTATGGCGCGTGGTTGATTGTACTGTCGAATCGTGTTGAGTGCGCGAACTTTGCTGCCTTCCTGGTCGATGCCTCCCTCATCCTGAAATGCCTTCACCGCGTTGTCCTCCTGTGTCTTGAGGTCGTGGAGGACAGGAAGCAGATAAGCCAGAGTTTTTCCTGATCCAGTTTCGGCTGCACAAAGGGTGTAGGGTGATTTTTTATGGGGGTCGATCGAGGCAGGGATCGACATTGCCTGGATCTCTGTGGGCTTGATACCGGTTAGATCCAGTTCCAATGCTGGCGATGCGGTTGGTCGGGACCCTCCTGCGGCCTTTGCCAAAAGTTCCAAGACTCCCTTCTCGACATCGGGATGGAGACCCATGCTTTCGAATCGACTGTTAGCAACTTGCTGCATCATGTCCTTTACCGTCCCCTGGGTCTGCGCAAATACTGGCCCCTCTCCTTCAACGGCCGATCCTGATTCGGACTGAGCATACATGGCGTACTTTGATGCAGCAATTTTTCGTGTCGAGATTAGGTTCAGGTTGACATCCGATGCGATGGGTTTCAATGCGAAGCGCACAGGAACGAATCCGCGAATTTTGGGTCCTGATTTCCTCCTGGCTCCTGCCTCGATCAGCGTCCTCTCAGCGGCAGCGGCCTTGTCACGTCCTGTATTTCCTGTCTTGAGGGGTGCACCACGGGCAGCTTTGGCACGATAGGATGATGCGAATCCTGGTGCGAACGAATGCTCGAACTGAGGGTTTCTGGATCCCTTTTCGAGCGAGGTGACAGAGATTGAGGTTGACATGACTCGCTTCCGAGGCGCAGGTTTGGTGAACGCCGTTGATTTGCTGACGCTGTCTGCCGTTTTCCATTGACGTGCTTGGGATTTAGCGACTTGATCAGCCGATGGAGACTTTCCGCTAAATCGGGCCTTGTGAGCAGCATTTCCTGAGGTTGCGGGGATGCTGCGGGAAGCCTTCAATTTTTGTTCCTTGATGACACGCTGCTTTGGTCGAGGAGTGCGGTTGGCGTAGATGGCAGATACTCCGGTGGTTGAGAAGGGCTGTCGGGGGATTGAAGGTGATAGGGACCATCTGGATGCCGTTAACGGTGCGTTGGAGCTGCGGGATAAGACTGATGAAGACCGGGTCGTGGAGAGGGCATGGATAGACGGTATCCTAGGAAGCCACGTGGTGGAGGTCTTTAGAAGCGAGTGCAGTGCTAAATGTGTTGCAGGCAAAGGATTGTGTAGAAAGAGTTAGTAATCGGGTGAGTGAGGAAGAAAATGAAAGCAGACTAAAATAAGGAGCAAGAAAGAAAGAGAAGCAGTGGTGGGTGCCTAATGGCCAAGAGAATGACCAGGGGTTCTGTGTGCTGTCAACTGTACCTGACATTGTTGCTGCTGCTGTTCTTGCTACTGCTACTGTTGCTGCTGCTGTTGCTGTTGGTGTGGATGGGTGCAGTTGATGTAGAACAAGAGAGAAGGGCACATGGGCTTGCTCAAGACAAGTAAAGTAGGTCTGGAAAAATAACAACAACAACACGCAGTCACTTTATCCACTCGAAATGGTGATTTTTATTCATACGAGGGTGCCAATATACTTTGAGCGGGGGTATTGTTGCACAAGGCCAGGCCATTGCACCAGGAACGCGTCGCATAGAGGGTACAGCAGCCTGCCCGCAAGACTCAACGTCTTCACCCGCGCAAAGCTCTCCACAAACACCAGATCGGGTGTCTGATCATCCGGAACCCCTGCCATCCGCGTCCCAATCACCGCCAGCGCCAGTGCCAGACACGTCCCCGGCCCGTTCATCAAAAGAACACTTCTTCGGGGTCGACCTGCTGCGTCGGTCGACTGCGCCTTTCCAGCTCCAGTATTGGAATGAGCTTCAGACTTTGTCAGACAAGTCAATCTCTTGATCAGAGGCATTGCTACCAATAACGACTTTACTAGTGTGAACGGTGTCGTCAGCATCGACTGGTGGACATGACGACTCCTGGGGATCCGATGGACCGTATAAGCCAACTCACTGCGGTTAGACTTGATATCGGAGATCAAGCGATTTGTAGTGATTCCTGCTCCCGCTTCCGTTCCAGTCCCAGCTCCAGATCGAGATCTAGCTCCCTTTTCCTCAGTCCTCGTCACACTCTTGGCGGCGAGCAATGTTTCCAGCCTGTGAACCTTTTCAACACTCGAGCTGTCGTCGCAGCCAACGACGTAATGGCGCGGGGTATAGTGAGCGCAGTCAAGTCCAGAGACTAGCTGGAGCATCTCGGCTGTATGGCCGCCTGAACCCAAGAATATGGTGGTGGTGCAGGCCAGCGGCCTGGTGGTGGATTCCGATGAGGTTGTATGTCGAGGTCTGTTCTGGGGCAAGGATGACCAGAGCCGGCTGGCAAGTATAAGGGTGAGAGGGATGCCGATAAGCGCGAGAGTGATGGCCGTTGCCAACGCAAGGTTGCCGGCAAGATGTTGGTCCATTGTCGAAGGATGACGGCGAGAAGAGGACAAGGACAGAGGTGGAGAGGAGAAAGGTGAGAGTGTGAACGTTTTGTCACGTGCACCTTGAGCATTCCTTTCGCTCAGAGGGGTTACACGTGGAGCAGTATCTGAGAGACAGCTTGCGGCCGTTCAGTATGCAGAGTTCTTTGCTTTCTCGGATTTCCCATCGTCGCTATTAGAGCACTTACAAGACCCGCATCTAGATAAAGACCCGCGGTGCTGTTGATATCTCTTTCTCTTTCTCTCTCTTTCTCTCTCTTTCTCTCTCTTTCTCTCTCTCTCTCTCTCTATCTTTCCTAGTCCTCCCTTCACCCTACAATATTATCTCTTCATCTTCATCATCCAGCGATCAATGACTCTTGCACCTCTGCAAATGTCCCCACCGACTTCTCAAGATGACCTTTCAAAGACAAGGACACTAACAATAACCACATCAATAATAACAATGACAATGTCAAAACCTGCCACAATAACATTAGCCCAGCTATGTCTTCTTCCACAGCAGCGTTAATGAAACTCGAAAGCGGCAATTGGGGACCCATTTCGGTACAAGCAGGTCGCAGGTCTCCCAGTTACAGCGGACCGACCAACGTTTGACCCCCTTGAACAAAGTGTCTATTACCGGTTAACCAAGGAGCTTAAAAAAGCATAAAAAGCGTAACAAATGCGATTAAAACTGAGCTGACCTTAGAGTTCAAAAGGAGAACTAAAAATCAGGGACCAAAGCGGACCTTCATCTTTTTTTTTTTTTTTTTTCCCTTTGCCACTCCTTGTTATTGTGAGCAATTGCAAAGCAGTGGCAACGCTAAACCGCCTCTTTTGGGAAAAAGGTGTCCTGTACGTACTTTCTTTGACAAGTGGTAGTGAGAGAGGTGTGTGAGAGAGGTGTGTGAGAGAGGTGTGTGAGAGAGGTGTGTGAAAGAGGTGTGTGAAAGAGAAGTGTGAGAGAGAGAGAGAGTAAAAAAATAAACAATAAAAAAAAAAAAGGAGCTAAAGAGTCGACTCGTCTATCTCTCCCTCCTCCTGAAAAGGCATGCATGTCATCCTGTCCTCCCTCTTTGCTCTTCTCCTTCGTATGACAAACAGTTGGACCCTCTTCATCTTTTGATTCTTGGCCGCGCAGTGTCACACACCGCAGTTTAAAGTACAGAATGGATTTTTTATGTATGATATTACTATTACGGTCGGCTAGATAGTGTGAGAGTATGATAGATATACTAGAGAGAGTAGATGACTTGAAGAAGGAAGGGAAAGACACTACTCTGGACTGTTGGCCGTCCTACTTTACTTTGGGGGAGCATAGGAAGAGGCCTCGCCCTGAGGAACAGGGTAAGGAGCAGGAGCGGCATTGCCCACAAATTGGGGCTGGCCAGCGTTGGGAGGAGTGTAAGGGGCAGAGTAGGCTGTGGCAGGAGTGGCTACAGAGTAAGGAGCGGGAGAGTAAGGCGCAGAATAAGCAGGGCCGCCAGCTGGTGGGTAAGGCGAGTAGGCAGCTGGGGGAGCATCATAAGGCTTCTCGGGGTATGGGGAACCAGTGGGGGGGGCATAAGTTCCAGGGGTGGCATAAGTTCCAGGGGCGGCATATCCAACGGGGGCGGGGCTACCGGCGGGGGGAACGTAGGCACCAGGGGTCTGATAAGCCATATTGGGGTCGCCTGCAGGGGGGGCATAGTTTTGGGGGGGAGGGTAGGCCGAGTACTGGTTCTGGGGAACAACGGCGATAGTCTCGACGACGGGCTGGGAAGCCATGGCGGCTGCGTTCCTGCGGCGACGGATACAGGTGGCGATGGTGAGGATGAAGAGGAAAACGACGACGGCGACGATCCAGTACCAGTTAAAGTTCTTTTTGCAGAGTCCGTTTCCGATGCAGTGGGATCCGTCGGCACAGTAGGTGGTGCCGGTGCACCAGTCGACGCGCTTCTGGAGGTGGACGATGGAGCGCTTAGAGAGGTGGGTGTCGATGGTAGAGAGGGATGAGACGACGACGACGTCGTTGCCGGCAGAGAGGTACCTGCGGATGGTGTCGAGGGCGTTGGTCATTACGGGAGGGTGTGAGGAGGGTGGCAGTGAAGAAAAGAAAGGAGAGGGAGAAAAAAAGGAGGGAAGAGGGAAGAGTGAAGAGCGGCGTGTGTTCAGGAACAAGAAACATGGGCCTGGACCTGACATGACCCTTAATAGTCGATTATAATTTCTCATTGGATTATTTATTTATCTTTGGTGGCAAAGAGGAACGCCCGCCACTGGTCAGGATGCCATCTATGCCCAGGTAGATAGATACCTGTTTCTTGTTCCCTTGCGCTTCTTCTTGGCGTAGACTTAGTTGGGCTCCGTCTTGACATTCCGCAACGAGTTGTTCGACGAGACAAGGCCAAGGTAATCCGACACCGTCGTCGCACAGTCGAGCTCATCCACATAGCTTGCAAACATCCGGTCGTAGATCAGCGCAGACTCTTGCGTCTACTCTCATTCATATTTATATTGATAAATGAAAAAAGTGCATAAATAAACAGAAGTCAACAAAAACAAAAGTAATATGCATAGGACAGATCAACAAAAACGAGCGAGTGTCTTACCTCGGCATCAAAGTAGTCCAGTTTGGTCCAGTTCTCTTCTTCGGCCAAGCGCGCCTTGTTAGGCCCACTGGTTCGCCTTGCCTCCGAATCAGCCGCACTCCTCACTTGCACCTATCCAATAACAACAGCAAGCAAGCACATAATTGAGTACACTTTCCACCCAGTCTGCTCTTTGACGCATTCAATAACGCTCACAATACAACTGTGAAATCAATCGGGCTGATTCGTGAGGGTTACCTGCAATGCTCTGGCCTTTTGCTCCTGCTCGGCCTTTTGCTTCGCCAGCAACTCCTTGTTCTCCTCATCACTGATCTTCTTCGAAGCCTGCTTCTTTTTCTCGTCAATCTTATCCAGGTACTTAAAACTTGGCCGAAGCTGGACTGCTCCGTGAATGGGCGTCAAGTGCATCTCGTCTAAACGGTAAAATCACAGCCATGAGTGGCAGAGAGGAGAGAGCACGGTCAGTATGTAACGCAACACCCTTGACATCAGAATACCAATTCCTACATACGCGTTACTTGACAGGACAAAATCCTTTACCGTTTCGCAAGACTCCTGCCAAGTAATTTGTAGCGTTAGGGATGAGGGATGACACAAGAGTCTGCTTGTCGAGCAATTCCCGCTTTTCGTCATCGTCAGGCTCATCATCCAAGGCTGTCCTCAACGCTTTGTCATTCATTCCCATTGCGAGCTCCTCTCCGCGCTCCTTGTTGTACTGGCTGGCGTTGGTATCGACAGGAAGTTCCAGTTCGATCAGCTGCGACAAGGGCTTAATCCTGGCCTTGCTTGGTCCAGAACCTTCACTGTATGGCAGAGCAGCTGCACGAACGGGATACTGAAAGAGATAAAGGTACTTGGCAAGGCGCTGCGATAGGTACACTGGGATCTCCTTGACCAACTCGTCGCCTTCGTCAGCATAGTCGGGCAATCTTTCGCCTTCGGGCTCCACGGAAAAGTCCTGATCTTGGTATTGATCTGCAGAACTGTCTAAAGAGTCATTATCTGCCGATCCCTCCAATCCCTCCATAGCTGGCAAAAAATCTTCCTGTGCTAGGGATTCGTCTGTGCTTTTGGAGTCAGGGGTAGGCTCTGCTGTGTTGGCCTGCTCTGCCACGGTATCCTTCTTGGTCTTTGACGCGGAGCTGACGGCCACGACCTGTGGTGCATCCTGACGGCCCTCCCTCTTGACGACCTTGTCCCTGTTTAAGCGTTCCTCTTCCAAGCGTTCCTGCTCCTGTAAGTCGTCTTCCATCACATCACCCTCGTCTGCAACGCCGTCATCCTGCATATTCACATCTTGGTCTCCCGAGCCTTCCTCCTCGACGATAACCCGCTTGCGAATACGTGCTGTGGCCGTGATCTTTGGTTTGATTGAGATTTTTGGTGGCATGTCGACTTTTTGAGCGAACGAATGGCGTGGGTGTAAGTTTGGAAAAGGGTCCTATTGTCCAAGTGGTTGTTTGGTTTCCTTGCGGTGGATGGCGGTGGGTGGAACAGAGGTGAGGAGGCGAAGCACCAATGCAACGAATATGTGTTCTTGCTCAAGGCGGCAAAGCCACATTTCAAAACATCCTGCTAGCCTTATTCATAATACCCAAACTGTTTCTTCATCGTCTCTGACAGGCCTGCGCAACACCGACGCACACACAGTAGAGCAGACAGCAAACATGGACCCCTACAACGGTAGGCATCGCCTTGGCCGCCACCCTGGCCAACACTCGATTCGCATCCTGTCTCTTGAATGCCCAGCTGGACTCAAAGCTGACATAAACTGACCTCTCTTGAAAAAAAAAAATGCGCGTCTGCGTCACGTTCTCGTTGACTCGCGTTGCCAGATAGCGACCCTGCCTACGCAGCTACTCCATTGGAGTCTAGCACCGCCATCCCTACGTTTTACAACTGCCCGAAGGTTCGCTTCCAGCAGACTGGGGGAAACAGAGGTGGGCCAAACCACGCACCAGGACCAGGCGGTCACAACAATCAGCGACCCCCTTTCCAATTTGATGCGCACCATTCACAAGGACCGCTGAGGTACGACCCCAACCATGGTCTCCAGCCTCAAGCATACCCACCTCATAGTCAGGGACATCATGCCAGCAATACCTATCACCAGCCAAACCAACAACTAATGAGGCCACTCATCCCACCAGCAGAGTTCTTGGACCAGCATCTGGACGTCTTTCAGGCTTCCTCATACGAGATACCTCCCAACTGCCTCGAAATCAAGTCTGGGCGACCAGAGGCGGTGGATTTGGACCTCTTCTGCATCAAAGGAATCGTCGATAATCTTGTTGAAAGCAAGGTACCATATCCTTGTCACCACGCAGAGTCGAATGGATGTACCAGAATCGCCAACTGTCTCTTGCTGACATTGTGCATTCTTTTAATTTGTTAAACAGAAAAAACTACGAGCAGTTCCCCAGGACGTCTTTGGAAGAGCTCGTCAGCGCTGCAACCCTTACGAGCTTGTGGGCTCATCAATCTTCATGAACCGAGCGTCGGTAAAATTGGCGAGTATCGACTCCCAGTTGGCGTTGACCGCGACAAAGGAGGATCCCTCGATCGGAAACGAGAGCGAAGGAAACGAGAACTCCAAGATATTTCGGTTCGCGGATTTGTGTTCAGGGCCCGGAGGATTCTCAGAGTACCTTCTCTGGCGCAAGCATACATGGGGCGAACGCGCTCGAGGATGGGCCATGACCTTGAAGGGCGACCTGGATTTCCAAACGGAAAAGTTTCACAGGGATGCTGCAGTCCAGGACAACCTCAGGATCTTTTACGGGAGAGATGGAACTGGAGATATTCTAAACCAGGAAAACATCGATGCATTTGCTGCCTTGGTGGATCAGCAGACGAACGGCTTGGGCGTGGGGCTGGTATCGGCCGATGGAGGAATATCCGTGGATGGAGACGAAGCGGTTCAGGAGACGCTACTACAGCGACTGATTCTCTGTCAGATATTGACCATGTTTATGACACTCCAAAAAGGTAAGGCACTAACGGGTCATGGTGGTCGCTAAGCACATCGTTTTTGCTATCGAACCAACAACCCATTTCTAACAGAGAACACGTCCTACATGGCGTGAATATCTTAGGTGGCGACTTTGTGGTCAAGATTTTCGACATCTTTACGCCTGTAACCGCAGGACTGGTCTGGATATTGTCAAGGAACTTTGAGAAGATCTGTGTCATGAAACCTTTGACGAGTCGGCCCATGAACTCGGAGCGATATGTTGTATGCAGGCACCTGCTGAAGCGTCAGCCCTCCCAGGTGATTGAACATCTGAAAGCGGCCAACAGTCGGTACCAGCAGTTGAAAGAAAAGGGACAGTCGACTGCATCTGCAAGAAGCGACAATGAAGCACCATCGTCGACACTGGATTCAATCAAGGATGATATCAACCACATCGTGGACCTTGCCGTCTTGACAGGTGACTCTCATTTTATGGAGTATATCAAGCGTAACAACATGAAGACGGCTATTCGCCAGACGGAGGCGTTGGATGTGTTCCTCAAATATGTGAACGAGGGACTTCGTCCAGCGTTTGACCAGGAAGCTATCAAAAGGCTTTGTCTCCAAGAGTGGCGCATCCCCCCTCGGCCTCAGCCATACCACCCTCAGCAGCAGCAGCACCAACAGCATCATCAGCAGCACCAGCCGCGTCACCAACAAGGCCACCAGTATCAGAACCAGCAGCAGCACCAGCAACATTATGGACATCTTCAGCAACGTTCCTCTGGTCCGTATCAATCTCAGCAGCAGCACCAGCTACATCAGCACCGGTCGCAGCCTTATCCCCAACAGCCGCCGCCTGGCGGTCCCCGACGACCTCCCCCTAGCCAACGCGGGCAGCCGTCGGGTCTGCTGGACTCGCTCCTGAATAATATGCAACCTAACGCGAGACGGTAGTAGAGTGAAATAAAAAGACGCGTCCCCTTGACTGCGATTCTCGAAATGTATGTCTCGTGGCCAGGAACTGAGACTACATAAATAATTGGCATATATGACAGGACACGCTCTTTTGTTCCCTTTGCCATCCATCCACATCCATTCATCGACCAAAGATCACCGCCAGACAACATGGCTGCAGAGGATTCCAACAAACGCATCAAGCTCAACCTGGAGCCCAGCCTCGACCGCCTTCCCTTCGACATCACCCAAAAGGCCGAAGAGATCTACCTCCCGTAATGCTCAACACTTCTCGTCACCAATCCCCAAGCATCGTCTCTTCTTTTTCGTTCTTCAGTAGCTAATCACCCTCTTCCTCCTCCAATGCGTGTCCCTCTCTTTTTTTGGCGTTGACTTTCTTAGAGATGGCGATCCGTCCGAGAAACTGAAGCGCAAGATCAAAGTCATCTCTGATGCAGCAGGAGATCACTATGATCGGTACACCGACAACGTAGCATCAGCGGACGAGCCAGCAGAGGGATCGGCGCTCGTGACGACAGGTGGTACGGATGGCTTCAACGTCCAAGACCAAGCTGTAGGAGGAGTAACAGCGGCTACAAATGCTCGAGCCAATACGCCCCAACAGATATATGCGAAACTTTGGTACGTAGGGAGCTAAATCCCCAACGCTGCATGCTTTCATCACGGTCAGGAAGTTGACAATGTCGTTAATACCCCTACTAACACTTTCTTTCTTTGTAGGCACGCGCAAAGCGAGATCGGGATTGCACTGGACGTACTCAACATCATCATTTCATCATTCCAAATGCCCTCTGGAGCTGGCGGACCAGGATCCAATTTTCCATCGAATGCTCCTCCGACGGCATTACCACCAGGATCTCTCAAATGCGAGCATGTGCCCAAGCCTATCCTTGTGTCGGCCCAGATCCAGAACGAGAAGCTGGCGTTAGGCGCTAAAAGGCAACAGCTTCGTAATGCGGCCGATATATTGATGCAAGGAGCTCAGAAACTCAGAGGTGTGATGGTGGATGAGGACCAGTTCTGGGCTGGTGCGTTGAGACTCAGGAAGAATAATTGGTGCCTCGTCTCTGGCAGGAGTGGACAGCAAGGGCTACAAATGCACCATGGCCGCCAAGGAACGGGATCTCAGCTCTTTGTACACTACGGGTTCCGGGATGGTAAGCACCGGTGCCCTTGAAATATTTTGATTTTCGTACATCCAGCGAATACATGTCTTTTAGAACTACATCCACTAACCCACCACCATTATGCATGATCACTCAGTGGGATCGCTCTACGGCGAACGGGCATACGCGGAGCTGGTTCGGAACCCATCTTCTCGCGACGATTCGTCAGGGACGGCGAGGAGCATCGAGTTGAACATTCCAAACAAAAGCGGGAAGGTTCTGATTATGAGCCTTATGCAACATGGAGCAGTGTGCATCCAAGGTACCGTTGGTAGTATTTCCTTGCAAAGGTTAAGGAGTCCATGCGCTATTGCACTTTATTTTTGCGTTACTATGCCTGACAGACATCATTCCGATATACATTGTACTCTACTTTAATGTAGGACCAAAAGAAGCCAAAGGAAGGAAAGCCAACACTCTACACACTCAGCTTTTGGAGGCCCAGGATTCACTTTTTGACGGCGAACTATTTCATGAGGTAATAAGGGTCAAGGCAACACTCCCTTTTTCCAAATGTTGCTCGGCAAATAACTCGAGGAAATATGAACCAATGCTCACTAACACACAAGTCTTGTTTTTCTTTCGTCCTGATATAATAGCTTGTTAATGAAGCGCGGACAATGACCGGCAGTGTCTCAATCGTGGATAACGAGATCCTTTTATCCATCAACGAAGAACTGGAACTCAGGATAGCATACAGAAATCTCACACCAGATGACTTGCCTTCTGGCTCATTGCCTAAATCCGATCTCACCAAACGTTACCAAGGGATTGCCGACGTGATGCGGTACGCCATTCAACTGACTCAACATCGCCGTTTCCGCCAAAATATCAAGGAGCGATCCGACAGCTTTTTCAAGAGTTCGCGTCCAGGAGGTGGACGCGCTGCTGGCTCATTTGGACAAATTCAACAAACACTTCAACATCGCCCCACGGCCATGCTAAGCACGATGTTGCAGATGCTACAGTACTTTACATTCTCGAAAAGGGTCCGAGATGTCCTGGCGAGAAGCACAAGGAACCTTCGCCAAAGTTGGTGGGAGGCTATTCAGCTGCAATCTGTCGATATCAAGTCTCCGCCACCAAGCTTGGTGACCTACAGTGGAGCTGAAAGCGCTGGTTCCCAAACTCCCCTACTGCTCAACAGCACCACAGCTTCGTCTTACAGGAATATATCAAACTATGGAATGGGATCGGCGGTGTCTATCCGTGTTGGAATGAAAGCGCATCCTATCCGTTTCGTCATTCGGTCACACCCATTGCCATGCGTTGTACTCCAGCTCTCTGACCGACCTTCGGCACCGATGGCACACATTGCAGAGTTTGAGAAGGTCCTCGAACAGGAACTAGCCTCTAGAGCGATCGGACGGATCTGTGATGTCCTCAATTCCATTCACAACTGGTCAGATTTGGTGCCTGGCCTACAGAACCCGAGATTTGTCATTGACATTGAACAGCATTGCGTCGGTGTCTTTGTAGTCCCTCAACAGAGAAGCGAAGTGGGCAAATTCAAGAGTTCACACATGTAAGTTGGCTGCTTCTTGCGAATGCATTTTTTTTTTTTTTTTGGGTGGGGGCTCCATTGATTATTTCTGCGGGTGCGCTAACCTCTCTAAACTTCTGCAATTGTTTACTTCTGTAGCCACTTGATCGTTGATATGAAGGCAGACAGGGCCATCAGCATTACAATCATTTGCAACCAGGATGGGTTCAGATCAAAGCGGATATTCTTGGAGGACCAGCCAGTGCAAGCCACCCAGCCAACCTCAGGAACGGACAGACTCCACCCGCACGACGATGACGGCACCGTTACGATTGGTGCTACTTCTAACACGACAGGAGGGCGAACAATGGAGACTTTCAGGTCATGGTTGCAGCAAAACATTCTTGCAGAGCTTGACTTCTAGAGCTCCCTCTTTTTTTTTTCTCAGTAAAAAGCGCACCCCCATGGTTATGCTCCTTTGTTTAATGTGCATGGTGTGAAAGAGCTACAGGGTGGCCTTGCCCAATTTCCTCAAGGTTATGCTTTCTGAGAGGTGTATCCGCAAAGATGGCGCAGATCAGGTCCGAGAGCTCTCCTTCCTCAAACATGTGCAGCTGCCCGGCCCTGAAGCGTGTCATGATCTCTGCAAAGGACAGTTCAAGGATGTCAGCCAGAAGCTGGAATTTCTGCCAGGAGGGGACAAAGAAATGAATCGGGTCCTATTCATTGACGACCCAAAAAAAAAGGGGGGGGGGGGGAACACTGGCGTTAGAAACATCTCTATCAATCTTCGATGATGTGTGCAGCCTTCATAATGAGGACACTCTGCGAATATAGTAGGTTTACCTCATCGTCGTAGGCATCTCCCTTGGCTGCTTCGACAAGTGGGCCCGCAGAATCGAACTGGTCCTCGCACTCAAACAAAAGACCACAGAGGGTGGCGAGCTTGTGCGATTCCTTCTCCGAGATATCGTTCAACTTTTCCAGCTCCCTGATGACTCGCTTTGAGACTTCGTTCAAAAGTTGGCCCAAGAGCTTGTAGAACGTCAATGGAGACAACGTGGACTATTCAACCAGAAGAAACAGCGAGGAACAGTCATTAGTGCCTTAGTAAGGTACATTTCTTGGTGACATAAAATAAGCAAGTAAATACCGCTTTGTATTGCATCATTACCTTCCAGGCTTTTCCTAGGTGCTTAAAGACAAGGACAACCTGCTTCATCGACCGCTCGCATGCGTCAAATTTGATGTCGACACTAGAATCCCGGAACCCGCCTGCACTGTCAATGCTCTCCATCAGCTCCTCGCGTTGCTTTTGCTACACCCGACAACAAAAGAGGTTACAACATAGGTTAGTTATAATGACATAGGAGAGCACGCGAGCCAAAAACACCAACGGACTTTTTTTTTGCAACGTACCACCTGGATATCGAGCCATTTTCTGGCCAAGGTCTTCAAGGCCGGAATCGAGTCATCGTACTGGACCTCATCCATGCCAGGGATCCCGTCCTCTAGTCGTGCGGGTACCTTTTCCAGCTCTCGGGCGATATACATACAATCGTTGTAGAACAAGATTGCAAGTGCCGGTACGTTTGTAAGAGTCCTCGCGTGGTGGACCGGCATCAAGGCGCGATAGAGGTCGATGAGTGAGCGAGTTGCCTTGTAAAGATGCGGGGATCTAAACTCAACAAGTTCATAAAAAGTAACCATCAATTAGGGACATGCGGACCAAATAGTATGGAGATTGCAAACTAGTTAGGTCTCTTGGGGCAATATCTGTTGAATAAGACTTACGCGTTTTCACTGAGAGATCCGGCTTCGTGAAGGGTGGAAAGTATCATGTCCACGAGCTGCTTTGCTTTAAGGCTAATGCATGACTCCTTGACATCCGTATCAATATCGGCGATTCGACCCCATCCATCGTCCTCCTTTTCGAGATCATCTATTAATTGAAGAAGATGTAGACTTGATTAGATTGGGCCTTTTATACGAAAAAAGACATTATCAAGTGGCATTACAAGTTTCTCTTCATACTTACCGTCTTTATCCAGATCTTTCACTTGAATCGTTTTAAAATCCTCACTCATGATCACAGCGCGCCCCTGTTTGAGCAGAGTATCCCGCTTGTTGTTTGTATAGTGAACATCAATGTTCTCGACAAACTCCCGCAATTCTCTGTCTGCCTCAGTCAAGAACCCTAGTAGTGTCAATATGCACCTGTCAGAAACCAAAACTCGAGTTTTTTTTTTTTTTTTTTGGCAGTGTGTACTCGTTTGATGATGGGATGGACTGAGAAACTATCCTTTTGCTGCACTTACCCAATGCGATGAGTTCGTTCTCCAAACGTGTCGCAGCCGAGGCAACGGAGACAAAGTCGCGTAATCCGTTGATGTCTGAAGGAACAGCCTGGGAGAGGTAGGACTTTGATATCATTGCACAGGCTTCTTTGGCGATGTTGTGGCCAAGGAAATATGTAAGGATCTCCGTGTCTGATGAAAACTCTTTAGCGTTGAACTCTGGGCTTGAATAGTCACTCAGGAAGATGTTGCGGTGAATGAACTCGAAAACGCTCATCACGTCCCTAAAAAGATCGCCTGTTACGAAGTATGAGTTGGTCGAAGTGCTTTCAAAAAAAAAAAAAAAAAAAAAAAAAGCAAATCCTCTCATTATACATGTCGTCCAAGAACCGTACCTGAGCCATGCCCTGGATTCAGCTCTAGTGATAGGAATGTTCCTGTTGCAGAGGCATAGCTGGTAGAGTTGTCTATAAGGATGACTGCGTCGTTATGGTGCTCGATTAGAGGCTGAAGCACCTGTCGGATCAGAAACTTTTGTAGAGGACGGAGCTTCTCTTGGGCGACATCCAGTAAGGTCAAGGCACGAATGAGTGCGTGCCACCGAATTGATCCTGGCGCAGAGTCCGTGTTCGAGCGGGGCAAGGCCAAAGGAGGGACTTTAATGTCGTAAGAGATGGTGAGTTTGAATTGGGTATTGATGTCGTCGGTGGGGTACTGATAGTGGATGGCGTTAGCGATAAGGTCGTCCAGCATCTGGTCAATGGCTTCTGTCATTCTGGCACATTGGTCCTACGGAGGAGATGGATGTTGCGGTATGATATTGATAAGTAAGGGTGTTTGAACAGAGAGCACACGATTGAGACTACTACGAAGAACTCCTGCCAGTTCTAATTAATCAAACCTACCGTGAGGGACCGCGTGATATGGGACGATGCAACACCTGCATTGGGAGGGTGGGCAAGAGTTTTGGCCTGGCGTAGAAGACATTAATTACAATGATTGATTAGATTGGGCGGTCAGCGTTGATCCATCTACCACAGAAAGGTAGGTATCCTTGAACTCACATATTCAGTCATACCGCTTGTTGGATGCAATGACCAGCCTCAAGAATCTTTCCTGAATCCATAAATGCTTCGTACTGAGAAAGGATATCCCCCACCTAATGAAGATCCAAATAATAAAATAGCGTGAGTGTTCAAGTTTGCGAGTACGAGTACATGGGCGACACTCGAGTAATGCGCCTTTGAGTGTCTAGCCAAGAGAAAAAATATGCTTACACGCGAGAAATGCTCCAGACCTTCCATGATGCTGTTGTTCTCTTGGACTCTATGAGAGATTTCGTGGTGCTCAACTAGAGCCGTCATGACTATTTGACGCAGTCCATTCTAGGGTAGGAATGCTACGTTAGCCGAGAAAGATGACATTTTGGAGTTCCCTATTGCGCAATGACGATCAAGCAAAGGGTACCTCGGGGTCCGTTGTTCTTGAGGCCATGTTGTCAGCCTGCTCTAGAAGACCATCGATTTTGTCCTTGAGCTCGAGAGTGTACTCAAATGACTCGGAGAAAGCGCCATAGTTTGCAAGCAGCTTCTTGTAGACTTGGGCCTAGACAGTATGTGTTGTTGCTGTTAGTACAAAGCCGGCTGTTTGTCTGTTTTCACAGATTGAGGATAGGACCGGGTACATCCTAGACTCTATATTTACCTTAATAGCCTGAACTTCCGTGTCAAGGGCGGCGACGGTTTGGGCGAGCTCATCCGAGGTTGCTGGAGGACTACCGTTGGGGGATGAGTCTAGAGATGCCGCTGTTGTAGTCTGGCTCGGGTGTGGCGGGGCGTAAGGGAGTTGGGATTTGTCGCTGTTTAGGTGCGCGAGGACTGAACGGGTAAATGAGTGGGGGGAAACTGCTGTTGGGGCCATGCCAGAGTACGCTGTGGTCATGCCAGATTAAGTTGTGGTCGTGGTCGGTTGTGTGCTCCGTTGAGCGTCTTGTCGGTGGTGTGATGTCTGTGTGTGTGTGTGTGTGTGTGTGTGCACAAGGTTGATGAGATGGTAAAGCTGGCGTTTGTGTGAGCGTGGACGTGTTTAACGTGGCTGTATGATGCAAGGCACGTGCAGCCGGACTGCTATCTGTCCACGGTGCTCATTTTCACTCCATCTAAGACCCAGCAGGCATCACCTTGTTAGTCTCACAGAGTCGTCAAGAATGATAATAGTTAGTACAAGACAACAACGAGTGTCCACTGCTCTTGCTCTTGCTCGACTGGATAACTCAGGTGAAGGCCAATCGTGAACAACAGAGAAGGACGACCGAACAGAGACATGGCCAAGTCTGCCTTCCAATAGGAATAAACGGAAGGACTGCGACAAAAGCGCAGTCGATTAGATAAGGTCGGTGGCGCTCACTTTCATTTTCCTCCATTTTTCTTTCTTCAGTCCTTCCCCCCTCTCTTCTTCTCTTTCCTTGTACTTTCTTCATCCCTTTCCCCCCTTTCCCCCCCTTCTCTTTCCTGTGCTCCCATTCCTTGCAGTCGCTCCCACTTCATTCCCTTTAAAATGGTTGCGTCTGCATCCTCTTCCATTTCTACACTGCACCCCTCATGGACTTCATTCCCAACCGTCGTTACTGCCGCCTGCTCGCCATGCTCTGATTGCCAGCAACCACCCTCAACCTCAAAAGTCAGAAAGCTTGACGACGACTCCTTTCACCCACACGTCGACCTCGCCTCTTCCAAAAGACGCCTCGTCAATGACAAGGTCTTGCACATCGGGCTGTCCGCAGCCGGGAAGCCTCATATAGACTCCTACACGCAGTCCAACCATAATCAAGACGATTGGCTTCTTGTCCACCAGTGGCGTGAGGTCCTTTGCCATTTTTCTTATTCTCAGCCATGTCAACACCAACTCGATCGCTATATTAACACCACCCTCCGCCTCTCGCGTCAAGAGGGCACCGTCCTCCTCTTGCTGGGTGACGATATCCTTTGCATGCGGTCGGACGAACCAACCGGCAACATCTGGGCACCACACGACACAGCCACAACATCAGCCCACACTGCAACGATCTTAGCTGCTTTCGCATCCTCACAAGACTTGGACAAGAGCCCGTTTTCCCTCATACCCTTACTCTCGGTTTCAGAACCAGACCTCGGTCTGACGATCCGTTTTAATGTCTTCTTGAGGCGTTCTATTCTATCTGCGGATCTTTCTCCGAGAGGGATCGATCGCGCTACACAAGAGTTTCTTCACGTTGTTTTTCCACAACCGGCTACGCAATATTCGGGCACATTTTCCGACGACCCAATCAAGGATCTCTACACTCATCTAACATCCTCGGCCATCGAGGCTCCGCAAGGTATCCAGCCAAAGACGCTCGTCTCTCAATTACTCCCGTTCCAACAACGATCTGTTGCGTGGTGCCTTCGGAGAGAGTCTAGAGATGTGAAGAACGGGGCCGTGGAGTACAGGGAGCCTACGCCTGTTGAGAAACTGCCTTTGTCTTGGGAGCTCGTCTCGACACCTTCTGGTGAACAACTCGTGATAAATCGACTCTACGGCACAGTCTGTTTGTACAATCGCATCGCTGCCTATGCCACGTCCGAGCCAAGAGGCGGGATTCTCGCTGAGGAAATGGGTCTCGGAAAGACGGTAGAGATGCTTGCACTCATCCTACTTAATCGGAGGCACCTAGATCACTCAAAAGGCGACATAGCCGTCCACCCAGCGGATAATCTCGAGCAACGTATGCTAGACACCCATTTAGAAGATCGGCTCTTGGAAACTTCAACGGCGGAATCGCAGGACGGCCCTCCCACCCCGAGCATTCTGCCCCTGATCAAGAGTGCCGCAACTCTCGTTATCACGCCACCATCGATTCTATACCAATGGGCCAATGAGATCGAGAACCATGCGCCATCGTTGAGGGTTTTCCTGTACATCGACAACGCTCCAAGTACCATATCGGCCGAGGAGCTGTCCCAATATGACATAGTTCTCACGACCTACGCGGTGCTCTCAAAGGAAATCCACTATGCAAACCAATACGACCGCCCCCGACGCTATGACCGACGCTATTGCCCACGTACTAGTCCCGTCGTGCTGATTGAATGGTGGAGAGTGTGTTTGGATGAGGTGAGTATATTTGTTTTGTTGAAGTTATGTTGAGCGATCCAAAGCTTTCTTTAACACATGTCTGCATACTTGACACCGACCTCACTATCAGGCCCAGCTCATTGAAGGCGCGTCAGTGTCACAAGCGGCGGCCATGTCTCACCTGATCCCCCGCGTCATGTCATGGGCTGTCAGCGGGACGCCTATCAAGCGCCATGTCGACGATCTTTATTCGCTTCTCCAGTTTCTCAAACAAGGGCCTATCGCGTTTGACAAACGCGTGCAGAAACTGTTGAAAAAGCGTCACTTCCGACCTACCTTTGTCTCCTGCTTTCAGTCCGTCATGCATCGATATGCCAAACAGGAGGTCGCGCATGAGCTTACCCTCCCACCGCAATACAGGATGGTGTACGGCATTCACTTCACAGACGTCGAGCGCACGAATTACATGGACAAGTGGGAGCAGTGTCTTGCCGAGTGCAATTTCAATATTGCCGACGACACAAGTACCGAGGCCGACGGGTTGCAGTCATGGTTGATTCGGCTTCGTCAGACTTGGTATGGACCCTTGGATGGTGTTAAAGATTGTCGATGGTTTTTTTTTTTTGGTTTATTGTACCATCCTACTACATCTTATTTACGCAGCTCTCCTTTCTTTGTAGCTGTCATCCACAAATTGGATCACGGAATATGGAGGCACTTGGCAGGACAAACTTAAGGACAATCGACGAGGTGTTGAATGCGATGGTCCGCCAGGCTGTTCTGGATCTCTACATTCAGGAGAAGGGTCTTGTGGGTAGTAGGATCAAACGCGCCGTCCTTCAGGCCCGAATGAACAAGGACGAACGAGACTTGGCGTTCTTCCACTCTGTTGACAAGGAGATTTCGCGACATGTGGCTCTCTGGAAGGAGAAATTGGCTGAGGAGACTACAACAAAAGACCAAAGGCGCACCGCAGCCTTGACTTACAGGAGAGGAGATGATGGACAAGTCGGTTATGAGATGGATGGCGAGGACGATGATGACGATGGCAAAGCAGCCCACCCTGCGGACGACCCCTACATGACATCATTTCTTCGGCACAGGGAGTGGCTTGTCGAGCACCACAGGCTGCTGTTCTTTTTTGCGGGCGCCTACCACGATCGGGACATGGCTGAGGAGGAAACAGAGTACTATGAGCGTGCAGAGACGATTCGTCAGCAAGTTTTGAAATCACCCGAGCAAAAATTCGACAGGCTTTCGGCCCGTGCAAAGGACAGTCTCGACGGCTTGGTCATCGACTCCAAGTTCGCCATACCCCCTTCGGGGTATCTTGGAGGGATTCTTATGGGTCGGCACTTGGATGAACTGGATTCAGTTCGAGTATTATTGAACGTACAGCTGGAGATTCTTGGAAGGTGGAGGAAGGATCTGGTGGACCGGCTGACTCAGCCTTTGTTGCAGGATGGCGAGGAAGGAGAGCAATACCAGTACTCTATCGACCTTCAGCACACCTTGGAGTCCTACCTTCACTTTTACAATCGTATGATCCTGTTGAGGAAAGATTTCATTACGGGAACCAAAGACGCGATAGCCAAGGTTGTGGCCGATGCTGAGAGTCAGCGAGAGCGCGAGAGTATGGTCAAGCGACGAGAGAACAGAGTCCGGAGGTTTAAAAGAGTCGATGGAGTGGAGGAACCCAAAATCGAGGACGATTTGGACAAGCGTCTGGAGAAAGAGATGGACGCTCTTATCGCACCAGGCTTGGCATCAACCTTGCGAAGCGTTCGATTCGACATCAAGTCATTGTCGAGCGACTTGAGCACGCCGCCGGTCGAGCGTCAAATGGCGGAGGTAGAAGAATTGAGACTCAAGGAAGAGCAGAACCGACAGACCAAACTTATTGTGGAACTGGAGAAGTATGTTGGCATTGACCTTTGAAAGCTCTCTTTCCGATCGTGTTTTCGCAGGTGATCCGAATGCTGAGACCATTACTAATGCCTTTTTTTTTATTCAAATCCGCTATGGATAGAGAGATATCATGGTTCCGCACTTTGACAAATGCACGTACCGCCTATTATCGCAGGCTTCAGGAAATCTCGGACACAGTTCGCGATATTGAATCCGCGGACCCACAGGAGGATATTGCCATTTGTTTGCAGGACGAATTGTCACAACAGCGGGAGGTGGTGCGAAAGGAGTCGAAGCTGCGCTATCTGCAAACCATCGCTACCGCCTCTGAGAACGAGGCGCATTCGGAGGAGGACAGGCTTTGCCTTGTGTGTCGTAGCCCATACGACCGTGGTTTGATGACAGAGTGCGGGCATGTGTTTTGTGAGCATTGTTTGCTTGAGTGGACCAAAGCCCACCTCACCTGTCCAACTTGCAACAGCAGGATTGTCAAAAGAAAGCTCGCCCAAGTGATGATGTCGGACCAACCGCTGAGCCGACTAGATGGAGACTCGGACTTGGCCAGCAAAAACCAATCGGCAAACAAAACACAGGAGTCGCTTCGCGAGGGTAACTTACGCCTAGTGCCAGAGGCGATTCGTCGGACAATAATCCGGGATGGATACGGGAGCAAGATTGACAGCATTGTGCGCCACATCTCTTACTTGGTTCAAGATGATCCAGACGTCAAGTGTCTAGTCTTTTCGCAATGGTCTGATGTACTCGGGTTGGTAGGACTGAGTCTTGATCTCAACAACATCGGGCATGTCAAGCTGGATGGCGCGTCCGTTAAGTCTGCCGTTAAGGAGTTCAACGAGAACATGGACAAGCGTGTCTTTATGCTCCACGCCAAGTCCCAATCAGCGTAAGTCCATTTTCTTTGCTGCTATGATCCTTACTTTGGGCATTAGCTTATTCCTAAGTACTAATCGGTTCCGTCGTTTCGCTGGTGCTTATATAGTGGACTCACGCTGCTCAAGGCGACCCATGTCTTCATCTGCGAGCCGCTTGTCAACCCCGTCCTTCAAGCTCAGGCCGTGAGTCGAGTACATCGCATCGGCCAAACAAAAGAGGTATGAAACAACTATGCGCACAGATACATGTAACAGACAGCGTTTCAACGCTCCATCTCATCGCAACCTGACACGATCCTCTCACTCCTTGTCTCTGCTCTAGACTTTTGTCCATTACTACCTGATACGAGATACAATCGAGATTCCATGCTTTGAGCTCTTCGAGCGTAGCACAGCAACAACTCCAGGCACAACGAACGAAGAACTCGATGATCGCACCAACGAGAAATCTTCATCCTTGCCAATCCTCGCGTCTCAAGTTTCCAATGCACAAAACCGCCACGGTGAACTGGTCAGCCTTCACGATTTGAGATTTGTTTTCAGGATGCAGACGAGGATGTTGAACGAATAAAAAAAAAAATTGGGTGGTCTTTACAGGGCTTTGTACGACATATGAAACCTGATCTGCATATCCTTGCCCACACTGGTTAGGACCTCGGTGCCTCGTTCTCCATATGGAATGACGGTGTGGAAAGGTACTTGCGCGCTTCCCATGAACACTAACGTGAGAGGAAAAAAAAAACATGTCAATATCAATAAGAAACCCGCGCCAGCGGGGCATGAAACGAAGAAAAAAAAATTGCGCCTACCATCCGGGGAGAAAGGACACGTCGACATCAGCTTGACGTTTAGGACGTGGCTCATATCTGTAATAGCAAAAATGGTGCTCTCTCTCCAGAGAATGGAAAACGCTCCAGAGAAGGGATGGTCCGTCGAGGAGGGGCGGGTCGTAAAGAGTTGGTCGCCCAACGAGATGGTGCACACAAAGGATCTTGACTTGGCTGTTGAAGTAAAATAATGGAAAGCAGACATTTCTCATTAGTTCGTCTTTTATAGCATTGCTTTTCAATGAACAAGGACGGCAACAGCGACAGGTAGCCAAACAGAAAAAAATGCCTAAGGATCCTTACCAAATTCACGACTAGGGATGACTCCTTCGTTTACACGAATAGTCATGGTTCCGATAGTCTCTGCCAAAGAAGGTCGAATAGATGTACGCATGCCATAATCCCGTGGAGCCTTGGCAAGACCCTCACTGGCCTTCTGCACAGCGCCAAGCCACGCTTTTCTCTCCCGAGCAGAACCAGCTTTGACATGGATCATTGCCTGAAGCGGACCGCCCTGCGAAGTCTGATGAGATTGCAGATGAAGTGGAATCTGACTGAACTGGGCGGCGGCAGATGGTGGGACAGGGCTGGCAACAACGATCGTAAACTTGGTATCATCGTTCCCATCGGGCTTGACCTTGACCCTTTCTAAAGGGATTGGGGCATGGTAGAGTGTCCAGCCATGGCTGCTGTTTTGTCCCCCTTCCGAGGCTGCTGCTGAAGGCGACGACGAAAGTGAAGGCGAGCTAGCTGACAGAGACAGCGACGTGTATGAGGCCGACTTCGCCAATGCACCTGCTGCTCTTCCAGGGACAAAGAGAAGCAGCAAATCGTTGCAGAGATAACCATACAGCTTTCTTCCTGACTTTGCCTTCCTCAGGCTGCCCTCCTGGAGAACTCTTCGTGGTCCCAGGAACTTTGTCTCAGACGTCAACACAAGGCCCTGTAACAAGATGACAAGAGTCGTTTTAGTACTGCCATATCACACCAACATTACAATATGGGGTTTGTTCGACAGGTAATTGCGCGTACGCATGCGTCCGTATACTGTACCTCGGACAAATCGCCAGCGGGCAGTTTGCGTTGAATCTCGCTCAATTTTTGCCTGTCTTCGCCACTGCGGATCGATTCGTTGATGCGGTCGAGAAAGCTCTCTGCAGAAACGAGTGCCTCAGTGAGTAGCAGGTGGTCGATATGATCCTCGTCAGTATACTCCAGGATCTAGTGAATTCAGTAAAAGGCAGTGTAAACAACTTATTGCCATAGATGTATCTGAATGTCGGTGCTGAACAGAGGCACTTGTGCTCTACTCTCGCTATTGTACCTTTTTGATCAAGAGAGGATATCTTGTAATACGCTGGAGTGGCTGGAGCAAGAAGCTGGAGATGTCCATCCCGCGACACGATTGCTTTGATTTGGCGGCCTAGGAACAACAACAATGGTCAAAAACAACAATGGAGGAACGCACGCGCGAATCATTGACCAGCTGTCAATTGCAGGCTTTTGTTTTACCGCAGGAGCGGCGCTTTTTAAAACTTACCGTAATGAACTCAAGCAACAGCCGACTCTCAGTCATCCTTCGCGCCAACAAGTTTGCAGCTTCGCGGTGATTGGCACAATACTTCATGAAGCATCCGGCGCGCTCCACGATGAGACTGTTGATGACATCCCCAACCGCAAGAACGACACCCTGTTCACTCTCCTGTCGTTGGGTCAGCTCATCAACAATACTCTGCGACAGGTCCAAAAGACTGGGCCACTCCATAAAGAGTGACTGACTCTCGAATGGACTGACCAGACCTTGGTCAAGTAATGGTCTTTGAAACTCATCTCGAACAAGGTAGAGGTAACCCAAATAGACACGCTCGGTAGTAATCAGCTCATGGATTGCCTCTTGTCGCTTCCTCTCCTTTTCGCTGAGAGACTGAGACATGCTCATCCCAACAGAGGCGCTCCAAGACGGCGAGTTGAGCAGCAAAGGGCTCGGAGACCGATCGATCGACATTCCTCTCGAACGTGTCTGGCTCACTTGGCTCTCGGACGTAAAACGAGGATGAGAATACGATCTCGAGACAGTCTCAGAGTGGCTTCCCGATCGCTGGCGCACTGCAGGAGTGTGAGTAGTTGGGACAGACAGATAAGATGATAAAGAGCCCTCTGACTGCTTTCGAAGCAATATGCTGGGCCTTGATGGTGCGCTCGTCGACAATAAAGGCTGATCAGAGCGTGAAGAGGTAGGGCCTTTAGGGGTGGGTCTTGGAGGTGCTGCGCGGTAGCGAGGAGCAGGGGCAATGGCGATCGAAGGGGCTCTTGACACCGACGGCGCAATCGTGGCTGCGGCTTGAAGAGTATGCTTTTGACGCTCGACATTGTTGCTGTCGGTGGCATTATCAATGTCGCTGTCGCTATCATCGGATGTTTCTGTGTCTGTGTCCTCAGAATCTGACTCTGTACCTCCATCGACACTCTCATCTGCAGACTCACAGCCTGAAGAATCACTGCCGTCGTGGTCCAGGCCTATCCAGTAAAATATGATACGGCAGAGAAGGCGGCCATGATTGAAGTAGAGTGAAAGAAAAAAAGGGGGGAAAAAACGATATTCAGTCACAGGTATGCAGTCGCCAATGGATCTTTAATGAGCTTTGAACATGATTGGAACTACTCAAGTATGTGCAGGCCCCCCCTGACCGGATGAAAGAACGAACAAGAACCACAAGTGTGAGTCTGTCACCAATTTACAAACGGAAAAGATAACGATGAACTGACAGCAATGCAAAGCACTAACCGCTAGTGGACTCTCCTCCAACCTCCTCTAAGTATGTGGATGGGAGCATTCCAGTAATGCCTTGCTCGTTTCTGACCCGCCACCACAAGGGGTCTGGCTTTTCCATGATGTCGACTGATTCGCCAATTTCAACAGAAAGTTCTTCAGAACTCTGGCCCGTGTACGCGTATAACACCTTCGCCTTGCCAGCGGCATGTTCTATCGTTATGTAATTATGCACAAGGTGAGTATGATTGAGAGGATACCTACAAGGAGGCGCAAGTAACCCTTTGGAATGCCATGGTATTAAAATCCTGTTCATACCTTCAGGAAGGGGTTGACCTTCAATATACTCCTCAAGGTACGTCGCGGGCAGCATTCCGATGGCGTTTGACGATGCTTGAGCCCTCCACCACTGAGGATCGGGCTTCTCAAGAACATAGACGATGTCGCCGCGTTCAACAGATAGCTCCCCTTCATTCTGAGCTGTATAGGCAAATAGAGCTCGTGCCTGGAATTTCTCTACTCAGAATAGAAGAATACATAGCGTTAGAAAATTATGCGCAATAACGACTGGATACACAAAAAATAATCCCGTAGCGAAAAAAAAGTTACCTTCGACCTGCTGGACGTAGGCTTTGGGGAACCATCCCTTCAAAGCACCGTCCTTCTCCAAGATGCCGTACACCCAGTCTGTGTTCCCGGATTCTTTGGAAGGATAGGCGCTCAAATACTCATCAGCTACGAAGCTGAGTTGATCGGGTGCTCCGGCACTGTAAGCCCATAGAGACTTGGCTCGGTAGCCGTTATCAAAGTCGACCTTATCCTCGACTGAATCCTCTACCTTCGAAAGTGATGCAGAACTGGTTGTTGGCTGTGTCAGATCCTGAGAGAGTTCTGGAAGAGCGTGGTGAACTGCGTTTGCTGTAGCTGCAGAGGGAGCAGAAGGCGGCTCTTGGATTGAAGACATTGAAACAGAAGTTGCGCTTTCCTCGGCAGGAGCGTGACTGGCTAGACGTCCAAACCAATCGGTGCTCTCGCGACGAACGTCAGGCACCTCCGCTGGGGCGTCGACACGACCAGTGCTGAATCCTGTCGACTTCTTCAACGTCGGCATCCCACCCGCAAACAAGCCCCCTAGAGCAGGCATACCCAACGGTCTTTGATCGGAGTTGCTGGAGATGTGAGCAGACTCTCCGCCTGTCACAGCAGTCGATGCCGATGAGTCGTCGCCCAAAACACGACCTAGTAAAGCGTTCAAGATGAGACACTTATGGGTTAGTATCCATATTGAGAAAGATATTCCAGCGATCGAGGACAACATCGTTCTCCATAAACATACCCACGCCTTTGACAGTGGTTTTGTCTTTGGTGACAGCCTTCTTCAATCGGACGCCGGTCTGGATTTGGCTTAGAAGCGCTCCTCGAACACCAGAAGCTGCCGGGGCTGGAGCAACACCGCCTGCTTGGGGGGCCGGTGGGGCTGCAGGGATGCCAATTGGTGCTGGTGGAGGGACAGGAATACCGCTGCTGGCTCCAGGTGCTGGTGGAGGAGGAGGAATAGGAATAGCTCCTGAGGGCTGAGGGGGAGGAACGGGAATAGTTCCTGCTGGCTGAGGAGGAGGCACGGGAATAGTTCCTGCTGGCTGGGGAGGAGGCACAGGAATAGTTCCTGCTGGCTGGGGAGGAGGCACAGGGACGCTCGCTACGGGTGGGGGTGGAGGAGCCAAGGGAATAGCGGAGCTCACTGATGGCACAGATGCTGCAACGGAAGGGAATTGTTTTTGTGCCACCTGGTCCGCCAAATCCACCTCTTTCTCAACCACGTCCCAGCCATCCGATGTGTCCTTGGAATGAGAGGTAGGCGGAGGGACAGCAGTAGAGGACATCATTCGGAAGAATGGATTGTTGGAGTTGGATGGAACAACGGCCGCGGTGGGGACGCTGGTAGGAGGGGTTGCATTGACCGGACTGGTCGTGTCCCAGTCATCATCGGAGGACGAAATGGTCTTTCGGTGCTTGGCGAATGGGTTAGAGTCGAGAGTGATACGGACTGGTTCCCTCTTGGACGGCTCTTGGCTAGGTGTCTGAGCTTGAGCTTGGTGCTGTTGCTTGGCGGCCAACGTAGACTGGGCAAACCGCTCCTTGCGCTCCTGCTCTTCGCGCTCCTCCTGCTCCCTCGCCAAGCGGTTTTGTTCCTGCTCTTCCGCTCGTTTGCGTCGAATGGCCTCTTGCTCGTCCAATCTCGCACGCTCCGCGGCTTCCAGTTCCCTTTGAGCTTCCTGGGCTGCTCGGCGCTCAGATTCCAGATGCTCATCATGCTGTGCTGCCTGGAGCTTTTCCTGGTTGGCCTTAAGATCTCTCTCTGCTTGGCGCTCCTGCTCTGCTTGACGCCGTTTGGATTCTGCATTGGCGAGAAGCTTCTCGCGCGCCAGCCTTTCAGCCTCTTCAAATTTGGCGCTCGTAAAAGCGTCGACATCTGGGACTGCATGTGCGGGAGATGGGGAGCTGGCTTCAACTCGGCTGGAATGGGTTTTGGAGAGAATATCGTTCTGGCGGTCTCGGAGTCGCTTCTCCGCTTGAGCGCGAATGATCGCACGGCGTTCCTCAGGGGTCTTGCCAACAAGGCTAACGCTGGAGACTGTGGGGGATGATATGATCGAAGGGGAAGACGAGATAGGAGGCTGCGAAGGAACGGAAGAGCCGGTATTGAACCTCTGGGAAGTGATGGAGCTATATTGACGGCCAGATGCAGACGACGACGACGACGACGACGACTGATAAGAAGAGAACTGGGGTGGCGTGGAGGTAGCGTGAGGCTTGATATCCTGGATGAACCTGCGAGCAATGTCCGATTCAACACCAGCGCCTTCCTCCCATTTCCTGCGATCGCTATCCGACACTCCTGTTTGTGAACGTGCGTGGTTGTCCAGATCACGCTCGAGTTGGCGCATTGTGTCCTCCAATCGACGAACGGCCGACTCTATCTCGGCTACATTCTGCTCGTTGACATCTCTCTCTGCTCTGATGCGCGCAGCCTGGTCAGGATCAATACCGGCTTGAGCTGCCGTAGGGATAGGCTTTCCAGTCAAAGCAGCCATGCGTTGTGCCTTCATCAGGGCAATGCGAGCCTTCATTTTATCGTCAGCGGTAACGGATCCACCTGGCCCTGTCCCGACAATGCCAGCGTCACCAGAGGATGCACCCTTTGACTTCAATTTAGCCAACTCCAGGCGAGACTCCTCCAGGCTCTTGTCGGCATCACGCACCTTGTTCGACAGGAGTGAGACCGTTCTCAGTAAATCAGACACTTCGTGGTCCATGTTTCTACGCTCCTCACGGAGTCGAGACAGATCCTCGGCGCCGCTGCGAATTCGTTGGTGAATCGATTCGTTAGAGGAGACGAGAAGTCGCGCCTGCGCGTTCCGGATCTGCTCCTTCAGATCCAACACTTCCCGATCCTCGCCTGGGTTGTTCGGGTCTGCTGCGCGTGCAAGTGTCGCCTCAAGGATTAATCGCTGCTCGCTAATCTCCTTTTGAAGACGACCGACCGAGGTTTCCTGGGATCCTACATGGCGAGCCGAGGAAGCAGGGCTACCTGTGATATTTCCTCGGCGCGCTGAAGAGACGTAACCGACATCATCCGGCGATCGGACACTGAGTCTCTTGGACAGGGAGGTGGAAGATGGCTGGCTTGAGGGCGAGCCATAGGAACCCCAATTGGTTGTCCCGGCTCTCGAAGGAATATCAGTCATCAAAGACTTTTTGACAAAGTCAAGAGTCTCGGATATATCTCGTGCCGAGGGTGGGATGAGATCGTCGGGCAAGACAGGGGGAACGTCGCCTCCGTTCAGCTTGCGGTAGACGAGATGCATGGCGACAGCAAATTCGTCCTTGTTGAGCTTCCCATGATTGTTCGGATCGGCAAGAGCCCTTTGGTTTTTAAATATAGAATTCGACGTAGTGTGAGCACTCTGCGATGTATGTAGTTTCGCGGTACGATGTAGCTGCAATGGAGTCGACACTCATGTTCAATTTGCCTACCAGATATGACCAAGGTCAGTTGGAGGCAACCCGCTCGATCCAAAGATTTCACGAGCTCGTTCGCCTAGCATTGACAATGGAGAATGGAGATGCAATGCGATACCAGGTAAATAACAAGGACAAAGGGAGAACGCGACCTTCAATTGTTCTTTAGTTCGTAAGTCGGGGCCAAGCGACGAGAGGTTGACGACTCTTACCACTAATGTATCCGGAATGGTCAAGGTCCCATGCGGAAAAGATTTGGTCGTACTGGGCCTTTTCTTCACGCGAGACAGCCCAGCCAGGCCTGGCAGGCTGGTATTGCTGATGCTGCTGCTGGTACTGATATTGCTGTTGTTGCTGCATCAAGGGCTGACCAAAGCCGGCATTGTACTGGAAGTTGGCTCCAACAGCCGACTGGTAGTACTCCTGTTGCTGCTGTTGTTGTTGCTGTTGCTGTTGCTGTTGCTGTTGCTGTTGCTGCTGAAACTGGTACTGCTGCTGCTGCTGGTATTGCTGGTTGGTGATGTTATTGTTGTTGTACATGGTCGCAGAACTGAACCCGCGTTGCACGCTTGTGGGCAGGTGTCGGTTATTGGATGGAGGAGGGTTGGCGGAAAGAAAAGGGCGTGGAGGAAGTAGAGTGTTGAAGTGTGTGCGGAGGAAGGTGTGAGGGAGGGAAGATGAGAAAGATGAAGGTGTTCTGTAGGCGTTCTGTGGTTCTGTGGGGCAAGTATCACGTGCCTAGTGACGTCTATTGCAATCAAAAAGAAGGATGTGGAGCTCTTTGTTCCTTCATCAAACAAGAGAGTTGAAGAGACATCGACACGCCATTGCCAACAACCATCGACGCGACCACATTCTTACACTGATAGTCGGGGTCCACGATGCAGAACCAACAACAGCAACAACAACAACAGCGCCAGCAATTGCTGCAGCAGCTCCAACAACAGCAACAGCAACAACAGCAAATGCAGCAACAACAACAACACCTTCAACTTCAACAGCAACAGCAACTTCAACTGCAGCAGCAACAACAACAACAGGATCAGCAACAGGCCCAGCAACAGGCCCAGCTCAATCTGGGTTGGCGGGCAACACTCTCAAATGAGGACCGCCTTAACCTCATCAAGAGACTGTAAGTGTGAACATTGCAGTTTCTAGTTTGTTTGTGTGTTGTTCCTGATTCAAGAGACTGACCGAACTGTCTTTCTTGGTTGATGTAACTTTAGTTCTGACTCTCTCAAGGCCCTCTCGCCGACTATTGCGGACGCAAAGATTGTCGAGCTGGCCAAGACGTTTGAGAATGTCACCTACCAACGCTCGCCCAACAAGGTAAGCAGCTTTGCTTATCCAAGGTCTGGACCTCACATCCGTAAAGCACAATACAGCAATCGACTAATACAATCTAATTGATACCGTTTGTAGAGTGAATACCTCAAAGCCTACACCAGGAAGCTTCAACAGATTCGGTTCCAGATTACAGAGCAGCAACAAGCCGCCGGTGGTTCACCCATTGTCGGCTCACCCCAATCACAAGTGGCCATGGCATCGACACCAACCCTGATTCAACAATCCATCCCCCAAGGCGCCGCCGTCACTCCTCAACAGCAAGCACAGGCCATCCATATGATGCAGCAACGAATGTTCCAACAGCAGCAGCAGCAACAGCAGCAACAACAAGTGCCACAATCACAACAGCAGCAACAAATACCTCAACCACAGCAGCTCCAACAGCAACAAGTACCTCAACAACCCCAGCAACAGCAGCAGCAGCAAGTTCCGCAACAGCAGTCTCCATTCCAACAACAGCAACAACCTCTCCAGACTAATCATCAACAGCAAATGTTCAAGCAACAAGGCGTACCTTACCAACAACAACAACCGCCACAACAACAGTTACCAACGCAACCACAGCAACAGCAACAACCCCCACCAACGCAACCACAGCAACAGCTCCCAACACAACCACAGCAGCAACAACTTCAACAACTCCTACATAATCAGCAGGCCAAGTTAATCCAGCAACAACAACTTCAGCAGCAACAACTGCAGCAGTCGCCGCAGTCCCAAGCTCTCTCTGCTGCGCCCTCTAACGGAATGGTCCCTCAAGTCAACGCGCAGATGCAGGTCAATCAAACCACGCCACAGCAACGGCCTATTCAAACCACAGTGCCAGGAAGGAACGACTCACTCTTGATGCTTCACCAACACAACCAAAAAGTACAGCAGGATCGCCAAGCGCAGTCCCAGGCACATATCTCCTTGCTTCAACAACAACAACAGCATCAACTTCAGCAGCAGCAGCAGGCACAGCAACAGGCACAGCAGCAGGCACAACAACAGGCACAGCAGCAGGCACAAGCACAACAGCAACAAGCACAGCAGCAGCAGCAGCAGATGCAACAGCACAATGCTCAGTTATTCCAACAGCAACACCAACAGCAGCAGCAACAACACGTGCAGCAACAACAACAAGCCTCGCAGCCGAACGTCATACCAGGCGCCCCAACAGCCACAGCATCTAACCAGGACGCCACACATACTATCCCACCACAGGGACTCGTTCATAATGCTCTTCCTATTCCGGGGCAACCAGGGGCAACCCCTGCACGTATGCCCATCACTAACGCTTCGAGGATACAAGCAGCGGCAGAAGTGCAGAACATGGTCGGGAGAATTCAAGCCAGTCGAGGTACGCTTGGTCTGTTTCTGATAATCCAGATAATCCTAGAATGGGATCCATTATCGATCGTATTCAAGTTTTTAACTTTGACTCTTTTGTGCTTTTCGTTGTAATAGCTCCTCCCAATATCCTTGGTGATCTCTCGCCCGAGCAGAAGCAGTCCGTCAAGGAGCAGATGAATCAGATGATGCCAATGTTCATGAAACTGGATCAACTTATGCCATTTTTCTTTGCTCTGACCGGCAACCGAGAAGCGACAGCTCGGCTCATCTTAATGGTAAGTCAGGCCGTCTCATTCAAGTCGTGTTCATTCGCGTAAGTTTATTATATGTGTTATTTCTACAGTCGTTCTAACCTTGGGTTTGCCCTACCTTGATAGAAATACATGTTCCAAGACCAGCTGGACTCTCTCAAACATGAGCAGTACACCATTACACCCGAGAATCTCGGCAGGCTCAAGGACAGGTTGCAGTACTATTTTATATGGGTCAAAACGGAGATGGCGTCGGCGAACCCCACTAGCCCAGCCGCACAAGCACCCGGCAATGTCGCACACATGGCTCAGCCATCCGCCCTTGGAGCAGCACCGACACAACCGGCGAATTCTGGAGCTATGGAAGGAATGAACGCTTCTGTGGCGGCGGATGTGGCTGGAGTGAACGGGATCGGCTCAACAACGACTACAACATATACCAGCGCGCCCACCGATGCAGCACCCATCCCTACCAATCATTCAACCCCAACTTTAGCCAATGCCCCAGCTGCCCCTCCATCAGCACAAGGCGTCCCTGGCATGGTTGTGAAGGTTGGACTGACACCTGCGGATTTGAAACTACCACCGCCAAAGAAAACCAACAACTCGCCACCCAACTCTTCCTTTCCAGGATCCCCTCGATCTGAAGCAGGAACACCTTCGACCCCCAACCTCGGCCTTGCACGTCCGGGGGCGCCTGGCAACAATCATGGCTCCACTCCCAAACACGGCAAAGCAGTGCCCTCCACACCTGCTGCTCCACTTGTTGACCAGCAACCAAGTTCTACACTGACAGCTCAAGAAACCGTTTCACCAACTATCTCCAAAGCTGCTGATGGATCTAACATGACCTCCTCGCAGCTTCTGTTGAAGTCTCGTCAGTTGCAGCAACAGCAAGCACTGATACAACAGCAACAACAACAAAAACAACAGCAACAGCAACAACAACAGCAACAGCAACAGCAGCAGCAGCAGCAGCAACAACAAGTCCCCCAGATAATTCAGTCGCAGCAGAATCAGCAGCAGTCTCAACAGCTTGTACCGCAGCAACCGGGACTGTCGACAACCCCTCAACAGCAGTACTCGCCTCTGACTTTACCCACCAATAGCCCCGCTAGGCAGGTCGCCACTCAAGTGGAATCATTATCGAAGGAAGAGCTGATCCGACAATTCCAAGTGTTCAAGACGGCGCTCTCAGGTGCTACTCCGTTACCCCCGAATCAGGCTATTATGCTGAAGGTGCAACTGCAGCGAATCCAAGCTGAACTGACCAAGCCGCACAGACAGGAACAAATGCCGCGTCTCGGAGATGGGGTTCCGCCATCAAATGGAATCTCAGGCAACCCGGGAGCTTCTACACTGCCCCCAACCGCCGCCGTCTCTCCTAGCGACCACCAGCTCTCTGGTACATCGGCTCCGACTCAGGCAGCCGCAGCCGACTTGGGACCACAAATCAGAGAGCTTCAGATGCAAGAGAACAAAGTTGGTCCTAGTCAACCCAGCGACCCTCTAGAGTTTCTAACGGTTTCATACAAAAGTCTGGCCCGTGTGGATGACGCAGGTCCGTTACAGGATGGCGCAGGAGACTCTTCGCCGATATTTCGAAATGCCTTTGAAGGCTTTGTTGGGAAGCGGGTAGGCAATGGTCCAGGCAAGGATATGTTTGGTGGTGGACTTCAAAAAAGAAGAAGGGTGGGCACGACGGATAGTACTCTGCTGAGCGCAATGCTTTTGTGCAGGAATGGAGAGCCAGACGCGTTCACGGCAAGCTATGGCGACTGGGCGCAGCATATCCCAGCGCTCTCCTCCTCCATGTAAAAACACCGGAACAAGCAATGGGAGCCGCGTCTCTAGGCATCTCGATGATGGTGAGTAAAAGGTCTTTGGCGGTTTATCAAATTGCACGAAATCTACCTGTGCGATCTCTAATTGCTTTATATACTCTCGTTAAAATAGATGTAAATTGGCGACGTTATCGATCGCGTCTTGAAAGAGTCGACTAGGACAAAGAATCATTCCTTGTATAAAAAACATCGCTCACTCCTCCTGCTATCTCTGTTACCTCTGTTCCTCATCCTTTGCCTTTGTCAGCCTTCTTCCTCCCTCACGCTTCGCATCCACGCTGATGATTCCAACAATATTCCGCACATGGGAATAGCTTGTACCAGCTTTTGGGATTATGAGCAAGCAAGGCACCACAGCATCAATCTCATCGAAGGCGGCACTCAGGGTTTTGTTCCTTGATCATCGACTTGTCTTGTCAATTCTTTCCCATCAAAAACAAGACCTGCTCCTGAATTTCCTCTGGTTGTTCAGACTCTTGGTCGTTTCGCCAGAGAGTGTTGTTGGCAGCGGCTGGACGTTCCGATTCGTGCTCTCCTAGTGCGCCATTGCCCTCGTAAGCCCTCCCTCAATCGCCTCTGTGTACCGCTCCTTCTCCATCGCCCTGTTCACCTCGACACCACAACCTCGCTCGTACGACAAACCAATGTAGTAACACGCAGAGGGTTTCCCTTGGTCGGCCGCCTTTCGATATCAATCCATCACCAACGAAAAATCCTTGCTCACGCCTCGACCGTTATGGTAAAGGTTGCCGAGGTTCTGTTGAGCGGTTACATGTGCTTGGTCCGCTGCCATGAGGTACCGCTTTATCGCTCGAGAATAGTCCTGTGCCACACTTCGACCATGTTCGTACATGTACCCGAGATTGCACTGTGCGACCACAAGCCCTTGGTCCGTTGCCTTTTGGTATCATTCCTTGGCTTGGGTAAAGTCCTGTGGTATGCCGAGACCATCCTCGAGCAGTTAGGCGACGTTGTACTGAGAATTGGCATCCCCTTGACCGACTTCTTTGAGGTACCACGCCACGGCTGTGGCATAGCCCCTAGACCATCGTGATACAGGAATCCGACTCTGGCTTGGCCCGCCATATCTACTTGTTCGGCGGCCTTCAATTACCAAATTGATGACTGCTTAGTAGTCCAGTACAACTCCATGAACGTTCTTGTACATCTCTCCCAGAGCGGCCTGAGCACCCTTGTGCCTCCAAGCCTTGCCTTCCTCTCTGTCTCTGTAGAATCCTGGATCGAATATTCCGAGAAGGTCTCATGAAAATGGTTCGTCGCTGGTGCTGAATAGTTCGGGCTCTTTAACATCGCTGCTGTAAGGTGTACGATCGTCCGATGCTGCAGCCTGTTGACTCCAACTCATTACTGCCATTCGATTGACGTCTCATGACGACGTCCAGCGTAGCTTCTTGAACTGTAGCAATGCGAAGCGAATCCTGACTGCCCATTACAAGAAGAACTATACAGCAGCAAGTAAATTATCAGCTGCAAACGGACAAAAAAAAACGTGTACAGCAACTGAACATGAACTAAGAAAGTGAAAACACGCACTCTTTGAAGTCAGGTCCTTTATGAAAAAGAAGAGCAACAGCTCCAAACCGAATATGAACAACGTCAGCCTTGAAGGCGGCGAGGATGTCATCTCAGAGAAGAATGTCTTTTCCGGATGCAGAGTCCGGGTGACAAAACAAGATATATGGTCACTGTCGAGGCGGATTTGTTGGTAAGCTATCCGTTATCGTGGACTTGGCGGACTGCCTGGACGTCGGTCTGGGCGTGCTGGATCGTCATTGTGTATGTATCCTGTGATCGATAGCAAGAGGGAAAAGGAGGATTGATTCGAATGAACAGAGTAAGAGAAAGGTGGGTGAAGAGAGTGGATGGCGAAGATGCAGGAGGTAAAAAGACAGATAGACAGAGAGGCGACCTTATCCTCTGAAACAGCATTGGGCGTACACAGCAATTCGCGCCTGTGATTGGACAAGTTCAGTTATAGACCCCTTTCAGGTACGATCCTTCCAGGCACCATCAGCGAAAGAGAAAAATTGCCCATTCATGCATGCAATCGACACTGACTTACTTCGTCTACTGTACAAAAAAATCTAATGCTTTTTTTATTCTTGTCAATCAAACCAGCTAACTCGACCTGCGACCCTCATTGTTCAGCCTGGACAAGACGATCCAATTCCTGAAGATACCGAGCAGCATCAGGATCGCCCTTACTGGCAGCCCTCTTGAGCCCCTCTGTCGCCATAGTGCTCTGCTGCAAAGAGCAACGTCCGCGGTAGTAATAACGAGCAATGTTATAAAAGGCAACAACGTGGTTTTGACTCGCTGCTTTGAGGTACCAGTCGAGGGCGGTGACGTAGTCCTGAGTGACTCCTTCCCCATTGCCGTACAAGAAGCCAAGGTTGCACTGAGCCTGACCATGTCCCTGCTTGGCGGCCTTGTCGTACCAAACTAGAGCTCGCGAGATGTTAGGTGAGACACCTTGGCCACATTGATACATCAGACCGAGGGCATACTGAGCGGCAGCATCTCCTTGCTCGGCCGCCTTGCTGTACCACTCCATGGCTTGAGGGTAATCTTTGGGGACGCCATTACCGCTGTGGTATAGCACGCCAATGTTGCGTTGAGACGGTGCGTCACCCTGTTCGGCGGCCCTGAGGAACCAGGTAAGTGCCGTTTGCGAGTCCCGTAGAACACCGAGGCCATGGTCGTGAAGAGCACCGACTCTGCGCTGGCCAACCGGGTCTCCTTGTTCGGCCGCCTTCATATACCAGTACATGGCCTCCTGGTAGCTCTGGTGGACACCCTGACCGAGTCTATACAAGTCTGCGAGGGCGACCTGGGCTTGGGTGACTCCAAGTCGTGCATTCATCATCGTCTCGGTGATATCATTGTTTCCAGCAGAGTCCTGAGGCGCACGCGCAAGAGAGTTTGGCGTGTTGGGCTTGATGCTGGAGGGCGGCAGCGTTTCGTCGGGAATCTCCTGTGGTCCGCGAAGCTTTGGTCCCTTTGCTGGGTCCTCCATGTGGTTGTAGTTCTCCAGTGCCGCTTCAACAAGACCGTACTGTGGGTTTCGTCTCACGGTGTTGGCGGCGGTGTTGGTTGGAGTCGCTGGCTCTTCCTTCTTTTGAGGTATAACTGGCGGTGTTTCCTGCACTAGGCTCCTTAATGTGGCGGTTCCTGTGGCGGCTCCTGGGCTGGGTACAGGGTCTCTCACCACGACATCCAAGACCGCATCTGGGAACGCAGCAATTCTATTGGGAACCAGTCTTGAAAAAAACACATATCATAAAGGAGAAGGAAAGTCAACCCTGAGAACAGTTTTTTGTCGCTAGTAGCATTGCGGCGTGGCAGCATAGCAGAGATAGACATACGGCATAAAGTCGGACCCTTTGAGGTAGGGGACAATTCTGGACTTGAAGCGGACATGGATGACATTCTCGAAGGCTTGCTCGATATCGCCCCAGAGGATGAATGGCTTTTTGGTATTCGGGTCCTCATAGGTCTCGAGGTGGACAATGGCTCCTGGTGCTGAGGAGGGAGGGGCGTCGAGGTTGTCCTTGCTGACAGCGCGTACTGCTTGGAGTTTTATAGAGTCGTCTTCCATTTTATGTATTTTGTTCGTGTTTGGTGTGAAGATGAGAAGGTGTCGGGGAGAAAAAAAGTGATGAAGGGAGGAGAATGGATGAGATTACAAGAGATTCAAAAAGAAGGGAAAGAAAAAGGTGTTGGCGAGGGTTTTACGGTTCGGAAGGAGAAGGAGCGACGACACGGCGTGCGTGGCGTTGTACAATACATGTTCTTGTCTAATTGAGCCCAGACCGAGAAAGAGCACCCTGTGCACCATGCATACCAGTGAAAAATAAAATGCCAGTACAATGCACCGCAGGGCACGTAATTTCTATTCTCATTTTCCTCTTGCACCTTCACAACTCACTCCCAAAGACATTCCAACTCAACAACTGACACTAGAGCGGCCAACAAGGGGCTCGCTCTCGCATATTCGCATCGCTCGTGTCTCAAGAGCAACCTCAACTTTTCACAAGCAAAAAAAAAACAGGACAGTTCACACGCGACAGAGGTTTTGACAGAAAGTTCTTCTGCCAAAGTAGTGCTACTGTAGCTTTTGCCAGAATAAAGCCTCCTTTAACACATGGCGCTAGCCATCAATGAGAGAGCAACAACGAGGGTGTGTAGGTGCCGTTGACTATGAATCTCTGTCGCACCTGTTTGCTGAGGTATCGTTTCTTCCCTTTTTTTTAGCGTGCGCGGGTAGACGCTGCGTGATGTCTGTGTCAAATAGAGAGAGTCGCTGTTTGGGGGGAGAGGATAAAAAGACCTGCCCACTCTTTTCTTCTTTCTTTCTTTTCTTTCTCTACACTTTCATTGAAACCCTTGCTTGACACCTCTTCAGACCCATTCCTTCTTAGTCTTTTGCCTCCTATTATTACAAAACAAAAAACAAGTTATCTACAATGATATTTCACGCACTTCAGTTACTCTTCATTCTAACTCACACGTTTCTTCTAAACCAAAATAGTCGCATATGCCCATCGGATGTGGAGCAAAAGGCGATCACTCCAGCGAAGGGGGGTCGGGTTGTGTTTGTGCAGCCTACAAGGCAGACGGGAGACTGAAGGCATTAGCGACAAGATGAATGATTGGTGTATCCTTGATCTCCACAAGTCCTTGGGCGAGAGTCGACGGGTCGTGGGAGTCTATACTAAAAGTACACCTCCCACGACGGCGTACACCATGACTTGGAAAAAGTCTCTTCGTGTTGTGGGTCAAACACTCTTGGGTCTGCGTCAGTATTGCCTAGATACTTTTCAAGACGATGACGGCGAGGTCGCGACTTTGGAACTAGAACAGTTGCAGTGTTTTGCAAGACCTCTGATACCGCCACCTCTGTCGCTGGCAGTCTCAATTCTTACCTTGCATGAGATGCACCAGGACAGACGGATGACAAGAGCAACAAGGTTAGGATCAGTCTCTCCGTGACGGGGTTCGAACCTCGCGAGGATGTTGCCGACGAGTTTTGGAAAGACAAGGCACGGATTTTAGTCATTAGCGAGAGAACCAGACCTCGTGTACTATTGTGGAATCGTTGGTCGATCCTGCGCGTATCCCCCTGCTATTGTTGTTTTTCTCTGAAAGGATACGCCAGAGTTATACATCAACTCTCTCTCTCCCATTCCTCATCAACTCGACAATCTCTCCTGTTCAGTCTATCGACGACATCATCATCCGAACTATTAAAGTGAACAATTTCATTGTGCATGTCAGTTCTTGCGTTTCTAGTGCTTTTGGTTCATTTTCTTACCCTGCTTCGCCCGACAAGAAACATTGATCAGCAATCGCGTACATAATTGTATTTCTCTAACAAACAGCATAGAGAAGTTATTTGGAAGTAAAAAGGGACTACAGACCAAACTCTTCAGTGCACCATCCACCAGTTGCAGTCCGGTCCGGAACCTGGCTCTGCGCAACAATTGTCGCTGCTCCTCACAGCTTAAACGGAAGAAAATAAAACTAGATACGAATGGAGGGGATTCTTCCCATCCTCTCCATCATTGACAACCTCCTCCTTCCTAACAAACTCTCCAACAACCGCTCGTCAGCAGCGCGTGGGTCCTTGGTCGCCCCAGGGCACCTTCCTTCACAATGTGTGGCTAGCGAAGCGCCACACGGACAGAAACCATCGTGCGTGATGTAACCGTATCCTTGACTCCAGTCACCTCGGGGGCCTGTGTACTTGGATGTCTTGTCCTTGGCAGAGATGCCCTGGCTTTGTTCCCACGCGATCGTCGCGGAGCACCGAGGTTTCCAGATCAGCTCCGAGGCCTGCGCCTCCAGGTAGCCAACAAATTTGTGAAGGACTGTCTTGGCGATGGACATTGGGGTTCGGAAGACCGCGGACCATTCAGTCAACATGCTCAAGGGGGTGATGCCGCGGAGGAGATCCGACACATTCCACATCGGTTTCTCGTCTCGATCGAGAGCTGGACTACCGCTGTGCACGGCTCGAGCTCCACCGATGGAGGAAAATCCTCGTACATGATCTGCATCCGAAGGGGGCCACCAGTATATGGGTACTGGCCTCGGTACCTGACGATCTCTGTCCACCGCGCGTTTGTATTCTCGCTTCCTGGCCGCGTTGTGTCTTTTTTTTTTTTTTTCGTACACAATTTTATTTCTCTAACAAACAGCATAGAGAAGTTATTTGGAAGTAAAAGGGAACTACAGACCAAACTCTTCAGTGCACCATCCACCAGTCGCAGTCCGGTCCAGAACCTGGCTCTGCGCAACAATTGTCGCTGCTCTTCACAGCTTAAACGGAAGAAAATAAAACTAGATACGAATGAAGGGGATTCTTCCCATCCTCTCCATCATTAACAACCTCCTCCTTCCTAACAAACTCTCCAACAACCGCTCGTCAGCAGCGCGTGGGTCCTTGGTCGCTCCAGGGCACCTTCCTTCATCATGTGTGGCTAGCGAAGCGCCACACGGACAGAAACCATCGTGCGTGATGTAACCGTATCCTTGACTCCAGTCACCTCGGGGGCCTGTGTATTTGGATGTCTTGTCCTTGGCAGAGATGTCCTGGCTTTGTTCCCACGCGATCGTCGCGGCCGCGTTGTGTCTTGAGCTCGCATCGTCTTTTTTTTTTTTTTTTTTGTACACAATTTTATTTCTCTAACAAACAGCATAGAGAAGTCATTTGGAAGTAAAAGGGAACTACAGACCAAACTCTTCAGTGCACCATCCACCAGTCGCAGTCCGGTCCAGAACCTGGCTCTGCGCAACAATTGTCGCTGCTCTTCACAGCTTAAACGGAAGAAAATAAAACTAGATACGAATGAAGGGGATTCTTCCCATCCTCTCCATCATTGACAACCTCCTCCTTCCTAACAAACTCTCCAACAAACGCTCGTCAGCAGCGCGTGGGTCCTTGGTCGCCCCAGGGCACCTTCCTTCACAATGTGTGGCTAGCGAAGCGCCACACGGACAGAAACCATCATGCGTGATGTAACCGTATCCTTGACTCCAGTCACCTCGGGGGCCTGTGTACTTGGATGTCTTGTCCTTGGCAGAGATGCCCTGGCTTTGTTCCCACGCGATCGTCGCGGAGCACCGAGGTTTCCAGATCAGCTCCGAGGCCTGCGCCTCCAGGTAGCCAACAAACTTGTGAAGGACTGTCTTGGCGATGGACATTGGGGTCCGGAAGACCGCGGACCATTCAGTCAACATGCTCAAGGGGGTGATGCCGCGGAGGAGATCCGACACATTCCACATCGGTTTCTCGTCTCGATCGGGAGCTGGACTACCGCTGTGCACGGCTCGAGCTCCACCGATGGAGGAAAATCCTCGTACATGATCTGCATCCGAAGGGGGCCACCAGTGTATGGGTACTGGCCTCGGTACCTGACGACCTCTGTCCACCGCGCGTTTGTATTCCCGCTTCCTGGCTGCGTTGTAGCTGTTTGTCGCCTGCACACCCCACTCATTAATCTTGCCCATGGCCTCCTTCCAGATCTCAGTGGTGGTCTCAGCTGCCGAAGGGCATTTCCAGACGTGATCGTTATCCTCCTTCTCGAGCTCGCATCGTCGGCACACGCATGTTGGGTACAGGTTGGGCTTGCGAGCCTGCATGGAGTTCAGAGTGGGCAGCATTCCATGCAGCTTTTTGATGTGATGTGTTCTTTGATGGGAGTCCTTGCTGTTGCTGTAAAAGGTGAAGACTGCGTGCCTGTCGTGGACATAAGCCAAGGTCGAGTTCCATTCCACGTCCTCGATGTCAGGGATCGCCCTCTTGACCCGCCTCTGTGACGTCCAGGCCTGATGGTGACGGATTGTCGATTGTTGTTTGAGGAGCTGACGTAGATCGATTTCAACAATCCCGCCGTAACAATGTGCAAAGGTCGTGATATCCGTCTGTTGAGTGAGATCCACCATCCAGGGCACTGAACCACTCTGTGCTGCCACCTTCGCCGCCTGATCCGCAAGTTCGTTTCCGTGGATGTTGCTGTGACCTTTGATCCACACCACCTCAACCCCGCCTGGCCGAGATTCCACAACCTGCCAAAGCACCGCCCAGATACCCGCATATGTACTCCTGAATCGCTTCCTCGGTAAGGTGTCCCGACGATTCTTCACCAGGCGACTATACTGTTCCACCACTGACTGATTGTCCAGCTTGACCACAATGTCCTGTTCCGGTGGTGCTGACAAGACTGCGGCTAATAAGGAGGCCTTTCAAGTCCAAATTATCATATGGTGTTTGTTACATCTCTGCAGATCTTGACGATATCCACCGCGTCCATTAGAGGAGAGTGTATGTATGATATCAACCATTTAAAACAACCACTGTAACATTCCTTGCGCGATTATCCTACTAAACACAACTACATTCTCCAAACAACAAAGTCTTCTTATTTTTCGCACACCAAACTCTTGAATATGTCCATCTACTATTAACCTGTAACCCTCACTGCAAGATTCGACAGAGTAGTTCTTGTATGTGATCATCTAAAGCACTTGTATTCCCAACTGTATCTTTGTCGTGAAATACAGGGGAGAGATTACATTTTAAAAATTCTTGTGCTGTCTATTGCTATTTTATTCTGTGTTCTGTTGCCCACTATGAAGAGATATGCCAGTTATGGAAGTCAACACTCCGTTCCTTGGACTTTGGATATTTTTTATATGCCTTTTTATATCCTCTGCACATGAAGGGGCCGCTAAGCCCATGAGCTCGGCCTTAGCCGAGGATGCGTGACCGTCCGTTCGTCCTTGTACTGTCAGAGGGTTGTCCTGAGTGAGATCCACCACTCCAAAGGCCTGGGATACTTCTAGCGTTCCCGAGTTCAGAAGAGATCCGTCAGAGTACAGGGCGCGAGGGGTGGAGTTGTCGACGTGTGTGTCCTGAACTACGCGCATGGACGCCGCCTCTACTGGAGACAGGCAAAGGGGGCCGATCTGTGTGGTCGGGGGTCCTGGTACTGGCGGTGGTTGGACTTGATGGCGTTCTTGCAAAGGAAAGCTAGCATCTGTGTCAAAGGCTGGCTTGTATCGTGGTTTCGTTTCCTTGAGGCTGGATAGGATCTCTTTTAGGCGGGCGACGACCAAGCGGTGTTGTTGACGGAGTGCTTCCTTTTCCTTTTTTTGCTGCAGTCTCCTGGCTTGGGAGGATTCCAGCTGTTGCACCCTCAGTCGATAGTCCTCTGCTTTCCTGATCAGCCTGATCTCCAAATCCGAGCGAAGAGAGACAAGGCGATGAGCACGGTATTCGTTGACGGCCTCGGTGGCCCGGCGACGTATCCCAAGGGCGACGGTCTTGCGACGACTAGAAATGGACTTGATGCGGGCGGCTGCGTTGTCGGCCTGAGTATTGGTCATCAAAAGAATGGCAGCCAGTTCTTGTGGTTTCCTGGCAAGTTGACTCCGGTATCGGCTTCTGAGTCCATCATACTTTGTGTTGTCTGCCGACTGTTTTTTCCTGGTGTCGCTGTTGATGCGAAGGATCTCGGCATCGTATTCGGCCGCGGGACGGAGGAGACGCTCTCTGCAAGCGTCGTCCAGTGTGTTGACTGCTCGCTCAAAGACAAGATCGGTTGTATCAGGCGGGAGAGGTGAGGGGATGGCGAGAGTTGCTGGAGTGGGGGTGGTGAGAGTTGCTGGAGTGGGGGAGAATGTTGGAGTAGGGGGACATGTTGGAGTGTTAGGAGTGTTGGGTGGTGGAGTACCTGTCAGAGAAGGGCCGGGACTCAAAACTGGAGTTGGAACAGTGACAGGCGAAAGAGCCGGCGATGAGACGGGACTCGAGACTGGAGCAGGAACGACGACCTGCGAAAGGACTGGAGACGATAATAGCGAAGGAGGAGTGGATGAGAGTGAAGGAGATGGTGACTGAGGAGAAGGTGACTGAGGAAAGATTGACTGAGGAAAGATTGACTGAGGGAGAGAGAGGAGAGAAGGAAGAGAAGAGAGAGAAGAGAGAGAAGAGAGAGAAGAGAGAGAAGAGAGAGGAGAGGGAGAAGAGAGAGAAGATAGATTTTTTTTTTTTTTCGTACACAATTTTATTTCTCTAACAAACAGCATAGAGAAGTTATTTGGAAGTAAAAGGGGACTACATACCAAACTCTTCAGTGCACCATCCACCAGTCGCAGTCCGGTCCAGAACCTGGCTCTGCGCAACAATTGTCGCTGCTCTTCACAGCTTAAACGGAAGAAAATAAAACTAGATACGAATGAAGGGGATTCTTCCCATCCTCTCCATCATTGACAACCTCCTCCTTCCTAACAAACTCTCCAACAAACGCTCGTCAGCAGCGCGTGGGTCCTTGGTCGCCCCAGGGCACCTTCCTTCACAATGTGTGGCTAGCGAAGCGCCACACGGACAGAAACCATCATGCGTGATGTAACCGTATCCTTGACTCCAGTCACCTCGGGGGCCTGTGTACTTGGATGTCTTGTCCTTGGCAGAGATGCCCTGGGTCTGCTCCCACGCGATCGTCGCGGAGCACCGAGGTTTCCAGATCAGCTCCGAGGCCTGCGCCTCCAGGTAGCCAACAAACTTGTGAAGGACTGTCTTGGCGATGGACATTGGGGTCCGGAAGACCGCGGACCATTCAGTCAACATGCTCAAGGGGGTGATGCCGCGGAGGAGATCCGACACATTCCACATCGGTTTCTCGTCTCGATCGAGAGCTGGACTACCGCTGTGCACGGCTCGAGCTCCACCGATGGAGGAAAATCCTCGTACATGATCTGCATCCGAAGGGGGCCACCAGTGTATGGGTACTGGCCTCGGTACCTGACGACCTCTGTCCACCGCGCGTTTGTATTCCCGCTTCCTGGCTGCGTTGTAGCTGTTTGTCGCCTGCACACCCCACTCATTAATCTTGCCCATGGCCTCCTTCCAGATCTCAGTGGTGGTCTCAGCTGCCGAAGGGCATTTCCAGACGTGATCGTTATCCTCCTTCTCGAGCTCGCATCGTCGGCACACGCATGTTGGGTACAGGTTGGGCTTGCGAGCCTGCATGGAGTTCAGAGTGGGCAGCATTCCATGCAGCTTTTTGATGTGATGTGTTCTTTGATGGGAGTCCTTGCTGTTGCTGTAAAAGGTGAAGACTGCGTGCCTGTCGTGGACATAAGCCAAGGTCGAGTTCCATTCCACGTCCTCGATGTCAGGGATCGCCCTCTTGACCCGCCTCTGTGACGTCCAGGCCTGATGGTGACGGATTGTCGATTGTTGTTTGAGGAGCTGACGTAGATCGATTTCAACAATCCCGCCGTAACAATGTGCAAAGGTCGTGATATCCGTCTGTTGAGTGAGATCCACCATCCAGGGCACTGAACCACTCTGTGCTGCCACCTTCGCCGCCTGATCCGCAAGTTCGTTTCCGTGGATGTTGCTGTGACCTTTGATCCACACCACCTCAACCCCGCCTGGCCGAGATTCCACAACCTGACAAAGCACCGCCCAGATACCCGCATATGTACTCCTGAATCGCTTCCTCGGTAAGGTGTCCCGACGATTCTTCACCAGGCGAGAGAGAAGATAGAGGAGCTCGCATCGTCGGGAGAAGGTCCAAAAACGTTCTGAGGGGCCCCAGGAGGGTCCCAGACGGTTCCCGAGTTTCATAGTATTCAAATAGGTCACAAAATTACGATTTCCACAAGCCAATATAGTATAATGGTTAGTATATCTCGTTGTGGCCGAGACGATCCTGGTTCGATTCCAGGTGTTGGCAGAGCTTTCATCTTTTGAATTTTCAATTTTTTTCACTCATTGTCCTAAAGGAAGGATGAAGATGACACCATGCTTTTGCAAACATGTCAGAATAGCTGCTGTGTTGACACACAATTCGAGATGTTAAGAACTTTCCAATAGTCGCGTGTATTCGCACACCGAAGAATATAAACAAGAACCGTTCGGTGCTACAAGACCGCGTGGATACTTTTTCCTTTGGATGAATCTATTTGACAACATAGACCATCTGCCTTGCCCTGTATTCAAGATACCGCAATGGAACTCCCATTCTTGGTGGTATTACATCGGTGCGTTTCCTGAGTACCCCGTTCGTCAAAGTGGCCCTTTTCAAACAAAATTAACACTGACGGTTGTAAGAGGTATTTACTACACACTCTCCGGTGCTTAAAACAACGTTTACATCTAGTTTATTACGGTCGGACAGGTTTTTACAAAGAGCGCCATATGAGTATTACATGTCAATATATCCAGATAATCTGACATGGCAATGTCAGAATAGTTTTTCTTGAAAGAGATAATTTGACAGCACATGTTAGATAATCGAAGAAAACGTTAGTTATTCTGACATCTAATAAAAATAATATAAACATTGCTCGTTATTGGTGCCTTATACGGTGCCCCATAGTATTTCCCTCTCATTGCCCTCGGTTTAGAGTTTAGGCGTTGCCAAGGGTTGATATACACGCCGCCTTCTCTAACTGTTGCTCACCCCTCCCTCACCCAGCCTGCCCTGGGCCGCGGCAACACTGTCAATGGGGCTTGCATGGCACCGGATGCATGGCTCTATATGGATCTTAGCAAAGGTTAAGGAGAAGCAGGGGAGGTGAGAAATGGAATGTGATTGCGTGTGCAGGCGGTTCACGGCTAGCACTCGACGTTGAATTCCGAGTCGCGAACCTCGAACTTCTTGCTGGCACTTTCGCTGAAAATCCTTACTTAAGATTTCAGCCGTTTGTTGCGAGGCCGAGCTTTGGCGTCACCACGTTGAGCTCCGCGAGCGCTGGCAACAACTATTATCCAATGATGGGCAACGATTGTCGATAAACCGTGGCAATGGTTAAATAAAGTTGAAAATCCAATGGCGCCGTTTAACGGCAATGAGAGGAAAATACTATTGGGCACCGTAAAAGGCGCCAAAAATGGGTGGGCAGCATATTAAACATTGTCCAGGGGCAATATTTATATATTTCCTTGCCTAAATGAGTGGACCAACCCGTCGGGTAATGGTCACCAAGTGAAGGCAGTGATGAGGATGACTTAGCGTGAATTCTGATGAGAGGGACAAGTGCAAGATGAACTATGTATGGTATCCAAAAAAAAAATTGGCTGTTGGACCCCCTGACTGCTATTTTTTTTTCGTTTGTGTTTGTGTACAAACCCCGTGCAAAGGTGGTCACTGAATGAAGGCGACGATGGATATGGCCAGCTTTTTTAAGCATGGTGAGAAGAATGGGATCCCAGACAGGCATTCGCAGTTCACTTTGCATCTGGTTTATGTTAGTAGCATCAATACCTTCCTCTGTTCGCTCCCCATTCTAATGCTTAAAGAGCCATACCTTCTTTTTGCAACTTGTTATAGAAATATCGAAAAAAGTGAGCACTAACACCGTCCTTGAATTTTTCAGGTTTAGTGGCGTTCATATCTTTACCTCTTTCTATTCATTGATACATTTGAACAGGTATCCATGAGTGAAACGGGTTCACCGGTATTGATAAGCTAAGTGAAGGCGGAGTAAAAGACCATGTTTGTCTATTTTCCTCTGAATGACAAAAAAAAGAGTGTAACTTTGGAAAAAAATGTTAGGTGGCATGCTGACAACATCAACGTTCATTGATCATTCTTACTTTCTCGTCGCTGTGAAAGTGCACATCTTTCACAGACGAACGGAAAGCAATTACTCTCATTTCTTCCTTCTCTCTACAACCTGCATTGCCGCTGAACTACTGCAAGCAAAACGGCTTGTGGATGGGAAAACAACAACATTAGTCAAAAAAAATTCGGCCCTCAACAACAAGAATCTCGCTGTCAAACCCAATTGCAACATCTTATTTTTGTAAGCTCAATCGTAACATGAACACAATATCCTTTCTCGCCTCCCGAGATGAACTTCGATAATCCTGAAGGCTGACATCCAACAACGCCCTTTCTACCACATGGTATGCGAGCTTTATGCGCGCGTTCTTTACGCACTTTTTTTCTGCTTTTTTTTTTACCTGTACACAATTTTATTTCGCTGACAAAACAGCACAGAAAAGGCATTTGGAAGTAAAAGGGAACTACACACCAAACTCTTCGGTGCGCCATCCATCAGTTGTAGTCCGGTCCAGAACCTGGCTCTGCACAACAATTGTTGCTGCTCTTCACAGCTTAAACGGAAGAAAATAAAACTAGATACGAATGAAGGGGATTCTTCCCATCCTCTCCATCATTGACAACCTTCTCCTTCCTAACTTTTTTTTTTTTTTCGTACACAATTTTATTTCTCTGACAAACAGCATAGAGAAGTTATTTGGAAGTAAAAGGGAACTACAGACCAAACTCTTCAGTGCACCATCCACCAGTCGCAGTCCGGTCCAGAACCTGGCTCTGCGCAACAATTGTCGCTGCTCTTCACAGCTTAAACGGAAGAAAATAAAACTAGATACGAATGAAGGGGATTCTTCCCATCCTCTCCATCATTGACAACCTCCTCCTTCCTAACAAACTCTCCAACAAACGCTCGTCAGCAGCGCGTGGGTCCTTGGTCGCCCCAGGGCACCTTCCTTCACAATGTGTGGCTAGCGAAGCGCCACACGGACAGAAACCATCATGCGTGATGTAACCGTATCCTTGACTCCAGTCACCTCGGGGGCCTGTGTACTTGGATGTCTTGTCCTTGGCAGAGATGCCCTGGGTCTGCTCCCACGCGATCGTCGCGGAGCACCGAGGTTTCCAGATCAGCTCCGAGGCCTGCGCCTCCAGGTAGCCAACAAACTTGTGAAGGACTGTCTTGGCGATGGACATTGGGGTCCGGAAGACCGCGGACCATTCAGTCAACATGCTCAAGGGGGTGATGCCGCGGAGGAGATCCGACACATTCCACATCGGTTTCTCGTCTCGATCGAGAGCTGGACTACCGCTGTGCACGGCTCGAGCTCCACCGATGGAGGAAAATCCTCGTACATGATCTGCATCCGAAGGGGGCCACCAGTGTATGGGTACTGGCCTCGGTACCTGACGACCTCTGTCCACCGCGCGTTTGTATTCCCGCTTCCTGGCTGCGTTGTAGCTGTTTGTCGCCTGCACACCCCACTCATTAATCTTGCCCATGGCCTCCTTCCAGATCTCAGTGGTGGTCTCAGCTGCCGAAGGGCATTTCCAGACGTGATCGTTATCCTCCTTCTCGAGCTCGCATCGTCGGCACACGCATGTTGGGTACAGGTTGGGCTTGCGAGCCTGCATGGAGTTCAGAGTGGGCAGCATTCCATGCAGCTTTTTGATGTGATGTGTTCTTTGATGGGAGTCCTTGCTGTTGCTGTAAAAGGTGAAGACTGCGTGCCTGTCGTGGACATAAGCCAAGGTCGAGTTCCATTCCACGTCCTCGATGTCAGGGATCGCCCTCTTGACCCGCCTCTGTGACGTCCAGGCCTGATGGTGACGGATTGTCGATTGTTGTTTGAGGAGCTGACGTAGATCGATTTCAACAATCCCGCCGTAACAATGTGCAAAGGTCGTGATATCCGTCTGTTGAGTGAGATCCACCATCCAGGGCACTGAACCACTCTGTGCTGCCACCTTCGCCGCCTGATCCGCAAGTTCGTTTCCGTGGATGTTGCTGTGACCTTTGATCCACACCACCTCAACCCCGCCTGGCCGAGATTCCACAACCTGACAAAGCACCGCCCAGATACCCGCATATGTACTCCTGAATCGCTTCCTCGGTAAGGTGTCCCGACGATTCTTCACCAGGCGACTATACTGATCCACCACTGACTGATTGTCCAGCTTGACCACAATGTCCTGTTCCGGTGGTGCTGACAGGACTGCGGCTAATAAGCCCATGAGCTCGGCCTTAGCCGAGGATGCGTGACCGTCCGTTCGTCCTTGTACTGTCAGAGGGTTGTCCTGAGTGAGATCCACCACTCCAAAGGCCTGGGATACTTCTAGCGTTCCCGAGTTCAGAAGAGATCCGTCAGAGTACAGGACGCGAGGGGTGGAGTTGTCGACGTGTGTGTCCTGAACTACGCGCATGGACGCCGCCTCTACTGGAGACAGGCAAAGGGGGCCGATCTGTGTGGTCGGGGGTCCTGGTACAGGCGGTGGTTGGACTTGATGGTGTTCTTGCAAAGGAAAGCTAGCATCTGTGTCAAAGGCTGGTTTGTATCGTGGTTTCGTTTCCTTGAGGCTGGATAGGATCTCTTTTAGGCGAGCGACGACCAAGCGGTGTTGTTGACGGAGTGCTTCCTTGTCCTTTTTCTGCTGCAGTCTCCTGGCTTGGTGTTGTTGACGGAGTGCTTCCTTTTCCTCTTTCTGCTGCAGTCTCCTGGCTTGGTGTTGTTGATGGAGTGCCTCTGTTTCTTTCTGCTGTTGCAGTTTCCTGGCTTGGGAGGATTCCAGCTGTTGCACCCTCAATCGATAGTCCTCTGCTTTCCTGGTCAGCCTGATCTCCAAATCCGAGCGAAGAGAGACAAGGCGATGAGCACGGTATTCGTTGACGGCCTCGGTGGCCCGGCGACGTATCCCAAGGGCGACGGTCTTGCGACGACTAGAAATTGACTTGATGCGGGCGGCTGCGTTGTCGGCCTGAGTATTGGTCATCAAAAGAATGGCAGCCAGTTCTTGTGGTTTCCTGGCAAGTTGACTCCGGTATCGGCTTCTGAGTCCATCATACTTTGTGTTGTCTGCCGACTGTTTTTTCCTGGTGTCGCTGTTGATGCGAAGGATCTCGGCATCGTATTTGGCCGCGGGACGGAGGAGACGCTCTCTGCAAGCGTCGTCCAGTGTGTCGACTGCTCGCTCAAAGACAAGATCGGTTGTATCAGGCGGGAGAGGTGAGGGGGTGGTGAGAGTTGCTGGAGTGGGGGTGGTGAGAGTTGCTGGAGTGGGGGAGAATGTTGGAGTAGGGGGACATGTTGGAGTGTTAGGAGTGTTGGGTGGTGGAGTACCTGTCAGAGAAGGGCCGGGACTCAAAACTGGAGTTGGAACAGTGACAGGCGAAAGAGCCGGCGATGAGACGGGACTCGAGACTGGAGCAGGAACGACGACCTGCGAAAGGACTGGAGACGATAATAGCGAAGGAGGAGTGGATGAGAGTAAAGGAGAAGGTGACTGAGGAGAAGGTGACTGAGGAAAGATTGACTGAGGGAGAGAGAGGAGAGAAGGAAGAGAAGAGAGAGAAGAGAGAGAAGAGAGAGGAGAGAGAGAAGAGAGAGGAGAGAGAGAAGAGAGAGGAGAGAGAGAAGAGAGAGGAGAGAGAGAAGAGAGAGGAGAGAGAGAAGAGAGAGAAGGATCAAAGAGAATAGAAGAGATTGGCGCAGAGAAAAGATCAAGAGGGTTGAAATTGGAGAACGAAGAGAGGGGAAGCAAAGAAAGAGGGGCAAGGGAAAAAGAAGTAGAAAGAAGAGGAGGAAATATAGGAGGAGAAGAAGATATAAAGAGGGAAGACGATTGATTGACAATAAAAGAAGAAACGTCAAAAATAAGAGAGGTATCGGAAGAGAAAGGTACACCCAAGTGGGGCACAGACGACAAAAGAGAAGATAACAAAGGATTGGAAGAGAAAGAAGAAGAGGAAGAAGAAGAGGAGGAAAAAGTAACAAGTGGCTCACAAGGCAAGGCAGGACAAACATCCGACTCTGCGGCAGCGGGAAAGGAAAAAGAAGAGGAAGAGGACGCGTAAAAGGAATCATAAAAGGACAGAGAAGAAAGAAAAGAAGATGAAGAAGAACCAGAGCATGACCCTTGCAGGCAACACTCCTTACCCCACGCCCTCTTATCGTTAACAAAACCTGCCTTGCCAATAACAAACCCATTCCCACGCTCATCTATGCGTTCAATTGCGCGTGTCGTTTTTGTCTTGGTCGATAAAAAAATTTCTTGTCCTTTTTTCTTTTTGTCCCTCAAGGATGTGTCCGGGTATAATAACCCCCTGTTATCGCGCTGGACCTTTTTTCTTTTTGTGTTTTCTTTATACACACCCTCAAGTCTCACCTCATCACCTCCATGGCTTTTCTTACCGCGACCCTCGCCAACATCAGCACCACCACCACCTTCAGCAAAAACTGATGGAGCTGCAGTCGCCAAAGGTTGGAGGCATACCTGTATGGGGTCGACAGACGTACCAAGGTCTAGTACTGTCGTTGCGGTGGTTCTGTTAAACGCAAAGGCACGAGCTGGAGAAACGATCTCCACGCCTCTTTGTTGCCCTCGTCGGCGTTCGATGGCCCGATTGATCAATGGCTCTTCCTCGGAGGAGTCGCCGTCTTCGTACAACACCTCTGGACTTGCAGGCGTAATAGAATGGCCCTCCTCGACGATAAGGGAAGACGCCGGGGCGTCGACGGAGGCAGCAGCTGGCATAGCCAAGGTGACGACTTTCACCAGTTCCTTGAACCAACGGCGGACAGGACCTTTCAAATTGTACTGTGCTCGGATATCCTGCCATGGAGCCAGAGATTGGCCATCGTCTGTCGACACATCATCCAGAGTGACAACTCCGTCCACAAAGAGTCGGTGGGCGATTTTTGGGTATCCGCCTGGGGGCATAAGGAGGCCGATGTATCGAGAAACGTTGACAGGGATCCCTGGCGACTGGAAGGTGATACCCCTCTCGACCATGAGGCGGCAAACGTGTCCGAAGAAATTGTTGCGAAGGAATTGAGCTCCAATGGTTGGTACGTCAAAGGGGGATATCGTAAGGCGGCACTCTGCTTGATGGGCTGTTGCTCGAGACGCCATCACCATGCCCAGCAGCTCCTGGTCGTTTAGCCGCAGATGTGCAGTTGAAACTTGCTCCTCGATCATGGCATCTTCAAGGTCTCGGAGACCGTACAGTCGACGATGGAACAGGATGCTGGCCGGCGAGCCGAGGGGCAGCCCCACCTTCTGGCGAACGACGTTGGTGTACTGGCTGACAATGGTCTTTGTCTCGCGAGGGCTAAGGATTGTCACTGACAACCGGTAAAGTATCCGTGGCAGTAGAACATTATTGAAGATGTAAATGCACTGCTTGTCGGTGATAGCCTTCCGCGAGAGTATCTGACACATCGTTGACACCTCCTCCTTCACTAGCCGGCGTGTATGGGCTCCCTTTCCGTCAGCAGAGAACCACACACCCAGGACCCTGGCAGCAGTGCCAGGAGGTAGAGCGGTCACCGTATCCGCACCGAGTCTAATAGAGGAATCAGCAGAGGTAGAATTGACCACGATTAGTTCTGATTTTTTTGGGTTAATCTCAATACCATGTAATTGAAAGAAACTCATCGCTTTGTTTGTGATCTCTTGTAGCTTAGCCTTAGACGGTGCTATCCAGTCCGTGTCGTCCATGAAGGCAAGGCAGGCAATGCGGAGCGGGGTGTCAGGATGCAGTGAGTCGAACGTTGGGATCTTGTGGAACGCCTGCAGGTCAGCCCTGTTAACCATAGGGTAGCCGAGGTTGGACTGCCAGATCTGGGCGAGGAGTACTTCATAGACGATGCGCCAAAGTAGGGGACACTCTACTCCACCCTGATCCAGGCCGCAGAGAGGAGAGTATTCTTCCGTAAGTCCGTATGCGGTGATGATACGATTGGTCTTGTTTCTCGCGACGTAAAGGCACAGGTCGATGAACCCCTGTGGGATCTTGAGATGTCGCAGACCGAGTTCCAGCATTCCACCTCTCTGACACGATACCGAATCAAAGCACCGCTTCATGTCCTGCAGCAGCACCCAGACCTCTTTCTTGTACTCTCTGGCGTCCTCGAGAACCGCGTTCAGGATATGGATCGGGTCCTTGGTCATGGTTCCCTTGAGCACTGAGAAGTTGGGGCCGCGAAAGATGGAGTGGCGAGACAGCACCACGGTAAGCCGTTTCACCATGATGGAGAAGAATATCTTCCTGCCGTGCTCCAAAAGTGTGATAGGGCGTACCTCACTAATCCTTCCCGACCACACCGGCCCTTTCGGTATGCAATAGATCACCCCCTTCAGCCAATCCTCCGGCATCGCTCCTTGTACAAAGCACGCCTGAACTAGGACGACAAAAAGTGCTTGGGCAAGGGGGCCAAGCCGCTTCAAAAGATCTCCTGACACCTTCGAATGTCCTGGTGCCTTGCCTGTTGGATCCTCCTTCCTAACAAACTCTCCAACAAATATACTGCTTGGACTACGTCACCGCTTCTCTTGATCGCTGCTGCTCAAGTTGGTGGCGTCAGATGAAAAGTAGATCGTTTCTGTCATCCATTCATATCCACTTTGCCCGCTTAGCTCATTGGTAGAGCGTCTGCCTAGTAAGCAGAAGGTAGCAGGTTCGATCCCTGCAGTGGGCACTTTCATATCATCTCATCAATCAAGTGATGAGTTCTTGTTTTGTTCCTCTTCGGAGCAAGGGACGACTGACAGCTCGTAGTGCACGGATGAAGATATTCTGACTGTAATGTCAGATTACTTATTCTGACATTACAGTCAGATTATCCAGATATTTTGACAGCGTGTCAGATTAACTAGATATTCTGACATTACAAAAAGATATTCTGACAATGGATGTCAGAATATCTTTGCCTCACAGAAGCTAATCTGACAGCACTAATGTCAGATTATCCACCTACAAAAAGATATTCTGACAACATGCTTTTGGAGACATGTCAGAATATCTTTTTGTGCTGTCAGAATAGCTGCTGTGTTCTCATACAGTTAACGACGTTAAGAGCTTCACATTGGCTTTGACAACACCATCGTGATCGTGTGCATGCTTTCTTTCCTCTACACGGCCGTTTCGACGCCGTCAAGAGGTGACGGCAAGACTAAAAATTAGTAACCATCGTTCAATCTACAAATATTATTGTATAACTTCTCCATCTTTATTTATGTATTTTGATACGTGTGTGAAGGATGGAGGAAACAGGATTGATCGTATTCAATAAACGGCACCGCTCCATGGTTGGAACGCTTCCTTATTATTGGTGGGGCTTGCGCTGGACGCTATTTTGATTCTTGAACATGGGATATAATCTCTCGAAAGTATTGTCAATATGCAGCATGTCGTTCAAGGGGAGCACATTGCGGCCTCTCCATGTGCAAAGGAGATAACAAGGCATATACAAAATATCCAAAGCCCAAGGAATACAGTGTTGACTTCCATAGCTGATGTATCTCTTTAAAGTCGGCAATAGAACATGAAATAAAATAGCAATAGATAGCACATGTTTTTTTAAAATGTAATCTCTCCCCTGTATTTCACGACAAAATACAGCTGAGGATACAAGTGCTTTAGATGATCACATACAAGAAGTACTCCCCTTGATCTTGCAGTGAAGGTTACAGTTTAATAGTAGATGGACACATTCAAGAGATTGGTGTGCGAAAAATAAGAAGACTTTGTTGTTTGGAGAATAGGTTGGTGTTTAGTGGGATAGTTATGCAAGGAATGTTACAGTGGTTGTTTTACATGGTGGATATTATACATACACTCTCCTCTAATGGTCGTTGTAGATATTGTCAAGGTCTGCAGAGATGTAACATATACTATATTACAATTTGGACTTGAAAGGCCTCCATTATTGTTGTTGTTGTTGTCATTTTGCCTACAATCCGCTGAAGATTTCGTAACTGACTGGCGAGTTCATTTTGTTGGCATCTCTGATCAAAGATGACCTGCTGCTACCCAAGCATTTGATTCTGTTGAAATTGAATTGGGGTCCAGAAAAGGATTCACGAAAAAGCATCAAACTCGCACAATGGCACTGGAATAGCATTTGACGAGCCGGGCTCCTTCTTAGGATGAGAACACACCCTGTGTCTGGAAGGGAAATCACCACAGGCGTTATCGAATGCACTCGACGAATATGGTCCTTCTCTTTTTTCATCAATACAGCGCCGGCGTCACCCTTATCTACTCTCTGCTTCTTCTCAATCAACCCCTTGACACACAGGAAATATGAGCATCGGCCTTGCCCTCGGCTTTTTCGCTGCCTTTGTTACTGCCTTTGATATTGGGGTTGTTGGCAAGTGGTTTTTTAGGATCAATGGCGGGTGGCGCATGAAGATTTTCGCATGGCTGGTGGGAGGGATTGTCATATGCGTGATTGGGAGGATTGTCGTATATTAAGTGATCGTGGGGTGGGGTAATGTTGTGCAGGTGGTAGGGAGGATTGTTGTGTAGCGGGTAACGGTGGGGTGGGGATAAGGGCGATAAGTGGGTGTTGTGTGAAGGCGACCAAGGGACGGACCACTTGAGGATGGGCCCTCAGAAGATGGGCCATCAGCGGACGAGGGGATGGAGGACAATGCTATAGGGTGAGCGCCAGGCCATGGTATATAGGACCGATAGTGGAAGTGTGGTGGAGTGGATTTAAAAGGAGATAAGGAGCTTGAGTAATTTGACAAAAACTAAACAGCGCTCTCAAGCAACGTTAGCATGTTGACAATAACCTGTTCTTGTTCGCCATGCGTTTTGTTCGGCTCGCTTCCATCCATTTCATATTACGAGGGTTGGAAACTTTTGGATGGAAGCGAGCCTAGCGTTTTGTCCTCTTTTTGGACAAAGCTGTTGGCGTGTTGGGACTCCCATATTCTGTTACCTCTACTTGTTTCACATGTATGCATGTATATCTTTCTTGCCATTTTTCCTTCTACCACCTCTCTCTGTGTTCCATGTTTCATGTCTTTCTTCGTGCTGCAGCGCAAGCAGCTACTGCCGGCCGTAGGTTGGTCGTTTCCATAAAAGTAAAATAGGCAAAACGACCAATCTCCATAAAAGTAAAATTAGAAAAACGGGCACCTTCCATGAAAGTAAAATTAGGCCAAAACGACCAGGCGAATTCAGACTTGAGATCTTTTTTTACATCAGCAATAGCTTTTCTCACAGGCATCCGAATGCGATGGGAGTAGTTGTATTGGATAGAAGGCCATCTACGCTTTCTCCCTGTATCACTCTCAGGGCGCCAGGCTGGGTAGATCTCATTCGGCAGCCAGAAAACATCATTTTGGACACTAGACTCGGCCTGAGCACTATAGCTAAATAATTTTGGTGGTGGTAACGTCATGATTATTTTTTGTTGGTCGTTTCCTTAAAGGTACAGTCGAAAGTGGTTTTTATGGTCATTTCCACTATCAAACTGACCGCAAAAACCACTTTCGACTGTAAAGGCTGGGTCTTCCTTTAGTTGTAAATTGGGAAGGATATGAACTATGTACGCGTGAGTTTTCTTATCCTCTCCATTAAAGATAGACGCGTTACCACCTTAACTACATCTCCACCAGCACTAGTAATCGGGCCTTCCTTCCTTCCTTAATTATGCCCCCTGTGTAGTAATATAATCTTTCTCTCTTTATGGCTCGCCCATCCCTCCTTTTCAGTACCCTTCGTCCTTGGGCATTTCATCTTTTTTAGCGGCCCCTCCATGTGCAGAGGATATAAAAAAGCATATAAAAAATATCCAAAGTCCAAGGAACGGAGTGTTGACTTCCATAACTGACATATCTCTTCATAGTGGGCAATAGAACACAGAATAAAATAGCAATAGACAGCACAAGATTTTTTAAAATGTAATCTCTCCTCTGTATTTCGCTCCAAAGATACAGTTGAGAGTACAAGTGTTTTAGATGATCAGATACAAGAACTACCCTGCTGAATCTTGCAGTGGGGGGTACAGTTTAATAGTAGATGGAGACATTCAAGAGATTGGTGTGCAAAAAATAAGAAGACTTTGTTGTTTGAAGAATATCATAGTATTTAGTAGGATAGTTAACAAAAAATGTTACAATGGTTGTCTTACATGCTTGGTATCATATATACATTCTCATCTCATAGTCGCTATGGATATCATCGAGATCTACAGAGATGTAACAAACACCATATGATAATTTGGACGTGAAAGGCCTCCCTTGCATTCAAGATACCGCAACAGAACTCGCGTTCTTGGCGGCATCAGACCGGTGCGTTTCCTAAGTGCCTCTTTCGTCATATCGACTCTTTTTAAAAAAAATTGACACTGACGGTAGTAGAAGTATTAAGCACACACATTCTCATTTACGTCAGTGCTTAAACAACCCTTAGATTTCACTATATTACAGTCGAGCAGCTCTCTAAAAAGAGCGCCATATGAGTATTACATGTCAGAATATCCAGATAATCTGACATTAGTGGAATGTCAGAATAGCATTTTCTTGAAAAAGATAATTTGACAGCTCATGTCAGATTAGCCAGGAAAACATTATTCTGACATCAATGTCAGATTAGTTATTCTGACATCCAATGAAAAAAATATGGTTAAGTCAGATTATCTCATATAAGCTTATTCTGACATTACAGTCAGATTAGTTATTCTGACATCTAATGTCAGTTTATCTTATTCCCGTAGTGCACTTCGACGAGTATCTGACATACTCTTTTGTTTGTCATTGAAGCCTGACGATTGTGTTTTTTGTTCTTTTATTCTTACGCTGTAGGCAAAGTTCATCACATTCATTTTTTTGTCGCATCGCAAGCCAGCAATACCCGATTGTGAGTTTGAGATGTTATTTTGAACATGGCTTTCACAGCGTGTTGCCGTCATGTCATTGATCGTTAACCATTGATAAAAAGTCGTTTGTCTCAAAAAACCATTAATCAACGTGTAGGGGATCAAATACTTTTGTCAATGAAACGGACCTCATATGAACATCATTATAGCGACGTGTTTGGAGGCGCATTGGCGATGCCCTTCTTTTTATTTCGCGTTATTCCTTTTTTTTTTTCTGCTTTTCTACCCTCGGTTCAATTTCATACACCACACAACGTCGAACCTCCCCGACAATGTCGCCAGACAGACAGCCATGAACGCGAAGCTCAGGACCTCAGGATCTTATTGGATTGTTGCATATGCATGAGTCCTGCCAAGCATGGAACTACATAACAAACTTGACTGGATCCCAGGACTCATGTTATCCTCGAACGCACTTTCCCCCCTTTATCGAAGAAGTGGATAAAGTCAATGGTATACCATATCAACGAAGTGAAATCCTTGGACCAAGCCTTGCAAACGCGAACGCAGGAGATGGCATCCTCCAAGGAGACTAAGCTACTGACCCGGGCTTTGATCTCGGGGATTTGGAGTGGATTCTTCTCGACTGAAGGGTTTATCATGATTGAGGTGTAAATAGGTGCAAGCGACATAATCAAAAGGACTCAATGAGAGAGGATGTTCATTTTATATGCAAGGAAAGAGAAAGGGCAGAATGAAGCCCCAAGATGTTGTCTTTTTTTATGTTAAAGGCGCGTGTTTGTACGTATGCGGCATATTCAAAACACAAATTAAGTGACACATGCTTGACTCTATCCCTTCGATTGTCAAGAAGACACAACACAGGTAGTGCGGACTGAATGAAGATATATAGCGATTGAATAGAAAAAATTGTCAGTTAGTGGCTTAGAATTAATCGGACAGTTTTTTGCGTCTTTCCAGGGAAAAGCTGGAAGGAAGCCCCGCAGCCGCAGGGGGAAAAAAATAAAAAGCCTATGGCGAACACAATAATCACGTAAGAGTGTTTGTGTTTATGTCCTATCTTCCTCACTCCGTACGCATTGATGGACGAGGAGGAGGAAGAGCAGGGAGAGCGACTTCTAGAAGAGGAACGACTTCAAGCACAGGGGGCCGACGAGGAAGAGGAGGTGTATCATGATGGACCGAAGCCGTTTGATGAGGCCAACTACCCTCTTCATTTTTTCTACGAGCATTACTTCGCACAGTTCCCAATGGATAAGACACTACAAGACACTGATAGCGATTATAGCGCCAGTAGTGCGGATGAAGATGACTCCGAGAACGATGAGGATAAACCTGCAGAGGCAGCTCATACCCATACCTCTATCATGACACGCAGAAGAAAGGCGCAGGGATGGGTCCAACCACCAGTGAAGAAGTCACGGTTAGACCAGCGTACAAGGGTGAGGCCAAGTCGACTTCAAGATGTCGGGGACGTCGAGGATGTTGAGAGTGCTGAGGGCGGTGAAGGACTGCAAACATCATGATCAGGATCAGTCTACCGCAGCGACGGTATCGATGCAGAGGTCGGGAGAATCTTTTGAGAAGTACCAACAGCGTATGAGATGGGACCGAGAGCTTGATGCCATGAAGGCGAGTTCCCTGAACAAGGCCAAAGAATCCAATCCCAATAAGGTCAAGCTCAACAAGAAGGAGTTGGATGCCGTTCATTTGAGACACAGGGAAAAACTTGCCCTATACGAGTCGTCAGACTTGCGAATTCAACAACATGCGAGAGGCACCAGGACGGCATATGGTCAATTTCATCGGCATTGGAGGGTAGGTACTATTTCTTAATTATTGCTTCTAACATTTTCATGATTTATCGGTTTTGATTTTAACTTTATTTATTGGATTCATATTATCTACTTTACCCGTAGAGATGGTGCAAGCGGAAAGGATACCGGATGGAAGAGAGTAGGAAGGTCGATTTTCGAGTCCAGTACGAGAAGTTCTTTCTTTGGTTGAGAGAAGGCACGGCAGTGGAAGGATATGATGGTGAGGGGGATCGTAAGATGGCAGTTTTGCCTTTCTTTGCGACGAGCAATGTCCAGGTCTCTGAGTACAGTGCCAATGGGAGGGGAAGGGCCATATCCAGGCGTATTAGGTGAGCTATAATCATGTGTATCACCTAGACGAGGAGTACAAATGGGCTCTTCGTCCCTGAATTAAGCAGACCCCTTTCTTTGTTTCATTGTTCACTTTTTCCTATGCTAACACTACCCATCACTATCATTACCCTGGTTAATATTTTCTATTAGAGATCTGCCCAGCCTATCAACACTACTCCAACATATCAACGGCGTTAACGACCTTCGCATGTCGCAAGGGAACAATGGATTTTTGAAGGAAGGAGGAGGTCCCATAAGTGCCATACGTGGTGCAGCAGTCGATGCAATCACCAGCGCTTACAAAACACGAATTGCCGGCGACCCAAGGACGGAATCAAAGAAATACGCTACCATCAATCATGCAGACGGAAGGGAACTCGACAAATTGCAGGATGTAATGAAGGCGGCATGGATGGATCGATACCCCAAGGACGAGGACAGCAAAGGCGGCAAGAATCAGCCCCATAAGCTCACCAGTCTCCGCGCCCGTCTGATTGTCTCTTGGAAGCATTTTATGATGATGCGAGGAGAGAACATTCGAATGGCCCAATTGCCTCATATCAATTTCCACCACTTCGCAAACTTGACTGGTGCAATCACCGGGCCCCGACCGAGTACTTTCGCCATTGTCCTGATCATGACACAAGGAAAAACTCTACGACATGGTGGCTGCACCTACGGCGTTGCTGTTAGGAATTCGGAGGTGGGAATTTGTCCAGTTGGGTCTCTTGCATTTTACTTGTTTTATCTTTGGCAGTCGGTAAGTACGCATGCTATCACAATCGTTTAATCTTCTTTATTATTTAATATTTGAATTCAAACTTACCTACCTTTAATTTCTCTCTCTCTCTCGCTTCTTTTTACAGCAGGAGGAGGGTAAACCCGATTTCAACGACAGCAGATGGCGCAATATTTACTTGGTTCATGGAAACGGCAAAAAGAAACAAAACAAACAACTTTCACCAAACGCACATTTGGACGGCATGGCTCGATTATTCAGGGCGACAGGAATTGTGACGAATCAACCTACATACTTCTATCGCCACTCAGGAGCCAACCATGCGCACGACGCTGGAGCCTCTCTATCAGCCATTCAAATACATGGCGGCTGGCAACCTAACGGCGGCAGCCGCCTCAATACCCACTACCTGCATCCCCTCCCAAAAGGCGTCGCATATGCTATGGCTGGTGCTTTTCAACCTGGTCTACCTCCATGGATCAAGCGCGATTGTCTCACACCGCCGGTCGAGCTTCAGCAACATATCTTTCCTTTCATTGAGGAGGACTACTTTACGGAATGCCCAGACTGGCTTCTATGGACCAGGAATATTATGGAGGGCAGGAGCGAGCTTGATGGCAGACCCAACCCTATGCCAATGCCGGACGAGTCCAACCGATCTGCCGTTTTACGACTCAAGTTTTTACTCCTTCTTGTACACCTAAGAAAGGTCCTGCTACAGGATGCAGCAGCCCTTCTGGAACTCAAACCCAAGGATGGAGTCCTGTACGGCCATCACCACGTCTTCAACCTCCCTGTCTTCAAGAGCCCCGAGTTTCTCGTATTCAAGGAGCGACTTGTAGCAAAGATGCTCACCCTTGCACCTCCTCAATCGGACAGTCTACGCCACAACGCTCCATACTTAGAAGCAGAGTTTCGACTTTTAAATTCGGTGATGGCAGAAGGACTCCAAACAATCAAACGACGACTCGACCAGGCAACAAAGGAATTTTCGGCAGAATTTAAAGAGTTACTTCGAAACAGCACCAACACCATCACCAACACCATCAAAACAGTATCATCTGCCCAGTCGGCCACCCATCTAGCTGCTATCGGGGACGACCAGGATCTACACGCCCAAGCCATGCTTATGGTACTACAGGCGATGCCAGGTCTCTATCGCCAGAGTCTCCTCCAGTTGAAGCGGCTTAAAAGTCCGGCAACAGCTGCCACTACCGTATCAGCACCACTTCAACCCGAACCTATTCCTCTTCCCCAGCGAAACCAACAGTCAAATCTAGCCACACCACTGGAGAATCATCTGGACGACACGGACGATTATGCAGTGGAGGCTGTAGAGTTGGAGACGCCGTCATTCGAGCAGCTGGATGCGATGGATGTGGTTGAGAATTTGGCACAGGCGACACAGGATGTTGCTCCTCAGCTACTATCAATGCAAGTACAGTCGGCACCTTCTTCTAGACCCAACTTGAGCTTGGAGGAGCGACTAGACATGCTGGCAGTTGAGGTAGCTGAGAGTCGTTGCATTATCGAGTTTGACGTTTCTGGTGGGTTTACCTATGAGATGATTTCTCGATCAAGACCGCTGGAGGAACACTGGGAGGAATGGTTCTATGGTTTGAACCGAGATGGCCTCCAACAACCTTCGATCTATTGGTTGAATGGGGTCCACAGGCGTCACACTTTTGCCAATAGCCATATTGCCGCTACGGCTTGGAGATATGTCGACCCAACCAAAAACAGAAATATCTATAACGTTTTATGGACCTTCAAGAAAGCCGTCGTGCGAGGTGTTCTGAAGATTATGTTGGAGCGTGAGGGCGATATCAGGGACAGGGAGAAAGCAGCTCTCGCGGAGGTGGCGGCTTCAATCCAACATACCACCACAACATTGAACCAGTTTCAAAAAATGAATAGAAAGAACTGATATGAAATAAACTATAGTATTTAAGCGTACGTTAGTATCTCTCAGTTTGTTATTGTTACCTCGACTTATTGTGTTATTGTGCTTTGCTTTTGGATTTGTATCTCCTTCACCCCTCCCACCTTCGCCATCCCTAGACACAACATCTCCCCTCCCCAGCTCCAGCCATGCTGCCTACTAGGTGTACATAAATACCCTTTTCCACAATAGTATCTCCCAGCCCTGGAACGACATTTCCAACAACACTATCAAGGGAATTCAAACTGTCATAGCCCAGAACGACCACTCGTTACTCTTAAGTCGTATGCCTTCGAAATAAAATAATACTTCTGGTCTGGATTTGTGAAGTACGTTGAATTGCACTCTCAAGTTAATTGAATTGACTAGCCACGTGAGGAATAAAAAAAATGAAATTGTCTACTTTGTCGTAGGCATAAGTGTCAGGGCGGTGATTTTATTATGGGCTTCATTCAGGGTTTGCTACTGTAGAATAGGGGCAGTATGACGAACGCAAGTGAACAAAGCATCACAACGCGACCTTGAATTCTAATGAAGCAAGAATTGAAAGAGCCGACATCGGAGAAAAGCCAAAATCACATTAAACGTTACCACTAGCCAGGTATGTTTCACTCGCTACCATTTACATCATTTTTTCTGGGAGTGATGTTGTTATTACAACTTATGGACGCACATGTGTAGCTCGATTGCTTTCCATATAAATTATGGGTCAGTATGATCGGAATCTTCCGCTTCTTTTTTTTTCTTTCATACACTTCTCATATTATCATTATCCTTCCTTGATGTCCAGCTCCAAGGCCACTCATGTATGCCGCTTCAACGTGGGCATCAAACCCCAGATGAAAGTCCGAACACACGACCAGATAGACAAGCGAGTGCCTCCAGAAATCTGGGAACAAATCTTCAGTCACCTCTACCCATCGCAGCTCTCCCGGATGTCGATGGTCAACAATAACTTGAACGTGATCGTATCATCATTAGAGGTCTGGCCGCGGATGTTTTATGCAGCTCATGGACCCAAGGCACAATTGCGACCGCTTATGTCTATCCCCAGGTTCAAGAGCAGCTACATGATGTTCATGTGTGCATTGAGTCTTCTCGTCTGCGAAAAGTGCTTTGGTCTGACACGACACAACGCCGACAAACTCTACAAGCTGCCCCTTCCTATTCCCGTCCTGCTCCCGAGACGATCCACAGACGCGATCAAGTACGTGGGTGACAGGTTTGATCCAAACTGGACCATTCGGATGTGCCTCCCGTGCCGACAGGGCCATATTTCGGACTTGGAGGAACCTGTCCCACAACTTGATTTAGAAGATCGGATAAATTGGAACAGCTTGCTCAACAAATATCCCTGTGCAGAGGAGACGCCGGAGTTACCTCGTCGACATTTCCACAACCAAGGGATTTGTGAATTAGATGCCTTAAATCGTATGCGACGACACTTTGGCGGTGATATTGGGATCAAGGCTTTTAAGGTCTCCACAAAAGCATATGATGAGACGACAGAGACCAGGGTTCGCTGGTATCAACTCCAAGAGTAGAGGCTGTTATATCAAAAAAAAATAAGAAATGAGTATACACGCGTGCGCACGCACTAGTCAGTGGTTTCACGCAAAGTGGTCGCAACACTTAAACGAAATAAAAGTTAGTACAGGTAATGAAGCAAGGATTGGAACAGTGACATCAAGAGTCAAAAAGCAACGTCGCTATGAACGCTTGGCTGCAACAAGCCAGTTACCCCACAATGGAGACAGGGGTACATACATTCGAGGGTATCTTAGAACTTCAGTCGCGTCAAGATGGTGTTGGCCACGTGACGACCCAATCAAATTCCATGTCGCGTTCGCGTTCGATCCAGAGGGTAAAGGATCATCTAGGTCCTGGTCGGCCATGTCAATGTCCTCAGCGATAGAAGCAGAGGACGAGGATGAGGTGATGACAAAGGCGTCAGTGGCATTGATGTCCAGCTGTTGAAGAGTGGGGAGCTTAGCATTGTTGCTGTTGGAAGTAGTCTTGATTGACATGGTAAAGGATGTTTTTTATTTTTTTTTATTTTTTATTTTTTATTTTTTTTTCTCTGTTATGAGTGTGTGAGCAAGTTCTTAGAGTGATATCTTTCCAAAGATAACCTGGTTATCTGTTGCCTACGATCACGAAATAAACGTAGAGACATTCACTCATGCTGACAAAGTAGAGTCTCGTCAATAGAGGCGAATCACCCTGCGCGTACATCTGTTCAAACCGTATCGCTTGATGGATGTACTTTGATCTCGCAATAATAGCAATATTGTTGATCCTAGAGAAAGAAAGAAACAAACATTGTTGGTTTATATCTCCAAATGTTTGGCACGCACAGTAGAGTAAAGGTACCGCACTCAAGGTGCATCATAGCTCAGTAGAATGTCATGCGGTGACACTCAGAGCCGCTCCATCCGATGATGCATAGGAACAAACATGCTATGACGGGGGAGTATATTTTATCGTGAGAGAAAAGACTGTAGATTCAGTTATTTATTCTGAGTTTGTCCCAGATCAAATGTGTGCCTACCTGTATTCTTGTCAGGGGTATCATGATATGATGTTCTTGACGACCTGGATTTTTGTCTCCATCATATGATTGTATGACCAGTACTCATGGTCCTGGGGGTTGATGATGGTACCGTTGTCGATGGATGGGTCGGTTGCCGTGTCGAGCATGCCAGGCGTTTCGCACGGTCGGTGGATGGCTTGAGCAGCAGCATATGTTTTCGAGGATTGAAGGTGCACAAGAAGGGATTGGGCGTTTCGTATTGCTACAGAGCCTATCTTGCCTTCATCGCGTTGAATCGCCCATAATTGAGGTGGGACAACATCACAAAGATAATTATGAGTCGATCGCTGGGGCGTTATAGTGCTGTTCCTCCTGTCAACGTATGGGTGCGCGCGTTTGGGCGATGTCCTCCGTGGCGGTGTTCTGCAGCTGTCGCCAGTAGAGCAAGGAAGGGACAGGGTGTTGTCTCCTTGGGAGGGACCAGATGAGGAAGCAGGGGAAGCATTGTCGTTGTTCATGATGTGTGGGTTTTTGTTGTGTTGTCGAGAAGGAGAGTTGTTGGGAGATGAGTGAATGAGTGAATGAGTGTCATTAGAAATGAATACGTAAATCCATGTTGTGAATTCGTTAAGAATATTCGGTGTAAAACTGGCGAATAGCGAAATTAAGAGAGGGATCTGTTAAATTCTGGGCGAAGAGTGGATAATGTTTATGAGAATAACTAATATGTATACTACACCTCCAAGAAGTGCCCCGAATGTGGTCTCTTTGTGGCTCAGGTTAACATACGCCGCTTCTATTGCTCGCACTTTCTTGTTTGCCATCACCGGGACGTGGTGGCCGCGGAGAGTATGGCTAACGTCGTGCAGGGCCATCTTCTCAAGCAGGAGAGGCCGGAGTACCTCCAACCCATGGCCCAAGACGGATCGCTTCCTTGGAAGAAGAAGCGCGAAGTTGGACCAAGTACGAGCTTGATCAGTACCGGGACCAGCATTCCCACCACCACCTCCTCCAACGAAACCACAGGACGCCACAAAAGGGTCCAGTCTGTCAGTAAACATAGCATTATTAGTGCTGATATGCAGTGGGTCTGTTGCAGTCTGTTTCACTGATACAATATTCGCACAGTTGGAGAGTCAGGTGATTGGTCATGGGACCATTGATCGGGCTGTGTTCTGTGATGTGATGTCAACGTTGGGTTCTGTTCGCGTGGGAATTCGATCACGGAATCGATAGCCCCGACATACGAAGGCCGTTGACCTGTGCAGGCACCTCTGTGTTCGGGGCATTTTATAGGTATAATGTCAGTCCGACCTCGACCGTGAGCATTGTAGGACTGGTGGGTTTGAACTATATGACCATTAAGTTTGCGAAGCTGTAGGCTCTCCTTCTCTGCAAGGAGGCTAACACTCGATAGCATGAAAAAACAACTTGGACAAGGTGTCGCTCAAAATGTTATGGTTGTTTCGTTTTATTTAATGGAGAGAGTGACAGCTATATACATGGCGCCTCCTCTTTAAAAGAGGGGCATTCCTGTGTTATTCTGGTTAGCGCCCTGCTTTCGGAGCAGAGGGGGAAGAGAGAGAGTAGGGCTTCTATTCGATGGTGTGGCGAACATGATGGCGAAGCGATGGATCGGTTCTGAGCTTGTGCAGAGCGGTAAATAGACCGAAAGCGAGACCACCAGACACGAAGGTAATAAGAGGCACGATGTCCTTGGACGGCTTCATGCCTCGAGAGGCTTGTTGGAGGAGTCGAGCAGTATGCATGTTTGGACTGTTTTGATAGAAAGGAGTGTGTGGGCGAACGCTGTTAGCTGTGGTAATAAAAGAGAATATGAAGAAGAAAAGGAAAAAGAACAAGAAGGTGTTTGAGGGTGCTGTAACAAGCAAAAAAAATTAATTGACAAAGGGTCACGTCTGACGCCCGTCAATCACAATCGTTGCATAGTTGTAGGTAAGAACCGTGGGTTGAGACCGGAATCGCCAGTTAGGTATAGTCGGTGACGTGAAGAAAGAATAATAATATCAAGTGCTCAAGCTGAGTAACGTTTTCTCTTTTGACATATCCAGGGGATGCCTTGGGCCAGCTGGGGAAAGGTATCATATGGGCGGCCAGTTTTTACATGACCTAGATCAGCCACATGGGCGTAGATCATGGTTTACAAAAGTCCAGCCAGAGTGGGCCCATTGCAAGTGAACAAAGTCCAAGACAGAGAAATCCGAGCTAGACGAAAATCCAAGTCAAAGAGAAGTAACGGCGGTTGTCGTCTCAGTAGTAGGCTTTTGTGAATGAGTTTATTTGCTGTGCGGGAATGAGGTGTGGGTTGATAGAGTGAATGCAAAAAGTAAGGAAAAAAGGTTCGATGAAAGAAAACGGAGGAAGGGAGCACGAAAGAGGTCCTTGCGTGCAACGAACGTTTTACCGAGAAAAAATAACCAGCACGCCCCCACTCGCTCAAGCCATACCAGAGTCCCTCATGTCGACAGTCTCAGCTTCCTTCGCCTTGACATTCTCTCTTTCTTCGATTCCAACCACAGACTCCACCTGTAAACTCGTTGTCATCGTAGTCGTTGTCATTGTAGTTGCGATCACAGATGTATCATCCCTCTCGACCATAACCGCTGCGTCTGCTCCAGGAGCATCGACCATGAGGATAGGATGTGGAGCAATCAAGATAGGCACCGGGGGCGCGACAACAGGACCCTTCTCGCGTTTCTTGTACGGCCCTCTCTTCCCTCGCTTCTTAATCACCTTCCCCGTCTTCTTACTAACCATCGTCTCCATGCCATCCGCCAGCGCTGCCGTCGATGTCGTCGGTGCATGTGTCTCAATAGCAATATCCATCGCTCCACCCTCTCCCTCCTCTGCGCTTCCTCCTTTGTTAGCAGCACTAGCAGCAACATCTTTGGAAGAGGGAGGCCGGTCAGAGTGACGAGGTCGTCCAGGGATGGGTTTGGGTGCGAGGGTGCCTCGTTCCTGATATCGTTTAATAATCGCACGGACGGTCCTGTCGTTGACGGCCAGATCCAGTGCGATCTTGCGGCTCTTAAGTCCTGCCTTGTGCATCCCGATTATCTGTCCTTGTAGGAATGGGTCCAGCATCTTTGTTGTCGTTATATTTTGGGGAGGTGTTCAAGGAGGAGGATGAGGGGAGAGGGGATGTTATGTGCGGGAAGATGCGAGAGAAATGGGAGAAAGAGGGAGAAAGAAGAAAAGACGAGAGAAAAAGTGGGAGATGGGAAATTTTTTATCAGGGGTGGGCAATTTGTTTTGATGGAGACGCAGGATTCGCTGCAGTAGGAAGTTAGAATGATGACGAAAGCGATTCAGGCATTCCCATAGTCAGGAAAAAAAATGTTTATTTTTTCGTAGTTGCTATTGATGACCTCGCCGCGTCGTTGAAGGAAAAAAAAATGCAGACAGTCAGGGCTACTTTCGTTCACTTACTTGTAAGAAAAGAAGAGGCAAGCAGCCTGCAGCAAAGAAGCGTACCAAGGCGAACGAAAAAAAGACGTGCCTTTCACTCCACCAACAGCTAAAAGTAAAGAAAACACAAAAAGAGAATGCGACCTGTGTGGATTGAACACACGACCTTCAGATCTTCAGTCTGACGCTCTCCCAACTGAGCTAAGGTCGCTTAGAAACTTGATCTTCAAGCTCGATGATTTCTTAGATTCTCTGACCTATATGAACTCACAATACAGCAATCGATCACGTGCATGCACGTGATATTTGCGCCACCAAAATCGGGTGGGAGGCTGGGCTGGGCCGTAAGGAAAAGATGTCCATCTGGTGGATCTCACTCAGGACAACCCTCTGACAGTACAAGGACGAACGGACGGTCACGCATCCTCGGCTAAGGCCGAGCTCATGGGCTTATTAGCCACAGTCTTGTCAGCACCACCGGAACAGGACATTATGGTTAAGCTGGACAATCAGTCAGTGGTGGAACAGTATAGTCGCCTGGTGAAGAATCGTCGGGACACCTTACCGAGGAAGCGATTCAGGAGTACATATGCAGGTATCTGGGCGGTGCTTTGGCAGGTTGTGGAATCTCGGCCAGGCAGGGTCGAAGTGATGTGGGTCAAAGGACACAGCAACATCCATGGAAACGAGCTTGCGGATCAGGCGGCGAAGGTGGCAGCACAGAGTGGTTCGGTGCCCGTGATGGTGGATCTCACTCAACAGACGGATATCACGGCCTTTGCACATTGTTACGGCGGGCTTGTTGAAATCGATCTACGTCAGCTCCTCAAACAACAATCGACAATCCGTCACCATCAAGCCTGGACATCACAGAGACGGGTCAAGAGGGCGATCCCTGACATCGATGACGTGGAATGGAACTCGACCTTGGCGTATGTCCACGACAGACATGCAGTCTTCACTTTTTACAGCAACAGCAAGGACACCCATCAACGAACACATCACATCAAAAAGCTGCATGGAATGCTGCCCACTCTGAACTCCATGCAGGCTCGCAAGCCCAACCTGTACCCAACATGCGTATGCCGACGATGCGAGCTCGAGAAGGAGGATAACGATCATGTCTGGAAATGCCCCTTGGCAGCTGAGACCACCACTGAGATCTAGAAGGAGGCCATGGGCAAGATTAATGAGTGGGGTGTGCAGGCGACAAACAGCTACAACGCAGCCAGAAAGCGGGAATACAAACGCGCGGTGGACAGCGGTCGTCAGGTACCAAGGCCAGTACCCATACACTGGTGGCCCCCTTCGGATGCGGATCATGTACGAGGATTTTCCTCCATCGGTGGAGCTCGAGCCGTGCACAGCGGTAGTCCAGCTCTCGATCGAGACGAGAAACCGATGTGGAATGTGTCGGATCTCCTCCGCGGCATCACCCCCTTGAGCATGTTGACTGAATGGTCCGCGGTCTTCCGAACCCCAATGTCCATCGCCAAGACAGTCCTTCACAAATTTGTTGGCTACCTGGAGGCGCAGGCCTCGGAGCTGATCTGGAAACCTCGGTGCTCCGCGACGATCGCGTGGGAACAAAGCCAGGGCATCTCTGCCAAGGACAAGACATCCAAGTACACAGGCCCCCGAGGTGACTGGAGTCAAGGATACGGTTACATCACGCACGATGGTTTCTGTCCGTGTGGCGCTTCGCTAGCCACACATTGTGAAGGAAGGTGCCCTGGGGCGACCAAGGACCCACGCGCTGCTGACGAGCGGTTGTTGGAGAGTTTGTTAGGAAGGAGGAGGTTGTCAATGATGGAGAGGATGGGAAGAATCCCCTTCATTCGTATCTAGTTTTATTTTCTTCCGTTTAAGCTGTGAAGAGCAGCGACAATTGTTGCGCAGAGCCAGGTTCTGGACCGGACTGCGACTGGTGGATGGTGCACTGAAGAGTTTGGTCTGTAGTCCCCTTTTACTTCCAAATAACTTCTCTATGCTGTTTGTCAGAGAAATAAAATTGTGTAGGAAAAAGAAAGACGGGCCGTTGTTCGAAAAAAAAAGGCTTGGTCGCCATTGATTAGGATTCGATTCAAGCTATCAAGGTAGTTATTGTTCTTTAAATGAAGGCTTGGTCGATTACTTCTCTCAGTGGAGCCCCTCAATCGTTAAGGCGATGATTGATCAGTGTTAAACCGTCGCTGCTGAAAAAAGAAAAAGTAGTCAACTTGAAAAAATATACATGAGAATTGGGCGAAGTCTCAATTAGCTGCAAAAAGTCAAAAGAGAGAGCTCATATCCACTTATTTTTCGAACAAGCTGAATAGATCGTTCCGTCGTCTGCATAGACCTGCAAGCGAAAATAAAAAGAAGTGGGGTGCAGTAGCAAAAGAGAATAACTGAGCCCTTCGGATCTGCATTGCTTGAAATAAAAGGACAAATTGATGAAAAGAGGTCATCCGAAAAAAACTTCAGCATTATGACGTTTTGTGCCTGGATGAGCCTTGAGGAATGGGTGGAAAAAGTGAGGCAATTGAAACAAATAAAAATAAAAATGCGTCAAGAAACATGTGCTTTGCTAGTGCAAAGCGCACGTTGCTGATGACCCACGCAGAGAGGGGAATGGCACAATACGACAGGGGTGCAGACTGCAAAATCGAATCTTTTTAGTTTTTTTCCACGCTCTGTCTCAAGAAACTGTCTGCCATATCGACCATGTATGCTCACAATTCCAAGTAAAAGTAGAATAACAAAAAAATACAAAGTGATAATTTAATATGATACATGGTCATCGTGGACGACCTGGATATTAAAGCGGGCAATGGCATCCTCAGCCAACGACGACGACGATGGTGATGACGAAGACGACGATGAAGAGGAAAACTCACTGTCTGCAGAAGGAATATGGGAATGACTATGACTATGATTAGGTCCAAGATGATGCGCATGCCGACACCTTGGGGAGGATCCTGTTTGCTGTTCGTCGCTGCTAGTGCTGCTGACGCTGTGGATAGAAAACGTCTCGACAGAATCGGTGGGTGAAGGAGAGACGACCTGTTCGTAAGCCGGGAGGTCCAATGTGTACTGAGGCGGGCATTGGTCGGCATCATAGAGCGGCAACGGTTGCATCGGGATCTCTGTGAGGAAAGTGGGCCGGTCGACGCTGGGTTCGCACCAATCCAGTCCCTCGCAAGTCGAGTTGTCGCACGAGGGGAGTGTCCTGATGGCAATGGGGAAATCAAAGTTATGACTGTCCGTCTTGAAAAAGAACCGCTCGTTCCAGATCGAGACCTGAACCGAATAAGTAATCTTCAACGCACTCGACGACTCTGTGGTGGGTGGGGTGATCTTGGGGATGGGTAGGACCAGCGAGAGTTCGCCCTTGGGGATCGATTTCCGTTCGTAATGACAAATAGTCTCGTCCTCCTGGTAAAGGGTATCGTTGATCCTGGCCCGTATATGCCTCGTCAATGCAAACTGACACCGGTCGATCGCAGCTGCCGCGGTTAGACGGACATGGACTCGTCCTCCAGGGGTCAGATCCGGATGTGAAAGTAACAGAGCGGTGCCCATCTTGGGACACGATTCCTGAATGGGTCCATGTTCTACTCCTGTGGTCGACAGCGGCATGAAATGAATCGGCTTGGCCTTGGATTGCCATTTAGAAAGCCCATTAGGTCGTCGGTAGTAAGCCGTGAGAGTGTACTGGTTCTTGAGCCATGGGTGGTCAAAAGACGCTGGCAAGTTCTTGTCAGGCAACTGAACCGTGAAGGGGAATATATGGTTTCCAGCAGGGAGTTGACCCCATTGATCCTCTGGCAGCGCTTCCCGGGATCCCCAGAGGGTCATGGCGACACTGAATAGCCGACGCATATGATGATCGAGGTGGTCCTGCTGTTTTGAAGACGGGTAGTTGGACTCGCCTCGGAAAACGATCTTGAGGGCGGGGAGGGTCATGGGCTTGTCGAGGGTGAGGTAGACCATTCCATGAATGAGATCACTTGGGTAGAAGATGGGACATGAGCCTTTGTAGTCGCCATTGTTTGCAATCTCGACCTTGAATAGTTTGGGCATGGGACTTGAGGTGACGGGAGACGACAGGTGTGAACTTGAGGAGGAGGATGTTGAGGGGTTGGAGGCGTGTCGATTTGAGGAGGAAGTAGTAGGGATGAGGGGAGAGGTTGATACGGCGAGGGTGTGGGGGTGCCTTGGGAGGGTGGGCATCTCAGAGTGGGAGGTATGGACGTTGGCGTGAGCGTGGGTATGTGGGTGTGTGTGTATGTCTGTCATTGTTGGATGTATGATATCTGTATTATTAGGGGGTGTAGAAAAGGGTATCGACGTTAGAAAACGGTAGAGTGGAGTGGGAGGGGGTATGTAGAGAATAGAAGATGAAGAAAGAAAGAAAAGAAAACTGAAGAAGAAGAAGAAGAAGAAGAAGAAGTAGAAGAAGAAGTAGAAGAAGAAGGTGATGTAGTGGGTCAAAGGTTGTTTGTTTGTGTATGTGGGGGAAGAGGGGGAAAAAGTAATAATGAAAACTTTCTACAGTCAACAAAAGAAAAGGCGGAGTGGGAGAGTCTCCTTGTTGAGTCAACGACGAGGACAACGGTGACATCAGGGCAAAGGACACAATTACAAGACAGACGCAGCGACTGGAGCGGATGTCCATTTTAGAAGAAGGTAATGTATGACATGACTGGTCTGTCGCTTAGAGTTTGGCCCGGGGGACCATTACCAAACACAACTATGTGCGCTGAGGCCATGCGCCCATATTTTACTTTTTATTCCACTCGCTCGCTTGCTCGCCTCAATTTTACCCGCTCCTGGGGAAAGAGCGAGCTAGTGAGGGTGCCTGAAATCATACTACAATAATTCTCTTCTCTCTTCACTTCCATATTTTCCCATGATCATAATGAGCTAATGAACCCCCCCCATGCGCGGCATTCATAGATGTAATATCATCACATTATTGCCGTCTTTTCTTTTTCTGAAATGGGGATCCTTGATGATGCGGGGGATGCACTTTCTTTTTGTTTGGTCAATTGCCCAATGGACCAATGATGGGTCAAAGGGTCGATGGTCAATGCAAGGCAAGAGCAGCAGCAAGAACAAACCAAACGATTGTTAATTCCCTCCCTTGATGCCTTCATCGTATCATTTTCAAGGAAAAAAAGAAAGGACGCAAAAAGACCATCATCCATCCATCCACCCCTTTTTTCTTCAGCCCTTTGCTTGTTCTTGTTTTTGTGCTTGAAAATGAACATCGACTTGAGCTTTTTGATCTGCGCGATTTCTTTTCCAGTTTATGTTGTGTGGTGATTACCCGAGGAGCTGAGAAGGTCCTTGTCCTTAAACCAAAAAAAAGTTTTCATGTACTGTTACTTTACTTTGTTGATGTTGCTGAGTGGAAGCGTCGGAGTGGAGAAAAAAAAAAGGAAAGACACAACAAACAAACAATAGCAAAATGAGGATCATATGGCCTACTCCTGCTCGTTGTTCAATATTCTGGCTAGGTTCCCTCTCGCTCTTGCTAATGTTGGAGGTTGTTTCGTTGAGCAGGGACAGCCTGCATTGTTATCCGATGGATCATCAGTATCCGCTTTCATCGACCTACTCCTTCGTCCAAGTAAGAAAGAAGAGGCGAGAAAGGGGCAATAAAAAAAGTGTGGAGAAGACAAGAAAAAATTTGGCATAATGGCCCGTCCCCCCTCCCCGACTCGCCCAGGTCTGTCCATAGGATCAACAAACAAACAAATAAAACCAGTCGAGATTATTCGAGCAAAGATTATCGCCGCACGATTAAAAATAAAGGGCTTTCCCATCGGCTATTGAGATGGAGGCGTGAACAATCGGTTGGTTGGTATTGGAGCAAAGAAGGATCATGGAGAAGTATGGAAGATTGAGAAAAGGGTGGAAAAGTCAACTTTGACTGGGTTTGATGCTTTCATTCGACTGGGAGGGTGTTTGTTATGCGAGTGGATGTGTGGAGGGAATTGGGTGGAGGGGTGAAGAAAATCCTCGAGCCTGGGCGACTTGAACCGTTCGTTCACTGTCGACTAATGCAAAAAAAGTGGGAGGGGGTGCAAGTGCCCACCCCAATGTTTTTTTTGTGGAGAAACAGAAATGGCACAGAGCCCTTCCTTCTTTTACTTTTAGTGTTTTTGTCTCTCGTTCCATTTGGTCACAAAACAACAAAAAGTGTGGGAGAAAAAATTATTATAACTGTAATGCGGGAAGGGGGAGGACAGGGGTGGAAAAAGAGAGAGAGACGGAGAAGATGAAAAGAAATGAGGAGGAGGGCGTGAGTAACTGAGGCAGTGACAAAGGCGTGGTTAGGATATTGTACCTTGTGCTTATGTGTGCTGGTTGTTTCGTGTTGCTGATCGTTTGTTGCTCGGATATCAAGGAATAAGAGGAGAGTTGTAGTTGGTCGAAAAGAGAGTGAAATGTTGTATGCAGTGGAAAAAACGGGAAGTGCAGTTTGACGTATTATATGGAGAAAACAAAGAAAGCAAGAAAAACAAAAAAGAAGACAGCGGCGCAAATAAGAATCGAGAGAAGCCAGACAGGGTTCTGTCTGCATTTGCCTCCTGACCCCGACGGCAGACCCGGTGACGCTACCCCCGCCGCCTTTTGGGCTTTGGGCATTAAAGTTCTCCCTTCTCGTTCTTCTTTCCTCCGAACAGCCAGTGGGGAGAAGGAGGGAGGAAAAGGAGGGAAGGAACAACCCTGGGAGAGTTTCCTAAACAAGGAGGCAAGTCTGTCTACTTTTCTTCTTCTCAGACGGTTGTGCATTGTGGTCGGTCATGTTTCTCCTCTTCTTTTTGAACCCTCGACTCGATTCAAGTCTGGTGTCTGACTTTTTGTAAAGGTTTTCTTTTAAGAGGCGGAGCGAGAACTTCGAGAGCGGAGGCTTCCTGAGAACAAAAAACGAAGGCAGAAAAAGATCGGAAAGTCAAGTATTAAAAAAAAAAAAGAAAGAGCAAAATGAAAGCTTTGGCTTCGCTCAGCCCAACCCACCTCTAGACACAGACACAGGGAAAGGAGAAAAAAAAAAAGCATGTTGACAATACTTTACTTTTTCTCACGCTCACGTAGGACGTATTATGGTTAGGAAAAGGGACCCGCGAAGAAGAGGGTTATGCTGCACGTCATACGACCTAGGGATGTCAATCATTCCGAGTCCGTTGTGGTCAGTCACCTTGTTTCAACATAACACAACACAACACTCTAAAACAATGCGCGCCAGTTTCTCTATGCATTGTTTCTCAAGTTACCGAACTCATCCCTTCCTTCCCCGCCCGTATCTTGGATTCCTTCTTTTGTTCTTTTCACACCTTCCATTGACCCTCCCCCCCTTATAGTATCCACTTTTTCACACCATTTTTCATGATCCATAATCCACATACGTTTATTTTTTGGTATTTGCTTCACTAGTTGTGCTGGTAAGTGTTTATGTTTAGAAAAAAAAAAAAAAAAGGCCGAAATAAAAATACAAGGGAGAGGTGCATAAAAAAACAAATCATAAAAAGCAAGAGTCTGCCTCAATGAAGGGCATGGGGACGAGGAGACAAAGAAGAAGGAGGTGACAGACACATATCCTCCGTAGACGAAACAACAATAAACCGACTACTCTTCGTAGGACTGGCAGGCGGTAAGGTCGATTGGCGTTCGACGGTGAACATCCGGCCCTTGGCGCTCTTTTTCACCATCACCACATCGCTTAATTCTCCTCCTCCATGGATATGAGGTGAAACGGAGGAAGAGGAGGCGGAGGCGGGAGGGGTTCCAGTATCGAAGGACCGGGAATGAGAAGACTCCTCGCGTTGCATGGCTGTCCGGTCAGCCCATGACAGCTGCTGGTGCAGACTTGGGGTACTTCCATTATTGGTCCCGACAGAGTCCAGATTCGTCGCTGAGAGGGAACGAGGACGGAAGGATCCAGGAGACGTGCGATCAAAGTACCCAAATCCTCCACTCTCATACTGCTGCTGGTGAGCGTTATCCGAGGCGCGACGATCAGGCAGGCCCATGAAGGTACCAATGCCACCCACACGACTGTCCAAGCTGCTGCTGCTTTCAGAACAGCCGGGGGAATCGACAAAGTCCTGGTCCAGGGCCGGGTGTACGCGGTTCATAGTCTGGTGAGTCCTGATCAACCCATTCTCTCTCGCGACAGCGCTACCAGTAGTAGCAGGGGTTGTCGAGGCCGATGCTGCGAGATCCTCATCCAAGGGGTGGACAGGTGTTGGTTCACGTTCATACTCCAGTGTCCGTCGACTCGCCCGACTGCTGTTCCTCGACGTCCTGTCAGCGTCAACGATCTGAATAGACAAGTTCCTGATATTGTTGCTTCCACCAGAGTTGTTGGGCCTCTTCTCCGTCACTAAAGAGTCGCCAGTGGAAGACGCCGCCCAGGTGGATGGTTCTACAGTAGGAGAAGCAGAGGGTACAGAAGGCCGAGGGGGGGACCCAACGGAGGAAAAGGACGCAAACTGGAGTGAGGCAGCCGATGCAGGTGGAGGGATAATGACCTTCGAGAACCTGGATGAGGACGTTGAGGACGTGTTCGATTGTGAGCGCTGGTGAGATGATCGACCAGTGGGCGAGGAAACGGGAGAGGACGCCCGAGATGGAATCGAGATGGGAGACGACGTCGTGTTGGTACTGTTACTGCTGTCACCGTTGCTGTTGGTATAATCCGCAGACAGGGGAGAGAGGCGAGGTGAGGGTGGGAACAAGGGAGAGTGGAGGGATCGTGAGGAAGGAAAAGAGTGGGACAGTTTTGGTGAAGAAGGAGTTACTGGGTACGACGCCGTCCTGTCCATCCGTCTTGGAGACATCCCACGATCCTGAAGTCCTCCTGAAGACAATGTTGACGACGGTGTGAGCGAGGATGAATATGATGATGAATACGACGATGACTCTTCATAGTTCAACGCGGTTGCAGAGGCGCAGCTCAGAGTACGCGTCCTAGCAGGACTAGGCAACGCCGACTGAGACTCGATAGTGAAACGCCCCCTTGTCGTCTTGACCGTCGCCGGTGTTGCCTGTGCTGAAGATGAGGGTGTATCGACAGTGATGACCGATCCTGAAGACACCCGATGGTTGGGCGAAGACTCCATCACGGGCTTGTTAGCCGCACCACTCGAGGGCGCAAGAGTGGCCGAAGAGTCCAAGGAGCGCTGCCGCATATTATTCCTCAACGACTCTTTCAAGGGTACAATCTGCGACTGGATGACCGCTGACGAGAGGGTCTTGGGTCGGTTCTGTTGGAACAGTTCCCGGGCGTCGTCTCCTAGCGCTAGTTCACATACAGAACTCTTCTTGTGCAGTGTCTGTTGCGACCTTGGATGCAGGGTCGATGTGGAGGGATCAGGATGAGGAGGAAGTCTTGTTCCTGCTGCCGCTCCTTCTGCTACTGCTGCAGAGGAGGGGAGTCGCGTGCGATTGCTAGAGGAAGGCCTGTCCTCCTTCTTCAGTCGAGGGCCCAATCCCGGAAATATCGGTGGCTGTTGTTGTTGCTCATCCTGCCAATTGACTCGTGGAAGTGTCGCGTAATGAGGAGGGGTGTTGAGGTCCGCACGCGATAAGCCCGAGAGAATACTCTCCAGCCAGACAGAAGGCAGTACCGGTTGCAAACGGTCCATCGGTTCAGGGTTCTCCACCAAATGCGAAGGCAACAGTGGTCCTCCAAGTGGAACAACACCTCCTGTTACTCCTTTTGGTGCTGCTGCTGCTGTAGAAGGCGCCGCTGCTGTCGAAGAGTGTCTTGAAGGCAAGGAGGGGCCGCCCTGCTGCATGGCCCTGGACTTTGACGAGGATGAAGAAAAATTTAACCCCCAACTGGCAGGAAAAACCGACCGCCGTTGTTGTTCCTTGGGTCGATGTGTCTCCGACGACATCTCGCTGCCACCTCCTCCACTATTGTTGCGTCCTCCTGGAGAATGGGCAGCCAATAGTTGGCCCAAGATGGACTGTCCGATACGACTGCCGCCAGACTTGCGAGGTGGGGCCGGGATATTAAAGATGGCTGTGGCAGTTGTTGTAGAGGATCCGCGAACCTTGGCGGGGAGGGTGCGTGCATTGTCAAGGATCGCTTGCTGCTGTTGCTGTTGGAGTTGTTGTTTCTGCTTGATCAGGTGTGCAGCAGCAGCACCGGAAATGGTATGATACGAAGAAGACGACGTGTTGGTTGCTGTCGAAGAGGTGGTGGAGGTAGAATAAGATAGAGGGGAAGAGGGTGGATGGTTGTGGTGTCGGGTTGGAGATAGAGAAGGGGACGTGGATGGGGTGGGATAGGGATCGGAAAGAAGGTGGTGTTGGTCGTTCAGGGCTGAGTCTGGGTGAGTTGTTGTTGCTGTAGAATGACGCTTTGGGTGAGACATGACTTTGTGGGTGTGGGAAGAAGGAGCACGCAAGAGGGAGCCAAAACATGCACCATAACTCTCTCTGTTCAGACTATGGTATGTTTCGTTCAAAAAAATATAAAGGGTGTCGCGAAGAAGTGGAGAGAAGGAGAGAGAGAGGTGGTAGTCGGTTACCTTTTGTTGTATCGGGGTTCGCTTGTTGCAGGCTGGCCGAGGACAGAATAGAAAGAAAAAAAAAAGGAAAGGGGAAACGCTACTGCAATCCGGGTGAACGAAAAGGGAGAAAGCAGGAAAAAGTAGAACGAAGAGAAAGGAAAAAGGAGCGGGAGGGAAAGGAAATAGAAAAGTAAAAAAAGGATGCAGGGAAGAGTAAACCACCGAAAGGCAAGAAAACAAGAAAGGAAAGGAGATGAGAGGTGGACAGGATGACGACGATAGCGATGCCTTTTGTTGCCCTTGCTCAGAAAAAGGGAGAGATTGAGGATGGGTCGCTTCTTTGGCTATTGTTGGATATCTGGATGTTTCGATAGTTGTATCGTATCGTATCGGGTTATTGGTTGGACAACGAACGGGGCAGGAAAGGTTGCCGTTGCCGGTCGGTTGAACGGATAGATGGACAGAAGAATATGAAAGAGTTAAGATCTGAAGGAAAGGGAAAGGGAAGGAGAGAGATCTTGTGCCTTGAGAAACTGATTTGCTTTAGACCTTGAACCGAAATGGGCTAGGGACTAGAGGCCGTAGTTGTAGATGTTGGCGTCGACAGGAACCTTGCAGCCGCCGCTGAGACTGACAGCAAAGAGAAGCACGTCAAGTTCGTCTTGGGAGAGGAACACTTGGAAGAAAAGGGTGATTGTCGGTTCTTGATAGGACGGACCATATAAAATCTCGACTCTCTCTCTCTCTTTGTTTGTTGCTTTGTTGACGATGGGATGTGTTTGTTGTTACCAAGGCGTTAAAAAAGAGATATGGCGTCAACTGCGAGAAAACAGAGGGTGCGAAGAAGAAATAGGATAAGGAAAGTAGGGAGAGGATGGACGGTCTGGGTTGTGTCTGTGTGGAGTGGGTGAAATAGAGAAAAAGGGGGATGGGTGGATGGAGAAAGAGAGTAGCGCAAGTGCTGGTTGTTGTTGTTGTTGACGTAGACTAAAAAGCAGGGGACAGGAAAAGGAGGGAGAAGACATAGAGAAGTGTTAGAAATGGATTGGCCAGCAAGACAACAATACAAACATGCACATTTTTTCCAATTGATAACAACGGATGGGGCGAGAGTGGAGCAATTGAAGTATTGAGCCACTGAAGGCAGGGGTGGATGGCCGGTACTCCATGGGTGAGGGGTAATTATAGGGGATGAAAGGGATGGATAGGGATGGATGCAAGTGGCAGCGATGAAAATATTCCCGGAGGATGTGTGTACTGTAGAGGGAGAGAGAGAGGGAGGGAGGGAAGAGTATATGTGAAAGGGTAGAGAAGCAGCAGCATGTGCAAATGGGGCACAAGGAAGAACGAGGAAGAGACGAAGAGAAGGGAGAAGAAAAGACGCCGGTTGGCTGTGTTGGACCACAGTACATCCTTCGCCGGATGTTTTTTCCTACTTTCCCCTGAGTAATTGGGACATCGAAGTGTTGCTCACCTTTAGGGCTAAAAATGAGTGGAGTGGGAGTGTAATCCTTTTTTATTGTTTACAAGGAGGAGAAGGAGAAATGGTGCCTTGGAATATCTACGTGCTGAATGAATGTAAGTATGTGCGTTCGTTTGCTTTGGCGGATGGAAGAGGGTGGAGATGGAATAGAGGACGATAAGGGGCGATGAAGAAGGAAGGAGTAAGGGGAAGGAAAGGAGGGGGATGTGAAAAAGAAGAGATAATGGTGAAAGATGAAAGATGAGGAAGAAGAAGAAGAAAGAAGAGAAGTGGAAGAAAGAAAGATGAGGAGATATAGTATCAGAAATAAGAGGTGTGGCGGTTGATTGCCCACCCCTTCTCCCCCTTCAGACCCATCTCGACATCGCTCTCAACCCGCATCTCTCCTATTATTCATTCAGGGCAATCAATGGGTAGGTGATACATACACGCCATCGTGCCATGCCATTGCCATTGCCATTGACACATTTTTTATTCTGAACCAAAACACTCAAATTGCTCATGCTCCTTCTTCCTCCCTTCTTCTCCCACTAGCCTTCTTTGTCCAAATCCCCATTCAAACCTTTCACACACCTTTGTATTTCATTTTTCTCTTTCACTTTTCATTCAACCCCTCTCTTCATTACCTTTTTTTTTTCTTTCACGTTCCCACAACACGCGCACAACGGGGCTAATAACAAGGGGTCAACAATTGGCAACACAGATATGCAAAAACAAGAGTTGGATGGTTGGAGGATGAAAACTTATGGCAAGGAAAAAAAAATAGTGTTCCTTTATTATTATTTTTCTTTGCCACGCCGTCGCACAAACGAGAGAGTCTGATGGTGTTTATTTTCTTCCCTCCTTCCTGTTTTTTTCTCCCTCCGCAACATATGGCGGTATCTTTCTTTTTGGCTAGGCGGACACATGACTACCCAGCAGTGCATCATCGACCCATTGTCGGACAAAAAAATACTCTATAACCTTACTTTGTCCCATTTTGCTCGTTCCTACCCCTAGACAACCTACTCCTTTTTCCTCGACCCTGTTTTTTTTTTTCTTTCCCCATGGCTTTTCTTGAAAACCTTCTCTCTACATCTCTCTACTGTTCCCTTGTCCCTTTTGTCTTTGTTGTACTCATTTTCTCATGATAAAAACCTCGTCATAGTCAGAAACTAAAAAAAAACCATTGAAAGAAAGAAAAAGAAATGGCACTATGGGGATCTCACCTCACCACAAGCGTGGGCAAGCGGAATAATAAAAATGGATAAGCGATGATGTCGTATGGGGGATACTTTAATCCTCATACTCACTCCCCTACTTGCCCCATCCGACATTAAACATGGAAGGAAATGGAAAGAAAAGAAAAAGAAATCCAAGACGACAAAGGAAAGAGGAGAAACAAGCGCACGCGATGATGTCCACGAGAAAAAAAAGAAATTGAGACATTCTCACAGCAAACACCAGGGTTGAAAGGTCGGTTGTTTGCCCATGGATGCACCCCATTTTCAGCCATTTGATCCTATTTGGAAGAGAAAGAGGGATGGAGGATGGACGACCATGGGAAAACTAAGGGGGAAAATAGACGAGGAACGAATTGATGAAAGAGGAAAAGAAAGTTGCCCTGAAGTTGAGTAGGGGTTATCCGACCCATGGATGTGACAAATAGGCCTGGTCTCAACAAAAAAAATATTCCCATTCCTTCCCTTCCCTGAATCCTCTCAACCCCCCCTTCTTCCATGGTTCCACCATCCTCCCCCGTCTTGCATTTATTTTTCGAACAAATCGACCCAAACATAAACAAAGTGTGTGTGAGCAAACAACCAACGACTATCACAGAAAGAAATAGGTGCGTGAGAGCAGAATTGCTTTCCAAATGATGCAGTGTTACTTTTTTTCCCTTTCTTTCTTTCCCTCCAACCCAATAGTGTGAATGGGCTAGGGAGTGTGAGTTATTTCTGAAAAAAAAAAGAGACAGGATAAATGAGCTGCCAGAGCCAATAATAAGGATAAGAAGAGCGCACACTCCAATGGTGGTTAACAAAAGATATCAATAATGCATGCTTGAAGGGTGGATGGTGAGGATTGACACTACACACACAAAGAGATATGTGGATTGATAATGGTGTTTAGTGTTATTGCTACAAATATGATGGATGGATTAAAAGCGAGAGTATTATTGTCTGTTGTCTATGGGTTTTTTTGGGTACCGTAATGCAATGGATGGTAATGGTGATGGTAATTATCGCTGTGACGAATGATAAGGACTGTTTGTTTGTTGCATGTGTTGCGTTTTGTTGGAGTTGGAGCGGATGGTGGTCATGTTATCGTGTCCATCGAAAAACGTGCTCCTCCTCCTGCCTCTTCCCACTCTCCTCCAAAAAGAGGGAGAGAGTAGATGAGATCTCTCTATCGCCTCCCTACCATAACTTGAGATGGGTCCTTGCAGCCCTGAGCATCTTCCACGGCTCCGAATGCCGAATCAACTGGCGACACCAAAGTCTAGTCAAGTTGGGTGTATGATCCACCAACCACCTCACATCATCCACATCCACCTCCCTCGCCAAATCATCAATATACAGATTCTCCAATTGATGGCCCAAGCCGTTGAGGATCGAGAGTTCGAGTTGGGAGCCACCAATGTGGAGGGCTTTGAGATTAGAGAGTTCGCGGAGGCGGGCGTTGAGGAAGTGGGTTTGGGAGGAGTTGATGGTGTTGAGGTTCTTGATTCGGAGGAGTTCGAGGGATCCTTGGCACGCCCATGATACTGAAGGTGTGGTAGTTGTTGTTGGCGTGGGAAGGGCGGTGGTGGTGTCGACAGCAACTTCGGGTAATGGGTATACTGTTGCTGCGACAGTGGTGGACTCGTCCTGTTCCTGGTCCTGTTCGGTGGTGGTAGTGGTAGAAGGTGCGGATGGGTTCTCCTCCAGCTGCTGGTCGTCGTCATCGTCAGTCTCAAGAGTATGAGGGAACAGACTCTCGGGCATGATCTCGGGCTGCTGGAACTCCAAGCTCCTCAACCGCCCGCAAGTCATCAAGATGTGATGGATCCCCTGCCCTGTCAACTCTGTGCAGTTTGAGACCGACAGACACTGTAACCGACGGTTCTCATACCGTTCCTGCACCGATCCATCCTCCGAGTTGTTGTTGTTGTTGTTGTTGTTGGTAGAAGAAGAAGAGGAAGTGGGGCGAGGGTGGGAGAGCATGTCGCGGATGCCCTGGTCAGTGATCTGGAAGCACCCATCCAAGTTCAGATCCGTCAATCCCAAACACTGATGACCCAGGACCGCCAACGCAGCATCATCGACGTTGGTCTGAGGGATGTCAAGGTGGAGGAGGTTGGGTGAAGCCTTGAAGATCTCCTTGTATCCATGTCCGTCCAAAAAATGGCATCCTGACAGGATCAATGTCGAAAGCTGGGTCATGCAAAGGGAAGGGTCGAGGTGGAAATCTGTGAGATACAAGGGAGTGTTTTGGCCGAGGTTCAGTTTGACGAGTTGCGGGGTGCGGGCGAACAGGGCAGTGAGGGTGGATCCGGAGATGGCGGTCGCATGGAGGTTGATTGTTGTAAGGTGCTGCATGGAGACCCAGTTAGGGGCAACCTTCTCCGACAATGTAAGTTCTTCCAGCTCATGGTCCTGGTCCTGGTCCTCCTGGTCCCCTTGATTATCGGAGACGACAACAGCTGATGTGGATGCACCCGGTGAAGGAAGGGGCAAGTCCAGGATCTCAATCATCCTCAATTGGGGGCAAGCATCCATCAAATCGGGCAAGGAATCGGCACTGGTAACCTGCTGCACCAACTCCGCTTCTTCTTCAGCTCCCTCCGAGTCAGTGGGCAAAGCCGAAGCCAAAACCAGAGAGCCCACCGAAGAAGCATTAGACCGCTGACGGTTATGGTTATGACGATAGGAATCCCGATCGGTTAAGGACAGCGTAAAGTGACGGAGTTGTGGAAGAGTTCCAGCAACCTTCAACAGATCCCCCCGGACCTGCGCCATATTATACATCTGCAACGCCGAGAGTCGATGTGCTGAGGACTGGGTGAACCTTGAGAGTGTTGCAGCATCGAGTTCAGTGGTCCAGCTAGAAAGAAGGATTGTCTCGGCGTTCAAGTTGGAAAGATCGATTGAGTCCAGAATCGAGTCCCCTGTGGAGGAGGGCGACGAAGAAGAAGAGGATGAAGAGAGATGGATCCATTCGAGGTGGCGGATATGTTGGCTGAGTTGAGGAAAGGCCTGCAACATCTCCCGACTCTTGTCGGCTACTGTTCCTGATTCGACTCGGACTCGTCTCCAGAGATGCCGGATCCAGTGAGTGTACCAGTGAGACGAGACCTGGACGACGACCGTGAGGGTGTGTCTGTCAAGGTGGCGGGCGATCTGATCGCAGATCTCGGGGATATCGAATGGGTTGTTGCCTTTGTTGTTGTAATTGTCTCCGAGTCCGAGTCCAAGTCCGAAGGAGAGTTGTTGTTTCTTGCAGCGTGAGGAGTCTGTAGGGAGGATGGTATGAGCAAGAGGCTCAGCCAGTGGGGCCGAGCAGAGTAGTGCAGGCATCGTTACTGTTGTTGTGTAGTTGCTGTGGTTGTTATTCCTGAGGCTGAAGAGGCTGTTGGAAGGGATAACAAAAGGCTTTGTTTGTGTTCCTTGTTCCTGAATAATGCTAAAGATAAGAATAGACGAAGGAAAGGAAATAAAAAAGGGTCAGCGCTTGGATCCCTGAGTGTCACAGAGGTAAGAGAGAGAGAGAGAGAGAGAGAGGCAATTCAAGGGATCGGATCGACAGTTGTATCTTGCAGTTGTTACCAATTGACGACGAAGAGACAACTCGGTGGATGGATGTGAGAGTGGAGAGAGCGGGCGAAGAGTGGGGAGGGAAGGAGGAGGGGATAAAGGTATAAAGGGGAGTGAGGAAGGAAAGAAAGAAGACAGAGAGGGAGAGGTGAAGGAAAGATAATAAAAGTTTTTTTTGTCTTCCTGCCGACTTATCGCGCAATTTCAAAGAAAAGAAAAAAAAAAGCAGGCACCATTACCTCGGCCAGACACAGAAAACTTTTTTTTTCTTTTTTTTTTTGTTGTCCGATCCAATTTGAGAAGAGGAAAATGAAGGCTGGGAGGCCAATTACTCACCCTGAGTGAAGTGAAAGAAGGAGGCCTATTTGCCGGCCCTTGGTGGGGGAATTGAGCAACAGCTAGCCAGTCAGTGGTGAAGCTGTAAGACACAGGGCATGGGTGTATCTGCTATTAATGACTGAGAGTAGTGGGTACAGTAGCGAGTACAGTAGCTGCTGTCGTCGTGATAGATGCGATTGGCCGGGATCGATCCACTGGAGTGTCCGATCCTGTGGTTGTGTTAGAAGGAAGCAAGAGTTGAGAAAAAGGGGGAGAGCAGAGAACAGCAAAAACATGGGCGGGGCACGGACAATTGAACACTCGTTTTTTTTTGTTGTTGCGACCAATGATATTGCACGTGTGACTGTTGTTTTCTTATTTCTGCTTGGTTGATTTTGCTCCAAAAGAGACACAGGGACAGGGACAGGGACAGCGAAAGGAGGTGGATGGGCAAAGTAAAAAGAAAGTAAGAGAAGGAATGTGATATATCGCACGAGAGAACATATCTTCCCCTTGTCTATGTCTATGTCTGTGTCTGTGTCTGTGTCTGTGTCTGTGTCTGTGTCTGTGTCTGTGTGCCTGTCTACACTTAATTGAAACCACTTCCTTTTCACAACGCACATCGACGCAAATAGCATTGACCCTTTCGTTCTTTCTTACTCTCCCTCATTTATTATTGCATTAGCACACGAATTGCTATCAATTGGCCCCTACACACTTCCACATCCAATGTGAACGATAAGACTTTGTATTTCCTTCAACACATGCAAATGAAAGAAAGTGTGATAAAAAAAGAATTGCTATTCACGGAAACGGGAAACCTGTCTGGACGTAACTCTAGTTCTACAGGCAAACATCACCCGAGTACGAGTAGGGGTCCAACTCCCTAACTCCACCTTAGACCCGGGGCTCACCTCTTCTTTGTTTTAATCCTGCTGCTGGTTGTATCCGTGGCCCAGAAGAGCCTATATGAAATGAAATTTCAACACAGGAAAAAGAAGACTTTTTTTGGGCGAAACCAGAAGAGGCCAACTTTCCTTTCTATTTGTTCGAATGTATGTTTGAATCTTGAAGTATGATTTTTTCTTAGAAGACACTGTATCACTACCACTGGGGTTCATGATTATTTTCTCCCCGATCATCCGTACTAGCACCGTACAGATACATATCCAGATGCAGATACAGGTACAGAAACAGAAACAGGTACAGGTACATAACTAGCAGCTCATACTCAGGCTCCGATCCCCCCACATGATCCGATCGCTTGCTTTTTTGCGCTTTTTTTCTTTTCCTTCCTGGGACCTTGCTTGTTGTTGGTTTCTTTTTTTACTTTCCTGTCTGACAATAGATCGGCATTTGTGGTATGGAAGGTGGTACACGCTGTTCAATTGGTATCAGTCTGTCGAATTTGGATGATCAGGGAAGAGAGAAATAAAAGAAAAGAAAGAAAGAAGCGTATGTTTTGATGAACACGATATGTTGATGAGCGTCAAACAAACAAAAAAAGTGCGATGAAGGAAAAAATAAAAATAAAATAAAAAAGAATGCTAAAAAACAATTGCGGACATGGCTAGCGTAGGACCTTATTTTCCACGCGCCTGCCTACCTGGACCCGCCATTGACACCATTGCGTATTGCGATACACATGCAATAGCTGCTCTGGAAACAATTAAAATCACGGCCAAGGTTGTCGAGAAGAAGAAGGGAAAAAGCGCCTTCCCTCTGTCTTCATTCATCCATTCTTTTCTTACGCCGGCTCAAGTCAGCACATAGCATTCCAATCCAGCGCCTCCTGTCTTGCCTTCTCCTTCTCGCTCATTGTTACTGTTCTAACCTTCTTTTTGCCCAGGAGTAATGATGATTGAATGAAAAGAGTCAACATATGTTTGTTTTCTTGGTGTTATTCATCGGGGTTCGTTGAAGAGTGTCAGCCCGTGAGGGGGAGGGGCAGCAGAGAGAAAAAAATAAGAGTGAACAATGTGAAGAAAGGAGGCGGAGAGGGGGCAAACACAAATATTGGAGAACCAACACGGAGCCTCCTCTTTTTCTTCTCTCTCCTCTGTCTCCTCAGGGACAAAATATAATAAGAAAGCTCCTAGAAAACATAGAATGGCGGGTTGTTTGTCCTTTTCTATTATTTTATACAGGGACATGCACACATACATGGTTTGTGTCGAGAACAGTCTGTTTTGCTGGTTTGCCGCTCATAAAGTGCTATTGAGCCAATAGCGTGTTGTTCCCGTTGCCTGTACTTGTAGCATGAGATCGCTGGATAGGTAAGAGTAAAATTGCAAGGACCTTTTTTGTTAGAGGGAGACGAGGAGAGGAGGAGTAGGAGGAGGAGTAGGAGAGGAAGGAGAAGTAGGAGTTAACTGTGTGGGATTTAGACATTCAAGGTAGATGATTATCGCATGCATGTACATAATACACACGACCTGACTCCCTCGGGCAGAGCATGGAGGCGAGAAATCGGATTGAATTGGTGAGGAATAAATGAGCCGGTGGACGGACGGATGGATGGAAGCTATTGTTGTCGCCGCCGTGGACTAAAAATATTGAGCGAGAGTGTAGAGAGAATGGATGTGTGTGTAGCACGAGAGGAGAAGGGAGCGAACAATGCGAGAAGGGACGAAGGAGGGCGCTCATTTTGGCATGACAGAGCACTACTGACTAGTCGGGCTGTTTGGATGTGATTCGGTGTGAACAGTGGATTGTTGTTATCGACGATGGGATCGGACACAGACAAGAATGGGACGCCAGTTCATTCATTCTTGCGCCCGCTCTCAGGTCTCGGGTGTCAACACATATGTGTGTCTGGATCCCATTTCATTTTTTATAGACACATGAGCAGTAAGGGGCGAGGATGGTGATGGTGATGATCCTGGTGCTGGATGCTACAGCTGGGTATAGGATAATGTGCCTCTTTTTATATCCTCGCATTATTGTTTCTTTGTCACCTTCTTTCCTTCTTTGTCCTCTTTGTCTTCATCCGGGTCATCCTGCCACCTCCTCTCGAACAGTTGCTTTACATTACATACGCCACTTCTTCCTTGTCCTTTCTTCTATCCGTCCTTCCTTCACATCCATTCTTCTCTCTCATTCTCTCTCTTCTTTATTTCTTCTCCACCCTTCCTTCCTTCCTTCCTTCCTTCCTTCCTCCACTTCCCTTTCCTTTCCTTTCCTTTGACTCTCGCCAACTCGCTTCCCCTTTGTCGTTGCTCTTATTCTCACTCTCAATCCCATTCCTTTCTCTTTGTTTGCTCTCTTTCTTTTCTTCTTACTCCTCTTCCTCCACAGCACCACCCTTGTTGTTATAACTGTGCGCCGACGACTCTCCTGCACACACGCCTTGCCTCGGCAAAATATATCCCTTCCCTTCCTTCATTCACTCAACCTTGCCTCCTTCGTACTCTCCCTCATACTCTCTGGACTCTCCTTCCTTCATTCATTCATTCATTCATTCATACACTCAATTATACAACGCTTTCCTCACTTGCTGGCTCTGTACCGTACCCTTGGTTCGACAGCGTCCTTCTCTTTCGTTGGTGAGTAAACACATCTACAGATAACTCACCATTGGATAACAACAGCAACAACAACATCAACTTGGAAACACGCTCGACTCCTTTATTTTTCCCTTTTGTTGTGTTCTCCACGTTCTCGTTGGTTTGTTTTTGCTTTTTTGTTTTGTTTGTCCTTTCTTTTCCTCCTCTTGAACTTTTTCACACTTCATGTTCCTTCGTCCCCAAGCATTGAATGGAGGGCCCTGAATGACATCGACTGAATGACAATCACTCCACTCTCTTTCATTCTACAACAGCAACAACCCTAACGACATCACAATCACACTCCTTCGAGCAGTTTCATTCCCTTTTTTATTTTTTATTCTATGCTTCGTCTTTGACTCCACGGTAAAGAACCAACTCCAGGAACAACGAGGAAGTAGTACACACGGACTTTTTACCGGCAAATGACAAACCCCCGCTCTATTACTTTCTGTTCAGATAAACAACGCACTTGGCCACAAACAACAACAACACATACCTCACAGCAAAGTTCAATTGGCTGTTGTGGTTGTTGTTGGGGGCTCTCTTTTTTTTTTCTTCCCGTTCTTGCCCTTCTCGTCTGCTCTCTTCCAATCCCACTTGAACGTCTTACCCCACATCTCAGACGCATGCCTCTCTCACACTCACACGAGAGGAAACCCTCTTTTTGTTTTCAACGAGATATTAATGCGTACATTTATCCTTTTGTTTGTCATCCAGCTAATATTACCCCCATAGTCGATCGCAAGCACCCACTCTACTTCTATTACCCATCCTGTCCTTCCTCGAGTCTTTCCTACGACGGATAGTCTCTTTCTCTTCAACAGCAACCAACAACAACAATAGACACTAGCAAGAACAATAACAATGGCAGCAGCTGATGTTCAACAAGGTAAAGTGGAGTGAGGTGAAAACCAAAAGTGTGCCTGAATGATTTCCACAGCTGTGGTTTATATTAGTGTTCACCCTTTTTTATTTTCCCATGGTCATGGCCATGGCCATGGTATGTATCACCTACTCATACATGCCCACCCTTCCTTTTAAATAATATAGAATGGCGCTCGGAGGATATGCTCGACCATGATCAGGATCGCTTCGCAAAACCACCACCTTCCGCCTCATCCCTCCTTCCCGCCCTACCCGTCGACACCTCCTCCAACAAGGATCATGATCACCATAACGACTCTGGTCTCGATGGAATCGATACCCAGGTCGAGAACCTCGGATTCCGCTCCCCACCCGCCTCAACCACCATCTCCCGCTCCTCCACTGGCGTTTCCTACCCGTCCCCACCCCCTGCATGTAATACCAACAAGAACTACAACCCACCACATCCGCCAACATCCGACCCTCGACAGTCCAACTCACCCCCTCAGGCTGCACTTTTCACCGACCAGGTCTCTTCGATCAATACCAAGATGCGCGAGGCTAACCTCCCGACCCCACTGCAGACACAGTCGCTTGACAGCCGGGTCCCACGCCATGCCCAAGCCCCCCTCGCCAGTCCTTCCTACATTCATTCTCCGTCCGGCAACTCGGACTCGCCCATGACCTCCAACTATGGTCAGCAACACCAGGCCCCGTGGATGAATTCACACCACCCTCTCCAACAGAGCGCCTCGCCTCGACATGGACCTCTCCTCACCCCCGGTGCTTCCTCGCCTGCGCTCTCCCCTCACCCTTCCTCAGCAGCCTCGCTCAGAGGATCGTCCAATTCGCTCCCTCTGCCAGGCCCAACCTCCCGGAAAAACTCTGTAGCGAGTCTGTCAGGCGGCATAGCCCGAGTTTCACCTGGCTTCCGAGGCGCCCCTCTTGGCCAGACTTCCGACACCGACTCTGTCCTGAAGCAGTTTGACGTCTATTTTGGAAAAGTCTATCTCCGTGGACAACTGCAGAAGAAGAACGACCTGGGTCTGGATGGATTCAAGCTGCAGGGAGAGCAGTGGGCGGCCTACACTGCAGAGCTGATCGGGCCTAAGCTGAGATTGACGCCCATGCCCGGTTCCACCGGAATGGGTGGTCGTGCAGAGGAAATGAACATGGAGGAGGCGACGGTCGAGATGCTGGATGGACCCAATGGTGGCACGTTTACGGTCAATTGGATGGGCGCCAACAAGGCGTGCTTCCAGCCCGTGCAGCAACTCTCATTGGGCGCACCCGAAATCGGATCGGCTGTCCAGGATTGGGTCTGTGCTATTCGTCTCAGTTGTTACGAGTGCTCTCGTCTGCAAGAGATTTACACTTCGACTTTGTTGCGTCGACCAAAGTTCCGTGACCAGGTCGCAGCGACGATCGAAGGACCCATGAAGGCTGAAGGTATGCTCCGTGTCAAGTTTTGGGCGGGCGAGGATTGGATGCGTCTGTGGGTCGTGGTCTCGGACCAGCGTGGCGAGGAGGTCAAGAAGAAGAAGCAAGGCAAGATCCTTCAGGCGGCACCTATCCGTGGTCAGATCCATTTCTACGAGAACCAAAAGTCAAAACGACCCTTCATCTCAATGTACAACGTCAGTCAAGCCTATGCCGTCTGCCCTAGTCGTTCGTCCATCAACGCCTCCAAGGACAACAAGGTCGATGAGGAGGGTTCCTTGACGATCAAGTTGGAGGGAGATGTGGTTCTTCAGCGCGAGAATTTGTTTGCTCCGCGCAAGGGTTTCTTCAGCAGCCCCTCTGCTCCTTCGACTGTTGCCCGGGATCTTCAGGCCCTACTCCCTACAGGAAAGTCCATGTTTGCGATGTTCCAAGTCCCCAACGCGGTCGAGCGTACAAAGTTCCTTTTGGGAACCAGTGAGGCCTTCAGGATCTATGGCAAGCCCGGTCCACTGCTATTCGACTCGCCTACTGACCCTGCTGCGATGAACTTTGGATGCATGGCGTCGTCCTTGCTCCAACAGGAGCTCTTGATCGGATTGGACGCTGTCTTGCACTTGCCCCAAAAGGGTGAGTCCCTGGCCGATGTCAAGTTCTCGTTCGGAGAAGTCCTTCGCAAGCGCCTCATGGCCGAGAATTCACCCCCACAGAGTCACCAACGCCGGTTCTCGAACCAGTCTGGAAGCAGACGTCAGAGCACGTTGCCCTATGGTGTCCCCGAGGGAATGGTCGCCCCTTCGCCCATGATGGCCATGGCCATGCGGTCACGCGCCAATTCTGGATCTGGATTCTTGGTCCCTCAGCCGTCGCCTGGTCTGCACCCTGCTCACATGTCACCCTGGGCTGGTTCGCCTTACTCGCCTCAGTTGGGTCCCTATGCCATGTCCTACTCGCCCAGACAGGGGCCTCTCCATGCTTCGCCATATAACCAGCACTTGACACGGCCTGCCTATGCGACCTCCAACGCTAGCACGGACGAATATGACGCCAATTTGGTCACGGATGAAGAAGGAGAGGATGAAGAGTACCCCGACAGCCCCGTGGACGAGGACGACGGACTCCAGACACCCTTTCGGTCACGCGCAGGATCTCTCATGGCTCCACCAGCTCTCCCTGGCGGGTACGGACAAGCCCGTAAGGGATCTGTGGGGGCTCTCAGTCTGCAGAGTGGCAGCGTTGGATCATCGATGTTGGGTCGATCTGGTCGGAGCGCCAGTTTCACTAGCAACTACGGCGTGCAGGTCGTGACCCCCGAGTCCGCCGCCGCCGCTGCAGCCGCCGCCAAGAAGACTGTTCTGGAGTTACCATCGTTGAACTCGTTCTCGGACGATTTCGGTATCCGTTCTGAAGCCAACAAGGAGAAGCAGCGAAAATTGACCGCTGTCGTGTACCCGACCCAGATTGTGATCCCCAAGAACAAGAAGCGGAAGGATTCGACGACGGGAGAGACGCTGTCTCCAGGAGGACCTGCAGGTGCAGGTGGGTTGAGAAACGCGACCTCTTTGGCGTCGCCTTCTTTCCCTAGCGCCGGAGGTGCACCCAGCCCGTCGATCAAGGTCAGTGGTGAAGATGAGCTTGAGAGCAAGTAATTCTGCTTTTGCGTTCTTTTTCCTCCCACTTCCCCCTTGTATATTTTTTTCGACATTTTTTTTTCTCCTTTTACCCAAACAACACACACGCCCAACCCCAGGAGAGCAAAAAAGATCGTTCAATGGGAGGCATAAAAAAAAGATACCACAACTGCCAACAGCAACAACACGCCCATCTAATGACAACCAAACACACACCACTACCACCACTATGATCTCACGACCACTCACAACGGCCTCGTCTGCCGTCCCATTTCTCTTTAGCTATTTCGTTTCTTGTTTATTGCATTTCAGTAGTTCCGTTTTGTTTTGTTTTCATTCGAACAGTTTTTACCCACATACATACATACCATTGCTTGAAATATAAAGCAGATTCAAAAATCATTCGGTGCTTGTACAGGACGGAATAAGGTCCGAAAATCGATAAGAAAAAGTAGACGACGATACGACAATGAGACGAGTACGTCTTCACCAGCTCTTCCAATTAATAACTACGTTATTTGAGGGTGGGTGTGTTCATAGGGGGGGGGTTTTTTTAACAGAAGGACCTTGTTGAACAGATGCTTCGCTTCACTTCTTTCTATCGCCCATCAAGATTATTGCCCTGTCGCTCCAATATGTCATGAGAGAGCCATCATTACATTAACCTGTCCACCATCGACACGCCTTTTTTTATACTGCATCCGTGTGCCTTGACCCTTGACCCTGCTTGAAGTAGGGAAGAAGTTGAAAGGACTAAGGCCGATCTAGGATGATAAAGTCGGGGTTGCAAAGGAAGACCATCATAGCCATACATGTTGTGTAGGTACCGCAGTCTCTTTTTCTCTTACATCGTGCCAGTTCAACCGCATCGGCTTTGGATATAGTACAATAGTGGACACATAATAAAACCCAGCTTTTATTGACATGCATGAAATAATGACACTCTCAACCGACTAGGCAGCGAGTTGAACCCACTTTGCTTCAGTCACAGGGACGCCATCCAACAAGACAACAATCATATAATGACCAGGCGGCGCTAACCCGTTTGTAGCAGGAGCCTTGACTCGAACCAGTCCAGCTTCCTTGTGTGCCTCTCCCGTACCAGCGACCATCTTTTCTCCACGCTTGGAAACTTCTAGCCCGACATAGCGCTGGCTCATATGAGTCGAGTGGGTGATGAATCCAGGTTGGATCAAGGCCACACGGACAGTTTCGGGGTAGTGGTTGTACCACTGCAGGGACAGGTCAAACGTCTCGCCGTAGGTGATCAAGGTCGGCCAGCCAACAATATCGCCCTGAGCGATTTGAGAGATACCTCCTCCGTGCTCGTTGTCAACTCCGCTGGGAGCAGCACCACCGCCACCACCAACGACTGTTCCTTCCAAAGTGATCTCGTCCGACCCTTCAAGGCCAACCGCCGCAGCCTCAGAGAGTCTATGAGGGAAAAGATAAGGAGGGCTGAACCGCTCGACACGGAACTCTGTTGGAAAGTCGCCCTCTCCGTATTCAACAGGACGACCGTTAGGGTTTGATCCTGCGACCAAAAGACTCGAGTCGGGCAAGATAAATGCGACAGAGTGGTACATGCGCGCAATCACACTTGGATTCCAAACACGGAAGCGACGGCCTTTACGCTCGTTAGGCAGGTACTGGACAGGGTGGAGGACAGGATCTGAAGCACGGTCGAATCCGGCAGTGCCGGTATCGGCCCCATTGACAATCACAATCGAACCGTCGGCCAGATGCGCCATATCGGGCATCATCCTCCCAAACGGCATGTCTTCCATCTCCCAGGTGGGGTTCTTTGACAGGGGTGCAATACGACCGCATGAGGCAACACCCTTGGCCCGGGTCGAGAAATCAGTCGCGCCTCCACAGACCAAAATCTCGGGCTCAAAGTTGTTCTCGGGCGTGAGCGGGAGGATGACAGACCCGCCCGTGAGGGGGTAGTTCCGGGGGGGCCCAGGGATATCAGGAAGGCGCTTGATGATTTTCCAGGTTGAGGTCGAGAGGATGATGGCTTGGGTGTTGGCGAGGATGAAGAGGTTTTTATCGGGAAGGAGATGGACGATGGGGTAGAGGTTGTGGGGCAAGGTTTCGACTAGAAAGGGGAAATCAATGGTCTTTCTTGCCCCGGGTAAGGGTGGGAAGGTTTCAAAGTTGGGGACGTTGACACGCTCGTTGTTGATGGATGCTGCATGGTTGGATCCACCTAGGATGAAGAGGTCGCCGTTGGCCAGGGATTCTATAAATAATGGATTAAGAAAAAAAAAAAAAAAAAAAAAGGTTCAGTTCCACCAGGTTGTATACCTCTAGAGTATGATCAATAGAGCCGAAACAATCTGCTTCACTCCATGTGGCAGAGCCATCGATGCGCCCATCAGATGTTTGTTTCAGAACAGTTTAGATCAAGGTCCGTGCTTCCAAAGATAAAAAGCCCTACCGACTGTTGGGTACCAGCGTTTCTCTTGTAAATGCACGTTAAAGTCTTGTTTCCAGTCGCATCGCGTGCCATTGCAGGGCTTGTACAGTCGGATGCCGTCATAGCCTTGCTGCACCTCATCCGAAGGTTGTCCCCCTGCAACAGAGACAATCGTCTATAAAATCCAGTCAGACAGAAACATGGTGAGTGACAAGAAAAGCGCAGTAAGTACACAACCATGAATGCAACCCTCCCCACACACTTGTACAACAAAAAAAAATGACAACGTACTCCGTCGGGAAGGTATCCTCCAGCACTGCAGAACATATTACTCTTGACGTCTAGCGCGCGCCACTGACCATCATTAGCCGAAAACTCTGTAGACCAAGCAAAGTGTTCACCCTTGTTGCCATTCTCACTCGTCCCCTGCATCCTTGCATAAGTCGAAGCCTGAACACGCTCCAGGAAGAGAATGCTGTCCGAGAAGGGTCGCATCACAGCATGCATCGCAGATACGCCCGAGTGGCCAATCAGATCCCACTGTCCACCCAAGCTCGCTCCAGATACTGTCCTGCCCCCCACACCTGCATCAGCATAGTTCAACACGTTTGGCCCACCAGCCTCGTTGACGGCTGCATCGCTGCCAGAGTGAAAGCTGGGCAGAAAAGTTGCTCCAATAAGAGTCGTGGCCAAGATGGCGGTGAGGGAACAGCGTTTGAGGGAATAGTAACGAGGCGATTGAGGGTAAGGAAACTGGGGCCCTTGTTGGTGAGGTGTTCCTGGGGTTGTCAAAAGTGGAGACTTTGCATCTCTAGAGTAGAGTCGCTGCGTAGGAGATCCACCTGAAGAAGTTGGGGAGCGAGTGGTATGGCTATGGATTGAAGACGATCGCGAGTGTGTGGAGGAAGACGAAGAGGAGGAGAAGGCGGAGGAGGAGGAGGAGGAGTGAGTGGATGCTGGAGAAGATACAATCCCATCCTGAGACAAGACAGTATTATTTGTCTTCTGAAGGCGGGGACCCTTGCGGCGGCTCCTAGGGGCTGTTGACGAGGTAGTCTGAAGTGGGGCATAATAACCGCCGTGATTGTTGTTTGTGTTGAATGGGTTCATATTATAAAATGGTATGAAGATTGCTATTGCACAATAGATGAGTGGGGGGAGAAGGCGGAGGGAAAAGGCGGAGGGAAAAGGAAAGCGAAGTGAAAGTGGGAAGGTATTTTGTTCACGAGCTCGATTCTTTGTCTTGTCTTTTATTGGCGCAGCCTGTTCAATATGCACTTGAACATGCTCCTTTGAACGTGCACGTCAATCTCAGGGCAGATCAGAACCCCAATTCCGTAACATTTTTGTTTGTTTCGTTTTGTGTAACAAACAACACCCATGCATTTGTGCAGTTAGTGGGCAAGGATAATTACCAGTGAGCCTGCACAAGTTCATTCCGACTTGTCTTCAGACAGAGCCAACGACCTTCTTTCTTATTGAACTATATCATTCATGGATAGTAACAACAAACAATAAACGCAAACGAACAAACAAACAAGCAAAGAGAGATGAGCGGTCAAAGCTAAGGGACTATGGTACATTTAGTAAATTGCTATGTAAAGATAATAAATACGATGATGTTACGAAAGAGTACTAGGTTGAAAATGTGTGAGAGAACAATGAATAAGAGAGAAAAAGGAAAGAGGGTTGGCTTAGAACTTCTCCAAGTTGTGGCTGTCCTTCTTGGGTTCAATATCCTCATCAGAGTAGTCCTGGATTCTGGAGGCCAGGAAGAGAGCGCCGGGAATAGAGAGTCCAAGGAGGGCAAAGCAGATGATCAACTCGGTCATGTAAGGGGTGCCAACGGCGTTGATTCTCCAGGAGATGGCAGCTCCACAGGACTGAATGCACTTGTAGAAACCGGCGTAGCGGGAAAGGACAGTAGCGTCATTGGACATGGCGCCCATCATCCAGTAAATGTATGTCTGCCAGGCAGCGTCGTTGAGTCCGAAGAACATGTACAGGAAAAGAGGTCCGACGTAGGAAGAACCTTCCTTGAAGTCATGGTTGAGCTTTGGCATGTCAATGGTATAAGTGCGCTGGAAGAAGATGCCTCCGATCCAGGTGGCGATAAAGGCGGTCGAGATGATGGCCAATCCCCAGAGAGCGCGAGTGCGACGTTTGACGCCCTGGTAGTCGAGGACGCGGGCAAAAGAGTAGGATCCAAAGATCTGGGAAGCCCAGTAGAGGATGTTGTTCAAGGACTGGGTGCGGATGGAGAAGTAGCGTCCGTTGATCGTCGAGAAGTGGTAGGAGTAGTACCAGTTAGAGGACAAGAACATGGGGATGAGGACGACCATTCTCCACTCGAGGAACAACATCAAGATAGCCTTAATTTCGCCGATCCAGGTGGGGAACTCTTGGATCTTGATGTGGTCGCCGTTGGAGTGGGTGACGGAAGAAGGAGGGGCGAGGGAGAGGGCGGTCAAAGTACCGACGCCCATGATGACCAAAAAGACAATGTAGGTCGAGTCGCCCAAGGACTGGACTTCGGTGACGTTGAAGTTGATGGCGAGGGCGATGACGGATCCGAGGACGGCACCCATGTTGAAGATGGCCCAGAAGTATCCGATGAACTTGCCCTTGTCCTGTTCGCGGGGGTAGGCCATCATCATGGCGCCCTGGGCGGTCCAGAGCATACCGGCACCAATACCGAGGATACCACCAGAGACAATGGTGAAGGCACCGGCCTGGGTGTGGTTGTAGCAGAGGAGGGATCCGACGTAGAGGGCGTAGGCGAGACAGCCGATGAAAATGGTCCACTTGGGTCCGAGCTTGTTATGGATAGCACCGGAGAGGAGGCCAAAGATTGCGAAGCAGGTGTAGAGGGCGACGTTTGCGTTCTGACCGACCTTGGAGTCGACCTGGCCGCCTCCACCGAGGGAGTTGAGAGCATTGAACATGCCGGGGCAGCAGAAGCAGATGACGCCGACGGCGAGCACCTGAGCCAGGGGTGAGGTCCAGCGGAAACCCATGATGGAAGGAAGGTGAAAGAGAAAGAGAGGAGTGAGTGTGCGGAAGGGGAAGAGGAGATGGATGAGTTTAGATGGTGGGGATAGAAGAGAGGAGGAAGGCCGATGTGTGGAAGAGGATGAGATAAAAAAAAGAAAAAATAAAGTGGGGTTGAAAGAGGGTACGTTAATATATATACACACAGAAGCGTACGGCGGAGTGCTTTGTGTGTCTTGGGGAAGGAGAATAGGGGATAGAGGAAGGTGAAAGGGGAAGAGAGAAGATGAGAGATGAGATGGAGCGATCGCATTGAATGGAATTGAATTGAAAGGTGGTTGTCGCCCTTTCTTTTACAGAGGCCATTCATCCGTCCTTTCTTTATCCTCCTCTCCTTCTCTTTCTCTCCAACACTCTACTCTGTCCTTTGTTCTCACACCCACGACAGCAAAACTCAGCAACCAGGAAAGAGAAAAACACCAAAAACACCAAACACCAGATAGACGAGAGATACACAGGGACAGGCTCAAAGCCGACGAAGAGACAGTGGTTTGATCTACTCTTTTTGGCCCATCTCCAAAAAAAACCCTGTCATATTGCGTTCCCTTTTCTTGTGTCTTCTCATCCACATATACGTTCGTTCTGTTCTGTTCTGTTTTCTGCTACTTCATCAACATACGCATCGATGAGCGAACTATGCACTGCAACTTAGGGGTAAAAATAGAGCCTTTATTTTCTTCGTCGTCCGATTCGCATATTGTTAGTCGTCTCCGATCCCTCTTACAGGGGCAATTGATTTGCCAGGAAAGTTGTGTCTTATTCTCCCATTGCCTGTCTGTCTTCTTTAAAGGACCCCCTCTATAAGTGTGTTCATTTGTTTGTCGGTTGATGTTGTGTGCTCATTGTCCGGTTGTTGTCGACAGGCACTAGGGTACAACTCCGCCATTGCGAAAAAAAAATATTGATACAAACGGCTTTCGATCCATGGCCGACTGTTGTCCCCAGAAAACACTAAAACCCTCTCCTTGCACAGTATTGTCTGATTCCCTCTGTTGGTTGGTGAGAGAGAAAGAGAGTGAAAGTGTGTAGGCTATGCGATGTGTGTTCTTATTGTCTTTTAGGATGATCCTCCGACCTGCTTCTCCACTTTTGTTTACCATTTTCACAGCACGTACTCGTTTCTAGAGACTACGGCCTAGGAAATAATAAACAAGAAATGACACTAGTGTGAGCAAAGGAAGGAGAGAAGTAGGGGTAAACAAACAACCAAATAACCAACCAACCAAGCAAACAAACAAACAAACAAACAGGTGCGCAAGAAAGAAGGAAGGAGTACAGACGTATCGTTGCTGTATGTTTTTCTTCTTTTTCGCCTTCCTGACAGTGGGAAGAGAAATAATCAAAGAGTGAGACTTTATCAACCTTAACAGGGCAGAGGGCGCAGATTAGATGCTTCTGACGTCGGGCGTGAACAATCATGTGTAACATCGATATGATATCTCTACCTGGCTCACACTTTCATTCCTGTACCGACAGCGGACAACAACAACAGCAACAGCTACGCCAACAACAACAAACATACAGCATCCCCTCATACCAGTCATGTTTCCCCTAACGGGTCTCGTACCTTATTGGTCATTTGGAGATGTCCCTTTTGGCATTCCCTGGGACACCGGGACTCTAGGAACTGTCGTTGTCTTTGCGAGTGTATACGAGCCTGATTCATAGGCTAGGTCCGATTCATCAGGTCTCTCTCTCTCTCTCTCTCTCTCTCTTCGCCATTTACTCCTGAAGGAATGAAAGAAAAAAAACAAGCTGCTGATTGTTGTGTTGTGGTGGGAATGCACTTCCTCCTCGGTTAAGACCAAGACTAAGACCACAATGACACGGAAGCGTGCGCTGATACGACAAACGTTAGTTTTTATCATGTTTCCGATCTGTACTTGGCGTTGCAACAGGGCCAATGGTAGGGTGTGTTCTCTCTGCCCTCTCCAGCTGAGTTGTTGTTGTTGTGTTACTTTTTGTTTTTCTTTCTCCTCTTCTTTTAGAAAAGCATTCGTTACTTTTACATGGGTTAGTCCATCGTCGGAGCACACCCTCCTTTTGGTGCTCTCTTTTTCTGTTTTTTTCCTCTCCCTCTCTCTCCCTCTTACATACACGCACACACGCCCTCTGCCTATGTCCATCGGTAGGGAATCGAGTTTGGTAAAGGTGTCCGTTCGTCCACACCATCTCAGTCCATAGACCTACTCTATACCATTCACCGCTCACCACAACTTCTCCGACAAGCTGACTTTCATCTCTGAAGGATCTTCATGCTTCATTGACAACAGTATTTTTCTACCTTTCATTTGTGAAGTATATTCATGCCATGGGGAAAACCTCGCCCAGTTTAGCTTTCACCGATTATCCGGACGAGCGGGATGACATACTCCAGCCTTCCTTCTTCCCCCCACTTTGCACTTCACCTGCCCTTCCCCGCCAATTTGATCTGCACATGAGTGCAAGCTAATTTGTAAAAAGGAAGCAACTAGAATGATCCTCTGCCTCTGCGCTATTCCTTTCTTGCACAATCCTTTCCCTCAAGCCTATGACGATTCCTTACCGAATAAAATGGGGCATTATCATGAGTGACAAACTGTATCCAACGATCTTGAGATTTGTTAGCGTTGGATATTTTCATCTTAGAGAGCTTTCACACCCAAGAAATAAAAAAAAAAAAGAATCGTGAAACCGAGCTTGACTACAGCGTATGCACGAAACTAGCAAACATGATCCGTTTGCCAATCCATGCACCCATAGTGAGCCACCTGAACTCTCGACGCGGTCAAAATTGATCAGAACAATAACTGGATGTGAGGTGTGACTGCGTAGTGGCTTAGATGTTGACATCAGGCACGGGACATTCGTGCAACGCCCCAAGACTGCCCCCGAACTACCAGTGCCGTGCCTCTACTCGGCTGAGTTGCCATCGAATCCTCCCTCCCTCAGCACCACACCCTACACCATGTTCGGCGCATTGAAGACCGCATTCCGCACACACCAGCCTGTCTCGACCTTCAAGAGGTACCGCCCCCTCATCTCTTCAGTCTCAACACTCTTGACAACCTTCAATTGATTCAGAAAGGAACAATATACTGGACCACACGATCACCTTGAGAACCCCTGGAAAGGCGCAACACCATGTTGACAACGACGGCGGCACTAGACAAAAGAAAATAACTCGGGGTGTTGCAAACAAGAAAAGAAAACACCTATAGGACCGATCATGTGTCTCTCAGCGACTAATCGATTTCTTTTGTGATATGTGGCACATAGCTTGACTCAGTCGACTCCTCGCTGCTTCCACGCCGTGGCCCTCAGATTCGCTGAGCAAAAGAACACCATGAACCCCATCAAGCCCGAGCTCGGCGCTTCTTCTTTGTTCGGAGATGTCAGCGCACATGTCAATGAAGTCCCTGTTGAGCAGGGTGGAAAGGCAACAGTCAAGGAGGTATGGCATTCAAGGCGAGATTTACAATTGCAGTGGATACTCATCAGGATCGATACAGGACTTGAGACGTTTCTTCAGAGCTTTTATTGAAACACCCTTATGGACTTGGACATGAAAGCTTACGGAGAGTATGCACTTGATGGCAGAGGCGAGCGGAACAATTTGAATGATCTATGGAATTTCAGGATGACATGTTTGACCGTTGAGCAGATCTTGAAGGAGCAGCGAGTTGCTTTAGATCGGATTCTAATCTTCGACCTTTGTTTCTTTTTTCAACCGACATTTCAGTACCAATTTTCGACTGCCAACTTCAAGACCAGCACCAAGAAGTTGCGCCTTCTCGCCAACCAGATCAAGGGCCTCGATATCCAGAATGCTATCAACCAGATGGAGTTTTCTCAGAAGCGCCCCGGAAAGCGTGTCATGAACACCTTGGCCTTTGCCAGGACCAACGCCACCACACAGGAGAAGTACTCTATGGATGCCAGCAAGCTCTATGTCGGTAAGTGGACCTTTTCATCGGCACGCTGTCTATTCTGAGCCTTCCTTCCCCCTATTTTGGCACTCTGTAGTTATGAATCAAAGATCTAACTTTGTATGATATGAACAATGTCTTTTATTGGAGTATAGATCGTGCTTGGGTTGGAAAGGGTATTTACCATCGTCGCATCAAGACCCACGCTCGTGGTAAATTCGGAGTGATGCACCATCCTACTGCACATCTCAAGTTCACCCTCAAGGAGCGCCAGCCTGAGACCACAGAAGCTGGTCGTGCGACGAGGAGAGACATTCGTGGCTGGAAGCAGACTAAGAAAGTCTGGACGCCCTTGATCGAGGACAAGCCCATCTATAACCCCACTCGTACCTACAACTGGTAATCGACCTTTCTTTCTTTTGTAGTCAGGACTTTACCGAACAAGTATCCCCAGCATTCTCTTTTTTTTTGTTATCTCGTCTGCCATAGAACAATTCTCTTTCTCTCTCTCTGTCTCTTTTCCCCTCGTGTAATACATATGAACATAAACCATTCGAATTCGATTAGTGTGCTTATCCACAGCATGTGTGGTCGTAGTCTTTAGCTCTTTAGCAGGCTCTTTTAACGACACAATTTTCGTGTTGAATTCATTCATATGTTGGAGGCGCGTCCGTTTCCCCTGAAAATACAATAAGAAAAAGAAGCCAAAAGAACATTTCGTGATCCCAGTCGCTACCCTTAACTGCAACACCCACGACAGACAGATCAGCACCATAAACCTTGGTGTCCCCCTTTGGCATCTCTCACACATCCCTCATCACCTCCCTCCTCCCCTTTCCATCCTTCCACCCATCCTTTACACACAATGTCGCGCCAACAGCAGATGATGGTAATACACTTTGCGCACTTATACCCCGTCAATAGCATCAAACAACACGCCTCCCCCCACTTTCTCGCCTGAATGTCAGCCTGCTCGAGAGATCCGCCTGCTACATTCTAGCCCTCAACAACAACATCTCGCCTTGCTATGTGACGTTTACAGCTAAGGACAAGGACAATAACAGGAGATCTCTAAGGAACTGGACCGCTTCATCACTATAACAGCCACATTGCACGACACGCAGTAAAGGCACGGACGCCAGTAGAGCTTGTGGTTGGCATTGGAATAAAGGAACAACGTCTTGGTTACAGGCGCGATGCAGGATAACAACTGGCTGATCAGCTGTCGCCCATCACCCACCTCTTTGATATTACCGATCGCGCCTCGTCTCACCTCGCCTCTAAACGCCTATTTGCGTGCCGCTTGCGCAAGTCTTTCAATTTTTTTTCCCACTGGAGTGAAAAAAAAGTCGCAGAAACGACACTACATTCATTCCAATGGATATGTATCTCTATCGACAACAGCATTTTTATTAACCAGTTTTATTCTCCTTGTATTCCTGACACCTCTGCAGCAACCACAAATTATCCTTCTCAAGGATGGTACCGATTCTTCTCAGGGCAAGGGTCAGCTCCTGTCCAATATCAATGCCTGCTTGGCTGTCGTCGACACCGTCAGGACTACGCTCGGCCCCCGCGGCATGGACAAGTTGATCGTCGATGAGAAGGGTATGTGTGTTGGACCAAACTATCAGGCTGTCAGGATCTCGTGTGTCATACTGTAGATGGTGGTTGTCACTCTCAGTCACTTTGCGCTTCAAAAGAGTTTCTCAAGTCGCTTCCTAACTCATTTTTCCCCCTTTCCTCCTCTGTCGTTATGGCTGATTTGGTCATGGAATGTATAACAACAGGCACTGTCACAATCTCCAACGACGGTGCTACGATCATGAAGTTGCTCGATATTGTTCACCCTGCCGCCAAGACCCTTGTTGATATCGCCCGCTCTCAGGATGCCGAGGTCGGAGACGGAACCACCTCGGTCGTTTTGCTTGCAGGAGAGCTTTTGAAGGAGATCCGTTCGTACGTGGAGGAAGGCGTCAACCCCCAGGTCATCATCAAGGGTTACCGTCGTGCAGCCCAGCTGGCCATCAACAAGGTCAAGGAGATCGCCGTCTCTGTCGAGAGAAAAGACGAGGCAGAGTTCCGTTCGTTGCTCGAGAAGTGCGCCGCCACCGCGATGTCCTCAAAGTTGATTCACTCCCAGACAGAATTCTTCACAAAGATGGTCGTCGACGCCGTCTTGCACTTGGATCAGGAGGAGCTGGATGAGAACTTGATCGGAATGAAGAGAGTCACTGGAGGCGCTATGCAGGACTCGCTTTTGATTGATGGTGTCGCGTTCAAGAAGACCTTCTCCTACGCCGGATTCGAGCAGCAGCCCAAGAGCTTCAAGAACCCCAAGGTCTTGTCCTTGAACGTTGAGTTGGAGCTGAAGGCCGAAAGAGACAACGCCGAGGTCCGCGTCGAAGCTGTCGATGTAAGTGTTGAAAATGACTACTTACCATACTGTAGAATCTTTTATTTTCAAGGAAGTGATGATACGTTACATTGAAGCACAGGTCTAACAAGTTAACTTTTTTCATTCTTATTCCATCGGGATTACCTCTTTGATTACGACTTTTACAGGAGTACCAAAAGATTGTTGATGCAGAGTGGAAGATCATCTATGACAAACTGGAAGCAATTGTTGCCACTGGCGCCAAGGTTGTCTTGTCCAAGTTGCCCATCGGAGATTTGGCCACCCAATACTTTGCCGATCGTGACATTTTCTGCGCTGGACGTGTTCCCGCTGGAGATTTGAACCGCGTTGTCCAGGCTGTCGGAGGATCTATCCAATCGACCTGCACAGATATCGAGGAGAAGCACTTGGGTGTTTGCGAGACCTTTGAGGAGAAGCAGATTGGAGGAGAGCGGTTCAACTTTTTCCAGGGCTGCGCTCAGGCCAGGACCTGCACGTTGATCTTGAGAGGAGGTGCTGAGCAGTTCATTGCTGAGGTCGAGAGATCGTTGCACGATGCTATTATGATTGTCCGCAGGGCGATCAAGAACTCGTTGGTCGTTGCAGGAGGAGGAGCTACCGAGATGGAGGTTTCCAAGTACCTCCGCGATTACTCCAAGACCATTGCCGGAAAGCAACAGTTGATTGTTGGGGCTTTCGCCAAGGCCCTCGAGGTGATTCCCCGCCAGCTTTGCGACAATGCCGGTTTCGATGCGACTGACATCCTGAACAAGTTGAGGATGAAGCACGCTGAAGGCGAGATGTGGTGCGGTGTCGATATCGAGTCCGAGTCGATTGCAGATAACATGAAGGCTTTCGTCTGGGAGCCCGCACTGGTCAAGACCAACGCCATGGCTGCTGCCACCGAGGCTGCCTGCTTGATCTTGTCTGTTGACGAGACTGTCAAGAGCCCCCAGAGCTCCAACCCAGCCGCCAATGCTCGCGGAGCACCCCGTGGCCGTGGTCGTGGTGTCCCTCGCCGTTAAATCGTCGAGGAAGAGAGAGAACGAACGAACGAGGATTTTATCATGGAACAGCGAGTCAAGAAAAACTGTTCACGTGATCATGCGACATAATAAAAGATGCTTTCAACAGAGGGTTTTCTGTGCTTTCATTCATTCCGTCATTCATTCATTCACACACACGCGCGTGCAACTGCCCAAGACAGCAACCAGGATCACTTACTCACCATGCGCCTTATCAAGAAGAACGACGACGACCTCGCCGCAGAGGCGGCTATGCGAGGAGGCGCGATTGGCGCGTTAAAGTACTGCACCGTGGCTCTCTTCACCGGTGGAGTTCTCAATGCCACCTGGCCAAAGTTCAGAGCCGTCAGACCCCCACAGAAGGTACATTGAGCAATTATTGTGATAGCTGGCAACCTAAAAGAAAGAGTTGCATGCCATTATGCGTTTGTTCGTCTCCCGTTTTATTGGCATAGTTGTGCAACCAGCAGCTAACATATTTTAATACGCGCTGTGAATTCAAATAGATGTGGTTGATGGTAGCAGCATTCTTGGGAGGGTTTGGCAATGGGTCGGATACGGCGTTTACCAACTATGAGCGCCGGGATCGCGAGATGCAGATCCGTCTTGCCAACCAGCAGCGTCACAATATCCTTTATGGCGCCCCTGGTGAGAAGCTGGCAGCTGCGGCGTCTCTGTCGACTCCCTCCGAGGCGTCTTCTTCTTCCCCCTCTTCTTCTCCCACTTCTCCCACTTCTCCCTCTTCTTCTTCCTCTTCTTCTTCCTCAGCATAGCGTAATAAAAAAATGTCTTTTTCTCTGTGCGCATGTAGATGTGTGTGTAATATGCATAACAGTAAAAGTATGTGATTGCCTGCTGGCAAGTGCGTACCTCCCCAGTCCCCACACTCAATCAAGGTCTAAGCCACATCTCTCCCAGTATTGTTTTTTGTCCCTTCCCTTCAACGTTTGTGTCCTGCAGTGATAGCACACCCTCACACACACTCACACATGTACCATAGCACCACCATCCTCGCATCGTCCCTTCCTCTGCCCTCCCTCCCTTTCTTCGTCTAATCAAGACAACAATAGCAACTCCCCCTTCCATTAATACTCCTTACCCCCTCCCCTCCAGCCGTCATGAACGAGTCCCAGTCAGGACCACCCCAACCAGTCCTCGACGATAAGACACCAACAACAGCGCCAACGGACTCACCCAAGGAGCCTGCGACGGACGCCTCAGACGAAGACGGAAAGGACGCAGCATCCACTCCAGCCGCCACTACGCTCACAAAGACAACAACCATTACCGCGTCCTTTACCGTCCCTGCCGTAGCGAAACCCCTACCCACGCCCGCCCTACCATTCCAATCTGCCCGCGCCTCAGAGTCCCTCTACTCCAGCAGCTACTCTGGCACCTCCGCCTTCGGGAGAACCCCTGCCGCACGTTCAGGAGCTGCTGCTGCTGCATCTGCAGCAGCGTTACAGTTGCAGCGAGAGCTGGACTTGCAACACGAAATCCTTGGTCGAAAACCTCAATTGGCTCAGGACATTGTCCCCAAGGAACCGTCCAACCCACCCACATTTCGAGACTACGGCGCCACGAGAGACTGGAGGAGAGAACAGAGTCGAGACCGTCGGGACCGCTCCAAGGAACGAGGACGTGAACGGGACAGAGATCGCTATTCTAGGCATCGATACGACAGATCCAAGGACAGGGAGAGAGACCGTGGACGTCACCGTGAGAGATATAGCCGAGAGCGGAGCCATGAAAGGGAGCATGACCGTGAACGCGACTACAGACATGAACGGGACTATAGGGGCGACTACCGTTATCACGCAGATCACTCGGCCGACCGCGATTATAGGGGCTACAAACAGGAGAGACAGGATCGACCCTACCGCGACAGCAAGGACCACGATGGCCGACCATCCCACAGAGAGTTCGATTTTGATGAAAGTGGTGGTGCAGCGCGCTCTGGAACTGCCAGTCGCTATGATGCTGCAGCTGCTGCGGAAGTCGAGCGAGACCGTGGTCATGCCACTGACCGGTGGCATGAAGGAGAAGACGATGGTGACACACTTTCGATGAAAGGTCATGATCGCCCACCAAGAGACTATGACTACGATCGGGAGCGAGGACGCGGACGTGATCGAGACCGCGAACGGGATCGCTACCGAAATTGGGACAGGAATAGAGGATACGATTATGGGGGCGAAAAGTATGGAGCCACTCACGATTGGGAAGAGCGGGATCGTGCGCCACGGGACAGGGACCTGGACGTGGATAAACCAGCAGTCGCCGATGACCTTGACCTGTACCGGCCCCTTCACCGTCCCAGTCGCGACCATTCTCTGCTTCAACGACCCCTCGCCACGACCACAGCATCGAAAGACAGCATCACTGGCGCATCCAGTGTGGATCTCGCTATGTCAACTGCCGCCCCCTCTGTCAGCGGATCACCACCTATCTCAAGTATAACCCTCGGTACCGTCGCTGCAACGACAACAGGCTCGGCACCAACGACCCCTGGAGTACACCCGCTTGATACAACAGGTTCGGAACCAGAAAACATGCAAGCTACTTCGACAGCGCCACAGCCTCAAGAGCCAGTGGAGCCGCCGAATCAACTTGGTCAGCCTTTGGATGTAATTATGGAACCAGCATCGTTGAGTGCTACGATGGCGTCAGATCAAGCGCCCGCTCTTCCACGACCACCCCAACCTCTTCATGTACATGTGGCAACAGCTCAAGCGAATGTCGCAGCAGTGGCACAGATACCTGTTCGTACGCCTACGACAGCTCAGTCCCAGGCTGCTCGAGACACCCCAATCTCACCGGTCAATGGGCATTTGCCGCCACCACCGCCACCGCCGCCTGTCGCACCACATGGTTACGTCCCCCAGACAGCACCCCCGCCGTCGGCAGCAGGATCCTCAGTAGACAGCACGTATCCTCCTCCAACCTCAGGCAACCAACCCCCACCACCTCGTAGATCCACTACCGACGATGACTATTATGGATCGCATGGACACTACTATCGCCACTCTCGGTCCTCCAATTATAGAGAAGGATGGCATTCGTCTGAAGCAGATCACCGGTATGAGAATCGACGTTCTCATGGTCGGTGGTACTCGCAGTATCCCCCTGATTATGACAGACACAGTCGTGCGCCCTCACCTCGCGTACGCGATCGCTACGAATACTTGCACCATGAGAGCGCCAGTCAAAGGACCACGGGAACGGATGCTAGCTATGCAGTATCAGGACACCAAGATACCCAGGCAACCCATCCAGAATCCAGACATTCGCCCATCATGGAACAACAACCTCTGCCTGTCTACAGCGGAACATATCCAGTCGATCCTGCGACGTCGCATGGTCCACCCACCCCAGTTGCCACAGCTGCCCCAGTTTTGAAAGGGGAGGATCTCTACGAGCGCGTTGGCCAAGTTGGCGAGGGAACATATGGGTAAGGAAATGCATTTGGAATTGCTTTGTGAGATTTTCTTGGTAGTTCTCAAGTATCTGACGTTTTAGTATTCAATTTTCTTCTTCCGATATATAGCAAGGTGTACAAGGCAAAGAACAAGCAGACGGGAGTGTATGTTGCCCTCAAGCGGATCCGCATGGAGGCTGAGAAGGACGGGGTAAGTTGAGGACGCAGGGAATCAATTAGAACTGTCCGCAAACCTAGGTGCGACGCGTAGCGTGTTTTGAGCAATGGCCACTCACGTTTCGCTGACGTTTGTTTCTTCATTGATTCTGAATAGTTTCCTATCACTGCCATGCGGGAAATCAAACTGCTGCAGTCGTTGAACCATCCGCACGTCATCAGTTTGAAGGAGCTCATGGTCTCCAAAGGCGCGGTCTACATGGTGTTCGAGTACATGGACTATGATCTGACTGGAATTTTGGCACATCCGAACCTCAAGTTCCGGCCGGAGCATATCAAGTGCCTCATGAAGCAACTACTCGAGGGCCTTGGCTTTCTGCATCACAAAGGAGTTCTCCATCGAGACATCAAAGGTAGAATTGTGATCTGTTCATTGCTTACTGTTTTTTTCTACATATGTATATTTCGTCCGCATTGCTCAGTTGTTGGTTCTCCAGTATACTTATATTAACTATGTCCATTATACTTGTAGGATCGAACTTGCTCGTCAACAAGCATGGCGAGCTGAAGCTGGCGGATTTTGGACTTGCGCGTGTGTTCCAGAAGAAGACCAAAAGGGACTATACCAATCGCGTCATCACACTCTGGTATCGGCCTCCGGAGCTCATTCTTGGGGCTACAGGTTATGGACCGGAGGTTGACATGTGGAGCGCAGGATGTATCATGGTCGAACTTTTCACCCGGAGGCCAATCTTCCAAGGACACAATGAGATCACTCAGCTAGAGAACATCTGGAAGACCATGGGAACTCCACAAAAGGAGTCCTGGTCAGGCGTGGATCAGCTCCCTTGGTACGAGTTGATCAAGCATTTGAACACTGAGAGCAGGATCTCCAGGTTCAGAGAGATGTATGGGAAACTCATGAGCCCAGCCGCGCTCGATCTTGCAGAGGCTCTACTCAGTCTGAACCCGAAGCGCCGGCCCACTGCCGTCGAGGCACTCAACAACTTCGCCTACTTCACCGAGGAGGAGCCTGCGCCATGCCTTCCGGAAGAGTAAGTCATGACTCCACATAATTGGTATCTTGGACCGCCATATTTGTTCCGTGGAACTGCAAACTGACTATGTCTTTCCTTCACTTTCTAATATGAATGAAATATAGTTTGCCCAAAATTGACGGCGATTGGCACGAGTACGAATCCAAACAGAGGAGAAAGGCGAACGCAAAACCCAAGCAGACTCACCCACCACCTCCCCCTCAGCATCCTCCGCCTCGCTCGCGACAACAAAGCGAGTCCGACCAACCAGACCGACCAGAGGTTGACAGACCGGACGAGGCCCGACCAACTGCGTCCAAAAAGCAAAACTCAGATGGGTCCTTTCATCCCATGGTCTTGCATTCGACAACTGACTCGATTGTCCAAACAGGAGTCGACCAAACTACAGTCTCAGACCTGGACTCGGATGTTGTGATGGCCGCACCCCCGAAAACAACCCGTATAATTACTCCTCCTGCAGTCTCGCCGTCCTATCTGCCTTATTCGTCTGCCCCTGCTCCTGCGACACAGATGCCGGCACCACGACGCCCATCTGATCTTATCTCGACTGACCGTCGTGGCCCTGCTCCTCAGCCACCGTTGCCTCCACCACCTCCTGTCCCACACATGTTTGGCGACCGACCCTTGCCAGAACGTACGTATTCGAGCGAGTTGGGTTCCACTGCCCAGACGAACGGAGTGCCTCCGCCGCATCGATATGCAGACACTACTACCCAGTTTGAGTCATCGAGGACAGATCCCTTGCCTCACCAGCCTGTCGCTGGAGCCGTTCAAATCCCAACCCAAGCAACCGAACCAGTATACATGTCTGACCCTCATCGGAGCTCGTTGGGTGCCGATGATCCACATAGAGCACAGGAGAATGCAGGATATGACTACTACCATCGCAGCCGGCACTACGACTACACCAGAGACCGGGAGCGTGACAGGGATAGAGAACGCGATCGCGAGAGATACCGTGATTACGGACGAAGACGTGATTACCGAGGTCGCGAATGGTCGAGAGACCGCGACAGGGAGAGAGGTGTGGGACGGGACCGTGAGAGAGATCGAGAGTATGATCGGTACCGCGAGCGCTCTGGAAGAGAATATGATAGGGAGCGTGGACGTGAGAGAAGCTATGACGATGATGAATACTACTACCGGGATCGAGTACGAGGAGGAGGAGGTGGAGGAGGAGGAAGTGTCGGTATTGGTGGTGGTGGAAATGTAACAGCTGGTGGTGGAGAGGGCGAAAGAGAGTTCCCTGATTCTCGAAGTGGCGGTAGAGAACGAGAAAGGGAGCGAGAGCGAGGAGACCGAGACCGCGAACGAGAACGCGAGTTTACAGACTATGATCGCGAGAGAGAACGAGATCGTGAACGCGACCGTGAGAGAGGCGAGCGTGGTCCTGGGCGAGATAGAGACTTTGCTGGGTCTGTTACCGGAGTCGAAGGTGGCCGCGAATCGGAGAGAAGCCGTGTGCATGAGCGGGATCGGGACATGGACTATGATTTGCCCGAGGAAAGTGGGGGGACACTACAACGCCACCACTTGACGGACTCGCACTCTCAAGTACCACCACATCATGGCTTGCACCATAGTCAACAGCAACAAGACCAACAGCACGGCCGTCGACGAGAGCGATCAGACGGAGAGGTGGATGAGGATTATGACCGGGAGCGAGAACGAGAGCAACGAGAGCGGTATCGAGAAAGGGAAGGCGGGAGGGAAAGAGAAAGGGAAAGGGAGAAGGAGAGTGGGAGAGACAGGGAGAGACAGAGAGATTTGGAAGGAGAGCATGATGGAGTGGAGCGGGTTGGTGTGGATGCCCTAGGAGGAGGAGGAGGAGGTGGTGGTGGTGGTGGTCGAGTGGATCGTCGGCAGGAGTTCCCTCCTCCACCGAAGAAGCTGAAGCTGTCGACGGACTCTTCATCGCTGTCGTCTCCGTCGACGACGACAACAATGTCCTCGCTGAGCTGAGATATCTTACATAGTCGCGAATGAATGAATGACGTTCTCGTCCTTTTCCCCCTCTTTATTATCCGTTGTACCTGTTCCTTTGTTCCTTTGTTCCTTTTCAGTACTCTTCCCTTCTTTCCTTTTTTTTTTTTTTCTTTCCTTCTTGCTTTCAGGCTGAGTTGTCCCTTTCCTTTCTTCCCTGTACATTGCCCCTCCATTCCCCCCTCTTCCTCCTTGGAATCAATCCTCCCACACTTGCACTGGCATTCACACTTACCTTCACGTACCTCCGCACTCATCCAAAGACAATCGACAACAACAAGCAAGGCATCACACATCAACACAGGCAGCTTCCATGTCAAGCGACCCTCTGTACCTCGCCAGGACCAAAAGTGCTGGTGGAGAGAGGCGAGTCCCGCCGCCTATCAAGCCAAAGCCATCGACTCTGGCCTCCCCGCCCGCCACCGACACAACACCCACCCCCCACTTGCAACCGCCTCACGTCACGGTCACCGCCAATGGCACACCCACCTCGAGCTCCTTTGGCGACCTGAGAAAGACCTTCGAGCGACAGCAGAACAGCTCCCCGCTGTTCATGAATAGCGCCGGTGCTCAAGGAACAGGAACCGCGCCAAGAGGAGGCGCTGGCCTGGGACCCTCAAGAGGAAGCACGAGTACAGGCCAATTGAACCACCACGCGTCACTCTCGAGCGTCCAGCAATACACCAACAACGCCGCTTACCTCACACCCTCGTTCGGCAATAGCAACAGCAACAACAATAACAATAACAGGCCGCGCTCGGTTTCCTCTCCAGGGCCACCCCTTAGGGATACCGACGACGATGCTGACGGGATCGACAACAGCCAACCAGACTTTAGCAACTTGCGGGCGCGCTTCCAGTCGCAGATGTCGCTCTCTGGCCAGGGCGTACCCAAACCAGTATGGCAATCATTACCCCACGTGTTTTGTGTTCTAGTTCCACCAAACAGCTGGCGCCCTTTTTTTTCTGTGCTAACTGGGAGTTGTACTTAATATTTTATTTATAGGATACCCCTCGACCCAAACCCAAGCCGGCCGTTGGGGCCAAGCCCACCTTCCAAAATACCACATCATCGTCAACGCTGCCCTCCTCTCGAATGTCTATGGATTCGATCTTCAGCAACAACAGCAGTATTGTATCGGTGCCAAGATTTGTACCGCCTCACCTAACTCCAACAGCAGGCTCAACAGTGGCGTCGTCGCGGCTTTCGTCCAATTCTTTCAAACAGTCCTCCAGACCACCACCACCACCCATGAAGATACATTCTCCTGCTCCCAAAACACCTACCCCTCCAAGGACACCCCCGCGCGTAGAGACACCAGAGTCAGAAAGGAATCCGTTTATGGGTAGTGATGAAGATGAGGCAGGTGCCTCCCGTCAAGCAACAGCACCTCCAGCACCCTCTCGCTTGAATTCCACTTCGAATCGACTGTCCAACTCAAAGATACAACAGAACCCTGCATTCCAGCAACTCCGTAACCAAGCAATGGCAGCTGTGTCTGGCAGAGACTCTGTACTAGTTGGCAAAGCTGCACCACCTCCACCGCAGCGCGCTGCCCCAAGACCAGATTCGCCTCAGGGATCTCCACCAAAACTGCCTTCACGGGCAAACAGTGCTATCCTCGCTGTACAGGATACCCCAGAGGAGAAGGAGCGCAAACATCGACTTGACAAGAGACGACGAGTTGTACAGGAATTGCTCGAGACGGAAATCAGCTTCTCGAAGGACATGCAGCTTTTGCAAGAGGTAACTGTTTTATTATTTCCGTTGTGCCTGAAATATTTCACACGCTTATTTGCGGCAATTAGCAGTATAATTAACATCTTTGTTCTCGTTGTTTTCTGCGGCCAGGTCTACGTGACGGATATGTCGGAGTCGCCCTTGTTTACACAAGCGGATGTAAAGATGGTCTTCACCAATCTGGCTGATGTAGTCGCCCTCACTCTGGACTTTATTGCCTTCTTGACCCCGGCTTGTGGAGGAGGCGTGGAGGAAGAGTACGACGACTCCACTACTTTTGTTGGAGAAGCCTTTCTTCAAATGGTAACAACACACCTCCGCAAGAAAGAAAGAAATGATGCGCACTATTTTCTAATTTTTATAGATCATGACAGCATTCTCAGAGGTGGCAGAATAATTGACATCTTGCTTGTTTCTTACTCATACTAGATTTCAAGGATTCGGCGTGTCTATTCAGAGTACTGCAAGAGACAGGAGGCATCGGCTCAGCATCTACAGGATCTCGACAGCCGGAAGGACTTGAGGCCATTCTTTGATGCATGCACAGAAAAGTGCAAAGGAAAGACGACGGGATGGGACCTTGCAAGTTTACTTATCAAGCCTGTACAAAGGGTGCTCAAGTATCCACTGCTCATCAATGTTAGTATTCTTTTTGAGATTGGTGTGCCCTCTTAACGGAAGATGCATAAATGAAGGAGAGAAGAGAAGTACAGTAATTGATAATCTTCTTTTTTTCTCTTGTCCCTTCTCTAGCAAATCCATGCTCTGACACCATCGGATCACCTGGATTTCGAGAGCTTGGTGAATGTGCAAAAGGAGATGTTGCAGGTTGCGGAGGAAATCAACGAGATCAAGAAGCGGAAGGACATTGTCGAAAAGATTGTCGGGAGCAAGAAGAAAAACGACTCGGATGTAAGAACGCCTCTCGCGACATCTGGCCATGAGCTTTCTGATGCTTTTGCGCGAGTACTATCGCACTTGTCTAACTTATGCTTCTCTCACTGTATTTTCAACTACTGTAGATCGTGTACGTCTCAATTGCTCCAAACACCTTGACGGAGGTCTGTTTTCTATACGCGGTAATGTTACTAACCGAACATGAACGTTACTTTGTTTCGTCCGTCTACATAGCCATGGATTCAACAAAAAGTTTGCCCGGACGACTCAACAATTGCGGCAGGCTGTGGGTGGATCAGAAGTCACTGTTGATATTCTTTTTGAGGCTCTCCTGGAAAAGTTCAACATGCAGCAACGCCTTGTACGCGAGTTTGCTAAATATATCCAGAGCTGGCTTGTTTCCATCAAACGTAAGTACGCATATCGGGTCAAGCTGTATAAGGACTAACAAAAAAACGCACCATTCAACCACAGCTAAAATTGTTTACATTTATTTATATCCAAAGAATTCTTTGATACCCAAGACACCTTTGCCACAACACTTGCGGATATATATGGAATGGTACCGATTCACAGGACCAACGAGAACCAGTCGTTGATTCTGGTGCAAGAGTTTCACAAAAACTTGGCGAAGTTCTCCAAGACGATTGGGCGGGAGCTGGAGAGCAGGCTGAAGAAGACGGTGTACAAGAGCATTGAGCTGTTTCTGAAGTTATTCTCTGGGCCTCTGCAGGTCATGAAGAAGCGAGAGAAAAAGTTGCTGGATTATGATAATGTCAGAGGCATGAAGGATCGCGGAGAAACGGTAAGATGAAAGCAAATACGGGCGAATATCAAGCAACGTGGCGTACCTTGTCATTTCATGATACCTATTTCATCTAACCCCAATAATATTTTTTATTTTTGTTGTATTTTTTTCCCTGTAGATTGACAAGAACATGTTAGACTCTGCAGCGGCATACACTTCGATCAACGAGCAGCTGGTAGACGAGCTACCAAAGTTTCTTGGACTGACAACCCAATACTTTGACATTATCGTCATGGAGTTCAGTCAGGTGCAGCAGTTCTTTTACACTCAGGTCAAAACGAGGAACCACGAGTTCTATATCGAGTACGTGGATTCTGCATGTTCGAAGGATCTGGCCGCCTATTTGGAGCAGATGGATATATGCGAGGAATATATCGAAGCCATGACCAGAAACGACGGTCCTTTGGAGCGCCTGAACAGGATATCGCTGATCCACGATGTATCTGCTACTCATGGTAATAGGCCTTGCTTCATGTGTACTCTCTCTCTCTCTTCTGGATATACATACATTGGTCAGAATAATCGCTGACCCCCTTCTGTTTGTTTTACACTTGATATTTTGTGCTTTATAGAAGCGGCTTTCCAGAGCATGCGAGATGCAGTAGGACAAAGACTCAGGAGGAATGCTTCTCGGTCGCATCAGACTCGATCTCGGAGCTCATCGACAGCATCACCAATTCCCGCGACGACGGCAGGAAAGATCACACCGTCTTTGCAGCACAGCCCTTCAGGATCTCAGAGTTCTCTTCAGTCACCGCTACAGCCTCAACCAAGGTTTTACCCAGGGGAGGACGAGAACCCATTCGAGGTGCCCGAATCGATTTTCCACGATGGATCATCATCTGTTACGTCCTATGACGACGGCTATGAGCCCTTTGGGAACAACAATCGCGGCGGCGATTTCTATGACCGACCGCTTTCGATGGCTTCTTCGACATACTCGTTTGGGTCTGCGAGCACGGACCAACAGGAGTTCCGGAGCAAGCCGCCAGAGTTGGACGATGGGATGGAGATGGATGAGATTGGGATTGCTCAGGCTCTGTTTGAGTGCACGGCGATTTACCCGTACACTTCAACTGAAGACCGGCAGTTGAACTTTGAGGCGGGCGAGAGTATTGTTGTCTTTGGGTTGAATGATAATGGATGGTACTTTGGGAAGAAGGTTGGTAAGGATACCACGGGATGGTTCCCCGCGAGTCATTGTATTCAGATCTGAGATTTGAACGTGTAACTTTTTTGATAATACAAGTGAAATAAACAACAACAAAAAATAATATGAAAATGGAAGGGTTTGGCGGGGTATGTTTATTCAGTGGGAGTGAGAGCAGACACGACGACGAGTGCGGATCATGTCGCCAACCTTGACTTCGTAGGGTGCAACTGACAGGTCTGGTCTATGAAGCATATGCATTCCGAAAAAGATTTGGCCCTACAACAATCAATAGCAAAGAGAAGAACAAGAGCACAATAATTAGTTTCCTTCTCTAACATCAACAACGAAAGGGTTTACAAAAACTCCTTGGCAAGGGGACACAAGGAATCTTTCTTTACCCCTGCACTCTTGCGGTTTTTGGAAAGGGCCAAGAAGACATCTGTGTTCTTCATGGCTGTCAATTGGTCGATGGTCACCATATGGCATCTACGACACGGTCCCAGAATCTATGAATGATGCACGGGTTCAATAGTTGGAATTAGCAAAAGGTGCGATAAGGTTTCTTGTATGACAAAAATAATACCTGGACATAGTACAATAGCGAGCACATAAGAAGTGGCAATCATAACTTACATCAAACACCTGCTTTCCAACTTGAATCCGCGTCCAATGGTCCTCCTCGAACCCGTTCTGCTGTCCCTTGGTCACAAAGTTAGCCCGGAAGCTATCAGAAGTCAGCTCATGCCTCAGCTTCTTGTCTAAATCCTCCGCAAGATTGGCCATTCTTCGGACAGCACCCTGGCCATCATCCTGTTGATCGACCCAATCCCGGACCCGTTCGACCGACTTGTCGGCGATCAGTAGGAACGGACTCTCGTTCGACAGCAGGATCGGGGCCCCCTCTGGGGCATTCAGATGCGACTTTACGAACCGAGACGATGGCGAGACAGCAGCAGAGTCGGTCGAGACGGTCTTGGATGACGACGCTGCTGCTCCCTGATGAGGGTTTTGAGAGGCCACGGGTTGGCGAGCTAGACGACAGGGCTTACCCAAGAACCGAGAGAACCACTCATTGATCTCGGGCGCCGTATAGTGAACCACTGCAGTGCAGTCACCACAGACCCTCGATGAGCTCTTGGCAGCCTGGGTAGGCATCTCGTCGAGGGAGATATATAGCTTTTTCTGACCAGTGATGCTGATCTTGAGACCGTCAGACACATTAGTGCTGGACGAGAGGTCCTCGTCGGATTCGACAACCAACAAATTCTGGTTCAGGAGGACCTCAGCGCGGATCATACACATCCTCGGGAACCGCTTCTGCGTCAGCGCCGCCCCAGAGACCTCATCGACCAGCATCCATTCGCGGTCATAGAGAAGCCCATGTGGTGCGATAGGCCACGACTGGCCCTGAGGTATCTTGTACCCCCGGCAGGACTTGATTGGGTAAATAATGACAGAGTGGGCTTGGACAGGTGCGGAGGAAATGAAATCAGGGTAGTCCTCACTTGTGGCATCGAGCTCCTCGGTCTCTCCGATGAGGTCGACGGTTGGTGTGACGGCATCGGGGTCAGAGGTGTCGATGAAGTACTCTTTCAGGAAGGCAATGAAACTTTCGACGTCGTCTGCTGTTGACATGGCTCCAAGTGACACGCGAATCGATCCCGTTGGTTTGCCGTTCAGAATGTCCGTATCGTCCCAACACACATGTCCAGCCTAGGGAAACAATAAATTCAGAGATAATTAAAGGTGTGTCAGTTGTCTCTTCTCGGGAATAGTATTAATGAACTACCAAAAGGAACACATCAAGGATGCGAATCGACATACCTCCAAATTATTCTTGACGTCCTCGGCAGACAAGTCCAGCCACCGCTGCATTGATCCAGGGTTGCAGAATCCGCCAGTGCGAAGATGGATGTCCTTCATACTTGCCAGCCTCTCGACATCGCCGTATCCGATCCATTGACCATTGCTTCGCTTCAAGTTGAAATTCAAAATGGGACCGTACATCTCTGGGTTGCCCACAAGTTCCGAACCAGAGTCCATTCCCTCGACGTAAATGTCGCAAAGTGATGCACCATTGTAGTGCTTAATAGATCTCATCGACTGGTAGAGCAACCGATGGAGGGCCGTGACATGGGGTGAGATGTTAGAATAACTTCCATAGATTTCCCGCATGCTGTCAAACGCCAGATCCAGCGCCACGATGTCCAAAAAGTTGAGAGTTCCATCCTCAAACCTCCCGTGCAGCGACGTCCTGTAGACCTGCCAGGACTCGTCCGATGCAATAGCCGAGACAGTTCCGCCACCAAAGTACGACTTCCTCAGCTTGTCAGCCAACTCGGTCTTGACGATCACGGCGCCCAATCCTGTGGGGAATCCAAACATCTTGTAGAACGAGACCACGATAAAGTCTGGGCTGGAGGCGTGATCACTCAGGTCGAGCTCTGCGGTCATGACGTAGGAGGCGGCATCGAGAAGGACAAGGTTCTTTTGGGTAGGGGTATCGAGACGGTCCTTGATCTGCGCTGGCCAGGTGAGAGGGAATCGGCGACCTCCAAAGTTGCACTGCGCTGGGTAAGCAAAGAGGTTGTAGATTGGTTCGCCGCCGTCCGTTGTGTCGCTGTCGTTGTCGTTGTCGTTCATGACCAGGTGATGCGTAGATACGTTGGGCGAAAGAGGCGGTGACGGATGGGCAGTAGTTTGTGTGGGGGCGTGGTCACGACAATGTTTCAATGGGGTTTTGTCATCCTTCTTGAGTGGTGTCTCCAATTGTTGCTCCAACTGACACTGTTGAATTGTCTCGACGTCAATTTCCCCCCGGTCGTCGTCATGTGCAATGCCCCTGAGCCCTACTAGACTGGTATGCGCCTCCCGGAGTATCGTCAGCTTGGATGCTCTGGTTCCATTACTAGTTGCAGATCGGCGAGTCCAAGGGAAGGCTTCTCCGACAAGCTTAATGCCTGCAGTTGCATTGGCAGTAAAAATGACGTCCCATTCGCCATGGATCGACGCCTTGAAGTGCTCCAGAACCTTTTGACGGGCAGAGTCTACACGAGCCGAGGCCGCCTGGGAGGAAGGGGATTTGGAATGTGGGTTGGCATAGAGATTGTTTGTGAGATTGGCGGTGAATTGTTGGAGGTGGTGTTGGGAGGGTAATGTTGCGCCGGCATGATCGAGGTATACAGCATCTAAAGATGAAAGGGTAGATGTTTAGTTGGCTTTTATTCTATTTGTACGCCGTAGTACAAATGAATGCGGTTGGCCCAAGCAAGGAGGGGTGAGGATACCTTTGAGCTGTGGGTATTGCTCCTTGCGAATGATTTCGACGTCTGGGTTGTATCCGGCGGATGCTTTGCTGTTGAGAAAGTCATTCTTGAATTTTGTGGTTAAGAAGGTCATTGGCAAAAGGAAGGGATGGGCGATTAAAGAATGTAGCAGGCAGGATGGGGAAGGGAGATGGATGGAAGGGGATGTGAATGAAGAAGTGCGAATGAGCAAGAGGGTGGGTGGGTAGGAAAGAAGAATGTACAAAAGTGAGGGAGAGAGAAGAAGGATGGAGAAGGAAGATGGAGAAGAAAAAGACAAAGAAGACGAGGGAGAAGAGGGGGGATGTTATAATGCTGGCAGACAAACAGACAAAGAATCAAATATAACAAATAAAGAGAGCCTTCGGAGAACAAGCCCTGCGAAGGAAAGGAAAAAAGTGGCGCTTGTGTAACGAGGACCCACCATGCTCTTCTCCGTGGTCCACGGTTCAAAACAAACACACACACTCTTTCTTTCCACTGTAATACTACACTGTTGCGCTGTTGACAAAACTACAACCACACCCACACCCACAACCAAACCAAACCAAACCAAACCAGGCAAACAAGGCCAAAATAATGTGGGGTGAGTGATGATAGAGCTCAGAGTGATTCCATCAGACGGGCCAATCACGTTTGCGCTCACTCATCATTCGTCCTGGGGCTCCCCCAGTTTGCGCTGGGGTGCATAATCCATCCCCGCTTCTTCCCGAACAACAATGTCCACGATCCAGAACTCCCCTTTTTCTTCCCCGCACTCTCGACCCTCGCAGACAAATTGACCAAGGAAAGAACGCTCGTAAACACAATCCTTTCTTACGTTCCCAGACCTGCTGCACATTCGCAACCTGCCACCCACCCACCCCCATATTTCTTCCGCTCAATAAACGTTTGTTCCAATAAACAAAACGCAAATAAGTGGATCAACGGAGTCTATTCATCGTTCTCAAGAGAGAGTAAATAATCCTGGAATGCCTTGCGATCATCCACCATTTTCCACATAAGTACCCTTTTGTCGCTTTTTGAGATGTATTGGCATAAGAACTAGACAGTGGGCAGTGGGTCAAGACCATGCTTGGCCAAATGACCGTGTTCCCTTGGTCCGCTGCTTTCTTGACCCATACCTTGGCCCTGGTGCGGTTCTTGCCGATCCCATTTCCATCTCGGAAGTACTGTCCTACTTCCACCCGGGACTCGACATCGCCCTGTTCGACCGCCTTCAGATACCAATCAAAGGCCCTCGCAAAGTCCACAAAGACATCCCGCCCTCTTCAAACATCACAGCCAGCTCATACTGTGCATCAACATGGTCATCCTTGTGACCCTCAAATACCACTTCAGAGCTTCCTTGTAGCCCCGGGAGGGTCCTTGGCCGTAGGCATACGAGCGACCGACGCGAAATATCACCTCTGGTGACTTCTTACCAGCAGCCAGACGAAACCAGTCATAGACACCAGTTTGTTTTCCCTAACGCCCAGACCGTCGTGGTACATACCTCCAATGGCCAGTAGAGATTCCGCATAACCTTGCTCCTCAGCTCGAAGAAACCACTCCATGGCTCTGGCCTCGTCCTTTGGAAAGTCTTGACCGATGTCGTACGAGGTGGGAGCCTACAGAAAAAAAGAATGTATGCCTTTCTTTCTCGACTTTTCACAATCAACATTCCTTTTTTTCATACACCCCTTTGCGGTCATCAGTTTAGAAACACGAGGGCGTGAACAATAGTACTCGTCTTTGTTCAAACATTTTTCTTCCGCACAAACACCAAACGTCCTCGCGCGATAAAACCAAAAGCACATTAGATTTTCTTTTATTACACCTCGAGAACGGCGTTGCACTTTTTCAGGCACGCGTTTCGGTATTCAAACTCTTACTTTCCAACTTGTCCAAGCTAGTTCGCGCCATGACGTGTCCTTTCTCCGCAGCTATACGATACCAGTATACCGCCGACTCATCGCTCCTCTCAACACCAAGTCCAAACTGGTACTGAACACCAATCCGATACTGAGAGCCAATATGTCCTTGATCCGCGGCCTTCAAGAACCACCCCATCGCAGCCACATAATCTCTCTCCTCAACTCCGCGGCCTAAACAGTACAGACGACCGATCCTGAACTGCACTTGAGGGTACCCTTTCGCGGCTGCTTGAAGGTACCATTCCATAGCCATTGCGCTGAGTGTAGGAACTCCTAGACCGTCATCGTACATCCTCCCGACCTCGTACAGTGCTTCGACGAATCCTTGTTTAGCGGCTTTGATGAACCATTCCATGGCTTGGTGGTAGTCTTTAGGTGAGCCTACACCGTTCGGTAGGAGGTAGCCGACTTTGTACTGGGCATTGAAATGTCCTTGGTGGGCTGCTTGACGATAGTTCACCAAGGCCGACGCATAGTTCTGAGTGACGCCTAGGCCTTTCGCAAAACAGTTCGCGAGCTGGAACTGTGCCTCGGCATGTCCTTGATTGGTGGCCAGATGGTAACGCGTCTTGGCCCATGGATAGTCTTGATTGATGCCGAGGCCCTTGAAAAAACAGTTCCCGACCTGGACCAGCGCCTCGAGATGTCCTCGATTAACGGCCTTAAGGAACCACTTCATCGCCCTGACGTAGTCCTCTATGCATCCACCGCGGTGAAAAAAGAACCGACCAAGCCGGCACATTGCCGAAGGATGTCCCTTGTCGGCCGCCATAGAATACCATTGTAGAGCCTTGGTACGATTCGCGGCAGGAATACCGAGTCCGCTCTCATACATAAACCCGAGTTGGTATTGCGCTTCAGCGTATCCGTTCTTAGCTGCTTTAAGAACCCACTTAAAGGCTTCCTCAAGGTCCTCTAAAACGCCTTCCCCCCTCGCGAAAAGGATCCCAACTTGGAGCTGCGACAATGCATGCCTTTGCCTGGCGGCCTTCAAGAACCACTGCATCGCCTTCTGAAAGTCCTTCGGCACCCCTAGGCCATGCAAGAAAATAAACCCAACATCATGCTGGGGATCCGGATACTCCTGATGAGCTGCCAGAAGGAGCCACTCCATAGCTTTGGTGTAATCCTGCGAGAAATCTGTGCCACGGAAATAAAGTAGACCCATGTTGTATCGGGCCGCCCGATGTCCATGCTGTGCTGCTCTGGTATAGCACTGTGCAGCTTTGGAGTAATCTTGCGGGAGTCCAAGGCCGGTATGATACCTGCGACCAATGCTGAACAATGCGTCCATGTCTCCTTGCCTGGCGGCCTTCAACTCGCGCTCCGCGATTGCGGTTAGTTCCTGGGCGGTGAGGCTTACGTTGTCCGTCCCGTTAGCCATGAGTATTGTTAAGTTTTTTTCCCTTGTAGTTGCTGTTGTTTGCGAAAGGAGATGAAGCCGGAGGAGTATGAAATACTGGTGGACCGAGATGCTTGGTGTAGGCTGTTTGAGTGAAAAAAGAGGAGGAGAGGGGGAGGACGCAAGTGCCAATGCCAGGTCCTTCACTCTTATGTGTTTGAGGGATCCATTCTTGAAACCACACCTCATGCTGTCTTTATAAACGTGCGACAAAGACGAAGTGCGACAAACGTGGTTTATTAATTTTAGGGCGGTCGGCACTAGGAAAAAGGAACTAGGAAAAGAAAGGAGCGAAAGAAATCAAAGGCGAAAAGAAAGACAAAACGCACCTTACCTTACTTTACTAGAAAGGACAGCAAGAGAACTACACGTTTTTATTTTTCTTTTTCTTTTTCAGAGCTATCTTTTCTTTGATATTTTGTCATCTTCCCCTTGTACCCGTCCTTCTTCAGCCATCTCCTCAGAGCCTCCAACCTCGCCTGCGTTTGCTGGTGCCCACTCCCGGAAGCCTTGCCATACTACTCGATCGCTGTCTTGTAGCTCTTCAAAACATGTTGTCCTGACTCATAAAACGTCCTGACCAAATGCTGAGCCGCTACTTGTACTTGATAGGCAGCTTTAAGAAGCCACTACACGACCTAGGTGTGATCCTGCGGAACTCCATCACCGAAGTGGTACAACAACCCAATCCCACATTGGACCTCAGCATGTCCTTGCTTGCCAGCCTAGAAAAGCCACTGTGTTGACAAGGTATTGTCGACCGGGACGCCTTGACCACGGTGGTAGAGAATGCCCGCGCTGTACTGGGCCATGACATTTCCAGTGTTGGCAGCCTTCTTGAACCGTTGTACAGCTTTGGTGATATCCTGAGGCACCCCTTAACCGTTAGGTAGAGTCGACAAATGGCGTCCTGAGCTAACCCATATCCTTGCTTTGCACCCTTGACGTACCATCCTATGGCCTTCTTGTAATCACCTGGAACGCCGTGCCTATATGTGAATAGGACTCCGATGTTGTGGTGTGCAGCCTTGAGACGCCACTCCATCGCCCTGTCATAATCCTGCGGCCTTGCTGAATATCCTTGGTTGCCAGCCTTGGTGGACCACGTCATAATTAGATCTTCATGACGGACGATGTGCATTGCGTCGTTGGCGTCCGACGAGTTTGACGTGTTGTCATTGTTAGTATCCGCTTTCGAAGTATTGTTGCTTACGTCCGGGGGTGAAGTATGGCCGCTGGTATCCGAGGGTAAAGTATTATTACTGTCGTCCGAGTTTGAAAGGGTTGCAGTGGTGGTGGTGAATAACATATATCTGATTGAACACCTCTTCCAGGTAAAATCACTCACTCATCACGACAATGGCTAAACCATCACCATAACCCATACCTAAAACATAATTTTTATTTCTTGGCCTCGACGACGGCAGGGACAGCAGGAGAAACCGCCTTCCGTTTCTTTGCCGGCTTTGCAGGAGTAGCTCTCTGTTGACGCTTCTGCACCTGCGTCTGTGGTCGAGGATTTACTCTCTCCTGTGCCTGATGATGCCCGCTCGCAGCAGCCAGCCGAAAACACTCCATCGCAGGCTCGTTGCGTTCTCCATAAGGTTGCCCTCGCTCATAACACAAACCGATCTGGTACTGGGCCTCGGCATTACCGGCCTTGGCTGCCTTCAAGAACCACGTCATCGCTTCGGTGTAATTCTGTGCTATCCCTGGCCCTCCATGAAAATATAAGTCCCCGATACTAGACCAGAACGGTGCTATCTCCTTATCGTCCTTCTTGAGCTCCGCAGTCGTAGCCTTGAGGTACCACTCTTTGGCCATGGCCCAGTCCCGCTCAACTCCGAGTCCATCGCGGTATAAGGATCCGACTGCGTGTAGCGCTCCTGAGTGCGCCCCCCGCTCGTTGTTCGCTGCCTTAAGGAACCACTCCTTCGCCTGTGTAAAGTTGCGGCGGATGTTATGGTCGCCAGAATAGTAGCTCAGGCCAATGAGATGTTGAGCCTCCGCATTCCCCTTCTCTGCGGCCTTGGTGAACCATGCCAGAGCTTTGACATGATCCGAAGGGACTCCAACTCCGCCCCGGTGGTAATGGATCCCGACCGCCAGCTGGGCCGACTCGACTCCCTGTTCGGCCGCCTTCGTGTACCAAAACAGCGCCATGTTGTCGTCCAGTGGTACGCCCGTGCCTTTGCCATACAGTACGCCGAGTCGGAACTGAGCCTCGGAGTTGCCATGGTCCGCGGCCTTACGGTACCAATCGACAGCCGTTACCAGGTCCTTTGCAACGTTGAGGTCCCCATTCTCGAGCAACATCCCGAGCTTAAACTGCGCGTTACTGTGTCCCTGCTCAGCTGCTCGAAGATACCATTTCCTGGACTTTGCATTACTCTGTGGGAGCCCCTGGCCTCGCCGGTACATGAGTCCGACTCGGAACTGGGCCTCTGCGTCTCCTTGCTCTGCTGCCATCAACTCTCTCTCCGCCTCTACTACATTCTCATCCTGCTCTGTCATTTTGTTGATGTTCGCGTTGGTACTTGTCGTGTTGCTGATATTTGTGTTGTTGCTGGTTGTAATGTTGCCCTTTGCATCGTTGCTACTCTTGCTGTTTATCGTGCTGTTTGTGTCGTCGATGCTGCTGCTCCTGCGAATGCTGCTCTCGCTATTGCTGCTGGTGCCGCTGGTGTTTGGCGCCCTCTCTTGCACCTTCTCCTTCTCCTTCTGCACCGCCTTCACAACCTTAGGCATGTCCACCTTATCATCCCTAGGATCCTCCTTGATAGCCATATCTTCCACATCGTCAACAATGAATATCACAGGTTCCTGGGGCTCTGTCTTGATGATGACCTTGTCAGCTTCGGCAGCCTTCGATGCCAGCGTTGTCGTCGTCGTCTCCTGGGTGACCAAGGCCTCGCGGGCGACCGTGCCCCTCCCGACAGCCGCCTCTTTGACCTCCCCCTCGACTACAGTAACTTCACCGCCGGATTGACTTTCGGTGACAACGACCTCCAAGATGGCATTCCGCACCACCGCAATACGAAGCGGCTCTAAACTAGAATACATCAAAGAGGGGGGGGGGGGAGGGGAGAAGTGTCAACTCGCGACCAAAAATCAATACATGTTTGCAAACACACAACAACCAGAGAACCACCCCTTACACTTACTTTTTGAAATCATGGCCCTTGAGAAAAGGAACAACCGTCGCCCCTTGGCGAATATATGTCGCGCCCTTGAACGGGATCAGGATATCCTCCCACAGGACTATATTCCTCTTTGTCACCGGGTCCTTGTATCCTGTCACGTAGAGCACGTCCCCTCTGTCTGCCAGTAACGATACAAACGTCGAAGAAGAGGAGTAGGGAGAGGGGGAAGAGGAGGAAGAGGTGGTGTCTGTGGATGATAAAGATATGGAAGGGGATGGTTGCCGGTCGCTGTAGATATAGTTGGTGCTGGGGCTAGTAGTGCTGGTGACGAGGCGGAACCCCTGGAGGATGGCTCTTTGCACCATTGTTGGTCTAGTTGCTCTGTTTTTCTTCTTTTAGTGTTTGGGGTTTGTGCGCTGTGTTAGTCAGGGTGAACAAGAAAGTAGAGTGTAAAGAAAGGCGACGAGAGAGAGAGAGAGAGAGTGGAGGTGGTTGAGTGTGTGCTTGTCTGCTTTCGTGAATGCAAAACTGATGAGAGGGTGTGAGAATTGGTGATCAATGAATGACGACGACAACAAAAAAAGGTCGGAAGGGCGTGGGAGCGATATCGTCAATATCCACACATCCACACATTTGGTCTTTGCTTTTTGCATGATTTTTATTTTGTTTGGATACGCATGGGCTATTGGGAAGAAAGGAAAGGAGGAAAAGATCTTTCCTGCACCGCAAAAAGAAGAAACAGCCAAGCCCCGCAAAACGATCTTGATGAATCACGCTTTGAAGCTGGTTATCGTCGATAGTGATCAAGTCAGCGACAATTAGTATCAGCTCTTCGTTGCCGCTGCTGAGGTTTGCCTCAGTCATAGTCGTCAAGACATCCTTACCTGCGTTATAAAAAAATTGAACTGGTCGTTCCTGAAATCAACGGTCTGAATTGGTCACGTTTCGACCAATTACGAGAGGACAAAGAGAGCGTCACCACTTTTTTTCTCAGCAACTCTCACTTCTTAACGCTTTTGACACTCAGTACAACCCTCTCTTAATAGTATGGATCCTCTTCAATTGCTTCCGTTCTTGATGTTACCCTAGATGTCGTTGTTAGAGGTCGATTGCTTCGTGCCGAGGCATCATCGCAACAGGAGCCGTCGATCATGTCGCCTTCGCAGGAGTTATCCGTAGAGTCTCTACAACAGACCGAACGTCACTGATGAAGGCACAAACACTACGACTCAGACTTCGGACTCTAGCACTGGAGGAGTTGGAGCATCAGGGCGATGGAGTCGAAAGCAAGGAGTGGCAGACTAGTATGTAATTTATCTTTTTATCACAAAGGAAGAAGCGGCCGTGAAACATTGTTACTTAGTTTGAGAAAGAATGATTGCATGGAACAGCTTATTTGAACGCTGCTTTTTAATTCTTCTGGCTTGCGAACGATTAAACGCGTTTCTTCGTTCCTGAAAACAACGGTCTGAATCGGTTACGTTTCCACCATTTATGGGGCACATTGATACACACCCATTGAAAAGTGGATGGCAGTTCTCTTTGTAGGGAAGGTTAAGCATCATCACCTTTTCTCTTTCATCCCTGCCTCGTCCTTTTGCACTTCGACATTCCACTTAAACCCCTTATCAACTTGGCCCTCACCCTCTTGCAATCCGAGGCACAGTAACGGTTCAGGAGACCTGCCCCATCTCCAAGCAGTCCGCCGAGTCAACGAAAATGGCGACCCTACTTCAACCTCCAACACAATCACCCACCTCGTCTGTCACCAAGTCACCGTCTCTGGCAAAAGATATTATGGATCTCATTTTATGCTTATGGTCGTTAGCCTGGGCAGTGGGATGTTACACACAGGGGCAGGGATGGGTGCAAGCAGTGCAGCGGGTGGTGAAAAAGAAAAAATCGATCGGATTTTGAACGGTCTCCACCCGGGTATGGTAAGTATAAGCCCACTTACTTCTCTGATCGGGCTGACAAAAAAAGAATTGTGCAAACACCATACGTCAAGACCGATCGCAGGGACGATGAGGGGCGAGAAAGAGTGAAGGAGGAAGAATAAGGGACCGGAGTAGAGCGGGATCGCCACGCGTCGAGCTCGCGTCGGATTGGTTCCCTCCTTCCATTCTTCTCTCGTGGTGCTTGCTTAATTGAGTGTTTTTTTAGGATGTGTCCGTGGAGTGAAAGATGGGTGTTAGTCATAGTGTTTTTTTTTGCATAGAGAAATCATATGAAAAAACAAGATGTTGTGCTCTTCTCCTTCGTCCAGAGGCTCTTTTTTTTTTGTTTGTGTCTTCCAACATTTTTTTGGGTCTAACGGTCTTCTTTGTTGTTCACCCCGCATTCTTCCACTTTAGGAAGGCACTCCGCTTTGTTTTTGTGTTGTTTTGTGGAGTGAGGAGAGAAGGAGGTAAGAGAAGGATAGGTAGAGGACGTTGTTGTTATGATTCATTAGAAGAAATCAGAGAAGGAACAACCGCGTGAGCGATCGACGTACGATTCATTAGCAGTTGACAGTTCCTTGTTACACGTGAAGAAGGGCAAGGGAAACCATTCGCCCATAAACGCTTTCGAGAAAATGAAGAGATTATTGACGGGATCAAGAATTCGGGGAAGGTAGAGAACGACGAGAGTAAGAAAGAAGAGAAAAAAAGTAGAAGGGGGTTATGATCAGGCCTCCTTCCTGGAAATCCATTACACGTCGCTCGCAGCGAGTTAAGTCATCCTTCACCTTCACCTGACAAGGATGTTTTCGATTCGTCACGTCTGAGCGAGAGATACTTCTTGCTCCTGGCATGTTACGGTCAGCCAATGAGAAAAAGAATGTTTGACGAAGGAGAAGGAGGAGTGGGGAAGAGAGAAAAGGAGATGAACAGCCCCATCCTAATTGGGACTTGTAAGGGGGAACCCAGCGCCCTGGCTTTGCTTTGAACCGACATCCTTGACATGTTCTTACCAGGCGTAAGAAAATCGCGCTAATGAAAATCAGGATCATATTCTATCGCAACATGACGGGTCCATGACGAAGAAGAAAGGAAAAGACAACGCCAAGAAAGAAAGAAGGATACATGTACGCAGTGAGTCTTCAGTATAAAGTGAGCAAGCGAACGGTGACCCATTTGCACTGCTAGTCTATGAGTGACAAGTGACAAGTGACAAGAATAGGATTCGGTGCATTTCTCAGGTGAAATCAAACTGTCCGTTTCAGTCCAATCCTGAGTTTAGGATCTGTCCAGGCCCATGTGCACACACATCCACTCCAACTTCATTAATTTCCTCAATAAAAGGGAGACTCGATCCTTCGTTCTTTTTTCTCTTCTTTCATCCAACTCTCAATAACTCCAATCGCACTCACCCAACAAGCAACCAACCAACCAACTCACCAACCCTAACAGCTTCACACACCAACACACCAACACACCACCCTCAACAAGACACACGTACAGACAAAGATGGCTTCATCGATCCGCGCAATTTCAATGTCCCTCCCTCGCGTCTCAATGGCTCGCATCCCCCTTGTGGCATTCACAAACACACACGCTGTCCCGACCTTAACTAACCAAGCCTACGCCCACGCCCACGCCAATTCGACCCACCCCTCCGCCTACTCCTCCATGCCCAGCCGCTCCAACTCCAACAAATACACAAACGCTGCCGACAAGCTCGAACAATCTGCCAAGAGCATGAACAAATCGACCAAGGACTATCTTCGTGAGGTAAAGCATTACGACAGTGAAGAGGATGAAGTCATGATGAAGCTTGGCCTTGCCATGAGCAGCAAAAGCATCAAGCAACCCAACAACACTGGAACCCATGCGAACACGAACAAACACACAGGAAACCAAAGTGGAGGCAGGAAGGCGCATGAGAGACAGACGGAGGGCACGTTCGAGGAGTCGTTGAGTTCGGATATCCAGGCGGATGTGACGCATCCTGCGGGCAAGGGGTTCCATCATGCCGATCAGCATCATCAGCAAGAGCTGATTTCCAGCCTCTGCGAAGAGCTGAAGGTAACCCTTGGATCCATCTGCAAGGCGTTGTAGTTCCCTAGCACTTCTTCATTCTTCGTTTGCAAGGTGCCTTTGTTTTGGCTTGTGGAGTTAAGCCCCGACAACTGTTCCATTATGAGGCACACGAGAAAAAGAAACAAAGAGAGAGAAACAAGAGAAAAAGAGTGAGAGGGTAGTGGGAACGAGAATCCAATGCAAAAAGGGTTCAGAGAGAAAGATATGCAGAATGAACTAGAAGCGCTGCCCTTCCCTCCCCACCCTTCTCTTCATCACTCACATTCAACTCACCTTCCCTTTCTTTTTTTCATTCTCTCTTGTTTCTACAAAAAAGGAACAACCGTCCGCAGCGTCAACGAACCGATTGAGCCAGCATGCGTCCGATGCGATCCGGATGGTCGAGTCGCACAGCATTCTGAAGCAGGACAAGGCCCCCGTCCACAATGTCCGTGACGAGGACCCCGCTGAGAAGGCTGCCCATTACCAGAAGCGCCACTAAGGCTTCTTTCCTCTTCGATCTTTCCCCCTTACTTTCTGCGCCCTTGTATATAGCCAAGTCCATTCCTAAAGATTAGTTAGTATCATTCAACTGTCCAACAATGGTTATCATCCTCTCTCTTTATCACCTATGTCATGAACTTCATGTGCTTTAGTGTGTCGCACGAATGCGAACGAGTGCATGATCATTCAGCCAGCAGTCACCATAAGACCCTCGAGTCTTCCCACTGTCAAAAATTTCTCCGCTGTTCAGACGAGAATGACAAATCCAGGTCGTTGACTTCATCTTTTTCTCTTTTATTCTTCTTTACGCCTTCCACACAACTGGTCTTTTTTCTTATCTTTCTCTTTGCTTTCTCTCAACCAACGACAAACAACGCACGCACCACTCGCACTCGTACTCATACAACTCTCCTCGAGTATATCACCGGTGCCACTTCTAATAACACGAAACAACAATCTAAGCTCACTCTCTCCGCACACAAAGCACACACAAACATGTCAGCCTACCCAGACGAGAAAGCCCTCCAAGGAGGTCAATCCGCCTACCCTCAACAAACCGCGTACCCACAACAGACCTACGGTGAACCCTCCCAACAACAATACTTCACACAACCACCAGCACCAGCAGTCGGAGGGTCATCGTACCCAGGCGCTGTCCCGGGCCCACCCACAGAGTTCATGGACCCAGCCATCCCCCGACCCAACGATATCTTGCCCCTCCACCCGGCCATCATCCAGCAGCGCCGGATTGCTGCTTCATTGCCACCTTGTCCAAAGGGTGGATATCATGAACTGCGGTCTCGCTAGTACGTCTTCTCTTCCTCTTTATTGGTTGATTGTACGTCAGTGTGATAGCGAACAAAATACCGACACTGTCTCTTTGTTTTCTTCTTCCTTTCTATCGTTGTTATATGATAGCGCACTAGGGGTGAATGCGGGCACGTTCATGTCGATTGTCTGCTTCCCGGTGGTCTGCTGCTGTGTCCGCCGGGAGACTGTATGCATCAAATGTCAGGAAAAGTTCGACATTGCCCTCCCCGCCATCAACTAAGAACAAGGTCTTTCAAGTTGTCCATTTCTTTTATTGTTGTCCTCAGTTTGATGACTGCAAACAGGGAATCAGGACATGTTTTTGTTCTTTCGGGATTTAGTTTTCTTTCAGTGAATTTCAAAGTGATGATGAACTTTCACACTTTTTGCATAAGGGTAGCGCTCGCTCAACCATGCGACATAAGACATACTTCTGTACAGTGTTCTCGTTTCTTGTTTCGTTTTTTTTTCATCATTTTTATTCATAGCACTCACTCGCCCACTACTTTCTAATAATAAAACATGCACATCCAACAAACAATACAGCCCACGAACCCGCACTGATGGTGTAAAGTATCCCGGTAATCCAGTAAATGAGCCAGCCACTGTGATCCTTCCTTTTTGACACATGTGTATCTCGAACATCCTGAAAGCAAAAAAAAAAAAAGCTCTAAAAAGTGAACTGGATCGGACAGAGAGTACACACAAACAGGTTAGCATAATATTTCCAAATGATCACTGATGATAGATCGGATAGGGATAGCACTCCTTCAATGCATAAAGCAAGTGAAGAATGAGATGTTGTTTCAGAACCAAATGGTTTCCTCAGAGCACTAGCATTCAATGCCGGTGCGTAGGAAGAACGAAAGTATATTGTGTTGTTCATCATAAAATGTGGTGGAGGATAGGAAGGGAGAGAGTTGTTGAGGGTGAGCAGAAGGTGTAATACATACCAATTGAGCCAAATAATAACGCGTATCGTGAATGAAGAGGAGTGGATGAGGGGCTAAGGAAGGTGAAGGTGAAGGGTGGAGGAGTGAAGAGAAAGAAAGAAGAGAAAGAAAGAAGAGAAGTATGAAAATTTTTAAACAGATCGTGCCTTTTCTCATTGTTATGAGAAGAAGGCAGAAGAAGGAAAATGATAGATGTAAAAAATGCGCTACTGATCTCCTCGGTGATGTCAAGATCAGGGATTTTTAAAAATTCCCGAAAAGAAAAAAAAAAATTGAACGCAACTCTCATTTTTCATTTTTCAAAGATTCAAAGGTCACGCCACGGAACGCCATCGTGTGCCCTTGCTGCCACGCGAGGAATTAAACCCCCAGACGGAGCTGAAAAAAAATACATGAGTGCAAGACGAATGTAAGATTTCCTTTTGATAAGTGAGTTGAAGAAAAAAAAAAAGTGGGTGATCAGTTCCTGGAACCCGTCCTCACACACCCTGGCACCACGTCACTTGATGACATCTCTTCAGCCCAAACATGCTACCGTCCCTTATCCACCCCTGGATTAATGGATCCTCAGTTCCATGCTTCCCCCTATGGCATTTTCATCGTTTCTCCTTACTCATTTACCTTCCTCATCCCCCACTTTTGCACCATGAGATGATCGACAAGGGTTCGCTTGTATCTTTGATTCAAGCGATTCAAGTGCGAAATACAAAACAACAGTGAGCGAGCGGACATTTGAATGCCCGCACAAAAAAAGTGGTCTCGACCACGCTCGATGAAAGTTTCACAAGAGAAAAATAAAAAGAGTTCAAGGACCGACAGTCTAAAAGAGGTGGTTGAAGAAGGAAAAACGACAACACTTCTCTTTGCAAGGATGGCAGACAAACAAGCGGGGGGAGGGGGGAAGGCCGAGAGATGAGAGGGGGAGGTGCAGCAGAAAGAAGTGCGCCGAAGGAATGAAATGGGGGAAGAGACGAGGAGACAGGTTCGTTTAGGATAGATTACACGTGATGCAGGCAAGATGTCTTTGGGTGACCTGGTGTATCAAGAATAGAGGATCAGGGGTAGAGAAAGTCGATATTCAGGGCAATCCGGAGAACGGTGAAAAAGCGCTGGTCTGCGTGCTTGCGAAAGAGTTAATGTTGAGAACATGAGGAGAAACAGCGATGACATGCTGAAGGGAGAGCACTATGGGGAAAGTAGATGAACGATTGATTGCGAGACGACAGTGTGCCTTCTCTAGGCAGCAACTCTCTCTAACAGGAACAACCTTGTGGTGGTTTGTTCAACTACACTAGGCACTTTGAACTGGAAGAACTCGCAGGTGAGAGAGGGAGAATGTTTAGAGTTTTGATTTTGTTAGATAATATGGTTGGAAGGGTCTTGCAATTCTCGTTCTTCCCTCCAGTTCCCACACTCTCGTTATTGTACGGCTTTAAGAGAGGGAGGGAGGCTCCAGGCCCCTCATTCTCTCTTGATACCCTCCCCTTGCCTTTTCACGTCCAAAATGCAATTTGCTTTTAGTTTCAATTAGCTGTGTCGTACAATCAATCATGCAAAAAAAAGCAGAACTCCATTCTAACCTCAGGCGATATTTTAGTGGTGCCGTGTGTAGATGGGATTGGTTCTTTTGCTTGTGCTCCAGGGGCCATTCAGAGATCAGGGTCGCGCGACTGGTTCGCGTTGTTTATTTTTTTGTTAGTGTGGTTGGTATCCATTACCTGATAACGACTCTCTCAGGGTCGTCCTGCTTGTGCTTTTCTGGTTGAACTGTGAGAGCAGGAACTGAGATAAGTGAGTGAGAGAGGAGAGAGCTCACATACATCGCAAAGCATACTGTACCTTATGCATGCATGCATACTGCCCTTTTGTTCGATTTGTGTGAAAGTGGGAAATCTCTGGAGTCGAGAGGGGAGTCCGGCTCTCACGAGGAAATGGAGCAGACTGATAGAAACGGGATTTAGTATCTACCTTCCCCGCACCCTGCTTGGATACTGCCTCTAGCATGCATGCTATGTCTCTTACAGTGCAATAGTCTGGCTGCAGTGGTAGCTAAGGCGCCGCTTTATCGTTGATTGCATGCTCACTACTCCCATAGAGCCCTTCAGTAAAGTGGGGATGGATAGGCGTTTTGTTTGTTGTGTGCTTGATATGTGTTTCTGTGATAACTGACTGCATGTACGTTTTGCTTGTGCGCCCAAGCAAACGAGCGCATGTATTAGTTTTTTTTTTTTTCTTTCGATAATGGCTCAGAGTAATTACTCGGGGTTCGGAATTTTCGTGCTTTTTCTCCTGTCCTTCCTTCCTTGCTTCATCGTTCGTTTTCTTGCTCAGCAAAAAGTGGGAGAGGGAGACACGCAGACTCATATGGAAAGTACGTCCCGACACACTAATTCTTCACCAGGGTTGCCTGGGGCCAATTGACGTGGACCAACAACGGACTCTTTCTTTTTTCATTTTTATTTTTGTCTGTTAGTTGAAGGAGAATGAAAGAAAAAGGTGGAGAATGGATCTGTGCAACTTGGCTGCTTCGCTATCTCAATCCTCCTTAGACAGAGTACAGTATCAACACGTAGATAATGAAGTGAACGACGATTTCCTTCCCGCCCTTCTGTCCAAAGAATTGCAATCGACCAACCAACTTGTGGCGGTCAATAAAAAATTCACTCCGTTTTCATCTTCTCAGTCAAACCTTCGTTTTTTTTTGTTGTTGATCCTCCTCTGAGAGCGAGGAGCGAGTTCAAGTTCGAGTGTTCTTTATCTCTCACTTCTTGTTTTACACATCGGGTCTGCCTGGAGGAGGTTGTATAACGAGAAAATAGTCCACGAGTTCTCTGGATCCTCACCGTCTCAGTAGAATTATCAGGCATTTGTAGGCCAGGCTTGAGTGTTCTCGCCAATCCTTACCCACTCAATCTTCCTACTCTCCCTCTCCCTCCATTCTTTAGTTTCAATTAGTGTGTGGGTTTAAGGACTAAAAGGCATTGAGAAGCTGTATTTACCATGAGCCTTTAGTCCAGTTTGAGATTCTGTGGACTTGGACACGACAGAGAGGTAGGTTCTTTGTGAGAGCAAAAGCTAGTATCGATCTCTGTTTTCCGTTGTTGTTGGTAAACTTATCAGGCGAGGTTGGAGGGATGGGGCAATGGAGCAGGAGACCACGGTCGGTTGCACAAAGAGGAGGCGGATCGATCTGTCTTGTTCTCACTTCTTTGCTTTGTGTCCATTTTTCCATTTCTTGTTCAGGGGCAAGGAAAACGTACACGACACGCCAAAGAAAATGACGAGGACGAGGGCGCTAATTTTTATTATTATTGTCTTGTGCGGGGTGGAAGGCAGAGAAGAGGGGAATGGAGATGTGCAGATGAGAGCACTTGTGTGACAAACAATTTCCCGTTTACTCTCTCTCTCTTTTCTTCTCACTCGACATGAATGCACGCTCGCCCGCCGCATCTGGGTCTTTTTTGTGTTTGTGTTGACCTGTTCTTCGGCGTTTGCTCACGGTCTTTTTTCGACCCATTCGACGCTTGCAAACAAAGGAGACAACCAAATACGAAAAGAGAAGAGATCGAACTTTGTTCATTAGGGGGAGATGATGGAAGCAAGGTGCGTATCGATGGATTGAGATGGCGATGAATGGCGATGACTGGTGCTTGTCGATGTTTGATAAGGCTTGACTCGCTGGCTGGCTGGATTGTTGGATGGTTCTCTTATTTGCCCCACATGCATTTTGCCCTGCCTCATGCTTCTCGTAGTGCTCGGAAATCAAGGCCTTCCTCTTCTTACGACTGGCTTCTTTGATGATGGAACGATTGGATCCAGGGACACGCTTCGAACTGGAGAGAGGGCGTTGGGCAGTGTATCGAAACATAAAAAGGCGATGCAGAGGGGTCAGAACGAAGAAAAGAAGGGCTGTTACTTACAGAATATGGGCTAAAGGGGCTGGTCGAGAATGGAGGCACCTTCTTCCCTTCCTCTTCTCCTCCATCTGATCCCTTCTCGCCAAACCCTGTTGTTTTTCAGTTGTCAACGGAAAACGAAAAACAAAATATATACGACCACAGGGAAGGGAAGGGACGGAAATAGGGGGTCAATCTATGTGCGATGATGTTGTTGAACATGGTACATTCTTGCTCGGATTTTTGTTGTTTTTTATTTCTGATGATACTTCCTTTGTGTACTCTAACCAGACGACGATCATGAACGGTATAGCTGGTGCTGGTATTGTTTTCTTTCCACGTTGTCGAAAAGAAGTACATGCAACATGATGCCACGAACAACTGACACGACGGGTGGATGGACGGGCGGATGACAGAAGGGCTTTTTTGGTTACAGAATAGGGTGATGTACCAAGGTGAGACTAGAAGAGAAGGGATGATCTCCTTTCGCCACCTAGTAAGAGGACATAGGGTTAGGTAGGGTGAGACTGATTCAAGACCACCTAGGATGTCTACGATCTATGGCTATGATGCCTCCTGGTTGGATGTGTCTTGAAGTCTATGCTAGTCAGAACATCAAGTTCGCTCGGATGCCATGGACTCCATGTGGTTTCATTTATGTTTGTATGTTTGCTTGTGTGGCCGCGTTCATAGTGAGAGTAGAGCAAGGGTGCAAAAGGGTGGGGATGAGAGGAAAGAGGAGGTCGTTTCAAACACAACCGTAGATCGTCACTCTTCTAAATACACATTCACCAAAGGAGAAGAGAAATACACATAGACGATGGAAACAGCAGAGCCCTCCACAACGGTTGTTTCCCCCAGAGTGTGGTCTGGATCGAAGTTTGGCGACAGAAAGAGAGAGGGAAAAGAAGACAATCTTAAAATCGTTAGTGTTTGCATCGTGGCAAACTCTTTCCTTTCTTTCCCTCCCACCTTTCCCCCTCTCTCAACCCTGAGTGTCGACTGACAAGTATTCCTTGCAGATAAAAGCATCTCTCCCCCAAGGGAAAAAAGAAAGAAAAGAGTGGCCATGCATGGGAGGAAGAGAGAGAAGGTTAACCGCCGTCAACTGTCATCCATCATCCATAACCTTTCCCTTCTTTTACCGTGACCAGTGCCTATTTTTCGATAGTACTTTCTAGCACCATGGACTGCACGACATCCACCCAGGACAAGAGCACGACGAGTACGTTGAATGATGACGAGTATGCTGAGAGAGAAGTGGATGGAAGTAGAGAGAGAGATTGCTACAGAAACGTACTTGTTCAAAATGTCGGACCAGGAGTGAACTCCAGTCATGGAACCTGGTCAATCAACCGTCCTCTTACCCTTTTTCCACTTCCGCTTACTCCTCCTTCCTCCAATTCTCCCCCATGGGTTAAGAAGCATTCAAACTCCACCATGGCTGCCTCTCTGTACTTTCTTGAAATAACTTCTACGCAATTGAATCGCTATTCAGTAATTATCTTTTGTCCTCCTTCCTCTCATGCACGATTGTGTACTTGGATGGATGTCCGCCACTCTGTCTGCCTCTCTGCTCTCACACTCTCTAGCATAACATTTTTTTTTCTCTTATCCAACAGGCAACAACTTGTCTGTCCAAGCGTGCACACGTCCACAACACCATTTTCACACACACGAGTCTTCCATCTCTTTGTGTATGTATGTATGTATGTATGTACACTTTGTTCACTGTAGTAGCGTGTGTGTGTGCATGCAGGCTTGTTTATGTGATGCCTGTTGTTCTTCTGTGAGCAAACATACAAACAAACAAACAAACAAACAAACAAACAAACAGACGGACAAGCAAGAGCACTACACCACCAAGCTAAAAGGTAAAGAGTAAGAAGTTGATTTCCCACCCAACGTTCCTCCTGTCCGGAATCCCGAACTTCGTCACTTCGTGGCAAGTTGCAGCCTGTCTTTACTCGTCAAAGTCTGAACCCTTTTTAAAGAGAGCACCCTCCCTCCTTTTTTTTCTTTTTTTCTTTCCTTTCTTCTTCAACCTTCGTCCCTTTTTTGTATTCCTCTTTCTCCCATCTTCACATCTACTTCTCCATTCTTCCTTCTTTTTTCTATCCGCGATCTTCACTCACCTTTATCCCCTTCTTTCTTTATTTCTGTCATTCTTCCAACCCCACCCGCTAACGACTTTCAAACATCTAACAAAAATGCCTTCGACTGTCTCTTCGCCCGCTATCAATATCACGGCTGCCCCGGCCACTCCCATCCCCGTCCTTGCCTCCTCCCCTTCCTTCAACCCCTCGGCTCTCAGACGTTCCTCCCTCGCGCTCTCTGTCGGTTCCTTCCATGCTGCCCAACTCAGACGCCCTTCCTTCTTCTCCCCTCTTCCTTATTCCCACTCTCCTCAATACTCCGAGTAAGTCCTTCCTCTTTAATCGAATCGTTATCAAGGCGTACGTTCGTATTATTATTATTATTATTGCAAATTTACTAACTAACGTCCCAACTTTTTTCTTGCACAAGTAGCATGTCCCATAGCACGTTAAATGATGCGTATGGCTCGTCCCCACGGATCGGCGGCGATGTCTATGAGCGCGACCTGGAGGCCAACTACTGCAAAAACTTTTCTTGCTGTGGCCTCACCCTCAACGACCTCCATGCCCTCCTCCAGCACTACGAGGAGGCCCATGTCCGGTTCGAGGAGGACGATTTTGAGGATGAATTTGAGGACCTGCTCGGGTTCACGGATGACGATGGCTGGTCCACCCACTCCGAATCGACCCCCAGCAGTCCCCAGATGATGGACCGTTCATATCACAGCAATACGACTACTACTTTGGCAGCAGCAGCAAAGGCAGCCGCAGCGGCCACGGTCGCAGCTCTCACGGCAGCGACTCTGACGCAGAAGCCAGCAGCCAACAAGAAGGCGAACGGAGTCTCATTGTCTGACATCTATTCGGAGGATTCCACTTTTATGATCCCCGACGAGGCCGTTTCTGCATTTCCCAATTCTGTCTTCAGATCTACCTGTATCATTTCCACCCCACCTTCTGCTGCCACGCAAGCTGCTCCAGGTACAATTGCTACCCCTGCCTCCAAGAAGCGGGACCTCGCTGCCTTTTCCTCCTCCCTCGATACCCAGAGCCCCGTCTCTAAGAAGGCCGCCACCTCCATCTCCCTCTCCAGAACTTCATCCCTCTCGACTACCGACATCAAGGCTGATGGTGCCACTGCCTCATCAACTTCCCAGGAGGAGCTGATGTCGACGGTGACGAGCTACTTGGAGCATGCGATCCAGAACGGACTCTTGCCCAACTGCGGAGAGGTTGGCTCGCCCTCATACCTCCTTGCTGCCGAGGAGCTCCTTCAGAAGCGCGAGGAGATTGTCAGCATGATGGAGAGCATTGGTCGGTCGGGATCCTCCGGTGCCGATAAGCCTTACCGCTGCTCGGTCGATGGCTGCGACAAGGCCTACAAGAACCCCAACGGTCTCAAGTACCATCATCAGCACGGCCACTGCTCCGTTCCCGGATCGGGCGAGGACGACAAGTCGAACGTCAAGCCCTACCGCTGCACCTTCCTCGACTGTGGCAAGTGCTACAAGAACCTCAACGGTTTGAAGTACCACATTGAGCATTCCCACCCCAACCTCGCTACTGCCCTGCAGGCCCACATCACCGGTGCTCCTGCCTTGGACGGTGTCCAGGCCAGCCAGTCGGCCATTGCTGCCGCTGCTGCGATTGCTGCCGTCAAGGGTGACACTGTGATGATGAGCGCCATCCATGCGATTATCTCGTCCAATGCCAACGGCCAGCGTTCCTCTGCTGCTGCTTTGATCGAGAACACCCCCGAGTCCAGCCCTAACTCGAGCCCCGTTCTTGCCCCCGTCGTCGATGCCTCTGCTGTCGCTGCTGTTGTTCCCTCCAAGAACCCTTACTCGGCCTACGTCACGCCCTTGACCTCGCCTATTCTCAGCCGCGCGACCTTATCGATCCAGACGACGCTGACTGCCATCCAGCAGCAGCAATTGACTGGCTTGGCCACCCCTGCCTCGCTCTCTCCCACGTCCCCTCGTTCTCCTGTCTCTTCCCCTCGTACCACTTCCTCTCAGGTGTCGACCTTGACGGCCGCCCTTGCCGCTGTTGCCGCCGAGCAGCAGCGACTCCTCCTCCAGCAGCAGTAAACCTGGATCGTTGCTTTTTCTTTGTAATTTTTTTTTTCTTCGCTCTGTATATTTTCTCTCTTTTCTCTTTCATGCTTTTGTATTCTGTTTCCCTTTCTTTCGCCTTGTATTATTTCTCTCCACACCTCATATCTCATATCTCATATCATAGCGTATTGCACGCTCGCATCTTTTGCATTCTCTTTTTTCTTTTTTCTTTTTGTATGTTTATTGCGTGTACATAGTGTATGGGTCGAATAAAAAACACAATAACTGAAGAAAAAAAAAAGAGGCCATTCTGCAATACGTACGTGTGCCTGTCCCGAAATGTGCAAGTGTAAGGCGTGAACCTTTGATCGGGGTGGCTTAGATGTAGTTCTAAATGTTTTTAAAAATTTGTTTCCCTGTGGTGTCTTACATGGAGTGGGAACGTGTGTGAGAGCGCGTTCTCCTGTTCCTTTACTCCCTTATTCCAATCGACCATTCACTCCTACAATCTTTTCTCTCTGTCCCACATCATCCATCCACTCCCGTCCTTCACTCCACTTCTTCCTTCTCTCACTCTCCCCCTTCTTCCTCGGCCTCCCTCTTCCTCTTCGCCTCTACACAGGAACATCACTCTCCTCCGCACCACCAACGAGGTACAACTTTTTCACTCTTCTACTCTCACTGATTCGTCTCGCGAGTTAGCATGCCTTGCCTTTCTCTCTCTTCCTCTCCCCCCTCCCCTCTCTCCCTCTCTCCCTCTCTCCCGTACCACCCAATCCAATCAAGCAACTTTCCCTTCCCCCATCCATACCGTAAACGGGAAGGAAGCACAATACTAATAATATATTACCATGCTCTCACTCACTCACTCACTCTCCACACAAGGTCATCCGAAAATAACACTCTCACACATTGAGTGTACGTCCTCCCATTCGCTTTAACTCATCCGATTACTCTCTTCTTTCTCTTCAACTCATTTAGGCTTTCTTCTTTTCCTGCAACAACAACATCAACGCAAATCAAAAGGCACACAATACGCTCAAGGAGTCGGATCGCGATTACACCAAAAACTACAAAGCGACCAACCTACTCAGGAACCCGTTTCGGCGAATCCTTGCTCGGCGCTTATTGGACCAGAAGAGGAGGATATTAAACAAAGCAAAAGCACAGCACCAAGCTCGCTCCTTTTTGGCGCTAAGCAGTCCAGGAACGAGTCTTCTACCCCAGAAGAATGTCGATGTTCACGTTCAACACCACTACTGGGTCCCTGTCGAGCAGTCAAGGAAGATCCAGCACGTCCTCGACCAAATCAAACTACGTCCCCTCGACCTACATTGCCAAGCAATTGCAGCTGGAGGAGGAGGCCAAACGTCAGGGCCACCAACTCAACTCACAGAGCGGGACCTCGGCTTTACGGACAGACTCGACTGAACACTGGCGTGGACCCGGCGACGTCCTCGCACCAGGATATGGCTCTGGTCCCTTGGGCTACCAGTTACCGACTCAAGGTTCTACGGCTTCTTCAGCGCGCTTCCAGCCGTTGTTTGATGACAACAGGAACGGCAGCACTTTAGGCGCTGGAGTTGGTATCGGTATCCATGGGGCTTCTTCAATCAATAACAACACCACTACAACCACAACGTCGTCAAGGGAACCCGGCTCTCCAACTTCTACCCGACTCTACCCTAACTTACACGCTTCCAGTAGCCCAGAACAGTCCTCCTCGCCAAGGAGTATTCTGAGAGGAGGTGAGCAGAGACAGGACCTTAACAAGGATGAGGGTACGCTGAGAAAGAGCACCTCTGTCCGCTTCAACGCCGCCGCCAACGATGTCGGAACGCCTCGACCAGGCACGCCCTCTATTTACAACCAGAATGGTGCCAGCAGCTCCTTCTTCAACAGCCCTAGTATTCACAGCAGTGCCAACCTGCAGTCGGCCCTCAAGGAGCCGGGCAAGGTCGATGTCCTCAGCCACCGTGCCGCCTCTACAGGACAGCCTCAGAAGAACAGCAGCCTTGGACCTGCCTTGGGTTCTGTGTCGGGGACTGCACAGTCGCCACCTACCTACAGCTCGCCCAAGATGCAGAACGAGTATCTGTCGTCCTCGTCGATGAGGAGCAGCAGCAGTCAGTACCAGAACGCGACCTCTGGAGGATCAATGTCGCTATTTCAATTTGGCGTGGATGGTAACCTGCTGCGACAAAACTCCAAGACATCCACTTTGCTGGCCAAGACATCTCTGGACGAGGATGAGGATGACAAGGAGAGGGAACGCTACATGCCCGTTGTTCTTCTCGACACCCCTGGCACCAAGGTAACTTTCTTGTAAGTTTTCGTGCAGACAAATGTGTAATTGTGATCAGAGTACTGATCAACCTATATTGTGATATCAATTGATGAACCAGGGATCCAAGATTGAGCCGTTTGTTGACGGCGCAAATGAGAAATCGGACTGGGAGAGTAACTCGTTTCAGCAGGCAGAATCCAGCTCTCGTGTGGCACCCCATCTCATCGGCGAAGACGCACCACCAGTAGAGACCCTCTTTGACGTTGCGAAAAAAGAAAAGTACTACTCTCGCCAGGCACCGACATTCGACAAAAACACCGCGCCCCTTCAAGACACCAGAGCCGACACAACTATGAACGGTGCTTCACAGGGTGAGTCTTCCTCGTCTTCCTTGGTTTCCTCAACGAACGAAGGGTTCGACTCTATCATCACCTATGGATTCCCTCCCGAGGCAACCTCCTATGTCCTGAACCAATTCCGCTCCTTTGGCATGATTCTCCGGTACGAGTCGGGAGTGTATGGACAGGTCGAGGCCGAGTCCTTCAACTGGCTCAAGATTCATTACAACGGCGCCTGGGCTGCTCGTAATGCCATCACCCGTCACCTAAAGAGCGTCGGCAAGTTCATTGTCGGTGTTCACGCTTGTCCGTCTTTCAGTGCACAGAAGCAGCAATCTTCCTCCTCCCCCGATATGTCTATGGATACCAGGGACGATGGCGATACGAGTGCTCGACAGACGATTGGAAACAATTTGACAGAGGCCGAGGCGAGAGAGGTGCAGGCTGGCGTTGACACCCTTTTGCGGATGAGAGCTCAGAGTCTTCACGCTGATGTTGGATATACCCAATCGGCACAGAATGCTTCTACCATCGCACGGCAGGCCAGTTTGTACGAGTCTTGGAGCCAGGGAAGCGCCAATGCGTTGGGACAGTCTCAGTTTGGAACTTCTAGTCTTGGTGGCAGTGGTGCTGGAGCGCTAGCAAGGTCATCAGCCATGGATCAGGGAGAAGATGATATGGCGTACATCTTGAGCCACAGCTTGACTTCTGGTGGATCGTTGGCACGGTCTGGACGCGGACGGGGGTTTGAGCGTAATGGCCAGGACGAATTTTCGCGATCGCGGTCCAAGGACCAGCTCGGACAGGATCAGGAACCAAAGTTAGTTGGAGGCGAGTCTACCCTTGGTTTGGACTCTAAGGGTGCCGAGTTGTCATCTTCGGTCGGGTTCCGTCCCTTGTTTGGTCAGAGCGAGTCTCGGGGATTGAACAGCAACGGCGCAGGAGCAGGTCAGGATTCTCTGCTTCAGCAGTCTACCGCATCACATTCAGCCTTTGATGCATCTCGTCAGCAACAACTTCAGCAGGATGCGCTCCTAGGATCTCGCCATCGTTTATCGTTGAGACGTCCTTTGGGCGAGTCAACTGTCTCTGACTCGACCTTGTTCGCATCGACGGGTGGTGTTTTGATGGATTCGGGTGTCCTTGCAGGCGCTAGCAGCACGAACAGCGCACCAGGGTCGCCGTTCCATGTGCAAAAGAAGCAGCGGCTATCGTCGAGCCTCTTTGCGCCGTCGTCTTCAGCACCAGCTAGTGCCCCCATTTCACAAGCACAATTTGGAACAGGACGGAACCGTGCATCAGTGTTGATTGATAACCCGGACCTTGTTGACGAGTGGGGGACACCATTGTTGTCCAAGATGAAGGCCGCTGGAGGTGCCGGTGCTGGTGCTCCAGGTTCGGCGACTGCAAATGGAGCAGCAAATGCGGGGGGAGTAGGAGGAGCGGGGTCAGAGAGCATGATTGCCTCTGTCTTCAACATGGCCAAGAAGCGACTCTTCTGGGGGTAGAAAAGAATGACGTTGTTGTTATTACCATTAATGAACAGACCATGCTGCCTCTTTTTTTTTTTTTTTTTTTTTTCTTTACATATTCTTTTATACGAAAAAACAAAGATGAACGCTCACAAGGGATTGCCTCAGCACCCCACGAATCCAGAGACAATTTTGCATTGAAATATTTTTGCTGCCTGTGTACTTGTGTGGTTATTGGGGACTGACTGAATGGACAAGGAAGATCCTCTTTCTTTCCCTTCGCCCCATTTGCTTTTTTTCTTTCTTTCTTCATTCCACCACGTCCTGTTCAGGAACACCCCCAACACCCTTTTACCAATGTCCGGGAACCGACTGAGACCGAAACAAACTCTTCTGCACCGACAGCCTACTTCAAGGGGAGAGAAAACCGATACAAACCACACAGTGATAACAGCACCACCCACCACCACCACACCTCACCCTACTTTCACCTCACCTCACCTCACCCAACCCTCCAAGCAGAATGTTCCATTCAGGACCCAGCGCCAACGGTACCGAGAGGGGACATGCCAAAAGAAGGCGTCCAGGTAGTCCGACTGGCGAGTAGGAACAAGACCGTCCAAGTGGCGACACATTTTAACGAAGGGGCAAACAAGGAAGTCTTGGGGCACACCATGGCCGTTATCATACAAATCACCGATGTTGGAGGTACTGGGCAGAACAATGGCCTTGATTGTGAAAATACTGTTCGCCGAGGCAGTACTGGGCAGCTGCGTACCCTTTCTCGGCTGCCTTGCGGAGCCAGGACAAAGCTTTGGAGTAATCCATTGTCACTCCTCGACCGCAATGGTACAGCAGGCCAAATTACAAGTTGGGCATCCGCCAGTCCTTACTTGGCGGCCTTGAGGTACCATGTCATCGCTTGGTAGTAGTCCTGAGGCACCTCGTCACTGTTCCTGTACATGTCGCCATGAGCGTGCTGCGCATTTTGTGCCCGAGTATCGCATTCGCCATCGTCGTTGCGAAATTCTAGGCGCCAGGGGAGGCAGGGGTAGATTCCTGTGGTGCACGAGGGGACTGTGTTATACGACTTGGGTTCTGTGAGGTTGGGGGTGTATCGTTGTTGCTGGCGGTGGATGTTGCCTGGCTGTCTTGAGATGCTTGTCGTCCTCGAGATGGTGGAGGTTTCAGCTGGATTGAACGCTGTTGTTGATGGCTTCTGGCACGAGGTTTTCAAGATCAAGAAGGGGTTCTCTTGAAGCACAAGCAATGGCAGTAGCGGTGCTGGAGTCAGCGGTGAAGACGTTGGCGCTGATGAGGTTCGAATCGACCTGTTGTTCGTGATTTTGCCGCAGAGCCATGGTCAAGGTAAGTGCTCTGATGGGGTCTGGCATGTCGATGTGTGTGTAGTTATCCTCCGCTGTGTTTTCCAGTCCGTATCGTGGGTTCTTGCTGTTGCTGTTACTGTTGCTGTCATGGCGGTTTTGGAGGCTGGCATCTGGGTCGAGGTGTTTGTACCTTCGTCAGCTGTGTTCGGCAAACACCCGCTGTCAGGACCCCATTGAGAGTTCCTTTGAGGGCGACATGCTCGACGACTATGGAAACGACGATGACTCTGCGTGTACCAATTGGCATCTGACGACGATATCCAAGGTAACTCCAGGAACAGCAGCAATTCCACGAGGGCCCAAACTATCAATTAAAAAAAACAATAATAATAGAGGCGAAGCGTTAGTTGTCTGCGCAAAAAGCGGCCAAAGTCATGCTGGCTACAGGACAAATAAATAGCAAGGAAAATTACTTTTTGAAGTTCGGATCTTTGAGGTATGGAAGCACCACGGTTCCAGAGCGCACATGTATAACGTCGTCCTTTAACACTGCGGGGCTGTCGTCCCAGAGGATAATGTACTTGCCAGAGACAGTGTCTTGGTGATAGACGAGGTGAATGAATGTTTGGAGGTTGAAGTAGGGTCGCCGTTTTCGTTGACTCGGCGGACTGCCTGGAGATGGGGCTGGCTCTCCTGAATCGTCATTGTGCTTCGGGCATTCAGAGGGTGAGGGCCGATGTGCAGAGGGGTTTGAGTGGAATGTCGAAGTGCAATGGGATGTAAGAGAAAAAGGAGATAACGCTTCATGTTGCCTACAAAGAGGACTGACTGGTCTACTTTTCCCTGTGATTGGTCGAAACATACCCGATTCAGACCATTGTTTTCAGGAACGAAGAAACGCGTTTTAATCGTTCACAAGCCAAAAGAATTAAAAAGCTGCGTTCAAAAAAGCTGCACCATGCAATCATTCCTTCTCAAACCAGGTAACAGTGTCTCACGGCTGCTTCTTCCTTTGTGATAAAAAGATAATTACATACTAGTATGCTACTTCTTGCTCTCGACTTCATCGCCTTGATGCTCCAACTCCTCCAGTCTCTCTTTGGCATCAGCATCTCCTCCGTCGGCTGCCTTCTTGTACCACTTCACCGCCTCCTCTCTGTTCAAAGGGGCGCCCATGCCGTGCTCATATGTAAGACCGAGGTTGAACTGAGCGTTAGCGTTGCCTTGGACAGCGGCTTTTCGATACCAATTCAGCGCCAATGCTTCGTCCTGTGGCACGCCTTGTCCATGCTGGTACATGACACCAGCACTAGCCTGTGCCGTTGCGTGCCCTTTCTCAGCAGCCCTTCGGTACCATTCCACTGCTTGTGAATGATCCTGAGCCACGCCAAATCCTTGATGATACAGATATCCGACCTTGTACTGACTGTCTGCGTGTCCTTGGTCCGAGGCCATGAGGTACCATTCCATCGCCAGAGAATAGTCTTGCTTCACACCAAAACCAAGTTGATGCAGCTGTCCGAGACTGCACTGGGCGGGAGCGTAACCTAGTTCGGCTGCCTGGAGGTAATACTTTGCTGCGATGGTAAAATCTTGATCCCCCGGATATGGTAGTCCCCGGCCCCAGGAATAAAGACTGCCGACGTGGTATATACCTCGCGCGTATCCTTGTTCGGCTGCCAAGGTATACCATTCGAACGCCGTGTGATAGTCGCAAGTTACACCTTGACCGTGGTAATATAGATTGCCGATGTTGAACTGAGCCTCTGCATATTTCACATTGGCAGCCTTCTCGTACCGTTCCATGGCAGCCTTGTAGTCCTGACGAACTCCTCGACCGTCCCTGTACATGTTACCGAGGGCAACCAGGGATTTGCTGTCTCCAAGCCTTGCGTTCATCATCGTCTTTGCAACATTCTTGGCAGCATCGGAAGCGGTTTTGTGGGGTGCGCAAGGAGGCTCTTCACTCTGTGAGGTTGGGGATGTGTTGTTGTTGGCGGTGGGTGGCGATTTGTCGTCTTTGACTGTTTCTGAGCTTCGTCCGCTGGTAGTGATGGTACTGTCGTAGTTCGGGGGTGTGGACCCGTCAACTTCACCACCGAGCAATGGCTCCAGTGGCAGCTCCGCCTTGTCTCTGATGACGACATCCAAGGTGACGCCAGGAACTGCAGCAATGCGGAGGGGGTTCAAGCTATCATTTCATGAAGGGAGTGAATAATGTTAGACAGAATCAACACTAAGCCTAAGCCCAGCAGGAAAAAAAATGCCAGAGATGAACTTGCATTTCAAAGTCCGCGCCTTTGAGAAACGACTGGATAAGGGTCCCCGACCGGACTTGAAGGACGTCGTCGAAGGCGTTCGTGATGTCGTCCCAGAGGATAACGCCCATGTCTGAGGCGGGGTCTGGGTGGACTGCAAGGTGGATGACCTCTGAGGCGGTGGTAGAAGAAGGGTCTTCATTGTCGTTGTCGGCTTTGGTGACGAGGCGAATGGCCTGCATTTTGGGAGTTGTTTCTGTTGCGGTCATGAGTGTCGAATCGTTGGAAGATGATGTCGAGAGAGGGAAGGAGGTTGGGGTTGTAATAGCAAGGTACGCGAGAAAAAGTGATGACGTCCCTCGCTTGCATACACAAGAAGAAAAGGCGAGCAAGTAGAACATTTGTGTTGCATGTGTTTCCCCCTGACCGTTTCAAACCACCTTTCATGCGTGATCAGTAAGGCATCGATCACCGTCACCAAGACATATGTGGCCCCCTTTGCTTGTTCGCCTTTTACGATACGATAAATGAGATCGAACCCAATGCCATCGCAACGGAAATGTTACTTCAGAAGTAGTGTTTATTGTCTAGTAGGTACTGTACTCGAAAGGTGCTCCTTCGCTTATGAAAACGGACGATGAAAACAGGGGGTGAAGGAGACGCGGCTAGTCGTTCCGCCCTGTTTAGTATTGTATTCTACATCAATGGATGATGGTCGGTGGTGCTGCTGTTGCGCTGCTACAGTTTTTTAGCATCTGTGGCTGAGGGCCAGAGGGTGCAGGTGCTGGGCGTCGATCAAGGTGACCTTGTTGGCAAAGACGGCAGAGGTGTCGTCCTCAAAGCACTTTGTTGATCACGGCATTGATGACACCGAGGTAGTGGTAGTACTGCAGATGACGTGCGGAAAGCCGCCGTGGGCCAAAGCAAGGCACAGGTGATCGTACAACGGCGGCGACAATGGGGTCTTCAGCTCAAGGCGCTGCAGCAGTGGACAGCGCGCTATTGTCAACGTAGCTGCGCTGTCATCCTAACGCGCCATGGACCTGCCTGATCCTCAGTGGCTGAGCATAACAGCATTATCCACCCTGAGTGTGTCTATTGTTGTCATCAACTGTCCATGATGATGCCTAAATGATGACGGAAAAAGGGGTGTAATGGTCAGCAAAACTGTCAAAGGAGACGCACAACAGCACAATCCCTCCGCGAACCCCATACCCCAGACACGACTTGTTAGCCCTGCAAGGTGCTGCCCACTAGCTCTCACCCCCCGTGAGAAAGAGCCACCCAGTTTCCGCACAGCAGCGAATGCCACACGAGAGCCGGATCCTAGAGTGGGCAGCATGAACAGCCCCAGTGCCTGCATCAGGTTTCGGTCTCCAAGAGAGCAAAAGCCGGAGGACCAGAAGCCATTCCCCTGCATTGCCACGACGAAGCTGCGAACCGCTTTTAAGGAACTACAACAACCGCCGATCATGTCCACAGACGTTAGGAGCAAGGAACTCACAAGGCCAGATCCTCCGGTCCGGAATGCGGAGCAGGGCATGCAATGAAGGTGCGATCCATGAAGGAAAGGGCCGTCATTACACAAGCAGCGCAACCTCGGCAATGCCAATGCTTTCGCAGAGGCCAGCCTTGGAAGCACCGAATCCTGGCCAAACCCGTGCCCCGAAAGGGTGGATATCAGACTTACAGGCCTCCCACGAGAGAGAAGACCCACCTCGGTACCCGTGTTTCTCGCCATGCATCCGCCTTTATCTATAGCCCGCTGCCATTACCTTGAAAAGCAATACTGCCGAATGTTCTCTGCGAAAGAGGCCATGAAGGAGGAAAGAGTGGTGGTTGTTGGATTGAATGTGAAGTTGGACTGGTTATGTAGTTGGATTGGAGTGATTGGATTGGATTGGATTCGGAGAGAAGGTGAAAGAATAAAAAAAAAAAAAGTAAGCAAATACGTCACGCAAACGTGCGACGTAAAGCGAAGACTTTAAGTCTTCCCTCTCTGAATGCAACCCGCCCATGCGCGTTTGCTTACATTGCATCGATTATTCAGCCCTCATCCTAATCCTGCATCTGCTTATCAGCATCTGAAATCCCAAGGCTCTCCAGGTAAATCAATGTCTAACGATCCGTTTGCGCTGCTGGCAGGGTCTTGCCGACACTTCTTTTTGCTAAAAAATATAAGAGTGTTATTCAGTCCATCCTATCTATACTTGGATTACGGATTCCATACCACGCTAAACCTCGAGATCCTATAGATTGAATAACATCCTTAGATTTTTTGATTCAGTAAAAAAAGAGCTGATGGTTCCTGGGTGAGAACTGAACTGATGGTAACTTAGTGATTACGGCCAACGGTTTTTCTATGCTGGCTAACCGATGTTTTTTCTCTGCGTCAACTACATAGCCCACTAAAGAATACGACGTAATGGCAACCAAGAGAAAAGTCGACCAACTTGATACACAGGTATGTTCAAATCTAGGACGACACACTAGCTTATAACGCCTGAAATCCTCTCGTATCGACCTATGTCCTTTCCGTGTATCATACATTTAGCTGCGTGAGCTGGATCAATCGATAGACACCATGGCAGTGAGTATCTTTGGGCCGACTCCAAACGTTCTGGAGAGGACAGCATGCAAGTTTGTGGCGGAATTAAAAGTAGCCACCGGCCCAGTCGTGTCACCAGAAGCATTTGTGGATTTCGTGAGGGGCCAGCTGCCGACCGTACGCAACAAGGATGTCGTGTGGACGTGGACGTCACTTCGGGCATACATATCAGAACATGGCCAAGATCCGCTGAAGGTAGCGTTCAAGAACGCGGCTCTGTTGACCCTCGACATGGTGACTCGGCTTTGGGATGGTATGTGTCCATGCAGCCGACTTTGAGAAAAACAAATCGACATGTTTTGGTTCATGTCCTCGTCAACTTACCATCCCCTGTCCTTTTCTTCTACTGTTATAGCAACCGATGACGCGGAGCAGGAGCCTGAACACAAGGAGGATGAGACCAAGGTATAACAGCAGTTATTTTGATTGATCATGACGGAAGGCAGCGTTGATGGGCTTTGTAAACTAATACTTACATTGCTATATTCTATTGTTACTTTTTCTGCTCTTCTCTAGCAGCAAGCATCCAAGCGAAAAGCTTTGCAGCAGCCATCCCGATCACCGTCTAACTCGATCTGTTTAAGCGATCGCAGCGGCCGAGGCAGCAGCTCGTCGGCGTCCCGCGCGCGCGACGCCATGCAGAAGCAGTATGAGGGCAACCTGCAGGCATTCAAAGTCAAGCTGTGGACTGTTACGTCGGGAACGGTGGTAGACATGGAGATCCGCTCGCACGTGCTGTCCTTGATGAAGGAGTCGTCGTTGCACTCGTTCGTGATTGACAACGCTAAGGCCGTCATCCAGCTCTTCACCGACAAGGACAAGGAGGAAGTCGCCCAAGTGCTGGAGGAGCGTGGCGGCGAGGAGCAGGACACTAAGGGTGCGTAGGCGTTTATGGCCAAGTATTTGTCGACCCCAAAGGCAACGCGGTCCGCCCTCAGCCGAGGATGGTTCAGCAGCTCGGAAGGGGACGACGCCCTAGACGAGGATCAGAAAGAGTGGCTGTTCAAGGCCATACACGCCATTTACACGGTGTACAGGTGCTGCGCTTTCCATATTCCCCATGAGGAGAAGGAGTCGTGGTACATGGCAACCCTTTGGTCATTCTTGTTGCCATTTCTCAACGAAGGCAACACGCTAGTGTACCGCCCTGGAGAGGCGGTGTCAGAGGCGTCGGTCCTCCGCAAGAATGCCACCAGGACCCTGGAGACCCGCCGAGTCTATGGACACAAGATTGACGGGTTGATCTCCAGTACGATGACGAGGCTCGAGTTTGGCGGTATCGAGGCGGCCAAGACAGACGAGGGCGCTCAAAGCACCAAAGCTCTGATGGATACAAGAAAGATGGCCAAATTGCTGAAAGACATGCACGACTGCATTGTGAGCAAGACGGACGACGCGAACGCTCTGCATGAGCTGGAAACCTTTGGCCTCCAGATCAGTCGTACCAAGGTGACCATCTACAGGCTCCGCAAGATCCGTGTTGATGGCCCGCACTACCAGTTGGTGAACCATGGATCCTACATGTTCCCGCTTGTGTGGGATGAGAGAGGCTAGCGGCAGCGGCGATTATCCGCTTGCTCGCCGCTCTGGTGGCCCTCAAGAAGTCGATGGAGGAGATGGACACCAAGATTGCGGCGTGGACAATCCCTGGCGTTCTGTTCGAGCATGAGGTCCTTATTCAAACACTCGACTCTCCTCGTTCTTCCATTACGGATGAGTCGTCCGTCTCTTAAGTACTGAATACTTGCCACGCCCTATATCTACTTACTTTCCCGCCTCGTAGAACATGAGCCATACCTATCGTATTGAGCAACGCTTCCATTTTTTATTGGGCAACCTCGAAAAACAATCAGCCTGTCTATACGTGTTCTTGTTTTGTGCATAAGAGTTGCATTTTGCTTTCATACAAAATGGCAAGAAATCAATACTTATCCCTTCCCCTGTTAAGGGTTAGGATAGTTCTACAACATGGTCGATGTTGAAATTATAGAGGTCGTAGTAGGGGCTGTAGCCGGACTAGTGTTGCAACCCCCACGCGATAGTTATGCATCGCGACCGTTTTCAGGTTGGACCTCCTCACACAACGCGTTTGTTCTATAAAAAAGGCTAAACAAATAACTGAAGGGGCCTAGTAACCAATTCCTCGTCCGGACGACTGCATCCCAAACCGCTCAAGGCCATCAAATCTTTACTTTTGCAACATCATGTCCTTGTTTGGCAGCCGTTTATGTCTCTCCATCGCTTTCACGCTGTCTATGGGAACACTTTGGCCATCTCTATGCATGTCGGTAATAGCCTGGTGCGATTGTTTCCACTTCTAACCTTCGCCATCGTCTCCGAAACGCCACCAGCAAGGTAGAAGTGTGTACCTGAAATCCCATGTTTGTCCGACTTGTTGCTGATTTTGGGTGATTTTTGAGACACTACTGCCAGGCAATTAGTCGCCCAGAACAGTTTGTGGTCCTCGGCTAAGTGGTGCAGTTGCCGAGTTATCGGTATGGTTGTAGTTCTCCATCGCCGCTTCCTCATGACCGCCAACTGTGTTTCTCCCAGTAGAAGAAGTGGCATTGGCATTGGCAAGGGTGGAGGTGATGATGGTGCTGAAGGGTGGGCTCCTGAGGTCTTCGCTGGGGCATCAATTGGGATATAGCAGCAGCGTTCTCCGGCTTTTTGATGTGCGTGTAGTTGTCCATTGCGGTGTTTTCGAGACCATACACTGGATACCTCCTGCTAGCGCTGACTGCGATGTTTGGAATCCTGCCTGTTTTATTGTTGTCCTGAGCGACACTCTGACTTTGACAATGCCATCCAAAAAAGGCACCAAGAACTGCAGCGATGTGAAGTTGATCAAGACTATAAAGTACAAATGAATTGGACAAAGCATTAAACAACAGTGAAGGTAAACAGGAATAAGGTCCAGCTAAATAACTAGCAAACAACTCACAGATGGCCGTTCGTCTTGTGATAGGTCGTTACATGTTGGTGTAAGATTCAGGGCTGATCAGTTATGTTGACATTAGATTGCTGAAATATGGGCTATTCACCCCTTTTTTTATGACAGAAGTCTTTAATTTTCTGCATTGTCAATGGTAATTACAAGAAGAAAGAGACAGTTACTAAGCAAGAAAGAAAGAGACAGCATGCTTTACTGCAGTTCTTATTCGTTTGCCCTTCACGCTTGTCGCCCCAAACTCTGAAGTCGTTTCTTGGCATTCGTATTCCCCTGCTCAGCAGACTTCTGGTACCACATCATCGCCTCTGTCTTATCCACCTCGACCCCTTCCCCATCTTCATACATATTCCCAAGGTTGAACTGCGCATCCACATGTCCCTGGTCAGCCGCCTCCCGATACCACTCAACCGCCAACGAACAATCCTGAAGCACACCCTGACCGTACTGATACATCACCCCAAGACTGTTCTGCGCCGCAGCCAGTCCTTGTTCGGCCGCCTTCAGGAACCAGTCCATGGCAGTCTCATAGTCTTGAGGGACACCTTGACCGTCATCGTACATGGAGGCGATGTTGTTTTGGGCCGCCGGGCTTCCTAAGTCTGCCGCCTTGATGTACCACTCCATGGCCTGGGTGTAATCCTGGGTGACGCCGTGACCGTAGTGGTAGTTGTACCCGATGGCGCACATGGCCGCTGTGCATCCTTGTTCGGCTGCCTTGCGGTACCAGACCAGCGAGTGACCATGGTCCTGCTCCAGACCATGCCCGAGACGATACAGAGTGCCGAGCTTGTGTTGGGAGAAAGAATTTCCTTGCTCCGCAGACTTGAGGTACCATTCTGCGGCCTTAACATGGTCCTGAGGCACGCCTCGTCCCTTTTCATACGCAACACCGATACTTTCCTGAGCGTCCGAGTGGCCCTGTTCGGCTGCCTTGGTGAACAACTCTGCGGCCTTGACCTCGTCTTTGGGAACTCCTCGACCATCTCGATACAGGCAACCGAGGTTATGCTGAGCATACCGTTGTTCTTGCTCGGCGGCCTTGGCATGCCAAAGTGCCGCTTTGTAACTGTCCTGAGGAACGCCCTTGCCGTTCTCGTATATAATCCCGATGTTGCATTGGGCAGAGGCACTTCCTTGCTCGGCCGCCTTCAAGAGCCATTCCATGGCCTGCTTATAGTCCTGACTCACCCCAATTCCATCCATGTACATGGCGCCAAGACCCGCCTGTGCATCCTGGCAGCCGCTCCGTGCAGTCACCATCGTTGATATGAAATCCGCTACCGATCCGCTAACGGGCTCCTCGGATGCGGGTTGTGGTGGCGACAGAGGGGTTACTTTGGGGACGTCGCAAGTGTTTGGGGTCCCGATGGTGGTGGATAGTTGTTGCGTGGAGGCTGTTTTTAAGGTGCGACGTGGTCGTGCCGGGATTGGGTTCCTGATGTATGAGTATTTGGAAGGGCGCGCGCTCTTTTGTGTCTCCTGAAGGGCATCCCGAGACAGTTCCTGTAGGCTCGCTCTGTTTGATGTCGTCTGTTGTACTGCGGACTCTGTCCGGGCTGGTTGACCTCTGATGACAACTTCCAATGTGGCACCAGGCACTGCAGCAATGCGTAGCGGGTCAAGGCTACAATTGAGTAAAAATGACACTGCATTAGACTCTGCAGTCAGTCTCATGCAAGTACAGAGAAGATTCAGTAAATAATTTTATACACGTACTTTTTAAAGTCTCTTCCTTTGAGAAAAGCCTGGACGATGCTCCCAGACCGGACAAGAGCGACATCTCCGAAGGCGGCCTTGATATCATCCCACAAGATAACATCCTTTCCAGAAGAAGATGAATCTGGGTGACAGACGATATGGGTGATATTTGCGGGAGCCATGGTCTGCCCTGTTTCGCAGACAGGACGGATTGCCTGGACAGGAGGGTGGTGCTCCTGAACTGTCATGAGTGTCAAGTTATCGTTCGTTGGAAGATTAATTGCTTGTGAGGAAAGAAAAGATGTTTTCTTTTTGGAATGCCAAAGTGCAGGGGAGGGAATTGAAGAAAGATGAGAAAGTGTGAGGGGAAGAAAGCGATAACTCTGTCATAAAGAGTCGAAAAGCGAAAAGTGAAGAGTCGAAATATACAAACGACAACAGAACAGCTCTGCAGGTACCCAAGGCGCCCCGTGCATGATTGGCCGAAACGTGACTAAAATCAAATCCAGGCACGATCACATATGAAAGATCGGAGGTCATATTACCCGCTGGTCGATAAAAAATTATTCACAGGTTTCTCGGTGGACCCTGACCATCATACCCTTGTCGCTTCAAAGTGTCGATTTTCGACTTTGCTTCCAAATACCTCCACTGGCCGCTTAGCTATACCACTCAGTCGCTTTGGATAAATCCTTTGCAACACCTTTTCCATGCTCGTACATCCAACCAATGTTGTGTTGTGCAGTCGCGTTCACCTGATCAAACGCCTTTCGATAGCACACTATCGCCTAGCCATCATCATAACCACACCTTGACCGTTACTGAACAAATATCCGATGTTCAGCTGAGCGTACGTATTTCCCTGATCGGTAGATCTTAAGTACCACTCCATCGCTTTCGAAAAATCCTGTGATACTCTATGACCGTGATGATACAGATACCCCATGTTGTGCTGACCATCACCATCTCCTTGATCAGCTGCTTTTTCAAACCACTCCATAGCCTGGGTATAGTCCTGGGTCACGCCAAGGCCGTAAAGGTACAGTCGGCCTATGTTGTGAGCAGCCGCCTCTTCTTGGTCAGCAGCCCGTCGATACCGCCTCATTGCCTCAGCGTAGTCTTGAGCGACAGCCTGACCGCTCTGGTACATGTAGCCGACACTAGTCTGGGTCTGCGCATGTCCCTGCTCGGCCGCCATTAAACTCCACCCTCAAAGCCCGTACATAGACCTGTGGCCAGCCCCTTTGACCCTGATAATAATACATTCCTATTTGCTTTAGGCCTTTGCGAAACCTTGGTTGGACGCCCGTAGATACCACTCTAGAGCCTGGGAGTTGCCTTGACCAATTTCAAACATCTGACAGACGTCGTACCGGGCGACCACACTTCCCCGGCGATCAGCCTTAAAGTACCAAGTCATGGCCAGAGAGTAGTCCTGTAGAGTGCCAAGGCTGTAGCAGTACAAATGACCGATATCGAGTTCCGTGGCGACGTTCTCATGGTCAGCAGCTTTGGTGCATCAATCAATCGCCACCGTGATGTCTTGTGAGATACTGTAACCCAGAGCGCTGAGATGACCCACTCTGCACTGACCCTCTGAATCTCCTTGTTGAACCGCTTTATGGCGCCAATCCATGGCAGCTTGGGTGCACCTTTGCTTTCCTCGTACAGGGTGCCCGCGTCCTTGTCTCCAAGTCCAGCGTTGATGATTGTTTGTGTGAATTCCAGAGACATCTCCCTGAGATGTTCGCATTGTCCGTATTGTGTTGTTAGCTTCCAGAGACTCTGGGGCGCTGCTACTCGCCTCTGCGTCGTTACCCGGTAACACCTGTGGTGCTCCAGGTTTGGGTGTCGAGGCTGAATTCGGGGTTATGTTTCATGTCGGTCACATTTTTATTTTCATGACAATAAGAATTAAAAACAGCGCGCGGACAAGACGAGGAATTGGACGACAATTCGTAGCACGCATAGCTAATATTCTCGGATGGCCCACAGACTGCGGGTATGGGAATATAGAAAAGGCAAGGCACAGTACGGCAGGAAGCAAGAAGGGATAAAAAGAGGGATGAATGATTCCGGAAGGCAGAGGGTCCACCGTTGGACTAATACATGATCTTGACGAAGGACGGAACGGTGTGTGAATACTTGCGGAAGATAAAGATTCGGGACTGAAAAGTATGTTGTGTATATCTTCCTCCACTCTGTAGAAACTGGGGTTGGGTATGACTTTCGAAGGCCGAGACGGTCGCAGCCAAGAAGAAGAGGGAGGTGATCATTGACGCCCATTTTTTGTTCTTTTGTTGATGTTGGGACGAAAGAGGAACGCTATCGGAGGGAATTGGCATGACTTTTCTCAACTTGTTGAATGCGTTGCCACCAAGGAACAAAGGGGAGACACCATATTCCGTGCCTTCCGGGCCAAGAAACGGCGGCAAAGGGTAGGGGGTTATTTTCGGTGAGAACAAACAAGAACTATCGGTGGCAAAAACAACGCCCTGAAGGAAGTCGACATGTTTTCATTTTCGAATTAGAGTTCTCTTTTCGCTCGTCATGTCAGAGGGAAAAAGTGTATGGGGCAAATGGAGACGGATAAAAGGGAAGAGGCCTTGGCGTTTTATTACATTTCCCGTTTCTTGTTTACAAAAGTGCACCCATGACGGCTACAACAGCAATGGCAGCAAGATTGGACGAAGTATCCAAACGAACACCAGCACCAGTAGGTGTAGACTTAGTACCACTTGATGTCGATATAGCGGTTGTACTCGAAGGAGGCTTGATACTACTAGTTGGAGTCGTGTGAACGGTAGGCGATGTACTGGTCGTATTGTTGCCCGGGGTGGCATCGGAACAAGCTTCAGCCTTCAAGGTCTGGAACCCTCCGTATTGATCGTTGACATCCTGTGTAGTGCAAAGTTCAGGTGTGACACACTGTTGGAGCCAAGTGTCGGAAGAGGCAAGAGGGCAGAAGCAAGACTTTTGTCGCTCTGTCATGGGTCCTCCTTGAAAGGGGTTGGTGAAGATCTGGGCGTCGCAGGTCGGGGACGTTGCGTAGATACTGGCGTAGATACAATCTTCGCAGGGTGTGGCGTTGGTAACGGAGGGAATTGTTGCTATGGCGGCGAGGAGGAGGACGAGATTGGATGTGAGTGTGATGGATGTGCGCATTTTGTCGAGTGTGTGTATGTGTGGGAGAGAAGGGAGAGGAAGGGTGGTGTGAAATGGAAAAAAAATTGTGTGCACAAATTAGCGTCCTTTTTATGCACTTTTCGTCGGAGGGTGGCTGTTGACAGCCCAACGGTTTGTTTCCTTGAGGCTGCTCCTTTGGTGGCAACTGACTTTCCTCCTCCGTATTATTGGGCGAGAAACGAAAAAAGTGGGCAAAGCAGGGCGCGTGGGGAGGAGATAGGCAGGGAAAAGTTGGCTACCAAGAATGGACAAAGGTATTTTTATCCTTTCCCAGCCAAGTTCTCAGAAAATGCTTTGAGCAATGCGGAAACTGCAAAACCAGCTCTGGTCCCCAACACCTTGCCAGCGATGTCGTCGTCATTGCTGCTGCTGTTGCTGCTGGCTGAACGAACAGCGGGAGCAAGAGCAGGAGCAGGCGCGGGCGCTATTCGACGTTTGACAACGACATCCAGGATCGTTCCCGGGACGGCGGCGATTCGAAGCGGGGTCTTGCTGCAAAAAAAATTCAACAAACGGCAGATTTGATAAAATCCCTTCTTCCTCAAAAAAAAAACATGTACGCAGCATTGGCCCAAAAGAAAACCATACAGAATAATTACTTGCTGAAATCGGTACTCGTGAGGAACGACTGGACAACAGTGCTGAGCCGAACGTGGAAAACGTCCTCGTCTCGGAAGGCGGCAAGGATATCCTCCCAGAGAACGAGGTCGCGTCCCAACGACGCGTAACGTGGATGATGCCGGTAGACGAGGATGAAGAGGACTGATTTTCATACACGAGGTGGAACGCTTGGACGTTTGGGGGTAAATTCTGAATCGACATTTCGCAATCAAGTAGGAACGCATACGAAAAAGAGAAGGCGTACTTTTTTGCGAGGATAGGAGGGAGTTGTCATACTGAGAAAGAGAGGTTGATGGTTGAGATTTAAAGAAGAAAGAGGAGATACAATTTTTTTTTTCATGTCGATGTTGAAAATAACCAGATCACTGTACTGCAGTTTCGGTCGTCCATACACATGAGCACGCACATATAAGACAAAGGGCTGCCCGCACCATTTTTTCTCTATTAGCTCTGCCTTCCCGCCTCATGTTGACTTACCCATCCCTTGGTCTTGGTAAAACACGGCACACACTTTTGTTCCTTGCCTCGTGTTTTGGTTCATCCAACATCTGTCACCTTACACATACACACACACGTCTCTGTTAGCTTTGCATGAACGCGACCTTTGTAGGCTAGTTGAGGGTTGTGGAAGAAGAACCCCCCCCCCGGAAATAGAAGCCATTGAAAAATGATAGAAAAAATGCAAATGCGCGTCCTCTTAGGTCATGAGCGAACTTTACTTATCCTTTGTTGTGGCGAGTAGTTTTCAACAGGTTTGCGTTCTTGTCTTCCTTTGTTGATCTTTGTTTTTGCCTGTCGCTCTTCTCAAACACCCCTGGTACCCAAGACTTTAGTCGTCCATCCTGACAATCTCCCAACCATCAATCCTTGTGCAAGAGCAAAAATGATGAGAACGCCGCCATATCACACATTCTTCATCCCACAAGCCTCGGTTCTTATGAGTGCAGTCAATAGGGGTTTGGATCTTGTATGTATTTTCATTTTGCGCGAACAAACGTGTTTGCTAATCTCTGTAATCAGCCGCTGGGGTGAGAACGCCGAGAGAGAGAGGGTTGGTTGAGTCGGTAGAGCTAGTAGTGTTGATGAGGTTGGTAAGGTCGGATGTGAGCGAACGGGTGGGATAATAAGTTGTTTAGCAGCCTCCACGAAGAGCAAGGACCAAATGCAGGACCGAGCCTCCCTCGATGTTGTAGTCGGAAGCCAAGCGGTCGTCAGACCTATTGCAATGGAAGAGGGAACATAAGGTCAACTTAAGTGCAATTTGAACAAGAGACCGCGGCAACACAAACAGTAATCAACAACATGCTTTGGAGAAATATCGGCTCAAACCCCCTCCAGGCTGAAAAAAGCTTTGAGGAAACAGAAGGGTGGCACTTACATCTGCTTTCCTCCAAAAATCAAACGCTGCTGTGCTGGGGGGATACCCTCCTTCTCTTCGACACGCTCCTTGATACGGGTGATCTACAAACATAGTGGAAAAGCACAAAGGGTTCATATGGTTTAGCAAGGAAACAGTAAAGGGTTGACAACTATATGGTGCATCGCCGCCGTATGAGCAATTGCCACTGGCCAAAAGAAACGAAAGGTGGATATTGAACAGCGCCTCCCCCCGTTTCAGGTTCCTCACTTGCGTGCGTTGTGGACACTGAGGTTGCATACCTTGTCATTGGGCTCGATATCGATCTCGATCTACAGATGGTAAAACCGGAGGTAGACAACGGACAAATGGATGAAAGGTGTGAGTTGATCGAAGAATGTCATAATTCTGATATGCTTTTTGGGGCGTTGTGGCGATATCGGCGGTGACGGTCGGTTGTGACCTGCGAGAGCGAGGTCGTGATGCACTGAAAGGGTATACAGTGTGTTGGCAGTTGGTTCTCCTCAACGCTGCATTTCCTGAAAGGCAGTGGATAAGTCAGGCGAATAAGGTAGGTCAGAGTCGAACTGCGCCTTATTTCCTTGAGGTGGAGTTGCCACAGCACAAAAAGCTCTCGAAGAAAGACTGGTGCCATGTCTGCTCCTGTCAAAAAAATAACTCCCATCTGGTCGAAGAGTATACTGTGAGATCGCAGCTCCGTGTGTGGTATGTCGCCATGGTGGATGTGTTACCTCCTTGCCAGTGAGGGTCTATTGGAATTGCCACAACAAAATGTCAGGAGTGTTAGTTGATGATTCTTGTGCGAAGTCGTCCTTTTTGTTGGCCATCCTCGAAAAGCTCTACCAGAAAAGCTCTGCGTTAACAGTAACAACGAAAGAAGCGCATATGAGTGATGCTCCAATTGCGTACCTTGACTTTGATGAGCATGGTTGGAAGGTGTGAGCGTGAGCGTGAGTAGTGATGTGAAAGTTGTTTGGAGAAAAAGGAAAAAGGAAAGAAGAACGAAGAAGCAGGGGCAAGAAATAAACGCGCTGCTTCTGTTACCCGTGACGTGTTCTGGCTGGTGGCGAAAATGTCCTTTTTTTTCTTTCGCCATTTTTGAACTTCATCACCTCCTAAACAACCGAACAACTGACACCCACTTCGCCACCATGTCCATTAACGAACAGGCCCTCGGAAAGGTACCTTCTTTTCCCTACCCACTCAGCCGTAACAAGAACCAGGAACAAGATGAAACGGCACGCAGCAGGACAGGGCATCCATACTAGACATCGGCAAAAGGACGCCTTCTGCTAAGATCCTTGTCCTCCAAAAGCGATCAAGCATCATCATCATCAACACAAGCATGAGGATCGCGCCTCAGGATCATTCACCAACACCTCAGCATGTCGAACTTTTCTACCTCAATGTCCACAGCAACTCACATTTTATGCGCCTCTTGCCAACTAAAAAACTAGATCGTTCACGATCTTCAGAACAAGCTGCAGGAGGCCACCCGTATGGTCGCCTCCGTCCAGGCCCAGATCCAATCCCGCGAGCGTGAAAAGCGTCTCTCAGAACTCACCAACAAGGAACTTTCTGCCCTCCAACCCGATACTGTCACCTACAAGTCTGTCGGCAAGATGTGAGCCCCTCTCTTCTCATGCCAACGTGGTTTTCTTTTTCTCAAGCACAAAAAACGTCTGAGATCTAGAAAGAGATTGAAAACACCAGGCAATATTACATTTTCGCTGACCATTTCTTTACCCTTCTCACCAATGATAACACTAATAGGTTCGTGCAGGAACCATTGCCAGAGTTGACAAAGGAGCTGACCGAGCGGGCAACAGAGATGGACAAGGATATGGCGGCATTGGAAAAGAAGCGGATCTACTGGGAGCGCAACAAGACCGAGGCCCAAGGGAACCTTGGCGAGCTCGTCCGACAAATCCAGCAAGCACAAGCACCATGAGCCTTTTGAGATCCACCAACTCACAATACAATCGCAGAAACATCAACCACAACAACAACACGCTTCCAGAAATACCATGGATTTTACCGCTTCATGGAATAAAAAAACACCAAAAACAATAACTTTGCCTCATATTTGCTTGATCTTGTTTTGCTCTTCGTGCTTCAACCATTCACACCACCGGCCTTCAGCAATTGGAAGAGTAAATGATATTTGAAAATCGTTTATTAAAATGCAGCATGGGCGACTTCCTTCTTTCTCAACTCAAAAAACAACTCTTTAAAGACACTCCACTGGAGATACTTTAGTACACACGCTTCTTGGGGGGAACAGCCTTGCACTCCTCCTCGTCCAAGGTGGTGCCGACAACTCCGCGGTAGCCCAACTTGACCTCACCAGTCTCCTGGTTCTGCCATGAGAGAGTGTGCTTCATCCAGTTCTTATCATCACGGTCCTGGAAATCCTCACGGGCGTGAGCACCACGGGACTCCTTGCGGGCACTGGCAGAGTGCATGGTCTGGGCGGCGCATGTCAACAAGTTCTGGAGCTCGAGGGTCTCGACCAAGTCAGAGTTCCAGATCATCGAGCGATCTGTGACACCGACATCGGGGAACTGCTTGAAGACCTTGTCAATCTTCTCAACACCCTCATCCAAGGAGGACTGGGTACGGAAGACAGCAGCATCGTTCTGCATGACCTTCTGCATGCTCAAGCGGAGGGCAGCGGTGGAAATGGGGCCAGAGGCGTAGCGGAGCTTGTCCAAGTTGGCAATGGACTCGGCACCAGCATCAGCGGCCAAGGGGCGGTGAGGGGTGTTGGGCTCCAAGGTATCACGGATGTGGTGAGCGCAGGCGCGACCGAAAACGACGATATCCAAGAGAGAGTTAGCTCCCAAGCGGTTAGCACCGTGGACAGACACACAGGCGGCCTCTCCGGCAGCGTACAAACCGGGGACGACCTTGTCGTTGCCGTTCTCGTCGACGCTCAAGACCTCTCCAGTGTACTTTGTTGGGATTCCTCCCATGTTGTAGTGGACAGTGGGCAAGACGGGGATGGGCTCCTTGGTGACATCAACTCCCGAGAAAATGGCAGCAGTCTCAGAAATACCGGGGAGACGCTCGTGGAGGACCGAGGCGGGCAAGTGAGAGAGCTGGAGGTAGATGTGATCCTTCTCGGGACCAACACCGCGACCCTCACGGATCTCCATGGTCATCGAACGGGAGACGACATCACGCGAGGCCAAATCCTTGGCGGTGGGGGCGTAACGCTCCATGAAACGCTCTCCTTGGGAGTTCAAGAGGTATCCACCCTCACCGCGGGAACCCTCAGTGATCAAGCATCCAGCACCGTAGATACCGGTGGGATGGAACTGGACAAACTCCAAATCCTGGAGGGGGAGGCCGGCACGGGCAACCATGGCATTTCCGTCACCAGTGCAGGTGTGGGCAGAGGTGCAGGAGAAGTAGGCACGACCGTATCCTCCGGTGGCAAGGACGGTCTTGTGAGAGCGGAAACGGTGAAGGGTTCCGTCCTCCATGTTCAAGGCGAGGACACCACGGCACTCGCCGTTCTCCATAATGAGGTCCAAGGCGAAGTACTCGATGAAGAAGTTGGTGTTGTGGCGAAGGGACTGACCATAAAGGGTATGAAGAATCGAGTGACCGGTACGATCAGCGACGGCAGCACAACGGTAAGCCTGACCACCTATTTCCCATCAAGATATTTGCTATTAGCACCCCTCTTTCAACAGGTATTCAAAATCGTTGAGATTATACGTCAGGAGTTGCGATAAGACTTACCCTCGCCGAACTTCAAGGACTGACCACCGAAGGCACGCTGGTAGATCTTGCCCTCCTTGGTTCTGGAGAAGGGGACACCGTAGTGCTCCAACTCAATGACACTGTGGGGGGCCTCACGACACATATAGTGGATAGCATCCTGATCTCCGAGCCAGTCCGAACCCTTGACGGTGTCGTACATGTGCCATCTCCAGTCATCCTCTCCCATGTTGCCAAGAGCAGCGTTAACACCGCCCTATCATTCAGAAGAAAAGTAGGCAAGAATGAAAAAGAATAAGAAAAAGAGGGGTCTTGGTCTACAAAAAAAAGATGACATTGATGAAAGAACGATCGCTCAATTGTAGAACAGTTGGTTACCTGGGCTGCGACAGTGTGGGAACGGGTGGGGAAGAGCTTGGAAATGCAGGCGGTGTTGAGACCGGCCTCGGCGAGACCGAAGGCGGCACGGAGACCGGCACCACCGGCACCGACGACGAGGGCATCGTAGGTGTGGTCAATGATGGGGTACTTTGAGGTGATAGGGCTCTGTTTGTTTGTTTGGACGCATCATCAGCAACAGCATGTCCAAAAATGATTTGCGGGGTAGGCGGGGAAGACCAAATAATAAAAGAAGCACACGCAGACAGACGGCAGGAGCAGGACCAGGACCAGGAAGGAGAGGGGAACGTAAAGTAAGGAATGTCAGAAAGAAAAAAGAACTCGGGAATATTAGTCCATCCGATCCTTTTTCACTGGCTTGGTGGTGGTGTGCACACAATCGGAATCATCTTCCTTCCTAGATCAGCATGAATAAAAGATGTGTCATCCATACCGATGCCTCCTTGGCGTTCAAGGGCTTCGAGGCAAACACCTGCATAGCAGGGCGGGAGGTGTGCAAGGCACGGGTGGCAGCATTCTTGGCAGCTATATAAAGGTGCAAGTTGATTCATAACCAAAAAAAGGACGTGTGAGAATCTCGGAAAAAAAATAAAAAGCGTCTCGGTGCAATACTACCAAAAAGTCCTTGTGCTTCCGAGGATGCAAAATAAATATAAAAACCGTACCAGTGCGGCGCTGAAGACGACAACGAGAAGTACACGACCGGGCGGAACATAAGTTCAATAGAACAAAAACAAAGACAACGATAAAGAGAGTGTTAGTAGGTTGGTTTATCCGTGGCGGCTCCCGCTGTCAACCACGAAAACGTCAGGGGTAAAGGAAGGGACAAGCACGCGTCGAAGTCGGCAACTGCTCAGGCTCCCGGCTTGCTTTTTTCTTCTTTTAGTTGTCGATTATCGTTACAAGGCCGGGTAGAAAGTCAAGATACACACACGCGCGTGAGTGTGTATGTCGTGCGTGTGTGTGTGTGTGTGTGTGTGCGGCAGGCAAGAGAAAAAGAAAAATAAACACGGAGAATAATCCCGAGGTGGGTATTTCCATAAAGGGAGCAAGCCGGAGTGGGGTATATCGGTGCGTGTGTAGCGTGTGTGTAGCGTGAGTGGAATGGTGAAAGGAGAAAAGAGATCAAAAACAGTACCAGGATGTTGGCGCAGGAGTTGACTCTAAGCATGGCGGGACTGGGGCGTATGGGGAAGTAAGGAAAGGAAAGAGAAAGAAGAAGAGGAGAGAGAGAGAGAGATCCCTAACAGACAATTGTCTTCGTTTGAGAAGCGGAGGAGAGGTGGAGTGGAGAGAGAAGTGTGAGAGAGGAACAGGAGAGGACGGAAGCGACAGAAAAGCGCTCACCGAGTAAACAGGGGCAGGCCAGCATATGAAAATACAGCCCATGCGACTCCGAACTGGTTTCGGTGACGATTACTTTGAAATTTTTATTTGTGCAGATGATATTTACTTGGCCGAGACAAAGGCTTTGAGGTCCTTGAGCCAGTGGGTGTACTCGACCTGGTCCTTGTGGAAGACATAGCTGGGCACAAAGTTGGCAAGATTGCTATCAATCTGGCGCTCCTCCAAGTACTTCTCAAACTCAACCTGCAAGTTCTCATCCAACTCGGCAAAGGGAGGGCCGCTGTACAAACCGCGCTTCTCCCAGTCAGCCTCAGCAGTCGAGGAGGCTGCAAGGGCAGAGTCCTTGATGTTCGAGATCGACTCGACAATAAAGGCGCCATCCTGAGCAACAGCATCGATCGAGATACTTCCAGCATTGGGCTTGGTAATCGTGATCAAGCAGCGAACAGGGAAGGTCAACGACTCCAGATCATCGCCCTCCTCCTCGTCGTCTCCGGAGGCAGAGAGCGACTCCTTGCCCTGGTGGCCCTCCTCCAAATCATCCTCCAAATCGAGCTCCTCCTCATCGTCAGCCGAGTTGATATCCGAGACCGAGAAGACAATCTTGATCCTAAATGTAGTTATTTGCACAACAAAGTGGCGTTAGTCGTGATCATTTTGTGCAAATGCAAGGCGCGTAACGCAACCCGGATCGATCGCAAATTGGTAACAAAAGAAGCCCAAGAAGGCAAAAAAAAAACTTTTTTTAACGTACTCCTCGTTGCCGAACTTGCGGGTCATGGTGACCTCATCGGATCCGACCTTGTTGGTGATCTCAAAGGGGCCGGTCTTCAAGTACTCGGTGATATAGTCGGGTACCTCGTCACCCTGCTCCTCCTCGTGCTTGATCTCGCTCTCAATGGCAGTGAGAAGGTTCTTGTCAGCTGGAATGAGTTTGAATGAATGAGAAAGAAAATCAAAGAACAACGTGTCAGCGGGTAGTTATAGTATAGAACAGGGAGCAGCAAACGAACAAGGACCTTAGAAAGAAAGTAGCTTTGGGCGTACTCTTGTCCCAAGCGAAGGGAGAGTTGGAAAAGGCGCGGACAGCGGAGACTGTTCCGGCACGGGCGACGAAGGCAGGGGCGAAGATGGCCTTGGGGAGGACAGCAGCGCGCATGGCCAAGGCGGGGATGGCGCGGGCAGCGGCGGTACGAAGAGCAAACATTATGTATAGGGGTTGTAAAGAACGAAAGGATAAATGGAAGAAAGGAAGGAAGAAAGAGGAAAGGAAGACGGAATCTCGCCTCTCTTTTGACGACGACCAGCGCAGAAGTGGAGTTTCAACAGCAGGGCAAACTCGCCGTCGAAAAAGGAAGAAAAGGGATTTGAGGCTGAGAAAGGGCCGTCACTCTAGTGCATTTGCTGAGTCGAGTTGGCACAGCCGCGCGATGGCAAAGGACAGAAACGACAGGAACAGAAAAGACGTCCTGTCTTTCTTTTATTCCTACTTTCATTCACTCACTACGCCTCCCACTTCAAACACTCTTCTCTTCTTACTCCACCCCATCACTACCCCATCACTTCAGACAAAACCAACAACAACATCCATGGACGCCAAAACTCAGAAATACGACAGACAGCTCAGGTACACTCACTCACTCTCTCTCTCTCTCTCTCTCTCTCTCTCTCTCTCTTTCTCTCTGTCTCTGCCCTTGCTCATACTTATCCGACGCACATCACTAATGAACGCGAATCAATAAGGGCAATTGACTGCGGACAAAAACAAACTCACATTGGAATCTCCTTTTTCAATCGCTGATGACTTTCATAGACTTTGGGGCAGCGGTGGCCAACAGGCGCTCGAGTCTGCCCACATCCTTCTTATCAACGCCTCCGCCGTTGGTTGTGAAATCCTTAAGAACTTGGTTCTCCCAGGTACGCTCCCTCACCCTGGACCGTATCTTGTCCATCTATTAACCGCGTCGCTTTTTATCCACTAACTTTTTTTTTCATTTGTCCAACATAGGTATTGGACAGTTCACGATTATCGACCAAGGAACAGTCACTCAGAGCGACATCGGTTCCAATTTCTTCTTGGACGCAGATAGCCTCGGAAAGTCCAGGGCAGAGCGTGCGGCTGAGCTTCTTGGAGAGCTGAACGAGGATGTCAGCGGTCATTGGGTCGCCAAAGATATCCTCTCTGCCTTGACCGAGAACCCTTCGTTCCTTGCTCAGTTCTCCATGGTCGTTGCTTCCGATATTTCGCGTCAGGTCGCCGAGAAGGTCTCGTCTCTTTGCTGGACCAACCAGCACGCGATACCATTCGTCTGGGTCAAGACCGTAGGTCTCCTCGGCACTGCCCGTCTCATTCTCCCCGAGCACGCCAGTATGTAACAACTTAACCTCTTTGAACCATTAGGTGGATTCTTCACTGTTGAGAAAAAGAGTTTTGCTAATAATTCGCCTTACTAATTCGTCATTATATGACATAGTTGTGGAGACGCATCCCGACAATGTTGCTGATATTCGCATTGACAACCCCTTCCCCGAGTTGTCCAACTACGCCAAATCCTTTGACTTCAACACCCAGGACACTCTCGAGTTTGGTCACATCCCATACGTCGCTATTCTGTTGAAGTACATGGAGGAGTGGAAGCAGGAGGTGAGTTTTCTACAACCGCTCTGATTTATCCCCACTTATTGTGGTTTATTTTCTCGGGCAGCAATTATTTGACTAACGTTTGTCTTATTCGACTCGGCAATAGCATGATGGCAAGATCCCTGGAACATATGCGGAAAAAAACCAGCTCAAGGCCAACATCAGGTCAGGGATGCGGTCAGGAGATGACGAGAACTTTGACGAGGCTATCAACTCTGTGCTGCGCTCTTGCCAGCCCACCGCTGTTCCCAGCGCCATAAAGACCATCTTCAGCGACCCCAAGTGCGAGACCTTGAACCCCGAGGTACCACTTTTTGCCTTTATGCCCAATGCCTTCGTATCGTCTTTCGTGTTCTGATATACTGTTATCTAACGATGCCGCTTGCCTGCATCACTGTGAACAACGAAAAATTAGTCCTCGGACTTCTGGATTCTGGCCCGCGCTGTGAGAGATTTTGTGAATGATCATGGAAAGAGCGGAGGACTCCTTCCTCTTTCCGGCACTATTCCAGACATGAAAGCTCAGACCGACAGCTATGTTACTCTTCAAAGCATGTATGTAACATTTCTGAGACTTTTTTATTCACAATACCACACTGTCGTATGCAATGAAGTTTCAAGAACTAACGCCTACAGCTTTTCTGCTACTTCCATGTAAAATAGTTACAAGACAAAGGCAAAGCAGGATGTGCAGGAGGTGTCGAAGCTTGTCGACGCTGTTCTGGAGTCGCTGGGACGTGCTCCTGGGTCGATTGCCTCTGAGAAGATCGAAACCTTTTGCAAATACTCTGCCTTCTTAAAGGTCATCCGCTACCGTAGCCTCGAAGACGAGTACACCCAGCCCAAGACAAAACAGATTGGTAATTTACCCATTCTCACTTGCATAATGCCATATATATGTATGCGCCGCAATCAGGTCCATGTGTACTTACGTCTTTTGTCTGTTTGATGAACATTATGGCGTTGAAATAGCGTCGTGGTTGTCAGAAGAGGACTCATTATTTGCACAGTATGTTCTACTGAGGGCGTCAGACTCGTTCTTTGATGACCATGGACGCTACCCTGGCGAGGGCAATGACTGGGAGGAGGATGTTGACCACCTCCATGCCAATGTTGCCACCTTGTTGCAGTCTTGGGGTATCGACACCGACGTCATCTCCAAGGACCAGACACACGAGATGTAAGTTCTCATGGTCATGCGTATTATTAAGCGAGCCTCATTTTGCTCTTTTTGTTACTCTTCGCGCTCAAATGACAAGTGCTAATGGGGTATATATGTTGTTTTTTTGACAGTTGCCGTTTCGGAAGGGGAGCGATCCACAACATTGCGTCTTTTATGGGAGGAGTTGCTAGTCAGGAGGTGATCAAGCTGATTACACACCAGTATATCCCTATGGACAACACGTTTATCTTTGACGGCGCCCGCTCAGTCTCTGCTGTCTTTGCCGTCTAACGGGAAGGTAATTGATCTCGGGTGAAGTGCCGCACAATGAAACAAAAGTACAGAACGGTCGGTTTTCCCGGGGGCCCTCTCCCCGTTGGCTGTTTGATAAATAATAAAAGATATAAGGACAGGCTGTCCACATGGATGGCTGTTTCTAAATAAAGAAAAGACGGGACAAATGGACACGATTCCTGTTGTTTCTGTTTGTAATGTACTGTGCACGTTTTTCTTTGTCTGCTTGTGATATGTTATGGATGTTTTTATTTTTTTTATTTTTGTGTAGTTCTCAGCAAAGGATAAGGATGACGATGGCGGCGATACAAAACAAGGTAATGAGACCAGAGCCGACCTTTCGGCGACGGCTTTGGTTCAGAAACCTAGCGCGTTCTAACGACGATTGGAACGTAGGCGTCTTGGCTTTCGTTGTCGTTGCCGTCGTTGGTGTTGGTGTTACCAGTGGTGATAATGCAGTGGTGGGGATGGGGGTGGTAGGGGTTGCGAAAGGGTTGCGGGACCTGGACCTGCCAAATGCGCTCGCTGGTCCTGGGGTATATTGGGCAGTGGTACGAGCCGCTGCTGCTGGTGCTGGGTATTTGGGTGGTGTGGTTTGTACAACGAGCTTGGGTGTGGATCTTGCGGGTGTCGAGGGGACTGCGGACGGATGAAAGTGGCGACTATGACGACTCGTCGCCATTTCTTTGTCATAACTGGTCTTCTCTGTCTCTTGCACTTGTCGCAGGAGAGTTGAGGTCATCTGTCCACCAATTGCCTCTTTTGGTGACGCAGGATAAGGAGTGACAGTCATATCTGCTAAGTCTTCTTTGGAAGAGAACAGAACAGGGGTTGTTGTTGGTATTGGCAATTCTTGAGCAGACGAGTATGGCGATGGTAGAGCAAAATGGGATTCGGAAGGTAGGGGCTTTAGAATTACCCTTGTAGGCGTGCTAGGACTAATAGGAGCAGGAGAGGATGAAAGGGACGAGGAATGATCTTGGTGGGCGGCTGTGAAGGACTGACGGACGGAGGAAGCCCAAGTAGAGATACGATTCCGAAGGCTGGTTCGGATCCTGCCATTGTTGTGATTGCTTGCTGTGGAGGGTGTCGGCTGGAGGGCTATTTTTGGGGCAGGCTGCTCCTTTTCCGAGGACGAATTGGACGTGGGCGCGGCAGCAGTATCTGCAGCAGCCAGAGGCGACTTTGCCGGAGTCGAAGACTCCCTGGAGAGCGCAGTGAAAGATAGGGAGGAGCGGCTTATGAAGCGGTCTTTTGGTTTCGCAGTCGAAGTCGGCTGTGCCAAGGCGGAGGTAGACACAGGAGCAGATCGATTCATAAAAGGCAATGAAGGCTGTGAGGACAAAAATGTCACTCCGTTTTTCTTATTCTGTCCTGACGAAGACGAAGAGGAAGTTGAAGACGAATAGGTAGAGGAAAGAGAAGATTGAAAATGGCGCTTTTCGCGCCGTGCCATCTTTTGAGTATACGATGAAGAGGCCACTGAGTGGAAAGAGGGGCTGGCGCTACTCTTTCCGCTCTGACTCCGACTGCTACCCGTTGATGAGGCGGGTGAATCTGGAGGGGAAGAGGAGAAGGAAGCCATAGGGGGGGGGAGGATGACATGGTTGCTGTGGTTGTGGGGGCGGGTGAGAGAGCTTTTGCTGGTTGTTGGGAGGGATATTGACTGAATATTGTTGCCGAGGGAGGAGGATGACGAAGGGGATGTTGGGGAGTTGTTGTGGGTTGTAGAGTCGTAGCGAGGGATGTAGGTGCTTTTCTTTGAGTGCGAGGATGGGGAGGGGAGTGAGGGTAATGATGTGACCATTGCTGGATATGAGGATATCGATGGGAGTGGAGGAGGAGGAAGAAGAAAGCACTGAAAGGTGAAGGTGAAGAAGGTGAAGAGAAAAGAGAAAAGTGAAAGTGAAAAGTGAAAAGTGAAAGAAAAGAGATGAAAAGGGGGGGAGGAAGAGAGAAGAGAGAAGAGAGAAGAGAGACGAGGAAAGAGTGGAAAAGGAAATAGCTGGTCCAGCGGACAAAAATAAGAGAGGGCGACGAATGGTGTAGAGTTTATTCAATGGGTAAAAGTGGGTTGAGCCATTTTTTATTATTTTTATTTACTTTGATGACAGGTGGACGAATTGGATGAATTGGAAGGGGGTACGATGAACAGTGAGGCAACAAGAGGTGAGAGCACTCCTCAAAAGGAAATAGAGTTTTGCGTCCAGACCCCATCTCTGCCCAAACGAGGGCAAAACTCGACCAGGTGGACACTTTTTCTTTTTCGTACCAGTGGGAAGGCAATTACCCTGCACGCACACTCGCTCGACATGGAATAAACTGACCCGCTGCTGCCTCTCTCTCCTTCATACTCATCTCGTGGTGCATTACAACGATCAAATCTATATTATCGACTATACTCTACTTTACACGACTACAATCAACTTCCTCTCTTCCCTTGGCCTTGCCCTCGAAACCCACCCCCTTAACCCCCTGGGTTTACCCGTTTCTCTTTGCCAGCCACGCCAAACTGTTGGCCACCCAGCATTACTCTTAACCTCCTGCACTTATTTGTTCCTCAGCTCAAAAATATTAATCCGGTGAGAACCTGCTACAGCTATTCCTCTTTCACTCCAGCTCTTCTTCCCCCCTTCTTTCATTTCACTTTTTCAGTCCCACCAACTCTCTAACACTCATTCATTCGCTTGTAACAACCTCTCCTTTATTTTTCTCAGCTTCCTTCCTTGAGATCCTTGTTTCTTTTCCTGCATTTTGTTTGTCTTGATCCCCGTGTCTCCTTTCAGGGACTTGAACATGGATACTACACCATACAACAACTCCAAGGCAAAACCGACAATCAGCTGAAAAAGGAGGCGCGGAATACAAAAAGGAACGGAAGGATGAAAGGATGAAGGGTAAGAATGAGGGACTCCTCCCTTTGCTGTCATACATTTTTATGCGCACGTTCGCACTGCTTGAGGCAATGCAGAGGAGATGCCTTGTTGATTGGATATGCCCGATAATGGCATAAAACTGGATCATGCTGTGAGCTCAGTTTTTCTTCCTTTTCCAGGTCCAAAATGAAAAGCAGCCATTACAAAGGCGATGGAATTTTTCTTTGCAAAGCCTCAAGCCACGTTAGGCGCCAATTGCATGATTGCTCGTCCATGTTGCATTGTTTTTTCGCAAAAAAAAAAAAAAGTCTAGCTGATTTTCTAGTAGCAGAGTACCGTAGGTCTACCAATCTGATTACTTTTCTGCCTCGTGTCCATATTTTCTACACTGCAAAAACATCGATCAACTTTTTTTCTAATGCGCGTGAGGAAGTGAACGGGTTATGATCGCCATTCTATGGGCGCAATCATGCATCCCTGGCCCTTGTCCATTCTCCTTGTCCTTGTCCGTGTCCTATGAGAGTGAGAACCGTTCCATAACTTTGTTTTGCATACGATACATATCGATGTTATTCTCATCGATCGCTTTTGTGACGATATTTGGGTGGCCCACTCTCCCCCTCTTCTCCACCACTCCTCTTCCTCTTCCTCTTCCTTTATTCCTCCTATTTGCCTTCATGGTAAAGATACCCGTCTGCGACGACACATCAATGTTATGGATCTGTCTAAGTGCTCCTTGTACGTGCACAAAGTCTTGTTCACTCAGTAAATCATCCAGAACCGTACAGCGCACATAAGGATGGTACTGCCCATTCTCAGCGGGTCAGGAACGGCGCACGCGAGTCCCGAGGACCCTTGTTGCTTTGTGGGATGCGTTCAAGGAACCTAGGAGCGCTCCTCCTCCAACCTTGATGACCATGTTACCTCTCCTTTTCATAATATCCATACGCCTCAGTCCCAACAAGGGTGTCGATGACTGCTCGATCAGCCACTCATATATCGCCTGGTAACTCCTGTTCCCTGCGTTTTACTTCGGCTCGTTCGCAGAAGCACTCGTCCTCTCGTGGTTTCCGCTATATATTTGTTGCCACCCGTAGATCTGTGTCCACCATGCCCTCTGGTCCTTGGTTGTTCGTGTGCGCTTCATGCTGTTGGTGATGCTGTTCTCCTCCTCCCACCTGACGGTCTTCTCACAGCGTGGCTTCCATAACTGCTCCTTGGCCTCCTTCTCAACATATCAGCAAAAGAGATGGCTCGCATGCTGGGTAATGCTCTCTGGTACGGCCTTGAACACCCTGCCCCGCTCTGTAGCTAGGGTTTTCCGCACAAGACCTCGGTAGATGTGGCTGGCTATCCATGAGCTCAGAATCTGTTGTTCCACACCGCCTTGCGGAGCTTACTAATTCTTGGCATCCTCCATACGGTTTCGGGTGGAGGCTGTTTTCCTGGCTTGGGCCGCTCCCGTTGCTGTGTGTTAAAGTGTTGTGTGGTAATCTCTCTCTCTATCCGTCGACTCGGTCAAGGGTACTCTCCCACAGCTCGTCCTGCGTCTCCCTGCTCTTGGGTCACGCCCAAATGCGTTCATTATCCTCCGTCTCTAGACCACATTGTCGGCTTAAGTCATCCCTGTGCAGGCCTGGACGCATGGCGCGCATGGCGTCCATGGTAGGCAGCATCCCGTGGACCTTCTTTATCCAGTGGCTGTGTATGCGTCCGCCTTGCTGTGAGCTGAAAAAGGTGTAGATCGGCTGTTTTTTGTGTATGGTTGAAAGGGTGCCGAGCAAGTCTGTGCCCTCGTAGTCTTGAAACGATCTCTTGGTCCTCCTGAGTGTCCGCCACTCCTGGTGCCAGCGTCTAGTGGTTTACATCTTGAACACGTCTCTCGTATCCTGATCGAGAATCACGCCGGCCATCGTAGCCGAGTGCTTGATGTCGTCCCTGGGCGGCTTTGTCCACCCCCATGCCGTTTCGCCCTGTAATTGCGCCCCCTTTGCTGCCATGTCCGCCTTTATCTTCCATTCGTTTCCGCTGTGGACCTTGACCCACTCAACTGTTGTTGACCCCGTGCGCCCGCTGCGTATCCGTGCTCCACCGTCCAATCTGCAGCATAATCGCACCTCAGTTTTTCTCTCACCGACACTGCTTCCGATTGAAAACGGCCTCCCTGAGCTGTTTCACCACCGCTTGGTTGTCGAGTCGGATGCAGAGGTCCTGGTCCTGTGGTGTTGCGATGATCCCTGCGATCAATCCCATTAGTTCCGCTTTCGCCGATGATGCGAATTCCCCAGTGGTTCCCTTCACCACCATCTGCTCCTCTCCCACGACCGCAAAGGCCATGGCGCACGTCTCTATCACTGAACCCTCTATGGACTCTTGTGCCTTTGAGTTCGTGTATTAGTTCTGTGATGTCCGGTAGGAGATGGTAGGCCTCCTCTGCCACCTCCTTCCTGCGTGCCTTGACTTGCCGTTTGGATTCCTGCTTGAGTGTGAGCGCTGCCTCTGCCGCCTCCTTTGCCTTCGTGCGCCTCTCTGCCTCCTTGCGTCGCGCCACCTCCTCGAGCTTCTGCTCCAGCTTCTGTTGCCTCACCCTGGCCTCGCGGTCCTTGCGGGAGCTAATAAACTCGTCGGAGATTTTGGTTTTGGTTTGCCGGTGGAGTTTTCTGTTGTGTTCGTCCAGTTGTTTGTTTCCTGTCTGCGGGGGAGTGTCTGGTTGCTCCATGCGCTTGAGGGGTGATATTGCTGTTGCTACTGCATCGATGTGTGCTGTTGTTGGTGTTGTTGGTAGTGTTGCTGTTGTTGTTGAAGTAGGGGAGAAGGAAAATTAACGGTGGGATGTGCTGACGGGTTGCGTATAGGAACTAATACACCAAATACACTTGCTAGTCTTGTCTTTCTGTGTTTTTTCTTTTTCTTGGCTTGGGCAGCGATTCTCCTCTGGACCGTCGCTGTCGTCGCTTTTCGCGGCCGCCCTTCCCATGCCTCTTACCTCCTCTTGATCGCTGTCCCCTTTTTTTTTCTTTTTCTTTTCTTGCTGTCTTCTCTCCTCCGCCTCCTCCAGCAGCCTCTCGTCGTATTCGTCCCCGTATTCAAACAGTGCTTCCTCCACGTCCATGGCGGGGTGTACTGACACGGCTTGGCATGCCTCTGTGTACCACTTTCTCGGGTTCGGTGCTCGTATGTTGTGTGCTGCCGCTACTTCCGGCCATGTCCTTGTGCGTGTACAGTCCTCACTGACTATGTTCTGCAGATAAGGTACCCCGTCCTTCTTGAGTTGGTTGCTATTAGCTACCAACACATCCTGCGGGAGCGCTCTGGATAGCAACACGTGATCTTCCTCGACTGCTTCCACGTCTCTCAATATTATGTCTCGCCCCACCATCAGGCGTTCTTGAGGTCTCGGAGCCCGTAGAGTCTTGTATGGTGTAGGATACTGTTGGGTGCGCTACTGGGTAATTCTAGTTTCTGTCAGACAACCTTCCTGTACTGTGCTGTGATCCGCTCGATTTCCTGCCATGCGATGAGGGTTGCTGACAGGCGATATAGAGGTTCAGGGATGAGAACAGCGTTGATGATAAAGATACACTTTTTGTCGGTGGTCTTCTTCCTGCCCAGGATGTTGCATATTGTGCTGGTATCCTTTCTCGCCAACTCCGTTGTTGCCTTTGCTTTGTCGTCAGCCGAGAACCACACCCCCAGGATTGTTGATGCATTGCTTTTGTCCTGCGGCTTGATCTGGCTTCCTCTGTAGGTGATGGTGCCGTTGTGTGTTGGGTTGGTCGCCAGTAACTCCGTCTTCTTGCCGTTGATCTCGATCCCGTGTATCCTAAAGAACTCACTCGACACATCGGTGATCCGTTCCAAGTTGGAGTTTGAGGGGGCGAAGAGGTTTGTATCGTCCACGAACGCTGCGTTGGAGACCATGGGAGACTCCTTGCCTGGTGCCAGCGGTGTGGTCATGATGTATCCAAGTTTTTGACTATCGATGGCGACTAAGAAGGCATCGTATGCAATCCGTCAGAGGAGGGGGACTCGACTCCGCCTTGGCCAAGCCCGCACGCTGGGCTGTACTTGTCTGTGAGTCTGTAGATGGTAATGACCCGATTGGTCTTGTTGTTTGTGATGAAGAGCAGCACCTCCTGGGACCCTTTAGGGACCTTCAGTCGGTCCAGCCCCAACGACAGCATTCCCCATGGCCTGCAGTTCACCTTGCCCTAGCACCGCCTCATGTCTTGTAGAAGGATCCAGAGTTCTAGTTTGTTTTGTATGGCGTCCTCCATGACGGCGTTGACAATGTGGATGGGATCCACGGTAGTCGTTCCCTTCAAGACGGAGAAATTGGAGCCTTTGAGGGTGTTGTGCTCCAACATGATCGCGGATAGGCGGCTTGTGAGGATCGAGAAAAAATTCTTGCGCCAGTGTTCGAGGAGGGTGATCGGCCTGACGCAGGCTAGGCTTCAGGACCACGGGTTAGATTTAGAGAGGCAAAAATATGACTCCTTCTGTCAATTGCAGTGGTACCCGACAGTAAAGAACACTAGCTTTGATGATCTCACAAAAGAGTCGCATTGGTCTCTTTCCCATACGTTGTATTAGTTCTTTTGTTACCTTGATGCCCCAGTTGCCTTGTCAGACGGTGCGTTCTTAATCGCACGTTAAATCTCGACGTTGCTCGGAATATCTAGCAGTTGTGCGCACTATTCTACATCGACATCATCTGGTGGCCGGTATATCTCCTCCCAAAGAAACCCTTTAGGGATATACTCGCTTTGTCTTGGACCGTGCCGCGTCTCAAAGTAGGTCTTGACATGTTCGAGGATGAGAGATGGGTGATCTGTAATGGATGTGCGGCCATCAACAATGATTTGTACTCGGTCTAACGTAGCATTGCTGCGGTTGATTCAAGAATGCTTTGGATAGTGGGTTTCGTGTTGGTTGAGAATCGCATATCGCGTTTCTCAATGGCGATATCTTTATCTTTCTGCCTTCTCTTCTCTTCCCGTTTGGTGCGTGGCTGCTCTTTCCATTCAGTCTGGACTGCATTTCGCCACTGATCCCATTCAGTGCGGTCAGCCTCTATGACTGGGGGTGCCGTTATGGCTGTTGAAGGTGTGCTCCGGCAAACCTGAGTCTGTCGGCGTCTGGCGCCTGCCGTCATAGCTTCAGGAAGGAGGAGAGTTAAGTGCACGTGATGAACGGCTGAATATTTTTGCGGAGGACTGAAGATTGGCAGAGGGAATCGATCGAACGTTTTCTTCTAAATACCTTTGCTTTGTCCTGGAAGTAACATGGGCGAAAGGAGGAGAAGTATGCAATCGGTGTGTGTGAGAAAGCGAGAGATGCCTCAGTCAGATTTGTTCAACCCGGGGCGCGCAGTTGCTTTGCCCTCCACTGAGCCGGCCGGAACTTTTCTTGGCTTTTTCTCCGTCTGACGTGCCTTTTCTTATTCTTATTCTTCTTAGACTGATCCCCGACAGCTGTTCTTTCACTCATTCATTCATTCGTACATTCATTCCAACGATCATCCCTCCCCGCTCCTTCTCCACTCTTTCACACCTCTCTTCTCCACGCCCAACAAACGTTCAATCCCCACCTTCTCCTTTCCTCACACCCAAAATACTAACAGAATGAGTGCCTCGCCAACTGTCCGATCCGGACTCAACGTCGTCCGCCATATCGTCCCTGCTTCAACCCCCTCCTTCAAACTCGCATGCAACACCTACCGCCGCACCACCCCTCTCCCCTCCCCTACCAAAGCAACTCCCCCAATTATTTTCGCACATGCAAACGGGTTCCATAAAGAGATTTGGGAGCCGGTCATCAGCCGACTGAGCCATCCCTGGGCCAACAGTGAGATGTATGCCTTTGACTGCAGGAACCAGGGCGATAGCGCCGTCCTCAACAAGGACATCCTTGAAAAGCATTGTAGGTAGTGGCTCTTGACAGGGCTGGGCAGAGACAAGGCTGCGTGTTGCGATTGACTTGACGGCTCGCTTATATTTTTTTGTTCGTAAAGTGACTGTATGGGCTTTCGAGCATTATTTCTAACACCCGCCCCTGCACCCAATTCATATTTACGATGGAGAAAAAAACAGTCGACTGGTACTCGTACGCGCATGACATCCTCCAAGTCGTTGACACCTTTGACCTCAAGAAGGCCGTCGGTGTCGGACACAGGTACCGTTTCGCAATTGTTCAAATAGACAAGCGACATGGTAGCAGATGTTTCTTACACGCATGAGAGTCCTGCATTTCTAACGTCGATCTGTTATCCCTTGTCGGTTCACATTTATATAGTTTCGGGGCGAGCGCCTTGTAGGTTGAACAGACCCTGCATCATCATCATTGACCTTCAATTGATCTCAGTAGTCCTCTTTTCTGATACAACGTGCTTCATTACCTATCCCGTCCGTCTAATAGCTTCTTGGCGGAGATGATGCGTCCAGGCACGTTCTCTGCAATTGTTGCCATCGACCCCACCAACTTCCCCAAGGAGATCTATATGAGCGCCTCCATCGAAGATAATCCCATGGCCCAGCTCACTCTCAAGCGACGCGACACCTGGAAAAGCAGGTACCGTCCAGCTTTTTGTCTCTTTTTGCTCAACTGGTCACTACAGCATTATTAACCATACCATTTTCGTTTACCTCCCAATGCTATTGAGATAGAGAGGAGTGCAAGGCCAACATGTTGCAGAAGAAGTTCTTCAAGGCGTGGCACCCCGAGGCATTGGACCTCTACATCGTAAGTCGGCTATGTTCCTTGTCTTTCGCACCGCCAACAATGAGAACAAAGACCATGCATGAGCTGATTGCGCCTCATGTTTCGTACAAACACTCTCCCTTTCACAACAGGAACACGGCATGCTTGATGTTGTGAATGAGGATGGATCAACAGGAATCACACTCAAGTGCCCCAAGTACCAGGAGGCGACCACGTTTGCCTGTGTGGGTACTGGTCTGTACGACTCTTTTGAGGGGATGAGTGAGATCCAGATCCCTATTCACATTGTCTCTGGCGAGGATTCCGATATCAAGTAAGCCCTGATTTATGTTGTCATTTTACAAATATCTCTCCTTTTTTCACTGGGTCCCCGATTTAACCTTGGGGTACAGACGATCATGGGCTGGAGCAAAGAAGAAAGTCAACGCGTTGTTCACACTCCAACCATCCTAACTGCTTTCTTTCACCCTTTGTTAGTTTTGAGGAGTTGGTCAAGATGAAACTTGCACGCTGCAAGTATGGTTCCCTTAAGGTTTTGAAGGGTGTCGGCCATTTGTTGAGCTTGGAGAAGCCTCAAGAGACCGGTAAGAAAATCAATGTTGATTTTTACGCATTGTTAATGCATGGGTTCAAAATAATTGCCCTAATTACATTTTTGATGATCCTGTTGTATATCACCTCTGTAGCTGACCAGATCTCGGGCTTCTTGGACAGAGCGCTTGAGTCGCCTGTTGAGCTGGAGCAGCTCAAGGCCAGACTTTAACTGAAAAAAAGAAACAATCCTTCTTCGATTGTAATAATACCACCCTAGGGCAAGGTTGACATGTACAACTACTTCTTACACGATCCAATCAGATGTGTAAAAAAATAAAGCAGAATGAACCGAGGAGCTGCTTGGGATAGATTGCATGAATAAATTATCTTTGTTTTGTACAACTTTGCCGAACTATTTTTTTTGTATCCTTCAATCTCGTAATCCACATGCGTGCTTACACTACCACTCTGAAGTAGCTTGTTTACATTCCCCGAGAAGCACACATCTGTTCAATCTCAATCCCTCAGTCTCTCCACTACGCGACGTAGTCTTCCAATTACTCTTCGTAACAGTCGTTGAAGCTGTCATCCTTATTGTCACTTAGAGACGTCCAATAAAAAAGCCGCTGAAGGAACCATCTATTATAGAAGCGAGGCTTCATTCGTAGTATAAACTCAAGATTCCTACGTCCAACTCAATGTAGCATGCTCCCTCCTTCTACCGTACTGCAGAAATCGGTCGGTGACATGTGCGAATGTAATGCACACAAACATGTTTTTTTTGGTCTTCACTTGTAGTTGGGAGAAAAAGGTTTTTTTAACTTCTGGAGAGAGCGCGTGATGTGGTTGGTTCGTTTTTTTTCTTGGCTTTGTTGTTGTTTTGGTTGTTGCTGTTGTAGCTTCTTTTTTGTCGGCCCTTGAGCCTTTTCGTGATATTTACTTGCTTTGTTGGAGTGAGTGAGTGGCCAGGGTAAGCGGGTGCATGTATCTGGACAGCATGTACTGTGAAGTATGAACAAGCAGCGAGCAGCCATTGAAATAACTAGATGCAGGATGGAGAATGAAAGAATAAAGGGCCTGCAGGTGATCGTCCAAGAAGAGAATAGAACAAGAACAAGAGCATTTGTTTTGCCTGTTGTTGTGTGAGGATGTAGTCGGAAGAAAAGGAACAGGAGTGGAAAGAAGGCAATGGCCAACTTTGACTGCAAAAGAAAACATCGACCCACGCGCACGCTCTACTTTTGGGTGTAGCAAGATGGTGAGCAACGTACCAAGCAACACTGAAGGAATCGGGCCAGACGATCTGTGTGCCTGAGCTGAGAAAGACTAGGCCTTTGCGGAGGAACGAAGGATCAAAAGTTTTCTTTTTCTTCTTTCTTTTGGTCATCTCCTTCTTACTCTTTCCAATTGACACACACACTGACATCCTCAACGAAGACACTCTTGTCTTCCAAAGGTTTCTCTTTTACTCATCTCCTCCCCTCCTCCCTCCACTCTTTGTACTTCCAAACAACAATTATACCCCTCCTCCCCCCTCTCGTCCGTATTTCTCTTTACCGCGCTCACCTTCTCCTCTTCCACAGACCTCACCGAACTACCGCGGAGGGACGGATCATCTACTCGCCAAAACCTCATCATCACCACCACCACCACCTCTACGAGAAAGAGAGCTCATCATGACCCCATCACCTTCACCCGACTCATCTTTGCCTGGAATAGGTAAACGGCCTTCATCCGCCCATGTGCTTATTTCTCCACACCGAGAACAAACCAAACGATGATGACCAACCAGACGACCTATCCTTAGCCTGACATTTTTTTGGTTTCAATTCATTTCACAGCCCATTACACGTTTGTGAGGCAGCTAGGCCAAGGCCGTTTCTGTGTTGTCCACCTCGCTCGACACTTTTACACGGAGAAGCTGGTAGGTTTCCCTTCTTTCTCACACCTGCCCCTCCACCCTTGTGCTTGCCCCCCCTCCACCTTCATTCGGCCACCCTCACGGACACCAATACACATATGCACACAAACTCAACTTCCAGCCCCTGCTTCACTACCGACCTCCTGTTCGCCTCCCCCGTTCGTCCGTCATTCTATCCCACTCTCCGACGACCTTATCCACTTTTCGCTTCAATGTCCTCCTCTACACTTTTCATTTCCCGACACACTCGCACTCACACACGAACTGACAATTTCATGCACAACAACTGGTGGAAAAAAAAGAGGGGTGCTGCATGCACATAATGATTATCATCTCAACGAACAATGTCTAAAAAAAGTGGGAAATTTGCAAGGGGAGTCTCCGAGAGAGAGAAAAAAAAGGTGCAAGAAGACAGGGGCGGTCAACAACCTTATCCATCAAGTATGACGAGACATGAGAATTTTTTTTTGGTCAGTTTGACAGAAAGTGTCAATGTCTTTCTCCACTGTACTCTCCTTATTCCGGTTTTCACTTTTGTCCACTGTCTACTTTTCACTCTATCTCCTTCTCCCTTGACTCGAGCGTCTCCCTTGCCCCCGTTGGCGGTCATTTCCTGTCAAAGAGTGGCTGGTGTGATGTGGGGACTCGGCACAAGAACCAGTAACAGTAACTGATGAGTGATCAGTAAACAGCGATAAGTTCTGATACCTTGCTCTAAAAAAGATAACATCACGCTTGTCCTGTTTGAATAAGAGTGAAGACGCCAAAACGATTTTCTTGAACTTCAACAACCCCTACTTAACCATACAACTTACTCTAACCTGTCCTTACAAGAAAAAAATGCGCACTCGAGACTCACCTACATTTTATCGGCACTTGTGATATGACAATAAAAAATATAGTACGCGGTCAAGGTCATCGACAAACAGGCGCACAAGGCTGATATCCTGCTGCGACTGAGACGAGAGATCGACTTGATGGAGTCCCTTGAGCATCCTAACATTGTCAAGCTGCACGAGGTCATTGAGACACAGTTCACAATATACGTCTGCATGGAATACGTCGAAGGTACAGTCCACAAATTAAACCCAAAATATTTGTACACATGACCATGCCACTTTTTCGGTGGCAACTTCGTGGAATGTACCACCTTGACTAACTCATACTGTGATATTTTATTCTCGTCTCTCTCTCTCTCTCTCAAAAACCATAAATAGGGTGCAGCTTGGAGGAACATCTGAAGACACAGGAGTTCGGGAGGATCGGCGAAAAGGATGCACGAAAGATCACTCGGGAACTTGCAGGGGCCATCTCACATTGTCACTCGCGGTTCGTCGCTCATCGGGATATCAAGCCTGCCAATATTCTGATCATGAAAGGCGGCAAAGTCATGCTCATTGACTTTGGACTCGGAAACACGTTCTCACTCCGGTCTCGACTCAATACCATCTGTGGTAAGTTTACCTTCTCTGTTTTTTTTGTTATTGTTAAGGTTGGATGATTGTTGGGTTGAAAAGTCCGACATATGCTTGTTCCTCATGCTAAACATCTCACATCTTCGATTTATACCTCCGATGATGGGACCTTAGGTTCGCTTCCTTACTACTCCCCTGAGATTGCAAGAGGCTCGACATACATGGGACCCGAAGTTGATATCTGGTGTTTGGGCGTAGTCTTGTACAGGATGACCGTCGGTCGGGACCCCTTCATCGGTGCAACAAAACGAGAAGTCAAGCTTCAGATTACCCAAGGAGGCTTCCAGGCACCTTCTTCCCTAAGTCAGGAACTACGGACGACACTCACAAAGCTTTTGACACCCGAGAGTTCACAGCGTCGGAGCCTTTCAATCCTGGAGAACGATGTCTGGTTGCATATGGATTCGACCACACCACCTTTCTTGGTTGAGGAGCGTAGCATGACCGACACCAGTCGCCTCAGTGGGGCCACGCTTGTGCGACACCCTTCCAAGGCAACAACTACTACGGGTGCGACTAAATGGAAGCGGCTTTCGATGACGGATTCTTACTACTATGGCAAGACGGGGTCCTTGTTCGGGAGCCGGTCGCTTATGGCGGATACTATTAATGCGGGGGTATGGCAGTTGGACAAGAGCCAACCACGGTTTCACAAGTCGCGCGTCAGGATTGTCCCCTGCAAGGAGACTGCCGGACGAGATCTGTTGTTCCAAAAGGATGTCGACCTGAGTCTGCTCCAGTTCCTGATGCCCATTATACGGTCGTGTCATGTCTCGTACTACCTCCATTCGACGTCTCGTATCCTCTGTGGGACCAGCTTTATCAAGGACTCGATGTCGTTTGCGGCGTCGTTGGATCAGTTCCACCACCAGCCCACGATGGTGTTACAGAAGATTGTTCAGCATGTTGGTGCTGCCATGACCGGTGGTGGGTCGACTTCAGCACATTCGGCGTTCCAACATCATTCGTCAGGAGTAGAGCAAGGACGGAGTAATAACATGCGATGTGGCGTGTTCTCGATCGATATTGTCAAGGCCAAGGGAAGGACGGGTGAACGAGGAGGACATGTGTTAATTATTAAGCGGTTGTTTGGGTCAGCTTCTACGGTGCAGCATTTCAAGAAGATGTTCATTCAGCATGCTACTGCAACCCCTTTTTCCCCTCGCGACTCTGGCATCAATTGATCTTGTTCGTTTTCATTTTTCTCTCGGTTTCACGGTTCGTGAGCGCGATGATACCATTACCGTAATACCTTTTCCCTCTCCCAGAGATGGCACCATCACACGCAGTAATGTGGGAATGCTGTCCTTGGGTCTACTTCTCTTAATTCTGTAACATAAATAGGATTTGATTTACCCTTGCAAAACGAAAATCGAAAGAAATAAATACCATTTTCACTTTCTCTCAGTATGTACTAAGGGGTGTTGTTATCCAGTCCAGATTTGGATTTACGGATTGCTGCTTTTCGGTGGCTCGCATATTCGTCCTAAGCATCTCGAACAACTTAAAATTCACTGTCTCTTCTTCCTTAGACTTGTACGACTCGACAGCATCACGCTCGATAGAGGGCAATCTTCTTGCGCACCTTCTGCTTGATCTCCTCTGCCATATCCTGTGCACCCTTTTGGTTCTTGTCGAAGGAAAACTGAATCTTGTCCCCGCCCATAACCTAAGCAATCAATCGTACATAACGTCGCCTGGCTTGACTTGCATCCGTGTCCGCCACAGGTGGATACAGTGGTGATCGCTCCTTCACATGCATAGATTCCTGCTCTAACTCGTCAACTTGCGCCTTTGAAATAACGCCCTTTGCAAAAACAATGCCTCACCGTCAAAGCCTTGACATGAGACCACGCGTACGGAATATATGACCATGCCTCACTGTTGGTGATCTTCTCCTCAGTGGCGTACTCCTTTGTAACTGATTTGTTGCTGAGCATCTCGAGGTAGTGTCGTTTGAATGTGTTAATTATTCCTACGTCCAAAGATTGGGCAACGGATGTCGAAATGGGAGGCAGGCGCTCAATCCGAAGTTGTTTCCATGTCTCTCCTGTAAATGGGTCCTTGCCTCTAGACTTGCCGTGCGCTCCACATTGGTCGATAAAAAGAACACCCTTGTTGGTGAGACTCTCGTCGAGCAAATGAAACCATTAACTGAAAAAGATCCAGGGCTATGGGACCTCAGGTATTGACTGGATACCTCGAGCAAGGCGCTCGCCTACAATATCAAGTAATTAGACAAGATCATTAGTTTTCTTTTCATGTTAATTAAATCCTCCATTAATACAAAAGCACGGCGTTTTTATGTCCTTACCAAGAACTTGCGGCCTCAAAGCCTTTACCACCTCTGCACGGTTAAGCGAAGATCCAGAGGCATTGACATAGAAGAGAATCGATACGCAAGATGTTCCTCGCTTTGGTTTATAAACTCCTCCATAGTGTACGAGTGAGTGGAGAGATCCTTGAGGTACGTGCCAGTCTCAATGGAATTGTAGATATCGTCGGGCTCAAAGTCAGCGCATATGTTGCGGATCTTGCTCGTCCTTTCTGCGATGGCATCTTTGTCGACAGATCCCGCTTCTCCTCTGAGACTGCAGTAGCCGACACCGTACTCCTGCATCATCCCCGAACGCCACGATGTCGTGCAGAGATGGTGCGACCATGAGGAAATCATTGAAGTCCCAAATATCGTCCGCAAGAATGTTGTCCGCGAGAATGTAAAGAACGGAATTGACTGCGACTTGGAGCTGAAGACCACTGACAACGCTGCTCTTCCGAACCTCTAGTAGTCACTCAAGGGCAGCCATGTCCATTATGTGTCGCATCAAGTCGACTGGACTGCTGGAGAGTGTGCATTTGTCTCTTCGACCATGCGCCACATCAAACCGAATCTTGCCTAAGTCCTTATCCCACTGTGTGATCGACTGTCTAGTGAGGGGGCAGTTTACGAACTGGTGAAAATTGCCGGCCGCAGCGTTCACATCAGCACTCTTGCTGACGTAGCGAATGATCTCGACCAACTCCATCCGATGCCTCAGAGTATGTCCTTCACCGCTCCCACCTCTGCGGCGTTTCGGTTCGGCAAGTTTTTGAGGTTATTGTTCGACGACTTCGTCAATGCTAACCCGAGTTTTAGTCAGTAGTGAGTAGTACTCCAGCGACTGCGCTTCCTCCATAGTGCTGAGGTGCCGTTCTTGAGCTGGTCGACCGCAGAAGTGATGTCCAATAGGGGGGAGCCTCGCGGGCGTGTGTGGGTGCTGATACGGGGCCTTTTGTTTTTGGAATATGGGAAAGTGAGAGAGGGAAAAGTGAGCAAGCATAACGTTTTAAAAATAGACGACTTTGAACAAAGAGGGGCAAGGGTCGCAGAAATACGGAACTTCTAGCAAGCGTGATTCGTGAACGGAGTGAGAATAGGATATCAGTCGCTGGAACTAATGAAGCCGATGTCGCTTGTTGTGTCCCTTCCTGGGTCTTCTTCGCTTTCAACATCCGTCTCTTTCACTCGTCTCTTTTCTTCCTTCCACTCTTCAACCCATACACGGGCGAGGAACCTTCTGTCGACACAAGCAACGTCTCCGACAACACCCCCACCTCAATCAGTCGCTCTCCAATACACTCCAAGTTGAGTCGAGCTCAATTCCTACCTACGATCGCCCTCCGTCATCCTTTCTGCCAGCAGCAAGTTGATGTCCCGCACAGAGTTGCCTCGACCTCCTTCAAGGGCGACAAATGAAAAGTACTTCGGCGACGGGCTCTTGGGTTCCAAAAGAGGGACATAATCGATCTATAGGATCGCTCCGCCATAGGAGGCCTTTCAAGTCCAAATTATCATATGATGTTTGCTACATCTCTGCAGATCTTGATGATATCCACAGTGACCATTGGAGGAGAGTGCATGTATGATATCAAGCATGTAAAACAACCACTGTAACATTCCTCGCGTGATTATCCTACTAAACACCAACCTATTCTCCGAACAAGAAAGTCTTCTTATTTTTCGCACACCAATCTCTTGAATGTGTCCATCTGCTATTAAACTGTACCCCTCACTGCGAGATTAAAGGGAGTAGTTCTTGTATGTGATCATCTAAAGCACTTGTACCCTCAGCTGTATCTTTGTCGTGAAATACAAAGGAGAGATTACATTTAAGGAATCATCTGCTGTCTGTGGCTATTTTATTCCATATTCTGTTGCCGACTGTGAAGAGATACATCAGCTATGGAAGTCAACACTGCATTCCTTGGGCTTTGGATACTTTTTATATGCCTCTCTATAACCTTCGCACATGGAGGGGCCGCATACCAGCACAGACGGATTCCCCCTCACCGGTCCATTGGTTCAAAACGAGGTTGCAACTGAGGTACCTCTCTTGCGTTCTTGCTTTGAAGGGCAGAACTATGGACATCTCGTACACTGCACTGGCTTTTTCGGAAGAGCGAGGACGAATGGATTCAGTTCAGTTGCACGAACGCACTGTGTAACGACCATTTAGACAAGGCCCGAGCTGATCATCAGTTTGCATAGGTCTCTTATTAGGCAAGAGGGCGTATGACTAGGTGAAAACAGCGGTGCCCTCGTATCGGCTAACAAAAGGATCATGGACTTCTCCTATAGTCGCAAGAGCAAAGCACAACAGCACGTTAGCTTGTTACGCTCAGTTGGGCACTTTGGGCGTTGGCAAGGGTTCAGAGTTGCGAGTGTGGTGATTGGCTCTTGAAAGTTGGCGGCCTGGGTTTCGTCCTTGGTTTTCTTTGTAATTTCGCCCCTTGTTGACACGTCTTCTCTATTTCCTTTCTGCTCTTTTATGGCGCTTACAGTCTGAGGGTGGTGGAACTTGATACTATAGGCTGACAAGACCTGAGAACTCGTGACTCAGGAATGCATTCGGAACAGGATTGGGCCGCACAAAAGGAAACCCCATGGACGACTTGGTAATGGACAACAGTGGAGGCCGTATTCAATGCTACCTACAAGTCCCTCCAGCACCACGCGGCAGGTTCAAACTGAATGTCCACCGGTATATGCCTCCCCCTCTTTGTCCCTTTGCGAGCAAACCTGGGTATGGAAATGAATTGAATGGAATGCACTGACCACCACGCCCTTGCGGGGGATTCAATGTATTGCATCCTTTCATGCTATTGATAGTGTAGGTTCAGGCTGAGAGTTCCTTCCTTTTGCGTTTAGCAGAAGAGAACTTTGGTGGCGTCCTAGAAGCAACGCCTAGTGCTGTTGATCACCTTTCGGTGGGGACAGTCGTTGTTTCGCCTTGGAGTTATCCCTTCCCCTGTATTCGACACAATAATGTGTCGAAAAATTGTATATTTTTCAATTTACGCAGGTTTTCTCAACAACGGGCTAGGAGACCCCCCTTGACCTTCTTAATAAAAAAGAATCGGACAACATACGCCTCGAACAGAAAGTTTTCGCAGACCTTCGTTTCGTAGTCACAGTGGCTCATATTCAATTTATGTTGGTTGAAACGAAAGAAATCCTTCCCGTTTATCCTTCGCGGTAGGCTCGACTCCATCCGTCGAGAAGCGCCTGCATTTCTTATTCCCAATTTTGGTCATAAGGCATTTGCTTCTCTGACGGCTGGCGTCAAAGTCGGGGGTGGACATAGGACCTCGCAAAATAGACTGTTGGACTGCTTTTGGCAATAAAACACCCTTAAAACTTCTGTAAAAAAAGAAAAAGAATGAAAATAGCCTACAGCGCAGACCCTACCCTCCAAAAAGGGAAACAAGAAGAGAATCAGCGGGATCAGCTTGTCGATTCATGGCTATTTAACTGATTGATTCGGTAGTTTGTACAGGGCGAGAAAAAAGGCATTATTAGAAAGCCTTTACTAGAAACATACATACTTCTTGATGATCAAGTGCTTTGTAACAAAAAATTGGTGGCAATGATGGCGAACAGCGCGAGCGGAGGAGAGGTGTGTTTTATGTATGCCTGTCTCGACTCCTTCTCTTCTTGTTTCCCTTTTTGGAGGGTAGGGTCTGCGCTGTAGGCTATTTTCATTCTTTTTCTTTTTTTACAGAAGTTTTAAGGGTGTTTTATTGCCAAAAGCAGTCCAACAGTCTATTTTGCGAGGTCCTATGTCCACCCCCGACTTTGACGCCAGCCGTCAGAGAAGCAAATGCCTTATGACCAAAATTGGGAATAAGAAATGCAGGCGCTTCTCGACGAATGGAGTCGAACCTACCTTCGCGGAAGGAAATTTGGGAAGGATTTCTTTCGTCCCAAAAAGGTCATAAGACCACTGTCTTCACTGCATCTTCAACTTCCACAGCCATGGACAACATCAGCAGTCCTCCACAGGATCTTCAACATCTACCCACACCGACAACATCAGCCAACCAGCCATCTCGGAAAAGTCCATTTCTCGGATTCACTGACAACTCCAAACAAGATGAGTTCTTGGTCCAAGCGTTGGCGCATCACAATCCCTTCAAGGCGGATCATGGGAAGAAAGGAGCAACATGGGACCGGGTGCTTGGGTATTTGATGACTATCGACGAAGTAAGAGCTAGGCATGGTCAAGCTTCGATGTTTGCAGGTGTTACAACCAAGACCTGTCGAAGTCGTTGGAAGGCTATTTTCGCCAGGCACCAGAAGCGCATCGAGACCGTTCTCGAAAAAAAAAGGAAGTGTTCCCATTGAGACTGATCATGATCGACGCGTCGACAACCTTTATAACGACCAAGTGGAGAACGACAAAACAAAGTCGGCATCCAAGGAGATGAATGAAAAGAAGCGGAAACGGCAGCAACAAAATAGAGCCTTAGGCGCCGCGCTACGCCGTGCCTCTCTTGATAAGGCCTGCTACCGATTCAGCCCCTCCTCAGTTGATGATGGCGGCTTCACCTCTAGCGCATCTTCACCAGCTCAGGTTGAGGGTCCTTCTACTTTTCAGCCAACTGAATCGTCTTCATCTCGATCTTCCGACCCACAGTCGTCTCACTCAGCCGGGTTTTCACAGACTGCTCGATCGAGAACGGTGGCGACAGGCAAGGTCAGGATTGAATCCGATTACCAAGAGAAGGAAACGTATTACCGAAGACGTTAAAAAAATGAGGAGCAACATTATCAAGGACGACATCAAGAGGCACGAGGATATGGAGACCAAGCGTCAGCAACAAACAGACGACATTGTCCGCACCATACAGGAAGGCAATCGATGCTTGATCATGGCTATGGAGGAGAATAGTGCTAAACAAAACAAAGTGCTCGACACTATGGCCATCCTCTTTCAAAAGCTGATTGAGAAGTGAGGAGACTTTTATTGCTCAATAAAGCGAATAACACCTGCATTTGGCGTGAACACCTCATCGTTCAGATACTCGTCCAGAGTAGGCGGGTTAGAGCGAAAATGTGAGCTGATTTGGTTACCATAGATGCAGGTTCGAATGTTGGTCATGAGTGCCATTACTCTGTAGTGATATTCGGCGGGACTTTTGAGAAGCTGTTGTTGACGATAGTTAAGAGCGCTGAAATAACGAGTGATCTCGCCGAACGCCCATTCTATTGAACAACGCTTCCACACATGACTCCATGTGTCACCCCTCAACGATGACCATGTTGACTGGCACACCAAATTACGTCCCCTCTCCTTCAAGCTGCAGTAAGATTTTACCCGCCTTTTTCTTCCCTCCACCAATGTCTCTGTTGATGAGATGATTGCTCGATTCTCTGGACGAAGCAAGCACACCGTCAAGATGAAGTGTAAGCCAACCCCCGAAGGATACAAGATTTTCGCCCTTTGTCAAGCCGGCTATATCTATTCTTTTCTCTCCTACTCCTCCTTCGACTCTATCATCGGTGTGACTAAGCTTCCTAATATGAGAATCACTTCCTCTGCCGTCGCTCACCTTGCTAAAACTCTTCCCCATTCCAAATACCGATTCAACATATACATGGATAACTATTTCTCCAACGTCGGTCTCTTCAAGTATCTTCGCTCCCTCCAGATTGGCGCTTGTGGTACCGCCCATGTCAGTGCAAAAAACTTTCCCTAGGCCCTAAAGGTTGACAAGACTGACGATCACGAATGGAACACCCTTTCCGGTGTCATTGTCGATAATGCCGTCCTTGCCGTTTGGATCGACAATGCCCCAGTCAACTTGCTCACTACTTCCCACACTATTACAGGCGACTGCCGTGTCCCACGCACTCGATGGCGCCCCTGCTGTAGCAAAAGGGAGTTATGATAATAAAGTAGTGAGGGAAAAGTGTAGAAAAGGATGTGTCAAGGAGGTGAGCGGGACAGAAACGTATCCTCTTTATTTTGGAATCTGTCTATCTTAAATAACCCTCTTAGCACGTGAGTAAACATGCACCTACTGCGACTAGCAGATGCTAAACATCTCACACATGTTGTGCACGTACACAACAGCCCCCGTATCACCAGCAGCAATGGGAAAGCCATCCAAGAGTACTTCCAAGACGCACCCTCAGCAGCCGTCGACATTTCCAAGATCATCGACGACTACAACAACCACATGAATGGCGTCGACATGAGTGACCAGTACCGATCATACTACAGCACCCAATTGCCAGTGTGCAGAACATGGATGCCACTCTTTTTCTGGATCTTGGATACCACGATTATCAATGCCTACCTAATCCACCAACACAAGGAGGAACGCTCTCACACAAGGAGTTTCGAATCGAAGTAGCATGGGCACTCATTCACGAAGGCACCAAAGGCGCTTCATTCCAGCAAAAACGAACTCGCCAGCACCACGAGGATCCCGCCAAAAAAAAAAAAAGGAATACAACAGTCCATATGTCACTGCAAAAACCGAGTTGCCCTCATGCCGCCTTCAACCAGGTCCCCACGTTCCCAAGAAGATTGAAGGACGACCCAACTGCTTTCTCTGTCGATACAATGCGGTCCCGGGCGGAGAGGATGTCAGAACAACGACTGGTTGGAAATGTAAAACTTGTGACATCCCATTGTGCCTGACTAGTACACGCAATTGCTTCGAAATTTTTCATAAACTTCCATAGCTTCCCTCTCTTTTTCCCTTTAAGAGACCCCCCCACCATAAAAAAACGCAAGATACAATTGAACATGAAGAGATATTAAAAAAAAGAACTGAGGCCCCAGGGCTTGCGTGTGAAGACTGGGACTCGAACTAAGTAACCCTCTTTTTTTGTTAGTTATCGTATGGGAGTGCATGAGCCCAGCACACAATTTTTTTGACACAATATTGTATTGAATTAAAGTACAGGGGAAGGAATACAAAACAGCACAGCTGTCGCTACATGAATATTTATTATAGAAATGACGATGGAGTATTTTATAAGAGAATAACAAAAATTAAGGCAACGGCGGCAGCTGCACCAGCAACGACCTTAAAAGAGGCAGATTCCGTGATGGAGCCAGCATCATTTGCGAGAGATGCACCAGCACCAGGAGTGGAACCTGTCGAAAGTTGAGTTGGGCCAGGAGTAGATGCAAATGCAGTTACGGTGGCACACGCCCTGCTACCTTTGATGGTGGAAATGGCATCATAGCAAAGAGAAGCATCAGCGGCAAGGCATCCACCTGACTTGACACGCCTTCGAAGCCACGCATCGCTGGCAGCCAAGGGGCAGAGGCAGGATTGTTGGGCAGGCGATAATGGTCCAGCAGCGGGAAAGGGGCCGGTTAACATCACGGTATCGCAGGTAGGTGATGCCATTGTGGCGGCCTTTTGGATACAGACGACGCAGCTATCTGAAGTTATCTTATGGGCCGAGACGGTAGTGATACTGACGGCTAGGATGAGGGCAGTGATGGATGTGGTCATTGTTGAGAAATGCATTTTGACTTTTGCATCTGCTAGAGGAAGATGAGATAAGAAGGGTCTATGTCTGTGGTGTTTATTGTTTGTTGTGATTGGTGTTTTGTGTTGCTTAATGCGGTTGAAGAAGAAGAAGAAGAAAAAGATAAAAGTAAGCAAGCAAGGGAGAATGCTTTACCGCTTTCAGTCACTGATTTCAAAATGCATAATGAAATCTGGCTGGCGCGCAGTGTAAAAAACATTCAAGGAAACGAGACAAAAAGTTACAACCCTCATAGCCTTGAAGCACAGCCAGAGGTATCGTCCATCTTTCCTTGTGAAAGAAGTCGTAATGGAATGGCATGATATATATACTCGGCTCTCTTCGCGCACGAAGAATGTTAGGGCCAAAAAAGCAGAAGGTAAATATAAGAAGGTTGACGATTGCAGTTTTTACCCTATGCATTCTGCTATTGTCTAAGAGGTAAAGAAGTCTTGTACAACACAGTCGAGAGGCCATAAGAACACGTTCACGAAGCATTTTAAAGGCCGAAAGGACAACGACCATATTAATGTTGTTCTAACCCAGTGCAAACGCAGCGCAGAATATAAGAAGAGAGAGAGAAAGAGGGGGAGATAGAAAGAGGGGGAGATAGAAAGAGGGGGCGATGGAAGCTGGGTTGGGCTTAAAGGGAAGGAAGTGGAGTAAGAAAGATATAACAACGACAAAGTAGGAAACAGGCGTGAAAGGGTCAAAGAGTGCAAGGAAGATAACTAGGACTGCACTTAGAAAAAAAAAGGAATGAGTGCATGTAAAGTGCTCCAAAAAAGTGATTCATCTTTTTGCGATTTCGACTTTTTTTATGAAATGCTCATTCATCAATGTTCCGACCGGCCCCCAGATTCCTGTCATTTATTCTCTCGGTTCGTAGCCTCATTCATTACAACTTGCTTCTTTTTGCATGGACCGACATCGAATCCTCGTCGGAATCGAAATGCCTGAATCGAATGATTCAGTTAATTGGATTAATGCATCCCGATTTTCTTTTTCAACTTGTGCGGTCTTTTTAGTTTCTACCTAGGAGGCCATCCATATTCGGCTCCACCAACCATAGACTACAGTATAAAAATATCTGTCAACACCTATTAAAACAGTGTGTTTCTTGAGAGTACAACAAATCTCATCAGCTTTTTCCTTCCACCAGTCTCCATTTTCTACATTCACCACCACTACTTTGTAACATCATCTACTTTAGCTGAGAAAGCCTTGGACATGATCATCTTATATTGGATCCTGGATATTACAGATAGTAATTTCCTTTCCAATATGAGATGATCATGTCCAAGGCTTTCTCAGCTAAAGTAAAGTGCTCCAATCAATTGATCAACCAAAACGCGATTTCGACCCTTTTTTTGAAATGCTCATTCATCAATGTTCCGACCGGCCCTCAGATTCCTGTGATTCATTCTCTTGATTCGTAACTTCATTCATCGCCACTTGCCTTTTTTTGCATGGACCGACATCGGATCATCGCTAGAATTGAAATGCCCGATGTTGGTTGATCAGTTAATTGATTAATTGCATCATTATTTTCTTTTCAAAGTGCGGAGGTCATTTTATGTTCTATCTACCTTCAGACTTCAATGACGTACTTCTACAATCCTATATGACCTTCTATCAAAGTTTGTAGTTCCTACCCAAAGTCTTTTGTGCATGACCTATATGCATGACGTTACATGGGTTTAGCACGTGTTTAGCTATTTTTTTAATACCACAAGCTCAATACACTTTCTACAGATAAATTGAAAGCAGTTAAATACAGAGGACATGGTGTGCGACCTAGAAAATAGGAAATTTGCGGGACTTTTATTCATTTATAGAAGATATCGTGAAAGTAAATTTTGTTACACGGCTCTAGCACGATTTCACACATTGTGATGATATTACACTCTACTGAGAATGACTGGTTTCGCGCATTAAAGATTTTAAGATTCCAACTAATGTCCTTTATATGTAACTGCTTTCAATTTATCTGTAGAAAGTGTATTGAGCTTGTGGTATTAAAAAAATAGCTAAACACGTGCTAAACCCATGTAACGTCATGCATATAGGTCATGCACAAAAGACTTTGGGTAGGAACTACAAACTTTGATAGAAGGTCATATAGGATTGTAGAAGTACGTCATTGAAGTCTGAAGGTAGATAGAACATAAAATGACCTCCGCACTTTGAAAAGAAAATAATGATGCAATTAATCAATTAACTGATCAACCAACATCGGGCATTTCAATTCTAGCGATGATCCGATGTCGGTCCATGCAAAAAAAGGCAAGTGGCGATGAATGAAGTTACGAATCAAGAGAATGAATCACAGGAATCTGAGGGCCGGTCGGAACATTGATGAATAAGCATTTCAAAAAAAGGGTCGAAATCGCGTTTTGGTTGATCAATTGATTGGAGCACTTTATATTTGTATTCTCAACTATGTGCTTGCTGTATGATAGATACCATCCTACATGCTGTTGTGTATGCAGTTAAGTATAAGCCTTTTTAAAAAATTGTTATTGTTGGTTAACGTCATGACAATCCAATACATAAATATTATTATGGATCTAACAAAACACTTCCAACAACTGCTTGATGACCATTGGACTTTCCTCAACGCTGGATGGCCAACAATTACACCACGTAATAATCATCGTACTGTAAGCAAGGAAATTGGGTATATGCCAGAAATAAAAGAAACCCTAAATCGACGCCTTGGTCCTATTCCAGTGTACTTCTTTCTTGTTGACATCTGGCCAAAGGTTAAGTATCCTGGTCCATACAAAGAAGTGGAGAAAGGTCTTTTAATGCTCTATCATCTTGTCAAAGGACTGTCTATGGAAGCAATGGAACCACACATGCCAAAAAGTAGTTTTCATGCAATGCACTCTGTGTTTTATAAGAAAGAATATACTTTGCACAACAAGTACATCACCAACTGTATTGCAACAATGTTCTCCACAATTAAAATACGCCTATTGTCTGCAAAGGAAAAGAATCCTCCATTATTTAAGCATATTACATTGCATCTTGATGGTCATGATACAAGAGCAACATACAAAGGTGAGAGCAGTGCTGATATGTACTCTTACAAGCTGAAAAAGTCAGGGTTACGCACACAGGTAGCAATGGATTGTAATGGCATGGCTTTATTTGTCTCCAGATCTGCATCTTGCAAGAACAATGCTGATGGAACAATGCTGCTAACGATGAAGTTGGACAAGAGAGTGCATGAGATGGATTGCATTGCTCTCGATGGAGGGTATCCACAGTTCTTAAGGAGGCTTATAGATGAGTCTGATACTCTTAAAGTTCAAAATTTCGCTCATCCATACCGTAAACAGAAGAACAAGGAACTTACACAGGAAGAAGCGTTATACAATACCACCTTTGGTAGTTTCCGCTCACAGATGGAGTCTCTGTTTGCAGATCTTGGTTCCACATTTGAGAAACACAACAATCGTACTCCTGTGTTGGTGGATAAGAAACAAACATATAATTTGCAGTTGAAGTTATCTTTGTTACTCTTAAACATGAAAAAGATGGTTGCTTTGTTGAAGATTTCTGCAGAACCAATTCATACAGCTTGGCTTCGCGAAGGATTCGAGTATCCGACAACAGAGAACGACGTTGAGCAACCAATGGGATATGTTGATGTTGGTGCGCTAGTGGAGGATGGAAATACAATGGCACAACTCCAGAACGAATTTCTTGGTCTTGAACTTCATGGTGATGTTGATGAGGACACACCAATGGATCAAGCAGTAATAATGCAACCCGGTCTTTCCATTGAGCTTAGAGGTACGAAGCGACAAATGGATGTTAATGGTAATCTGTAGACTTATTGCAGGTTTTTAAAAGAATAGACATACATGGCCTATTTAGTCAGCTTTAAGATGCGGTATTAACTGCCAAGACGCTAATATGCACCGGTATCTATTGTTAAAAGTCATGGTATTATTGTAGTAGATCGGATGCTATTCTATGCTATTCTACAGTATTCCTTTTTATTTAACAAAGAGGATAAACACATGTACAAACCTACGTCATAAAAGAATACTACATTCTTAACCATTTTTAAACCCCGTCTTTAACGCCAAGCAGTCTTAATAAGCAAGATCTACGTCATACGAGGAACACTACATTATTAACCAATTAGATGCCTTTTTAAAACTCTTTTGTTACTAAGCGCCAAGCAGTGCTAATAAGCAAGCGCTATTAATATCCATTGTGGCAGTGTTCCATGAATTAGTATAAATAAAGGACTCCACTTCCCTCTTGCTTAATCTTTATCTAGTAACCAACCAACAATTATCCATATCTACACAACCATCCATACCTATACAACCATCTTTTATTGCAATTCTTTATATTAGTGTACTAAGCAGCTGCAATCTACCACACATAAACTGAAAACTTATTCACACCCACCATACCACAAGTACAATCCATATTGTTCTTATCCAAAAACATGCAGTACGTTCAGCTTACAATCAAGCTCATCACCAAGGCCTTTGAGACATTTTCCTCAAAGAAGGGAGAGGAGTTTAACAAGAAAGATGCAAATAAGATCTTTAAGGCGCTTGATGAGGATGAGGAAGTAGAGAGATACTACTTTTGTGGAGCAAAGTGCACCAAGTCCAAGCGCAAATGCATGAAGGAAGTTGATGATGAAGGCATGCATTGTTATGTTCACAATCCTGCGCGCAAGTGTCAAGGCACAACCATTAAGGGTGCTAATTGTGGTAGTGTAGCCAAACTTGGTCAAACATACTATGGACGTCATCAAGATCAAGATAGAGGTCACATAAAACGTAGTAACAACAAGGCACCTGTCGACAAGCGTACCGAGCGTTCCAAGGTGTCAAGGAAGACACATACGCCTGAGTTTGTGCCTTCAGATGCTGATGTGTCTTCCGAGGATGAAGAACCAAAGAAGCGAAAGAAAAACAAGCAGGAGTCATCGGATGAAGAGCCGTCCGATGATGATGAAGAAGATATAATTGCCGTCTCCTTTCCGTTGAGTCCAAAGCGGCCCCTTCATGTGCAGAGGATATAAAAAGGCATATAAAAAATATCCAAAGCCCAAGGAACGGAGTGTTTACTTCCATAGCTGATATATCTCTTCACAGTCGGCAACAGAACATAGGATAAAATAGCAACAGATAGCACAATTTTTTTTTAAAATGTAATCTCTCCCCTGTATTTCACGACAAAGATACAGTTGAGAGTGCAAGTGCTTTAGATGATCACATACAAGAACTACTCAGGCGAATCTTGCAGTGATGGGTACAGTTTAATAGTAGATGAACACATTCAAGATATTGGTGAGCGAAAAATAAGAAGACTTTGTTGTTTGGAGAATAGGTTGGTGTTTAGTAGGATAGTTAAACAAAAAATGTTACAATGGTTGTCTTATATGCTTGGTATCATACATACACTCTCCTCTAATGGACGCGGTGGATATCGTCAAGATCTGCAGAGATGTAACAAACACCATATGATAATTTGGACTTGAAAGGCCTCCTAGGTGGAAGTGTCGAAGACATGTTACATTTTTAAAAAGTTCATGCTATATATACAACCACAAATGCCAACTGTTGACAATTGGATAGTTTTTAAAATATCTACTCTTCATCTGTCTCAACAACTACCAAAACTTTACATCTGGAGAGTACAATTTAGGCAATTCCTCGATCGTGAACCCCATGGCAATTAACTTCTGCTTTTGTTTGTTGTTGGTAAATTTGTCTCGACTATAGTTACTGTCACCGTTTGCAGGTATCTTATACAGCAGTCCAACAATAATGTCCTCTTCGTACCTCTTGAGCAGATGACATCCGTCGAAAAGGTAGTTGGTTGCATATTCATGCTTCTTGTCAAACGAACATGTTGTCCATTTAATTTCGTCTTTATCTATGACGATTATACCCGAGGAGCTTTTATCTTTAGGGTACCTTTTCCACATAACATCCTCAGCATCTTTATCATCCTCAGCATCTTTATCATCTTCAGCATCGTTATCACCCTCAGCATCTTTGTCATCCTCAGCATCGTTATCACCCTCAGCATCTTTGTCATCTTCAGCATCTTTATCACCCACCGCATCTTTGTCATCCTCAGCATCTTTATCGCCCTCAGCATCTTTATCATCCTCACATGTGCTCTCATCTTTCTGTGGCAAGCTTTGCTTATGCTCATGCGGTTTAAATCCCATAGCAAACAACTTCTCTTTTTCCTTCTGGCTAAGAGAATGACACTCTACATTCTCTGCAGCAATATGGTCATCAGTCATCAAGCCGATTACAGTGTCTTTTTTGCGCATCTTGAGAATGTGCATTCCATTTACAAGTACATTCTCGGAATATTCCAAGTACTTGTTAAGTTTTTTCCATATCACCTTGGATTTATCTGTTGGTCCTTCTACTGGTACTTCTTCTTCTACTTCGATCTCCTCGTTGAAAAGCGTCTTTCTCTCTTCATCAGACAATGGTTGAAGTTTCATCTTGCTAAGCATGGAGCGTTCCAAGATATCCAACTCTGGAACATCACCGACACCGCGCAGAGCATCAAGCGTAAACAGGCCAACGTATGTATTCTTTCCAGATAGCCTGACAATGTACTTGCCATTCATCGTAAACTTAGTTGCATACTCAAGCATGTCGTTATTAGGATGAATCATCCATCCTCTGTCCTTCGCACGTGCTATGTCTTTCTCTGATCTAATGTTATGCACCGTTGTGGCCAGTGCAAATGTATGTTCATCTTTTCCATCCTTAGAAACGTCTACATTAGAAGATGGCTCTGCATTTTTGGGCATCTTTGAAGGCCTTTTCTTTCGAAGAGTCTTCTTCTTATCATCCTTAGATGACTTTTTATGAGATAGTTTTTCATCAGGGTTATCCTTAGAGGTATCATCTCCAGATTCTACATTAGGTCTGTTATTGGACTTGCCATCATCAGAGTCTTTATCATCAGGGGAATCATCGTCAGAGCCAGCATCATCAGACGTATCACCATCATCAGACGTATCACCATCATCTGTATCATCGTCAGAATTCTCATCAGCAGAAGACTCTTCTATTTTTTCTACATCTGCAGGAGTTGCCTCTTGGAGTCCCATCTTTTGCAATATACGTACCTCTTTGTCAGATAATTCCGGTACAGAAAGATTTTTCCCCATGAGCTCAGGTGGACACAATACAACGTAGAGATCCTTTTCCTTCAGCTTAATAATGTACTTGCCATTTACAGTATAGTTTTTTGCATACAGAAAAGCTGGATTAGTTGCATAACGCATCCATATGCCTGTATTAGCGAGTGGTACATTTTTCTTGGACGTTATGTCAACTACCTTTGGACTCAACGGAAAGGAGACGGCAATTTTATCTTCTTCATCATCATCGTCGGACGGCTCTTCATCCTCGGAAGTCATATCGTCATCAGATGATACAAACTTAGAAGTATGTGTCTTCTTTAAAGCCTTGGAAGACTTGGGACGCGTAACGACAGGTGCATTCTTGTTACCACGTTTTATATGACCTCTATCTTGATCTTGATGACGCCCACAGTATGTTTGACCAATTTTGGCTACACTACCACAATTAGCGCCCTTAATGGTTGTGCCTTGACACTTGCGCGCAGGATCGTGGACATAACAATGCATGCCTTCATCGTCAACTTCCTTCATGCATTTACGCTTGGACTTGACGCACTTTGCTCCACAAAAGTAGTATCTCTCCACTTCCTTATCCCCATCAAGCGCCTTAAAGATCTTATTTGCATCTTTCTTGGTAAACTCCACTCCCTTCTTAGAAGAAAATGTCTCGAAGGCCTTGGTGATGAGCTCGATTGTAAGCTGAACGTACTGCATGTTTTTGGATATGAACGATATAGATTGTACTTGTGGTATGGTGGGTGTGAATGACTTTTCAGTTTATGTGTGGTAGATTGCAGCTGCTTAGTACACTGATATAAAGAATTGCAATAAAAGATGGTTGTATAGGTATGGATGGTTGTATAGATATGGATAATGGTTGGTTGGTTACTAGATAAGATAAAGATTAAGCAAGAGGGAAGTGGAGTCCTTTATTTATACTAATTCATGGGACACTGCCACATTGGATATTAATAGCGCTTGCTTATTAACACTGCTTGGCGCTTAGTAACAAAAGAGTTTTAAAAAGGCATCTAAGTGGTTAATAACGTAGTGTTCCTCGTATGACGTAGATCTTGCTTATTAAGACTGCTTGGCGTTAAAGACGGGGTTTAAAAATGGTTAAGAATGTAGTATTCTTTTATGACGTAGGTTTGTACATGTGTTTATGTATTCTTTTATGACGTAGGTTTGTACATGTGTTTATCCTCTTTGTTAAATAAAAAGGAATGTTGTAGAATAGCATAGAATAGCATCCGATCTACTACAATAATACCATGACTTTTAATAATAGATACCGGTGCATATTAGCGTCTAGGCAGTTAATACCGTATCTCAACGCTGACTAAATAGGCTATGTATGTCTATTCTTTTAAAAACCTGCAATAAGTCTACAAATTACCATTAACATCCATTTGTCGCTTCGTACTACGTACCTCAAAGCGCAATGGAAAGGCCGGGTTGCAGTATTACTGGTGGATCCATTGGTGTGTCCTCATCAGAGTACTGGTCCTCATCAACATTATCATGAAGTTCAAGACCAAGAAATTCGTTCTGGAGTTGTGCCATTGTATTTCCATCCTCCACTAGTGCACCAACATCAACATATCCCATTGGTTGCTCAACATCGTTCTCTGTCGTCGGATACTCGAATCCTTCGCGGAGCCAAGCTGTATGAATTGGTTCTGCAGGAATCTTTAACAAAGCAACCATCTTTTTCATGTTTAAGAGTAACAAAGATAACTTCAACTGCAAATTATATGTTTGTTTCTTATCCACCAACACAGGAGTACGATTGTTGTGTTTCTCAAATGTGGAACCAAGATCTGCAAACAGAGATTCCATCTGTGAGCGGAAACTACCAAAGGTGGTATTGTATAACGCTTCTTCCTCTGTAAGTTCCTTGTTCTTCTTTTTACGGTATGGATGAGCGAAATTTTGGAATCTAAGAGTATCAGACTCATCTACAAGCCTCCTTAAGAACTGTGGATACCCTCCATCGAGAGCTATGCAATCCATCTCATGCACTCTCTTGTCCAACTTCATCGTCAGCAGCATTGTTCCATCAGCATTGTTCTTGCAAGATGCAGATTTGGAGACAAATAAAGCCATGCCATTACAATCCATTGCTACCTGTGTGCGTAATCCTGACTTTTTCAGCTTGTAAGAGTACATATCAGCACTGCTCTCACCTTTGTATGTTGCTCTTGTATCATGACCATCAAGATGCAATGTGACATGCTTAAATAATACAGGATTCTTTTCCTTTGCAGACAATAGGCGTATTTTAATTGTGGAGAACATTGTTGCAATACAGTTGGTAATGTACTTATTGTGCAAAGTATATTCTTTCTTATAAAACACAGAGTGCATTGCATGAAAACTACTTTTTGGCATGTGTGGTTCCATTGCTTCCATAGACAGTCCTTTGACAAGATGATAGAGCATTAAAAGACCTTTCTCCACTTCTTTGTATGGCCCAGGATACTTGACTTTTGGCCAGATATCAACAAGAAAGAAGTACACTGGAATAGGTCCAAGGCGTCGATTCAGAGTCTCTTTTATTTGTGGCATAAACCCAATTTCCTTGCTTACAGTACGATGGTTATTACGTGGTGTAACTGTTGGCCATCCAGCGTCAAGGAAAGTCCAATGGTCATCAAGCAGTTGTTTGAAATGTTTTGTTAGAGCCATAATAATATTTATGTATTGGATTGTCATGACGTTGACCAACAATAACAATTTTTTAAAAATGCTCATACTTTACTGCATACACAAGAGCATGTAGGATGGTATCTATCAACTGTATCTCACAGCAAGCACATAGTTGAGAATACAAATATACGTTTATATTTTTTTTCGGTAGCGGCCCCTTCATGTGCAGAGGATATAAAAAGGCATATAAAAAATATCCAAAGCCCAAGGAACGGAGTGTTTACTTCCATAGCTGATATATCTCTTCACAGTCGGCAACAGAACATAGGATAAAATAGCAACAGATAGCACAATTTTTTTTTAAAATGTAATCTCTCCCCTGTATTTCACGACAAAGATACAGTTGAGAGTGCAAGTGCTTTAGATGATCACATACAAGAACTACTCAGGCGAATCTTGCAGTGATGGGTACAGTTTAATAGTAGATGAACACATTCAAGATATTGGTGAGCGAAAAATAAGAAGACTTTGTTGTTTGGAGAATAGGTTGGTGTTTAGTAGGATAGTTAAACAAAAAATGTTACAATGGTTGTCTTATATGCTTGGTATCATACATACACTCTCCTCTAATGGACGCGGTGGATATCGTCAAGATCTGCAGAGATGTAACAAACACCATATGATAATTTGGACTTGAAAGGCCTCCAAAGGTAGTTGACGTAACGTCCAAGAAAAATGTACCACTCGCTAGGACACCATTCTGATCCAAAATATAGCATAACATTTCTCTCATTTCTGTCCATCGCGGTAAGATCAACCATGGGTCGAAATAGGTAAATATGTTATGGAATACCAATGGAAGTTGCAAGAATTTGTACAGACAATTATGGAAGGAGTTTTTAAAAAGATAGCAAATATATCTATAAAGAGTACATAGGGAATCGTCTTGGGTCGAAATAGATAAATATGTTATGGAATACCAATGGAGGTTGCAAAAATTTGTACAGACAATTATGGAAGGAGTTTTTAAAAAGATAACAAATACATCTATAAAGAGTACATATACAAAAGCAAAAGAATCCAAATGGACATAGTTATCTAGCAGTATTACAAGAGCAAAACGTAAGGAGAGAGTATCAACATAAACATATTTTACATATCGGTAATCGGGGAGGACAAAAAGGTTGGAGCGCTTTTTTTTGGGCGAGGGAGTACACCTGTTTTCTCGTCTTTTGTTAAGCTATGCCCACCATTTCTTAATATGACATATCTGGGGAATTCTAGGGAATAATTGACATAATTACGTGTGTGTAATCCCTATTTTTGCAGAAAACGACATTATGGAGACTGATACCGTTGTAAACCCTACGCCAAAGAAACTTGCACGGCTGCTTGATAATCTGTTGGAGAACGAATGGGGATTTCTTGATGAACCGTGGCCAATGTGCCCAAAGGTCAAGACATTTCATCGTTCAGAGTTGAAACCAATCGCAAGAATACAGGATATGAAAAAGGTGTTGATGAAGCGAGTTGGAGCCATAGGGAAATGTCTTGGGTCGAAATAGTTAAATATGTTATGGAATACCAATGGAAGTTGCAAGAATTTGTACAGACGATTATGGAAGGAGTTTTTAAAAAGACAACAGATATATCTATAAAGAATACATATACAAAAGCAAAAGAATCCAAATGGACATAGTTATCTAGCAGTATTACAAGAGCAAAACGTAAGGAAAGAGTATCAACATAAACATATTTTACATATCGGTAATCGAGGAATAGAATTGGGGGAGTGCGCTTTTTTTTGGGCGAGGGAGTACACCTGTTTTCTCGTCTTTTGTTAAGCTATGCCCACCATTTTAAATCACCTACGTTCATATAACATATATAGCATTTATACATGTGTCAACGGTGAATCTCATGCATATACATCATGATGATAATGGTACCAGCTTGGTTGACAGTACATGAATTCCCTGGGAATAATTCCCATAATACTACTTATGGAAGGTATATATATTGCACATTTTAAAAGATTATTCCGATAGCTCAACAACATTGGCTGTATCTAATTCTTCCTCTTGATTTACCATGAGACCACTGGCAAATCCTTTGATCAAGGCATTTATTATATAAATCTCCTTCTTCTGCTGGGAAATAATTTGGTTCATCTTATCCATTCCTTTCTCCAATTTTCTGACACGTTTCTTCAACTTCTTATTCTCATACCGTAAATCATCATCGGATTGTTGTACATCCTCGTCTTTCTTAGATCTCCCAGATTTCACATGATTTCCACCATTCTTTTTTGCCTGATAGCTCTCCTTGGAAGACTTTATCTTGCATTCCTTACATGTATTTCTGGAATCATCGTAGAAATCATATAAAGGCTTCTTTTTGTCACACCTGTTGCAAATCCTTTTTGGCATATTAGGCGGAATGGTGATCTCTTGATAGTTGATATACCATGTTTTTTCCCGGGAATATTTCTCTCAATGTTTGTGTTTGAGGGCATACACAACAATATCTAATATAGATGTCAAGTTGTATCTATTCAAGGGAGTAATTGACAAATAGGTATATAGGGGGATGAGCATTTAGACGTCTTATCGCCGCAAATATATTATGCCCAGGCCTACACGTTTAACCAAAGCACGCCAGCAGGAAGTTGTTGCAGATTTTATTTATGAGAAGAATCTGGAATTGTGTATGTTTGTCTATTTGGATGAATTTTTAGATCATCATCGTAACCTCTTTCCACAAGATGCCACTATATTTGGCACTAACGGCATAAAAAAGTTATTAGAGGCATCTTATCAACTCCTACGTGACAAAATACGTGCAGATGGATTACTTACCGAGAAAGACGCTGGTGAATATATGCTTAGAAAAAAATGACGACCTAAATTATAGACTTTTTAAAACCTAAGTATACCTTTTATTATGTCGCCAACAAAAGAATCTCTGATAAACAAAGCCATCAACGAAATTTCCCATTTGCTGTCAAATGTGGGTAATCTACAGTCAGCACCATTTGGCAGTGTGGAGAGAAAAGGATTCACCAAATTCTCCAAACTCTTTTGCGATTCCATCATCTTTTGAGGTATATATAACTTTGCTGACGATACCACTAAAGGTACAGCAATTGGAAAGTACATTGCTGAACTGCGCGATGCATTTAACCACACCGATTTAATTGTGGAATCTGTAAAGTTGGTCGATGCTAGGCAGGTTAAAATGGATGATAACTATTTTTCTCCGCGCATGGTCAAACGCCATAGAAAGTTGTTTGTTGGAAAAGAATACCAACAGGGTTTTATTGCCATCAAGGTTTCTTTAGATTTTTCCCGTGCAAAGATTGTTGTGCCAATTTTGGCGAACATGTTGTCTAGCTTGAACGAGAGCGGCATTGCTTTACATGACATAGACTTTGCCTATGATTGTACGCGTATTACCACACGACTGCACGTGGAGAGATTGCTAAAACAAACGAAAACTACAAAAATTGTCGATGATGTGGGAAGAGTAGGACATCATTGTATTTCATGGAGAGGTCGAAAAGGGGATACAAAGAATATCCGATATAAGGTGTATAACAAATTTGTTCAGATTTTGGAAAGTGCCGAGGTGCGAAAGAGCCTTGGTTCACGTTTGGAGGATTTGGTGGAGAAAGAAACAGCATTTGGACGACGAGTTAAAAAATATAAAAAGCATGGTTATAGTCGTATCGAGCTGACGTTTGAAGGTTCATCTTTGAGATCTCTTCAGTCATATCAAGACGAAATGGACAAGACAAAGAATCTCTTGAAGAAATGTAAAACATTTAAATGTTCCTTTGAGATGCAGTGGGAGGAACGTGCAAAATGCATTACCTCGATGGTGGCTGTACATTTTCCACATGAGAAACTGTTTGCTTATTGTCACTGGTGGAATTCGGTAACCTCTAAGAAGTATGGATATATGTGGCAAAACTTTAAGAACCCCGAGCTTATTACACTTTTGCTGGCTAACTATTCCTTTAACGATAGACCTATATACTTTGTGGAAGGACATGTAAA